TCTCCTCCGGAGAAAGGTTTCCAGCTTTCTCTGCTGCTGCAATTTGATCAAAGACGCTTTTCAATTCGATCGCCGATCGCAGTGTTGACACACTGCCTCATGTCAATCTAAGACAGCATTAACAGTTCTCAGTACTTACGTTTCACTGAATACGTGGTATTTCCCTTGGACGTTATGGAACCAGCCGCCGACTCCAAACAATGTTTGATTCGTAGCAAGATAATGCTTTGCTTTCGAGACATAGACGAAGCCTATGGCCTGCAAAAGCTCGACACCATAAGACTCCTTCTTGAGATCCCTGGAAAGAACATTTCAGCAAGTGCAACGTGTATGTGCACGATATACGCACTCCGCTTCAAGCTGGCAGATAGTGCGCCAGCTATTTGTGACATCAAGGTCATATGGACCTGTTGCGGACTCCGTAAATATGCTAAGTTTCCGCTGAAGGTTCTCCACGCTGCAAAAGTCGTTAATCTCACAGAATTACAAAGTATGAAATCTTACAGTTTCTGGACTCGCTCTGCACGAGCTGCTGCTTTCTGGGAACACTATTGTGAGATTTTTGTGGAATTAAACAGAAAGGGAGTACCTCTGCCGCCACTTTTTTCTCTTTCTCCTCCTTTCGAGCTTTCTCCTCTTCACTCAGGATCTCCTTGCCCTTTGCATCACGTTTCACGTCCTTGTGGTCTTCGCTCTCATTTTCTTCTACCTCTTGTAGGGCAGCTTTCATATCCTTCGCAAGACTGATCTGGCCGATTATTGGCGCAAACCTCTCTCCACCGAACATCGCCCCAAATATTTCCTCCGGGTCGACGAAACCTCCTTCTGGCTGACTCTCCTTGGGACCAAACTCGTTATATTTCTTGCGGAGCTCTGTGTCTGATAGGGTCTGATACGCAATGGCAATCTCCTTAAATCTTTCCTCCGCGTGTGGGTCATCGCGATTCTTGTCAGGATGATGCTTTATTGCAAGCCGTCCTTGATAAAGCAGGTAAGTAAGAGGTCTATCATCATCAATCAAGGTACACCATACGGTATGATTTTTTGATATCATCTGTGCTTGCATCTATGGGAACACCTAGAAGGTCATAGTACCCTGTTTCCAAAGGTTTCTCCTGCGTGCCGATCTTACGACCTTTCCTGGCATTTGAAGGTGGTGGAGTACTTCCAGAGCCTATCGGATTATGCGAAGGCGTTGAGCTCGACGTAGTGGAGTAGCCAGGTGGTAGCTGCGTAGGATAGAACGCATGTGTGTAGATTGATTGGCACTTAAAGCAACGGACGCGCAACAATGTACCCTGTGCCGGAGTAGGAGACGGCACTGAAAATTCAACCTGAACGTTACAATGTTCGCACTGAGAGCGTATGTGGGGGGTATACTGGCGTGACTGCTGGACTGGATATGCAGAACTCATTGTGGTCGTTCAGAGACTGGCGAAAGGGTCGAAGGCAGCTGAGTCTGCTGACTGAAGTAGTAACCAAGTACTAGCCTTGAAAGGAAATTATGGTCGTCCAATCCAGGCCAACCCTTTCCAAGTTCGGCATCAAATCCCATTTGTGATGTACATCAATCGTATGTCTCCCATATATGTGCAATACAATCTACTGATATACCCAGATGGTAGCAGATATAGCAAAAACAATACTGTACGAAGTTTACCCTACTAGCCCAAATAATGAAAAGAAAAATACATCTAGCTTGCAAGTCGTATGTATAATTGTGAAATTGTGAAAAGAAATGTGTCATCAACGGAAACGGTCATCTAAAGAACCAGTCATCAAAAAAAAAGAAATTACACCGGCACATCCGCCAGGTCAGCTTGTTCGTTTACTACCGTGATGGTCATGTTCGCATCGTCGAGCTTTGCGTCAAGGTGAGTACCCAGTTGAGCAGGATTTACGGGGTTACCGTGTTTTGGTTGGGGTATGTGGTCCGTACTGCGGTCATAGAATATTGATACTGAAATGAATTGAAGAAAGACAACTGCAAAGAGGAACCAAAATGTTGCGGCTCGTCCATAATACTCATGTGGGCCCCCATGGATGGCCTCCACGGATGTCTCTATCGAGCTGACACCAGCGAGGCCAATTGCTGATCCAAATTGAAGAGCGCCGTTAAAGATGGCACCAACTGTGCCGGCCATGGATGAAGGTGCGGCTTGAAAAATAGCAATGCTGTAATTACAACAATTAAAAGTGTTCATGAAACCACGATAATTCGAACTTACTTTGTGTGTGTATACGTCAGCATGGCCCCTGCACTCCCCAGAGTAAAAGCCGGGAATATATATAGCCAATAATCCTGGGGCCTCCCCCCGCCAAGCGCCAGCAATACGGTCGCGACCATGCAAAAGGATAGACCACTGAGAATAATCCATTTCGGACTGAAGATGCGAGAAAGCGATCCCGTGAAACTCATAGCGAAAGCTATGACACCAATCGGGAACCTGGTAAGTAAAAAAAATCTTAATGACAGACAACATGGTGTAACATCGAAGACCTTACATGTGTACAGCCGACGATATAACCGACCACTCAAATACGTTTTGCCACAGGGTGGTAAAAATTGTGGATACCGTGCTCCACCAAAGGTATGGTAAGAGCGCGACGGCAAAAAGAATGGAGAAATTGTGGTAAAACCATGTCCGGGGTGGTCTGTAATAAGATCAGCCAATATTCGGTAGTTGGTGCAGGCATCCCTGATGACATACATCGCAGCTTTGTCCACGGGTATGAGTGTTTCCCAGTAGAAAAACCCAATCACCATTAAAATTGATATGATTAGTGGGACCAGCACTATTGCGGATCCCCAGCCATCAGTGGAGCCGGATGTCACAGCAAAGATAAACAAAATCAAGGCAACTATCAGAGCTCGTGAGCGATGCGAAGTACAGCATGCTGAAAATTCATACCAGTTAGGATGCTTACGCCGATTAAGTCAAGACTTTTCCATTTCGTTGCTGCAGGCTCAAAATTGTCTGTGGTCTTTGAAATTTCTGGTGGTATGATGAAGACACATGCCAGAGCCACTGGCACAGCCACAATGGCTACAAACCAGAATACCCAATGGTAAGATGCCCATTCGACGAACATTGCACCGATCATGAGACCGAGGACTATGAAGGGGAACCATGAAGCTAGTCATGGATAATTAGCTAGGCGGGATTCTCACCGTTAGCGACGCAGCCACAGCCTCCAAATAATCCTATTGCCCGAGCTTGTTCAAGCGGTTCAGGAAATACGTTGACCAGGAGTGTTAGGGCAGAGGGAATTGTCATTGAAGAAGCTGAGAAGCGATCTTTGTCAGCAAAACCGTCAGACCGGCGGGAATGCTTACCTATTCCACTCAAGGCTCTAAGAACAATGACCGGAATGGTGTCATTAACAAATCCAGCGCACAGCGAGATGACACCAAGACCAGCTACACCCCCGATGAACGCACTTTCTGTGAGCCCATTAATGTCACTATCTAACAGGTACGGCATGGTACTAACTTGGGTTGTATACGTCGCTAATGCGACCGCTCTAAACAATGCGTTGAAGTACAAGGTCAGAATCAATGGGATGAGCACGCACGATGAGCAGAAAAGATGCAAAGGTCAACTGGAATGCACTGATGATCCAAGTGGATTGACTTTCACTCATACCCATGGATACCTCGAGTGCAGGGATTGCAGAGAAGAGAGCTGAGTTATTGAAGGCATCTAAGAACTGGGCGAGACAGAATATAACCAGTAAAATTAGTCTGCGAGTAAGAGAAAGTTTTTTGGGTCCATGATCAACCAGCGTTTCAGCCGGGGAAAGAGGCGGGAGTGGCAGCATCGCACTCAAAAACTACAAACAAGATACTGCGGTTTGTCAGTTCAGGAGCGAAAAGGGAGGTTATAAATGTTCTATGTCGAAATGGATGGATGGCTTCACATTATAAGAGGTATCTCCATGGCCAGCGTGAATCAGACACATGACGCATCTCGACACTAGTGAAGATCTCGGTTATGTGCAGGGATTCTGGATGTGTCATTCCCGTCGAATTCCCCCGAGGGTTTGTTAGAGCATCGTCGCCCCTTAGAGTAAAATTTGACTCAAAGGAGCTTGACTCAGATGAGATTTTCTCCATTTGCTTGGTTATCTGTATGCCCGTTTCACGCTCCCTGGGGTTAACAAAGGCAATTGTGTCACTCGCGGTGAATGAGAGTCGGACGAAGGCGATATGAGAATCACCTAATACTCAGATGGAAGGAAGGCAGCTGCATTGTGCAACGCATCACAATTTACGATCCAGACTCTCCGGACAGACGGCTAGGATAGCGAGAGTGTTCGTAAAATTTGTGTCAACATAACGCGGGTCTGTCAAACCACAAATATTCCAATCAGGTCCAACTCTTTTGATGAAAACGACCATTTAGAAAAATAAATCACTTACTCTATGATATCGGTGACATTCGCATTATGGATATAATCTGTGACGACATGGTAGAACGAGAACGACTCATGTGATGTCCTCGAACGTGACAATGTTAATGTGACACTTCGTGCGCCGTGATTTAGAATTCTCTATCTTCTTCCCTTGTTCCTGGCCAGTAATAGTACGTCCTACTGTGAGCACCACAAACATTCCTAATAATCCTTTTATTTTTGTTCAGCCGAGAATGCCGCATCCAAGAGAATGTGCAAGCAATACATTTTAAGGGCCAACTTGGCACATATCGTTATAATGGGGTACGATAAACTTAGGGCCCTTTTGACGGCCTTACGTTGAACTGGCCCTTTGGTTTTTTCCGACATTATTTCATCTCGAGACCCAAGGTGTTTTTAAATATGTACTATTGACGTCTACGGTCTACCACATCGCTGAACCGGAAACAGAATAAGGAATCTTGCGGCTGTATGCCGCCATGAGTTTACGAAGCTGGAGAACTCCTAATTATGACGCGTGTTCACAATTCGTCGTCACTGATGCAACTGCCACCAACCGTGACGGACTTTGATTGATTGGCCTCATGTACGACGAACGCGTCGACATTTTGCGTGAGTGTTTTAGATCCACGCGTTGTTGTCCAGTGCAAGCGCTTTGTGTTGACCGTGTCAGCAGCTCATACCTTGATGCGGACGATCGCAATCTAGGTGTCGAAATTGGTCTGTCTTCTTCACGCGGACCGTTTTTGATTATTTACAAGAGACTATGGTGCGCGCCGGCTCTTCTACTCTATGGCACCAAAAGACAATCGGCGGGAATACGCCGTGTGCCCCTCCGCATTTCAGGCGTCAGCATTCAGTCGATCATTACCACATGTTCTTATCACTCTCGTCCTCACAAACGATTTGACTAATGGAATTGTAGCCCTGGCGTATATTACCCTCGTCAGATGAAATCATTCATCTCAGTTGATCCACTGATCTGTAAACCCACACCGTCAATCCCACCACGTTCGTAAGTACGTCGGATCAATTTCCTGGACCCGTGGTATCTCTGACTCGATCAGCTGTCAGCACACTCGTGTTGCTCCCATCGCCTGCACGCCGTCAGCATTACGCTAGATCCAGTTGGAAATTATATCCTAGTATGTACACGACAATGCGTGGTTTTCTGCAGTCCCTGGCCCCGATGGTCCTTTCCGAGTCCTGACATCCTCGCGCCGAAAGTTACAATTCAAGGGTTCTGTTATGTCAGGAATACGTTTCGAGTTACCGAGTAATTCAACATTACAGGGCCAACACAACCTGAGGACGTTCGGCTCAATAAAAGAATAAAACGAATATTCCCTTCATGCATAACGTTTTATCTAAAGCAAAGACGCGGACCGATAGCATACGCTTCTCTCATTACGTTTATGTCCAAGTCCTATATCTGCACCTCCATCTCGCAAGTTTCTCGTGACCTGATAGAGCCGCCGGCTCCATTCCACATACATTCGGCTTCTCTGTATCTTAATACTGGAATGCCCGCGGCCCGCGGCAGTACTTACTTCGAAGAGAACTCTTAACACACGATCGGGTTTGAGGGAATGAGCGCGAGCAAGGATGGAGCATTTTCCGCGTTTTCCGATCACGTTGTTTATCACTGGCATGTTGAGGGAAAGCAGGTGCCCCTGTTGTGTTTTGCCGATATTAATCCGACCTAAAGATCGAATCGCTCGAATTTTAAAATCCTACTTCTGAGCGACCTTGCAGCATTTGGAATAAAAATGTGCGGTTCCTGGTCAGAATCGAATTTCTTCCACCAATCAGAGAGCTCGATCCCTCGAACTTCAAGCGTCGACGTAAAAGTCAGTTCGAGCAGATAGACAATATGGATAATTGATCAGATAACGCGTAAACAAGAACGCACACTAACGGCAATATGTACCAACAAGAGCTCCTCCCTGCCCAAGACATGCAACCTAATTTCTGAATCATAGCCAGCGCGTGCTGGTTCGATATCTCCCTAAAGCTCGTTACATTGGCGTACGAAATACGGCATGTGACAGTGTGACACCTGTACATATTTCAGGATGAACCATCATTGGAGACTGGCAGCCTCTACTATCAGCACCTTTGGAGGCTAGCGTCATTGACACACTGTTTGTAAGGGCTGGATGTAATTGGACTCGTGTTACATCCGGAAACGACGAGACTCACGGGGATATATCATGCTGTTGGTGGGATTCTGTTCGAAATCGAAGTCTATGTGGTTGATGTAACCATTGTTCTGTCATTGGTCAATGAGCCGTTCACTCTCTTCGACCAAACGTTCTTCACAAGTCGGTCGTCTCCTAATCCAGAGCGACCCACACTCATCTTAGGCAAAAGATCGGTGCCACTTCCTGAGATCCCATCCAATCCGCGGGTATGTGAGGTTCATCGATTGATAGAAGAAAAGACCATCCTAGGAGGTAGGGTGATCGAAAAATCAAAAGATGTTAAATCACGTCGCCAACTACGTTGGTTCAAAATGCAATTGGTGCTGCCCCATGTTTCGAAATACAGTGCATCAGCCTGTTGTCGCGCTGGTCAAACAAAATACGAGATACGAAATATCAATGCTGCATGAAGCCAATGATTTGAATGTTGAAAAATATACATAAAGAACTCACCGGCACCCATCGTGTTACCTGAACGCATATTCAATGGAACATTTGGGTCCATCATTGCGCGTACTGATGCACCGTTAAGGAGACGGCAACATTTTGCTAGAATTGTGTTGTCGTCCAGGTGATCCATTATCTCGCCAAGGTTGCGGGCCCCATACAAGCCACAGACCTGGGCAGCAGTGGGCACTAATGTTACGGGGTGATCGTCCTGCGTCCTGCAGAACAGCCTGGACTTCAGTTAACATGCAACTTCACTACATAGTACGATGCCCCCTGGGTACTAGATCAATAAGTCAGTTGTTCCATCGAAGGTCCAGCCACATTGATGGCCAGGAGCCAGGATTCGAAATTTATTCATGGACCGTATCTAGACAAGCCACGTCACGGTCGAGGCTCAGCACTGTCCATAGTATTAGTAACTTCAAGCGCCGAGCGGGTTTGTCCGCCGCCGCCCGCATTGTTATTGCATTGAACCACCATCAACGTCGACGTAACATCGTTATGGCATATATTCTTGACTTTGGTACCCCCGTCAATACAGCTCTCCTCATCTACATTCTCTACTCCGTGCAGAAGATCGTTTTTCCTTCCACATCCATACCTAAAACAATCCCCAGCGAATTCAAGCATGGTTACTCATGGATGCCTAAGGAACACCCTCCCACTGTGTTGTTCAAGACATATACCCCGAAGACACTGGAACCATTCAGTGGCAAGGACGGAGGTAGAATTTTGCTTGCCATCAACAGCATCGTGTTCGACGTAACAGCGGGGAGGAACTTTTACGGGCCAGGTACATTTACTTGCCTCGTCAATTCATCTTAAGGACCGACTCACACTATATAGATGGCATGTATGGTAATTTTGCTGGTCGTGACGCATCTCGTGGTATGGCCAAGCAGTCCTTTGACTTGGGTGGGTGAACCACAGGACACTCCTTGCACAACGCCTAATTCATATGCTGTCAGATATGCTAACGGCAGTAGACCAACCTCTTGACAAGCTCCAAGATCTCCGATCAGACGAAATGTAAGAAACTATTTACTTCCATCTTTGCGTTGCTTATAGGGTTGACATTTGCTTAGCGAGAACATGAAAGGTAAGGTCAAATTAGTCGCTTGAACAGCAGTAATCACTCATATTGAGATACACAGGATGGATTGACCACTTCTCTAATAAATATGTCATTTGCGGAAAGCTTGTTGAGAATGATGCTGCGTGATTGAATCTGTATCATGTCATGGATAACTCTCGCGTGTAATCCATTGATAAACTAGATTATGTGCTCGCAGCGTCGACGAGCCCGTGTCATTTCCCGCTTTCGTGATTCTGCACAGCACATATCCATGTACTATAGTGTCGAGGTTGTTTGTGTTATATATGTATAGAATTTGATAACGACATTACCGAAACGCGATCGGATGGTGACTGTGTTAACCTTTATTGATCGCGAACGACGCGGTTGGCGGCTCTTGCAGAACCAAGATCTAGTTCTACCTGATTCATGGACATCGACGACGATGACTTTTTCACAAACCTCGACCGACCTGGCCGTGCTGCTAACAATAATACCTTTCAGGAGCGACTTCGACAAGCCCCACGAGATGACGACGGTGCAGAAATACCAGATGCACCTCCCTTCATGCTCGAAGAAGAGGAAGAAACACCACTACAGCAACTTATAAGACATTGGATGAATGAGCGGCACTCGCCTGATATTCTCCTAAATGAAGGAGAGTTATTGGCGGGACTGCTTGACCACATCAGGAGTCAGGTTGGTGAGCCATGTCGTGACCTTAGAATGTCCAGCAGACAAATCTGACTCGATGACTATGCAGTCTGAGACGGTGCAACTCCTTCGCACAGACCCCACATCCTCTGAGGAGGAGCACTTCCGCATCATGCTCGTTCAGACGGAGGTAGAACGAGTCAAATTTATAGTGAGGTCATACCTCCGCACCCGTCTATTCAAGGTCATTTCCTCCTTTCTACTCCATTTTTCAGATACTACATCATGTATTACAGATCGAGAAGTTTGCTCGGTATATCATGACCAACCCTGAAGTCCAGCAGCGGCTCTCAGAAAGCGAAGTCGAGCATGCGCGTCGGTATGTTGTGGCCCTCGCGAGAAATAGCATGAGAGTTCACCATGTCCCCAGGTTTGCCCGTTTAACTGATCAACATTTCTATCATTCGGTTCTGCAGAGTTTGCCAGAGACTCAGCAGACCCTTGATGATCAACCTCCTTTTGTGCCTTCCATGGGTACGGAAGTCAGCATTTCATTGAAAGAGTGGTACTTACGATCGTATCTAGTTACTGAACCAGACAAGGCTCGTGCAGTCTTTGTACTTGCTCGACAAGATTGTCCACCAGTGCGGCTCCCAGAGTATGTTGCTGAATATCGACCGATGTTGATTTCTCTAATCAGACCTACAGTGGGACCGCATTAGATATGCGGAAAGGGCATATATCTCTAACTCCGTATTCGGTGGTAGAGCAACTGATTGCTCGGGGCGAGGTAGAACTTGTGTAGGTCCTAGATTATGCTGTACAGTACAACTGGTCAGATACGATGGACGAAGGGATATGGGATATGATGAGAACGATAAATATTACGAGGTTGTTACAGCGCACGCTTTACACTTCTGGCACCAATCCAACATCATTCACATTTTGTTATCGTGGTACGTATGGCATGTCATCCTCGCCATCGTCGCTTCGTCGGTGCCGGGGACGAGATGAGGACTCTTCATATGCGTCATCATCGTCTTCCATTCGAGGGTCCCCTTCTTCAGACTTTGCTTCTCCCATCGTCTCTTCTGGCACACCCTCCATGTCAGGATCCTCTTTCTTTTTCCGCCGCCTCTTTGGGCCCTCTCCAGGTGCCGCCCCATTTTTCTTCGCTTTGCTCCTCTTTCGCTTCGCGTTCTCTGCCGCCTCAGCTTGCAAGTCAATGGTGCCACCCGCTGAAGGGTCAGGTACAGATTCAACGATTTCCTTTAAGAAATCCAGCATCTCTGTTGTTTCGATCGCATGCTTTCTGTATATATGTATTCACAACAAGATCGCGGTCAAGGTAGCAATGAACGCACAGGTGATAAGCTTCAACCTTCTTTGCCCCCCGCTCAACCGTGACTTTGGTCGCCTCGTCCACAATCATAGCCAGAAATAACTCCAATGCTTTTGCTATCGCACCAAAGATGCCAAATATTGATATCAGAAGCGAAAGACGTTCACGAGAGATAACGGATAAATCGGTATATAGAGACGTACAGATGACCACTGGTGTAGCTTGTGCAACTTTCCCAACTTCCTCATCTTTCTGCATAATCTTCTTGATTCGTGCCTGTCCTCAGACATATGAGCTACGACTCGTTAAATGAGCACTTGGTCGCAGGAGCTCACAACGGGGAACTTTGTCTGTTTGTTCTTGGTCTTCATCTTGGATATTTTGACAAACTATGGGGATGTGCTCATTGTTCACCGCCGACTCTAAAGCTTTATGACTGGAAAGGGGATCACGTGCACAGAGGTTAGTATCACGTGCGCTCAACGCGTCACGAAGTCACCTGGTGTAATCTTGGGTAATTAAAATCAAAGCTGTGATATGCTTCGACAAGTGCTACTCTCATTGTTGACATGGTAGGATGAGATAAAAATAAGACATCACCCCACACATGTCAAGCATACAATAGTCCGTGTAAGTATTGGGAAGAGTGGTTGTCGCTCCAACACTACATCATGTGGTTCCTCACTCTTTATCAGACCAAACATCCATGTGGCGCTTGCCTCGCAGATGCAGTGGTCTGGTGTCTTATTCGCACTTGCGGGAAATCGCATCCCAGAAGAACAGTACGTGTATTAGCGAACAAGTAGTAACTTACAATAGTATCGTGTTTGGGGGAATGTGATATGTGTCATGAGAGAACGCCCAAAGTGAAGTATACTAATAATCACTCGGAAATGTATCATACAAAATGAATGGTGGGGAACTCGTAGAATGTACGTCATAAGAGCCTAAAACAATCAGAATCACACTGGCGGGGAAAGTTTTCGCTGCCTAGAATGGGTCGTCAGCCGTAGCCCGAGTAACGAGGGCGCAACACGACCTACCCATCAGCGTTTCCAAGAAGTTCTTCAAACCTACTTCTGAGATGGTCTAACCGAGCATCCAGCTCAGGTGTCCCATACTCGTGCCCGCTATCCATCTTAAAAGCTAAGCAATCTCTCAAGAAATGATCTAGATCCTTGACGCGAGTTATGGATAGTTCTGGTTCGTTTGATCCCCGTGCACGAGCGAGATAGGAAGCGACCATTGTCGTTAAGCCGCCTAAAGCGTACTAAATTCAGGATCTGATTCGAACGACGTAATACACACCAAGAATGGATATGCCAATCGAAGTCTGATTCAATGACCGTTTAGTTTGTCATAACCATAGAACTCTTTGAACTAACCTGCCTACCCGAAGTGGCTGCCGAAATACCGGTAGTGAGTGCCCCAAGCATAACTTGCATGCCTATGGCAACGTTCAACGCAACGCCTGTCATTCGTGCTTCAAAGAAAGGAACATTATCAGAAAATTGCCAGAAACAAGGAGATTGATAAATATTGAAAAACGTTTTCAACTAACCTTTCGAGGCGTATTGCGCCCTCTCCCTCACCGCGTTAGCAATAGTAGGGTCGAGTCGCTCACCGATTGTACGCCGCTGCAAGGTCAGGATCAGGATTATATGCCGGCGCAAAGGTGTCAAACAACACAAACGTGAGGTTTCTCTTCAATTTCGGGCACTATCCAGCCTATGCCAGATGCATTGGAACGGGTATGGCCCATAAATGAGCGACGCGACGGTCCACGCACGAGGTTTCCGTCCCTCAGGTTATTTCTTGCAACCGGAGGAGGTTGGGAAGGCTCAAATTCTGGATGTCGGTCACTGCGATCACGGGCTGGTGAATGTCCCTCTGAACTGCCAAGGAGGGGCTTTTCAGTCGCCGCCGACTGACTCTGCGGGTGATCCCCCTCTGAACTACTATGAAGGGGCGCTTCAGTCGCCACCGACTGACTCTGCGGACGATCTCCATCTACATGTTCGGGTTCCACGAACGGCGAGGGTCTCTGGACATCGGGTTGAGAAGGCTGTCCCTGAGACTGGGAGGACTGTCCAGTAGGGACAGGAGGCAAGTTGTTGTCGGGATCCATGGTACTTCCACGACGCGGATGTCGAAAGGTCGGGCGACCTGGTGGTAAGCCTCAGGTTCGCCGAAACTCCAGTTGGAAAGCTTTATACTAAGATTTGAATAGGACCGAGAACCCACGCCTCTGCCCTGCAGCCATACCAAAACGAACATGATCGCGATGAGTTTTTAATTCCGCGTAAACATAACTGTTCGGTACGGCCGCTGTTGTGTCTATTAAAACAAGGCACGGTAATCAGTACGGTCCGGCTGTCATTACTTGGCGTCCCATTCAAAGTTGAAGTACCACAAGGTGTCAGACAATAACCCTAGCTACTCAATTTCGCCAATTTATAATCAATGATCGACTGATCACCAGACCTGTTCTAGAATGGCCGGTTCTATCATTTGGCACATCGCTTCGGAAGCACAAAGCCAAAAGCCTTTATACGAGGGGTTATGATGAGTATAAGTCCACCCACAGGCACACATGCCACAGGCAGCTGACACTGCACTGACTTTGTCAAAATTTGAATTTGATGGGTCGTCTAGGAAATCATGGTGTGTATTGTATTTTGGACATTCCGCTGGAACTATCTGATCGACGAACCTCTTGTAAGCTTAATTCTCCCCGGCTTCGAATTCCCATGGTGCATGGAACATTAGACGCTATTAGGCGTTGCTCCAATGACATTTTGTTATGGTCTGTTATTCTAGGTGCCGGGGAATACCGGATGCCGGAGTGCCTTGCGCCTATCAGCCTGAGTTGGCTTATCTTAGAAACTAAGTTTTCCACGCACACTGTGACCCTCACCAAATACTACTACTGGCAGCTGATGGCCCCACCCGAAAATCCTGAGTGCCTGTGATTGTTCTCATGTATCGCCACAGGACGAAGGTTTAGCTCCGGTATCATACACCCAGGCTGCTTCGATGGGCATGGTAGCGGCAACTTGAATACCCTGGCTCAGCCTCATATGCAAAAGCTCACATGATCACGGTGGTCTTCGGAGCTTGATTTTGTCCCCCCTATCTGACCCTCCCATTCTAATGGCTCTTTGATTGGTAGTAGTGGTTGCAGATAAAAATCCTCAGCGCACGCAGGGGGCACTGGCGGGCTCACCAATCGACCACAGTCTCATCGTAGGGCAGGTACGAAGCCCAGACAGTAATGCCAGAAGAGCCTCCGCTGGAAAGTTCCGAAATCCATGCGGTGGCAGCAATTCTTACGAAAACCTCGAATCACTTTACCCTTTTGGACGTTGGAGATAGCCGTATTTTCGTCGACAGACGGTCGAGACACGCGTGCACGTTGAAGAGAAGCTGGTTGCGGATGAACTTTTTGTTTGATAATAAAAGGGTTGTACCTAATATGACCTGACTTTAGCGCACGAAATCATGAGGGAATATACTGCTCCTACCATCGGATCAACACCAAAAAAAAGAAAGACAAGCATGCGATTAGAGGTAAGGTTGTCGATGTCAGTGAACATTGAACAAACTGACTGATTTATTTCGCAGCTACGTGGTCGGGATAAGTAATTGGACGAACCGCCTCTCACTCTCGGTACTCGAACTGAACATGTTGTTGCAGTATGTTGGCGGGGGCCTTTGTGGCGCCTCATGGCAGTAGGTGGTAGTGTCTGACCGAAGGCTATCTCATTCTGTTTGGTCTGCATGCAGAACGCTAGTCCAACGCTACTACTCATTTCTGAGGCTCACAGTTGCGTTCCTCTTCCCTGTTAAAGGCTTCTGCCAACACAGTCGGGCATCTCCCAGTCGGTTGATCCTTGAGCTCATTGGAGCGTGGAGACGAGATGGGAAACTCCAGCAAATTTAGTGTGATCGGCCGCCCTGCAGTTATATAGAGAACAATGAGATGTGACGACCTTAGCGAGAACGAATATTATGATGTACTAGCATCTGTAAAACACCCCAGTTCTCGCTTAGTAGTGTAAGAAGTTTGATCTGTTACTAATGCTTACGGTTCAGTGATGGAGCCCTCCGATTGGTGGAGATCGTGTAGTAATGATGTAAAACCTTTAGATATTCGGATAGTGTATAAATTGATAGATTGTCCGGACAAGATAAAGATCAAAAGATGATCAGGCTGATCATCGCATTATCATGATTCAAGATTAGCTAGTAGTACACTGTCGTCGTCATTTCTATACTACATAGTGTACTAGTTCACAGCCCTAACCTCTCCTTTCTGCGTACACTCATCCTTGTCTTAAGTGCCTTGAAATGCGCCGCAAGCTCGGGGTAAGGGTCAATTTTGTCATGAATGTGTGTGAGGATGTTGTGATAAATGTCCTTCGACTTTGCTGTAGAAAAATCAACACATTTGAACACACCAGTCTCGTACCCCTTGATTGCTGACCAAATTGCTGCGCCACCAAGAGCGATAACGCTGTTGAGAGCTTCAGGATCTTCGAAGTTGATGTCTTTGTAAAAGCCCTTGGTCCATAAGACCTCCATCACGACTGAAACGAGCACCTTGTGCTTGAGCACAATGACGGATTGTAAATTACCATCGAGTATCTAGTAGTTAATTGTTAGTATACAATAGCACATGGTGTGAATAAAAAATGACCTACCAGTTGTTCTGTTTTGAACAAACATTGGAGGTTCAAGAGGAGCATAGGCACCACTTGTAGCTTGTGCATGATTTCCGATGACAGGTCATGAATATTGAGCTCAAGATTGTATTTGTGTTGCACAACAACACGTGCAACATGTTTGAATGAAGAGCGGATGGTGTTAGTGATTTTTGTGAGTGAACTGATGAATGTCTCCTCCCTGGGGAGATAGTAATTGCCTGGTGGGGAAAGATCCGCATGGCTTGCGATATTGCATTGCGCGCCATTTGAATGTTCTCGTTGTTGGAGGGCATCCCGTTTAACATTAGCACCGCATGTCACATTCTTGACCTTGCGCTGGTTTTGATCTCCTCTGTGTGATTCGCAGGTACAGGAACAGGGTGTTGTTGCTGATGGGGGACAGGGACAGGGACAGCATCTGAAGGAGATTGCATGGGGGAGGCTGGCACCATTGAACTAGTGGCAGTGGTATTCAGAGGAGGCAAAGGTCGTGAAGGCAGGTCTTTTGCTGTGGGGCGTTTTGGAGCGACATCCTTGCTGCTTCCAGCCTGGTTGTCTAGGGTAAGGTTGGTGACAAGGTGAGATGCATTTGAACTTACATGGACTACCCCCATGTTTTGCCACTGGCCACAGTAATGCTCATCTTTACGACAGGGGCCAAAGACTGTGACTTTGCACAATCCTGGGAGGGCATATGGTGCAGGACAGATAGGTCGTGCCTGTGGGTCCTGCAGGTGCCTGCTGAGGCGCTCTGCACCATGCACAGTGGGAGGAAGTGGTGTGTCAATGTTGATGAAGGGTATACCCTGCCCAGTGTGCTGCTGCTGCTGCAGGTGTGGGTGGTGCGGGTGCGGGTACTGCTGGTGCAGGTGCGGGTGCTGCTGTGGATGCGGGTACTGCTGATGCTGCTGATGCAGGTGCGGGTGCTGCTGCAGTGGCGGTGGTGGGTGCTGCTGCTGTTGCAGATGCGGGTACTGCTGATGCTGCTGGTGCAGGTGCAGGTGCCACTGTGGTGGCGGCGGTGGGTACTGCTGCTGTTGCAGATGCAGGTGCTGGTACTGTGTGACAGGATCAGGGCATTGTTGGAATGGGGTGTAGGGTATTTGGCCTGTGGGCTCTTCACATCGGAAGGGATCAGGATGCTGATAAAATGGGGATTGGGGTGTTTGATTCTCATGGCACTGGAATGGAGGCTGCGCAGGAGGTTCAAGAGGTTGTCAGAAAGATGGATGGTGGATCTGCTCGTGCTGTGGGAACAGAGGTCCAGGAAATTGCTGGTGTTGGTACTGGTAGTGCTGGTGGGGTTGCTCGCGTTCCAATTCTGAGTTACTGACTTCATCTGAGTACAAAAGTTCTTCATCTTGCATGATCGGTACTAGATCGTTGTTCCAGTGTTGTGTTTGCTCTATTGCACATCCCACCTGAGTGTCATCCAGATTCAAGCATGGGTTTTCATTGCTGTCTTTGGTGGGTTTCCGCACTTCCTGTTATCTGTGATGGATCAGTACTCATTTGAAGCCACAAGAAACTTGTACCCTGGTATTTTGTGGTTTTTTCATCGTGGTTTCTTGGACTTTGGTGGCATGGTGAACTGTAGATGCAAGTATGCTAATATGGTGATAAAGTTTGAGAATCAGCCCCATGTGCACCGTCTAAAAACTACTTACCAATAGTGTGCAGGCACAAACGTATTGTGATCAGTCACGATGCATGATGGTCGGAAATGATAACTGATTGAAGACAAATTCGTGATAACACCAATTCAGTACATGCAAGATGTACAAAACACGTAAAGCATATCAGACTGCAAAAATCATATGTAATCCAACATTTTCCGAAAAATAAGTAAAGTGATGGGCAACAAGTCATGCTTACTATGTTCAAGCTCCCAAAAGTATACCGCCATCGTTATCATCATGACCCATTGTAGGACTGCTGTATTCGCTTGGTACATAATCACTCTCATCCAAGACCTCTTCATTGACCCCTCGTTCCTCAACATATTCCTTCAATTGATGAGCTTGTTCTTGGAGGGCCGCTAATGTCAGAGTATTCTGAGTAGCTGTATACTTGTGGAAGGTGATATCTTGGTGAAGATCCTTCAACCCGTGAGTAGTGCACACCTGCTGCCAGATCTCGAGATCTGTCTGGGAGTATTGATGCTTCCTCTTCAAGTGCGCAAGGGAACAGTCAAGGAATTGTCTCCAGTGGTTGTTTTCTTCGACTGCCCAACTTGCTGTAGTGACCTCATGTCTAGCTAGCTCACAAGTGGCGTACTGTGCCATTGCACCTTCATGTAGCATATCATCTGGTAAGTCTGTGAGACCACGACTGAAAATGTCATTGGTCTGTTAATCTAATTTATGAGCTTTTAATCAACAATATGCATGAAGTAACTTGCCATTAAAGCAGCTTCAGGATACAGCTCCCTGGCAGTCTGGCCCTGGAGAGATTTCATGGCAAATTGAGCTGAAGCAGCTGATGTCGCTCTTGCTTTCAAATATGGCTCAAACCTGATTTTGACAGGGGAGGTAAAGGGAGATCTAGTCCTTGTCTCCTGAGAAGGGGTTTGTAACACTCTTGCAGGGGATGATGTTGACCTGTCTTTGATGGGGGATGTTAAAGTGGATCTAATCTTTGTCTTTGGGGAAGCTAGGAAAATTGACTCTCCAGGGGAAGGTGGAATGGCATGTGTGGTGGGAGGGCTAGAGAACTCCTCTGTTGGCATATTGTTGTTGGTTTTGGTTTTGTCTTTGTAAATCAAGGTTGATAGTTCCATGCAGGTTTGAGAGCTAGCAGGACTGCAGGAACGAATTGAAACGGTTCCAGTGGATCCACCCATGGATATCTGACTACTGGTTTGGCTATGATAGACTTTGCTAGAGAGACGACAACTATCGGTCTGCTGGTGTCGGAGTCTGAAAGACTTAGAAACTTTTCAAGTTTGAAACCACCAGACACAGCACTCTATGGTATTGACACTGCTACCATGAACACGCATGATCCTCCTGATGAGCCTGGTCGGTTCAGTGGACTCAAGTAAGTGCTGGTTACTACAGATTTAATCTGACTGACAAGTATACAGTCTCAGCAAATCGGTCAGATGCCCCATCTGTTCCAATGTTTTTGACACCGCAGAGGATATATGCACTCATCTATCTGATGATCCAGGTGTGAATAGCCAATTTAACTCTCGAGTTCTGACTATAAGGACCTCTATCCAGGATGCTCTCAGTGACTGATTCCCCCTCCACTTGCATTCCATATCCCCCAAAGATTGGAGGACCAGCCACGACAAGGATGATTCCATCCTAAGTCAGGTTATATCTACGATCTCGGCCAGCCAAATACTTTTGAATGAATGAAGCAAGACAATTTCGAGGATATGTGGGAACACAATGTATATTATCCGTTTTCAGATAGAGCAGAGTGGGAACTCGCAAAATTCCTTTGCAAGAACTTGAATCAAGGGCAGATCACTCAATTTCTGAAACTTCTCTGGGTTCATTGGGATCAATTTACATTGACCAGGCTAATCATGCTCTCCCAGGTGGTTTCAGAGGCGAGACAGCCACTGTCTTTTAAGAACGCCAAGCAGCTCTTTACTTTCATGGAGGCATTACCAGTGACCCCTAAATGGAAGTGCACACCCATTGAGACTGATGGATATACAACTACACACCCCGTGAATCTCATCTGGCAAGACGCCCTGGAAGTTACACACCATATTTTTGGCAATCCAATTTTCGCCAACCATATGGAATACAATCCTTACTAAATACAAGACAACGGTGAGCGCAAGTATGGGGAGTGGATGTCATGTGAGCACGCATTTGAAATTCAGGCAGGTTCCTTCTAAGCTTCCAACATAAATGTGTCTCACTAAGCAAATTTATTTCTAGAGTCAACTGCCCACTGGCGCATCTATAGTACCCATCATTCTGGCATCTGACAAGACCCCAGTAACGCGACACACAGGCTCACTCGAGATGCACCCCACATTCCTGACAATCGGGAACATCCACTCTGAAATTCGCATGAAGGCAACCTCACACACATGGGCCTGCATCACATACATTCCAACCCCAGAATATATCATGAACCATGATTTCTCAGGAGTATTGGAAGCACGCCTCTGGCATAGGTGCATGGATATGGTCTTACAAAACCTGAAGGTCGCAGCTCAAGTGGGTGAATTCATGACAGACCCAATGGGTTGCCAGCGTTATGCATTCACACCACTTGCCACCCACATTTCTGACCTTCCCGAGCAACTTATGATTGCATGTGTCTCGAAAAACATCTCACCTGTAACCCTAGCTGCACAAGCACAGTTTGATGATGGCATTGCACACCCTCCCCAAGATGGCCAATCTACAATCAATGAGCTGATCGCGCTCAGCAAAATTGTAGATCCCTGGAAAGTTCGGGAATTTCTGGAGCGGGCAAAGCAACAATCACTCAGCAGTGTCCATCTCCCGTATTGGCATGACTGGCGGTTTTCTGACCCTGCCATTTTCCTTGTCCCTGAACTACTACACACATGCCACAAGTTTTTCTTTGATCATATATTGAAATGGTGCAAGGAGGTGGTAGGCGCTAACAAGCTGGATGCTTGATTCTGCAGCCAGCATAAACATGTTGGCATGCATCATTTCGCCAATGGCGTCTCTCATGTTAATCAAATGACCAGACATGAGCATCACGATATCCAGCGAAGACTGGTCCCCACCATCATGGGCATGACTACCCCTGGATTCGTTCGTGCACTCCACGCACTTGTAGACTTCATATATAAATCACAGGCTCCTACCTTCACCAACTCCTCCATTGGCAGCATGGTTGCCTCCCTCAATGAGTTCCATGTCCATAAACACTTCATCTTAGAGGCGGAGGCTCACACAGGAGCCTCCGGCCCAATGGGTCATTTCCAAATCCCGAAACTTGAGCTCTTTAATTCCTTTGCATGCTCTATCCATAAATCTGGCGCTGTCATCCAACATTCAGCAGATGCCAGTGAACAGCTGTTGATCACGCACTGCAAGACACCTTTCACTTGGACAAGTCACCAAAGGAGCACATTTACTCAACAGGTTGTCAATCTCGTTAATTGTGAGGACACAATGCGACAATTTGACTTGTATGCCCTCCTTCGTGAATGGGGGATCTCTCTCATTAATGTTATGGACGAAGAGTTCAATGAAGTTGTTGATACCGATCCAATGTTCAGTTGGATAGCGAGCGTTACGCCACAGGAGATGCACCATTTTCAGGCCATTCGACCCATCCACAATCATTTTCTCAAAGGGATTCTTTCTGATGAGGCCAGTGCAGCTTTTCATGTTATGATTGCTCATGATCTTGCTGATAAGAATGCCACTACTCTGGCTAATCATTATCATCTCCCTCATTTCCCACAACTGCTCGCACAATTTCTTGAAGTTGTCTCCAGTCCTAACTTGCACTTTCATGGTCGCCTGCTTAAAGCCTGGTTTAAATTTAGGCTACAGCTTTGCTCTCGACTCCGTCCAAGTAATATCATGCCAAGCCAGCAGGTTCAGGCCTATCCACCATCTGATTCCCATCCTTACAGAAATTGTGATATTGTCCTCCTTCAACCTCCAGGCCATGATCTGCAGTATTGTACGTTCTCAAATTTTGCTCAATTCTGGCTACTGATATGCCTTCAGCACCATACATTGCTCAAGTCCAAATGGTTTTTGCGCTCTCTCCACGAGGGTCGCAGCTGCCAGCCAAGCTGATGGGCCCCCTTTTGTATGTTGAGCTCTTTGAAATAGCCGCACCCCCTGAAGCTGAGCCACATATTGCCATGTACCGAGTTCGCTGTTCATTCCATACTGCGCCTGATGGTTCTCGCACGCGGGTTGGGAAGATTGTACACCTTATTGATGTCACTCATGCTGTAGAACTCATACCAGTCTACAGGGTAACATTGGATCGCACTGTTACCTCTGCAACGTCTCTTGAACACTACAATGATTTCTATCTCAATGCATTCTCCGACAAAGAGTGGTACCATACACTACACGCAGATTATGTCTAGCTTTACCTAGTTTTGCGCCATAATGTTTTCGATCTACGATTTTCAATGTTATCAGTGATATGATCAAACCTCATGACTGATCTGGGCCTTGATAAGTCGATGATCTGCTATCTCTATCTTACCGGACGGCGAACTGGTTCTTCGGATCGTAATATGCTCGGCTAGTCCATCCTTTCCAAAAAAACTCGAGTCCGTAACCAATCCCTGGACTATCCCAAACTCAGCGGTCAATGAGCAGCTCAATGAGCGGCTAAAGTTGTAGATGTAGTAGCTGTCATTGAAAAATATATTTACCACACTATTGAGCCCGTAACTACATAACTTGCCAGATCCCGTAGCCACGTAAAGGAGTGACTCTCTCTTCTACTCGCCTGCTGAAGACTCACTACTAGTACCTTGCAGTGCGCATAAATGTCCAAATAAGCACAGGTATCAATTGAGGTATCAAATGAGAATTTAATTGTCTACAACGAATCGCTCAGCTACATGTGGATAGCAATACAGGTCTCCCAAAAGTTCATCCCTAATCGCAGATTGCCGATCATACAATATTTTTGGTTGGTTTTCAGCCCATCACGCTGGCGAGAAGGGCCATCCGAACCTAAAAGAAAGGTCAGGGCGAGCGTGTTAAAGGGAAAGACGACTGACGAAAAGTCCGTAACGCATTTGACGGAAGTAAGCGGCGCGTCGGGAATCGAAATCGACTTCGGGATCGATTTCTGTGGACATAAATGCTTAGCTCCAGAGTTACGAAAGGTACCGAGGAGCTTACCGTTCACTCTAGGCAACGGGTGCATTACAATCATATCTTCTTTGGCCCGAGAAAGAAGGGCGTGATCAATCCGATAAGAGTCTTTGACCGCTTGCCACTCCGATTCATTCTTGAACCTCTCTCGTTGCACTCTGGTCACGTAGAGAACGTCAGTATCAGGCAAGACCTCCTCGAGCGATTCCAGCTGCTGCACAAATATACCCGCCTTCCGCGCAGCGGCGACCACCTTTGCGGGCATCGCAAGCGCCGGAGGCGCGACGAAGTTCAGACGGACTGAGTAGTGACAGAGTAGAGTGACCAGGCTATGAACTGTGCGCCCATTCTTCAGATCTCCTATGATGGTGATCGTTTTGCCATTGACAGTCCCCAGCTCGGATCGAATGGTATAAATGTCGAGAAGAGCCTATGATGTGTTAAAATTTCGGCCTGCTCCAGACTTCGAGCCCTTACCTGACTAGGATGCTCTCCTATGCCATCGCCGGCATTCAGAACAGGCACAGGGGAATATTTAGCGGCGAGTTGGGCGCTACCAACATCGGGGTGCCTAATCACAATGGCATCGGCATAAGACCCTACTGTGCGAACAGTATCGGCCAGCGTCTCTCCTTTCTTCACTGATGAAGTGTCTACGTTAACTTGAATCACTTCGCCTCCACAACGTTTCATGGCCGCATCGAAAGAAGTACTTGTACGGGTGGACGGCTCGTAGAAAAGGGTGCAAAGAACTTTGCCCTTCAAGATGTCTAGTGTCCCATTGCGCTCGACCTGAAGTTGCATTTCGTGGGCCAAGGAGAAGAGGTCATACATATCGCGTTGTGTGAATTGCTTCACGGAAAGTATATGACGACGGTGGAATGCCGGATGACGACCGTGAACAACAACCGGTGGTACACTGATGCCTGAACCGGCGGGACCACTGGCAGACGGTGGCAAAGCCGTCTGATGGGGAGGAATAGAACCATCAGGCACCCTAGCGGCAGAAGGCCCAGAAACAAGCTGTGGTTTCGCCAGAGGCACACCTGCTTGCCGCTCTCCAGCGACATGCACGATCGTCGCACTGGATACATCTTTGCCTAGCGGTAAAGCAGAGAGTTCACCGTCAAGGAATAAGGTTTTGCCATGCACGACTACTCTGTGCAGTGACCCAGTGACGGAACCCTTCTGCATAGGAGACCAACATGTGCTGTGGTTCTGATGCTGAGCTCGTCGTCCTAGGACAACTTCCACGTGAGTTGTCGTTTGTTCAGGAAGACCAAAGATACGAATCGGGTTATCGTGAAGGCGCACACGAATATCCTCGAGAGTGAGTCGACCACTAGTAACAGCGGTAAGCAATAAGGGTAGTGTTTCCTCCGTTCCGGACCACGCAGAGGCCGACTCTTGAAGTTCCGTCGCAAGTTGATGAGGAAGCATCCCGACTGAGAACGCATCGATTATATCAAGGTTCTTCCATAGTGCCTCCTGATCCTGGGCTGATGGCAACGAGGTGGGTTGAGAATAGTGTTCCCGCGTGAAGAATAAGGCGAAGACTGAAACATCACAAGTAACTTTGAGATGTTTTTCCTTGCTGAGCGAGATGAGAAGCAAATCATCTTTGTTTCTGACGTCGGTGATATGAACGCTGCGATTATGAAGAGACGCTAGTAGGAGCACTGATGCAAGGTTTGAGCCACGAGCATCGGTCACGATTGTCTTGTTTTGGGGCCACGAGGCGAAGTTGGCAGCGACAGTGGAAATTTGAGGAGAGGCGAAGTTCCCATGGAATGATATGTACAACGACTTCACGTCCGCTCTGACTTCCTCGTCAAGAGCCTGGACATTACTATCCTTCCCAGTAATGCTAAGGGCGTAGTTGCAGCGTGCGCTCCTTGCAGCTGTGGCATGAACCTGCTCAAGTAAAGAGGCATCGGTGATGGCGCTATCAAGTCCGACTGGCAGAACGAGTGAAGTAGTAAAGCCTGCACTGATAGAAGCCCGGGTAGCTTGCTCGAAGTCATCAGCTCCCGGCTCGGTGAGGCGGGGTATGAACGCGGAAATGTTAACAAACCCGGGGAACGCATGCGTTAGATACGAGGATTTGGAATCGATGCTCGATACATCCAACGGAAGCTTGCGAACAAGTGCTTCTGCAAGCAATTTCGCGTTTTTGACGTTCGTTATGAGCGGAATTGCAAAATCAACTGCCATGCGCCGCGTGCGGTACCCTTTACTGGCGTAGCTTGCGGGGCGGCGATAATTGTTCTTCGATGGGAGGTTGATATACATGTCGATCAGATTATTGGCCAAGTGCTGTGTGAGCGAATATTCGGACTTCTGTTTATCGTTGCTATCTTCCGGAAGACTTTCCAGGTACTATGCGAGATACGATAGAACTTTAGGAACACTCTGAAGCTTGATCAAACTTACTTTGCAAGGAACGTTGTGTTCTGTCAAGAAGTCGGCAGTACCGGATGTCGCGAAGATGTTGTATCCCGCAGCGTGGAGTTTCTGCACTGAGGGCAGAATTTCCAATTTCTCCCGATAGCTCCCAATAGAAAGCAAGATATTCTTCTTTGGTGGCACAATGCCGGTGGAGATTAAAGCCTTGAGGTATGCCTCATACTTATCACGCCCAAAGCAGGCGACTTCCCCAGTAGACGCCATTTCCACACCAAGTACAGGGTCTGCTCCAGAGAGCCGACTGAAGCTAAACTGAGGGACCTTGACTCCGACATAGTCTGGAGGAAGACCAGGATCTGGGTAGCTCTCCACCGGCAATCCAAGCATGACCTTGGTAGCCATCTCAATAGCGTCAATGCCGGTGACTTTGGAAACGAAGGGGAAAGACCGCGCCGCTCGTAGATTGCATTCGATCACCTTGATCTCGTTGTTCTTAGCTATGAACTGGATGTTGAAGGGTCCAGTCACATTGAGAGCGTTTCCGATCTTGGCAGTGGCTTCCTCGATTTGACGAACGGTAGCGGGATCAAGATCTTGTGGTGGGTGGATGAGAGTGGCGTCACCAGAGTGTACACCAGCATTCTCAACGTGCTCCGAGATAAAATGCATGACCATCTGACCGTCCTTTGCTACAGCATCCATCTCTATCTCCTTCGCTTGCTCGATGTACTTCGTGATAACGACGGGGTGTTCGCGAGAGACAGCAGTTGCTTGTGTCAAATAGTTGGCCAAGTCGTCACCAGTTGAAACGACGTTCATGGCCGCCCCTGAAAGGACGTAGGAAGGACGGACGAGGACAGGGTACCCCACTGAATCGCAAAAGGCGAGAGCCTCCTGGAAACTTGTCAGTTCTTTCCACCGAGGCTGGTCAACGCCAATCTCATCGAGTAACCTAGAGAATTTGAAGCGATTCTCCGCGGTGTCAATCATCTCAGGAGAAGTCCCGTAGATTTTCACGTTCTGACGATAGAGGGGAAGGGCAATATTGTTCGGGGTTTGGCCACCCATCGACAAAATGACGCCGCGCGCACGCTCTGTGTCATAGATATCAAGAATGGTCTCCAAGCTGATATTCTCGAAATAAAGGCGATCAGCTTCGTCGTAATCAGTGCTGACTGTTTCCGGGTTGTAGTTGACCATGATTGTCGGGAGACCTTGTTCGCGAAGCGTCCTGATAGCCCTGACCGCGCACCAATCGAATTCGACGGAGGAGCCGATGCGATAGACACCTGAGCCAATGACCACGACGCCGCGATCATTGAACTCGACGTCGTGCTCGATAGCGTTATACGTAGTGTAGAGGTAATTCGTTACTGCGGGGAACTCGGCTGCGACGGTGTCTATTTGCTTGACGAATGGGCCAATACCAATTTCTTGACGAAGCCTTCGGACAGCTAACTCTGTTGAACCTAAACAACTGGCTAATAGGCGATCGGAGAAGCCAAGCTGCTTCGCTTGGAGGATGATTCTGTTACTGACAGAAGTAATGGATTGCTCTCTGTAGTTGTAGTGCATTCGTTAGAAAAACATCGAAGATCAAGAGGAGTCTACGCACGACAAGCGCTTCTCCATGCGATGAATGTGTTGAAGTTTCGTTAGGAACCATTTGTCGATGTTAGTCATCTGCCAGATCTTGTCGATGCTATAGCCCCGATGGAATGCATTTGAGATGGCGAATATCCGCTTGTCAGTGGGATTGACCAGCTCCTCGTCAATGTCATCCACAAAGTTATTCTGACGAAACAGAAAGTCTAAATCTCACTGAAATGACAAAGGCTGCTCTTACATACCTTCGCAAATCCAAGGAATTGATCGTCAATCGCCCGTATCGCTTTCTGGATGGTCTCTTCGAAAGTTCTGCCGATGCTCATGACTTCACCGACGCTCTTCATGCTACTGCTAAGAAGCCGGCTGACCCGGTTGAATTTCTTGAGGTCCCAACGTGGTATCTTAACAACAACGTAGTCCAAGCTCGGCTCGAAGCAAGCGCTAGTTACTTTCGTCACGGAGTTCTTGATTTCGTTCAACGGGACACCCAGACCGAGCTTAGCAGCAATAAACGCAAGGGGATAACCCGTAGCTTTTGAAGCCAGTGCTGACGATCGTGACAGACGTGCATTGACCTATTTAAATGTTAGTATAATACATGTCATGTCGGTCAAGGTGTTGAACTAACCTCAATGATGCAGTACTCCTTTGAGGTCGGATTCAGAGCGTACTGAATATTGCACTCGCCAACAACACCAAGATGGCGAATGACGTTGATCGCAGTTGTTCGAAGCATGTTGTAGTCGGAATCAGACAGCGTTTGGGAGGGAGCAACCACAATGGAGTCTCCAGTGTGTATGCCGAGGGGATCAAAATTCTAGCATGGTACCATGAGATCATGCATGGGCGGTTCAGTGAAAAGTGATGCTTACCTCCATATTACAAACAGTTATGCAATTGTCGCGACAATCGCGGACGACTTCATACTCGATCTCTTTCCAACCTTTCATGCTCTTTTCTACGAGCACCTGAGGGCTAGTCGCAAATGCCTTTCTACATAGAGCGCGAAGCTGGGCTTCATCCTGGGCAAAGCCAGATCCCAAACCACCCAGAGCATATGCAGCACGAACAATGACCGGGAAGCCAATCTCGCGCGCTGCAGCTGCTGCTTCATCTGGAGTAGTAGCTGTGGCGGACTGAGCACAACGCTCCCCGATATCCTCCATCGCTTGGGCAAATAATTGCCTATCCTCTGTCGTGATGATAGTTTCGATGGGGGTACCAAGAACCTGTACTCCAAGAGCCGCAAACTCATCTTTGAGTTTGATGCCGACATTAAGGGCGGTCTGTCCACCAAATGTCACGTAGATGCCATCCGGTTTCTCGTACTTGATGATTTTGCGCACGAAATCGGGTGTCACCGGAAGGAAATATACCTTGTCCGCGAGACCCTTGGAGGTAGCGATGGTGGCGATGTTAGGGTTGACGAGAATGGTATAAATGCCTTCCTCCTTGAGCGCCTTGATAGCCTGCGAGCCTGAGTAATCAAACTCGCCTGCCTGCCCGATGGACAATCCACCGGAGCCAAGGATAAGAACCTTTTGGACATTGGCGCGAGGGAACGTTTGATCGTTATCTTCCTTGCGTCTGCCCGGAAATGATATGGGCACCAAGGTGTTTGTGTTGACACAATCCATAATAATCCGGATGAAGTCGTCGAAAAGAAATTCCGTATCACGAGGGCCAGGAGTAGATTCCGGATGGAATTGTACGGAGAAAAATGGTTTGTCTTTGCAGTAGATCCCTTCGTTACTACCGTCATTGGCATTGCGGAAAAGCTCTTTCCACCCCTGAGGGAGCGTACTTGTGTCGACTTGGAAACCATGGTTTTGAGACGTTATGTAGCACCTTCCAGACAGTGCGTGAGTGCATGGGATATTATGTCCGCGGTTGCCGTATTTCATTTTTGAGGTAGTAGCTCCCGCAGCAAGAGCGAGCAGTTGGTGCCCAAGGCAGATACCGAAGATAGGGCGGTCGCCTTTCTCAATTGCCTGAGCAATTCGCTTGACGGTGGGCATGATTGTCACAGGATCACCTGGACCGTTTGATATAAACAGTCCATCATATGGCTCGGCCTCGTTGATGAAGTCGTAATCCCAAGGAACAACCTTGAGCTCCACTCCACGCTCAGTGAAGCATCGAATTTGATTATACTTCATGCCCACATCTACAGCGACAACACGAAGAACACGTCCGTTCGGATGAAAACGAGGTTGGCCTCTAGGTTTAAAAAGTCGGGGAGCCGATAACGATACTGCAGCAACGAGATTATCAGAGTTGGGATCGTGCCACGGGACATCGATGTAGTCTTCCGAAGGTGGCGGAGAGGATGAACGTGAGACCGAGCGTGACTCCGCAATAAGAGGCTGCAAGCGGTGGGGAGGGGCATCTGACTTTCGCGCCAACACTCTGGCTAACATGGAACCTTTCTCCCGTATTTTCTTGGTGAGGGCGCGGGTGTCCACACCACAAATGGCAGGGATGTTATTTTCTTTCAACCAAGCTCCAAGTGAAGAATTTGCCAAAAAATGGCTATAGTCCTCAGTATATGAACCAACTACGAGGGCAGCAATATGAATGCGGGATGACTCGAACTCCGAAGGGAGATCAACGTCGTTTTTGGGGCGTTCGGGCACGCCGTAATTTCCGATCAACGGATAGGTGAGGACAAGGATCTGGCCTTCGTATGAAGGATCGGTGAAGGATTCTGTGTACCCGACCATACCTGCGACACAATAGATCAACAACATAACATTAGATGACGGAAGTAAACCCCACCAGTCTGAAAGACGCATTCGCCTGCAACACTTTTTTCTTCCGCCCCGAAGCTGATACCTCTAAACGCAGAGCCATCGTTGAGTTCCAAGACGGCCTCGTTAGAAGGCATGATATCATCGTCGTCATCATTCAATGGAGAGAACGTGGCCGGAGGAGCCGGAAAGCCAGAATTGCTCTGAGAGCGAGCGAAAACAGGTCGAAGGCTGTCTGCAGGCATCTTGTAAGAATGCGAACTGGATGTAGACAGTAAATGAGCGATAGATTTGGGTGATGAGAGATCTAAGCGAACTCTTCTTTTCCCTTCACCCAAAGACTTTAAAAGGGTGTTTCGGTGAAGAGAGAAGAAGAGAAGAAAAAGATGGAAAAGATTGCCTCGATCATCAAATGTTTGAATCCGAAACCCATATATGGTAAGCGGCCCAAATTAGGGCAGCGCCAGCACAAGCTGTTGCTTAATCTTTTTCAAGTTGAACGTTGACGTTGAGCTCTCGTGTTCTAACCGCGCTAGAGATCGGTAACACATACGGGGTAGCATGTAGGTTGAGTGTGGAATCACCCTTCCATGAACGATCGTGTGTGGATGTGACGGGGTTGTTTTTTTCAAAGTGCAGATATTTGATCATTGGTTTTAATGCAGCTATTCGTCATTGGATCACCATCGGCGGTGTGGCGACTACTCGCGCACTGACACACTGCACGCTGGATAGCCATGCGCATGAATGCTACAAGTCACACTCCACCTAATGATCGCGAATTAGCTTCCTTTCTTCTTCTGCAGCGGATTTATCCGAGTCTGCCATCTGCTGTCGGTCGGTAACTGCCACGCAGCTCATCCCAGCTGTGCCACATCTTGAAGCTCCCCGTGAGCGCGGGTGCTTCGGATGACTTCTGGCTAAATAGTGCCGACATCATCGTGGCGCACCCTATTCATGGGCATGATCTTCAGTGGCATCCGGACCCCTCGGAGTGGTCATCCTCTTAGCGACGTTATGTTGGTCTGACTCTGCTGGCATCTGCTTGTGCAAGAAGCACGGCGGCAGTAAGGGCGAGACAACACCGACGATACTTTCTATTAACCGATATACCAGGACCGCGAGTAATTCCTCCACCTGTCTTCGTGCCAAGATAGAAAACCCCATTTGCACTTCAGAAAATCAACGAGCCTTTTTGTGAGCGCTAGCCAGTATCAAGGATACTGGTTTATATTCGCTTGTTGCCGCTGAGGTCCCGTGCTACCCTCTGACGCTGCGAGCCTTTCAAAAACAACAAGTCGATCAAAGCTAGCCTAAATTATTAAACAAAGTGACTCGGACTGTACCATGATGACTCTGTCTGTGTCACGGCAATGGCGCAAATGAATGCAGTGAGCGCTGCTGAATATAATGGCTTCTATCTATGCTGATATCTGTGTCATGCGTGGCGATGACTTGTGTTGACTTTCGCGTCTCATCGACATTTCTGCACCATTACAGTGTGCTGCGTTCTCCAAAACGGGTTACTCAACTCAATTCTAGTCCCGTGCGTCTTCCTATGAGTGGCGACTAACATGTACACGATTCTTGGCATGTTACAGTTCTCTCTGGGAGCAATGCACGATCTATCCCCATGCATGACGCGTATTTGAAAAAGACATGGCGTATTCATTCTTAATGTCTACGACAATCGTGTGTAAAATACAGTCTCGAGTGGCCTCCTGACCATCGTGCGTATTGAGCACGTTTCTATTGATCGGCGAGAAGTCACTTCGTCTACTTTAGAACTGTTAACTTCCCGTACGACCTATCAAGGTTCTGGCAATCCAATGCACCAATCGAAGAGCGCTGTATTCATGTGCTCTCGTCGGCCTCTACTTCTATTACCGAAGAAAACGAAACATGGAGCAACGCTTCTGCAGATAACTTGTTCTCCGATCCTGACTGAAGAATTTCCCAAGATACCTCGTTATGTAAAGAACCTCCCTGCTCCGGAAAAATGATTTGCTCCAAGCGGCATGGATAGCAAGATCGCAGACTTGGTAGGAACAAACCAGGAGCATATCAAAGGTTTTGAGCGTGATAAAGGTATCAGGAATATCGATTACGATGAGTCCTTAAGTCCGTGGTACAATCGGTCATCCATTCGTTGCCATGTTTAAATCACGCAACGCACTGTTGCTTCCAACCATATGTGAAGGTCATTGAAAGAAATGCCAGTTCTCCCTCAAAGTCGATACGTTTTAGAGTTGAAGGATTCTAGGACCATCGAGTTCGTTGGCGTGGCTGAAACATGCGAAACGGCCTATGGCAGCCCATACACCATGGCGAGTCTGGATTTGTGAATAATTAGAACCGAGCGGATGTTAGTTGCAAAAAAAGGCTCTGAATCTTTAAGCTTGGTTACAGGGATAATATGAACAGGATCGGTCGGAACCTTGCCTCTGTGGAAGTAGCTGTCTTTGAAGTATAGAAAAGAAATTGTCTGCATCACAGCATGTAGTAAGAGCGCAACGACAACTATCACGAGCGAGGTCATGATTGAAATTAAGATACGGTACAATCCAGATGGTGAGATGACGACATCGGGGCACTCACACAAGCTTTTGCCGACCCCTCATCATTAGGGCTCTCTCAGCGCTTCCTGAAGGTATTCGAATGATGGCCTGGAAGGAGGGGTGAGACGCGAAGAGCCCGGATCTTCGCAAAATTTGGCTCCAAGTTGGCTATACACAGACATACTAGCTGCAATCATAATAGGCACACGGGGGAATAAGCGAGCCAGATAGAGGTTGGCAAGACTGAGAAGCACACAATCATCTGTGCAGTTCTTAATTTCGTCTGCAATGTTGTCACGTCCGGCGTCGGTTGTGACGTAGATCAACATAATCCGAGGATTCCAGTACATACGATGACCGGTATACTGAACTCAAGCATGTGAGGCCGAACCTGCAAACTCAACCATCAATGATATGCCTCATCAAATAGGTAAAATGAGGGGAAGAGTAGATTCCTGCTCTGGTCAGGTTGCGGTAACTTTTTGGGACAATTCGATTCCTAGCTGAATTTGGAAAAGGGGTTTCGACGGTCCGTGGACCTGACGGTGGGAACAGCTGACCTATATTGAACGAGAACAAGAGCCGACACTTTCATGGCATCTACCAAGTTACATCGATCACCAACCGATAAGGGTATGCTGCAGTTTCCGATGAAATGTATTGCTCCGGCGGTGTACGACAGAAAAGAAAAATGAGATGAACGCGATGCTGGCTAGGGTAGCGATAAAGTGAAATTAACAAAAGGGACGAGGCATCTGCCCAAGAGAACACCAATAGAGGAATACCTAAGTTTTGGTCGTGAAGGGAATACAGGTGACGTAGGAATCGTAACAGTGGGTCACCATGATTTTGATCTACGGCTCGTCATCAACTGGAGCTTCCTCCTCATACTCTGCCTCTTCCTCGACCGTTGCGTCTTGGTATTGTTGGTATTCAGCGATCAAGTCCTGCATGTTTGACTCGGCCTCGGTGAACTGAAGATAACATTCGATCAGATCAGCCAATCGCAAGATAGGAACCGCATGTACACACCTCCATTTCGTCCATACCTTCTTGCGTGTACCAATGCAAGAAGGCCTTGCGCTTGAACATAGCAGTGAAGTGGTCGCTGACACGCTTGAACAGTTCTTGGATAGCTGTTGAGTTACCCAAGAAGGTGACCGCCATCTTAACTCCGCGAGGAGGGATGTCACACTGTGCAGAAAGTACATTGTTAGGAATCCACTCCACGAAATACGCAGAGTTCTTGTTCTGAACGTTCTGCATTTGTTCCTCGACCTCCTTCATCGATACTTTACCGCGGAACACAGCGGCAACCTGAACGTAAGGGAGTATCAGCACAAGTTTCCTAGATACCCACTCATACATACGGTGAGGTAACGGCCATGTCTTGGGTCTGACGCAGCCATCATATTCTTTGCATCGAACATTTGTTGGGTAAGCTCGGGGACAGTAACAGCCCGGTATTGCTGACTGCCGCGGGCGGTCAATGGAGCAAATCCGGTCATGAAGAAATGGAGACGAGGGAAAGGAACTGCGGATGGATATATTAAGCAAGAGCAAGGAACATCGAAGACAGCGACAAACCCATGTTGACAGCAAGTTTACGCAGGTCAGAGTTGAGTTGACCAGGGAATCGCAAGCAAGTAGTGATACCGGACATGACAAAAGAAACGAGGTGGTTCAGGTCACCATAAGTAGGCGTAGAGAGCTTGAGCGTTCTGAAGCAAATGTCATAAAGGGCCTCGTTATCGATACAGAAAGTCTCGTCCGAGTTCTCTACAAGTTGGTGAACAGAGAGCGTTGCATTATAAGGCTATATGGTTGTGAACTTCAGAAACGCGTGGAACCTGGAGAAAGTAACTGACCTCAACAACCGTGTCCGAGACAGCGGGACTAGGCACGACAGAGTATGTGCACATCATCCGATCGGGGTACTCTTCTCTGATTTTGGACATCAAAAGTGTTCCCATACCAGCACCAGTTCCACCACCAAGTGAGTGGGTGATCTGGAAACCTGTACTCATGTTAATGGAAAGCGTGGTAAAACGAACAAAAATTACTTACCCTGTAGGCAATCAGTGCCCTCAGCCTCCTTGCGAACGACATCAAGGACGGAGTCGACCAACTCCGCACCCTCTGTGTAGTCTGTGTGTCGTCGAGACAAAGAGGTTGAAATCACGATTGGTTAGAGCGACACGGCAGAACACTTACGTCCTTTGGCCCAGTTGTTACCAGCACCACTCTGTCCAAAGATGAAGTTGTCGGGACGGAAGAGACCACCTAGAGGCCCCGAGCGGACAGAGTCCATGGTTCCTGGCTCAAGATCAACCAAAACTGCACGAGGAACGTATTTGTTTGACCCGATTTCATTGTAGTAAACCGAGATACGCTCGAGCTGCATATCATTGGTTCCCTTGTAGAGACCATCCCGCTCAATGCCATGCTCATCAGAAACCACCTCCCAGAACTTAGCACCTGCATATCAAATCACGATGAGATGAGAACATTGGACAGTCGCGCGAGTCTTGTAGTCGTACCAATTTGGTTACCGCACTAGTATCAAAGAAATGTTAACACGAACAGATTATAATGAAATTAGAAACGCTGAAACACACCTGGCCGGTCTGGATGTGGACGATTTCACGCATGCTGAAACGTGACAAGTTAGTGATAAATAAACACGAGATTGGTTGATTCAGAAAACGCGAAGATCGCGACAGACGCGCCCAAGCACGAACAGACGCGAACCCAATGACCTGAAAGATACAGATAGTATATAGACACGTACATTAGGGATTAGGGCAAAAGAATCGTTGAAAGGATGGACACAAATTGTGGTGCAGTCAAAAACGAGGCTTTGGAAAGTCGGGTCAAGGGTTGCCCGCTTATTTTTCAAGCGGCGACAAATTTCAGTGGCGGGCAGAGTGTGGCTTCAACACCACGTTTGACCACAAATTTTGCCTTGCCACGACTCAATCAGGATTTGGTTGATATGCTCGTGTTGCTGTAATCTTGTTGAGCCAAGTGAGGAGCACTTTGCATTGAGTGGTACGTTGGCCAGGTTGTAAGCTATTGTTGAATTATCGGCAGGCGAATTTAATGACGTATTTCAGTGCTATCAGTGTACGACATATAGCGTGCAGTGTGTCCATGCCATGATGCAGCAGCCTGCAGGTGTTGTACTTAAGAGCTGGCATAATTATGTATACCTTTTGAGGCAAGCTTCAAGCCATCTGGCCCTTAAGTCGGCGCGAATTTCAAGATTACGTCGTGCAGCTTTCTGATGCTCATCCGATGAGCCACTGATCCTGACACCCGATCCATCATGTAGAAAACGTGTCACCGAAAACACTCCACGAGGCCACTCTTCCTTCCCCATACGTAAGGAATCCAGGATGCCTGATCAGTATCACTTTTCCTATCAATCACCGAACTTTTGTGACTCTGTGAAGACAAGTTGTTTGATGCCACGAGCCTGCATTGAGGCTACATAGCACTGCGAACTTTTCATCAATTACCTGCGTCAGAGCAAATCGCAGCTCAATGAGTTCATAAAGATATTACAAGGAAGATGATCGAGTTCTCAGAATGCTCCTTTTCGGGAGCGACCTTAGTGTGAGGGACGATATGTCATTTCTTCTATATTCACAGCCACGAATTGTGATGTGCTTCGCTGACTGAGGGAAGCTCCTTAAAGAGAGTGATTCAAGCGTCGCTAGACACTGCCCTCGCCCACCATCAAATTCCAATTGCACGCTTGGAGAAGCTGTGGTTTAGCCAGGTCAGTGGCCCTGAGTCAAGGCTATGCCGGACTACGCTTTGCATATTGACTGACAGACGGCGACACTTCGTGATCCTGCTTTCTCCCCAGACATGAGTGGCTCCGCAACGCCAACCTCAGACACCATCTCTCCACGTTCGCAACGTTTTCGAGACTCTGTTCACAACATCCCGACACCCGGTACAGAAGTGCACCGGCCCAAGCGCTATGTCAGTACCTCGTTCCTTTGTTATAAAATGTCCCTTTAACAAGCATGAATGGGATCTAGGAGCCTATCGTTTTGAACATCTACATCGTTGGAAGCATTGCTCTACTCATGATATGTCTGGGTATTGCACTTGAAATAGCTCTGCACATATCAGATAGAAGCAATGGTACGCGCGCCTACCGCTTCCTCACAGTGCACCCGATGACACTTCTCTAGGCTTCTCAGTACCTGAGAAGAACATCATCACCTTCGTATCAACTCAATTCCTGACGGTAACGCCCACCATATGATCACCAATACATCTTTATTCATCAACTAGAGTAACAGTCATTTGTTCCGACCTTGCTGGTAGTCCCACTCGCGTATTTCTGGGCTGTAGCAGACTGGATGCTCAGATGGTACCAGGTTAGCACGACCGTCTACATCAGTTTGCCTTTCTTGCTTATTGCAAGGACCTTAGCCATATGTCACGCTATCCGAGGGCAAAGCACCTGCAGCACGCAGTATTCTACTAGACTATGTAAGCATTTCATAAGTTATGAAGAAAGGGATAATGACGGTGACCATCCCACAATAGATCGCACTCAAGTATGAATCAGTCACTCACAACATGCTGACGATCTAAGTTAACTTATTACCCAGTCGCCTAACCACCTTATACTATTCCCTCAAGCACCGGCACTGGTTAATCAATATATCAACACTCACTGCCTTTTCCGTCATCTTCATGCAGCCGCTAGCCGGATCCCTATTTCAAGTACAACAAGTATCCTACACAACAGGTAATGCTACTCAGCTAGTTCATTATTGCTGCCTGCTTAGACTGAACACGTTGATGTAAAGCTGCCACTGCAACAAGCGTTCGCAGCATCGGGCTTTCGCCTACTATCAATCAACTTACTTCATTTCTCGCTGCTGCAGGGGTAAGATTTTCCATATCGATCGCGATATTTTACTGACACATTAAACAGTATGCAGATGCTGCAGGTAGGGGCACCTGCTTTAACAACATGCGCTAGACTTAACTAGGTCAAACTTCTAGTGTACAGTAACCTTCAAGATCCACCATTCGTTCATGGTGCATGGTCTGCTGCTCCATTCACGGTATGCTGTCCGCCTATTTAGTATTACAATCATTCAAACATGTGTGCTCTACAGGCCCCTGCAGGCTCCATTTTGAATGGAACCCTAGCCGTAAACACTACTGCCGTTCAAACGCACGTCAACTGCATAAAACCAACTTCCTTCACGACTACCAATCTCACCAGCTCAGATTTTGTATTATCGGCTACCTTTTCGCCTACTTGTAACGCCAGTCTCAGTCTTAACCCTAACGATGGTCCCGACCAGTTCTCTGTGACAGCTGCGTCGACGTGCGCACCCTCGTATCAGGATCTAAATTTTCAACCTGTCTTTTTTTGGTATTATCATTTATCTGATAACGGAGACGCACTAGGGACCGCTGTTTTCTGCCAACCGAGCATCGCCATTTTTGTAGTCACAACTTCGATGGATCTCAATGATGGATCCATGGGAAACTGTACAATTGTAGAGCCCTTTGAGTATACCAACAACGTTACAGGTAGCCCTTTGAACGGCGAAGCATTCAATGGGTGAGTCTAATGCTCATTTTGCCGCCAACTGCCTTAACGAGTGTCTTCAGGGTCATGTTTGATGCGAGCAACAACTCGTACATTATCGCCAGGACTCTCGCCATCAACTCAGGTGTTCCAGGAGCTATATATCACTTCGCTTCGCAACAACCGGACGGTCCACAGTCCGTATTCGATGATCCTTATGGGTTCGTCAATGCCACAGAGAAGATCTATGTGAGGGGAACTATACCATTCGAAAAAATCAAGTGACCAAATGATTCTTTTTGTCGCATTCAGACACAATATCTTTCCATTGCCGCGCAAACCATATATTTCCTGCCAGACAATACGACAATCTCTGCCCAGCTGACATCAGATATCCAAGGTTGTTCGTCGAGTACGCATCACCCTTACCATAATTATCATCTCACCTCTGACAATCTGTACCTTCTCAGGACTCTACCAGCACAGCTACTTTCCATGTTATTCATTTGCATTGGAATTACATCCCTTATCGTTCACGTCTTGCACAAGCGCTCTCGCAGAAATCTTTGGTTGACTAGTCCACCTGGCTCGATCGCAGCCATCGTATCCCTCACATCGCGTTCTGGCTTCGGCGATCTCCTTCTGCCTTATGATGACGTATCACGCATGAAAAGCAACCTCGCCGGTCTCACCTTTCGTCTTGATAAACGAACAGGCGCCATAGTCGCAGAAGAGGACTTCGGCGTCGTTAATACCTCTGACAATACAGCGCTGTTGGGCAGTAAAGGGGAGTATAACGTGATGGTGGGGGTGGATAACCTCTCCCCGCTGTCGCGCACATCCTTCAAGGACAAGCTTGAACCTGAAAGTCCTTGATGGAAGCCTTTGCTTTGCATGCTCTCCTGCCTCCTATGTGGGCTGGTTTTGATACGCGTTGTACGCCATTTATTTGCCATTTACAGTTATGTTTGCCTGGACTATCCTTTGTTTAATTTGACCAACACCCCTTTCTCCACCTTGTTAAAAACATGTACATAGTTCGGCATCATAACGGTACTGTATCCTCGATCGTGAGTGTGATCTGGTCACAGACCAAAATATTAATGGATTCTCATGCCTCGAAAACTACCTCAGCAGATACCGCGGAGGTGTGAGGTTGTCAGGATTGTGCGCATAGGATTCACCTTAAATTTAGCACTCGCTGATCCTTCTGGCAATACGATTTATTGAATTAGAGTTCAGCAATGATGGGCCAAATAATTGGTACTTGACGCGTGAGGGCTGCTCCCTACATAGATCCGAGAGTACAACATAGCTTGAGATTGCACCCAAGTACTTTACAATATCTAGATACAACATTTGAATATATTTGGAGCTGAGTGGTGAAACCCCCAATCTTGGACCCATCCAAACCCTCTACACGAACGCATTGTAATCGACGATGACGCTTCTACAACGTATTGTCACAACAGATGTGCTATACATCGCGCTCCGTTGTCCATTTCATATTATAGGATGCTCGATAGCAAAAGTCAGCTATCCACGCAAGTAAGAGGAACGACAAACTTAGTAGGAATGCCCAATATCACTTCTACCAATCGTCATCGGACCAGTCATCCTCTTGGGCAGTCGTTCCGCCAGTATTTCTCATCGATGGGGGTGCATAGTCATTTGGGTCGACGTCCTCGTCTGCACCGACCTTCACTGGATCTATGGTTGGCGAAGGAGGTTGGATTGGGTGCGCTAAGCGGTCCATCCATTGCTCGTCTATTGCACGTCCCTCTATCATCGAAATCCACATGTTCAAGAGCAAGCTAGATAGTGCATGAATGAAATCTGTTGAAAGGCGGTCATGTGAGCTGGACACCTACTGGCATTCATTGCCTGCACAAGGGAGACGTGGGTTTGCTGGTATGTTCATGCGTTGCGCTGTCGCCTGCACGCTAGGGCCAGTTTGATCAACCCGCATCAAAGTCCTGACCATTTTCTGCACGTTTACGATACATCCAGCTGGGAGGGGAATAGCACCATCTTGTTGTGACGATCTCAGTTTCTTGTGATCTTCTTTGATGCGTACGGATGACGATGATTGGCCCTCTTGATCCACAGGAAAGGGTTTGACATCGTTGTCGGGTTCGTATTTCCAGCGTCGTTCATAGCCACGTGAGGAATGAGACGCGTCAGTGTTCGAGCGTCGCGGGGAAGGTGATCTGGAGGACCTTCGGCGCGATAGTTTCTGTATGTGTGATTCAGATCAATCTCTGGTGATGCGAAGAGACGTGTTACCTGGGGTCGACCACGCTGGAACAGCTCAGCGACGGAGGTAAATGACCCAACATCAATTCCAGAACGTGCAAGTACTCCGCGCACCATCTCCTCGTCGTGAACAAGTAATACAAGCGGAACATTGGCAGCGTCATGTGTGAAAAGCCTTTGTATATCCGAGTAAAGAATATCTACCGTGCCCTCTTGGTTGGTGGTCCCATGCTCAAAAGGCTGAGAAAAATCGTCAGATAACATACACGGATGTATGTAAACAGCGGTACCGCGTTCTGTTCCTCGTTTTTTAGTGCGAGTCCTTTCATCTTTATGTGTACAGTTTCTGTTACTCGTCTAGATTCCAAGTATTCTGGCATCATCACATCTGTCCATCCGACATCGATGATATTGGGATTGTCGAAACGTTCGGAACGTCTATCCTTGTGCCACGTGTTTACGACTATCGAGATCACTCTGACTGCGCTAGCCCATGGCGGATTGATTAACCCAAGGGCTCCTGGAGTGGCGCTGTTCGTAAACAACCGATATAGGACTCTTTGAAACGGTCAGTCACCAATCAAATCTGTAGCATGACCCCATCAAACCTTTGGTTCTCAAAGTCTGCCCGTGGATTGCCAGGAGCGCCCCTCTCCCCAAGTTGAAAAAACCCTCGGTTGGCAGGGCTGTTGTCCCACTTGTCCTTTTTGTTCTTTTGGGATTTCACCTTGTAGGTCTTGAGCTTGTCCTGAAGGTCACCCCTTGTAACAAAATAAATCGGGGACAGCGAGGCGAATTCGTCCGCTTGCCACGGTCTCCTAGGAGAAGGCCGCAAGTGGTGCTTCCGGACGAATGCCCACATTTGATGAGATGTCATGAGGACGTATGAAGCACCATTATGCAGGATTCCTGTAGTGTGCAATATGAGTCGACGTGCGACGCGAAAATTCAGAATATGCTAGTACCTAAGACCAACTCGATAGGTGCGCCAGGACCTCCAGGCCTGAGTTCGGGACCGTCATAATTCGCAATAGCATCTATCGTTGGTTTGTCGTCGTACATCTGAAACCTGGAGAACCGTTGGGTGAACGCAATTGTTCAACGCGAGGTGCTCACCATCCATCAGAATGAGCTCGGAAGCCACCAATCTGATAGTAATATGTTTCTGGCTCCATGCATATATATATGTATTGCAATCTATGACAAGCCAATGATGAGGTGACGGGTCGACAGATAATTCAAATATACCTTGTCCTTGAACTTCGAGGGTCTGTGCACGGTGGGAATTTACAGGGCGTGCTGAGCGCTTGCAACCTTCGAAGTTCCAACCAGGATAGAAGATCTTCGATTTGAAAACATGGGCATAAATACTACTAGCACAAAGGGATCGATCAACAAAGTCACCAAAGAGTTACTATAGAATCACGTGATGCACACTCCTGAACCTACTAGCCCCTGTAGGTTGTTCTTTCTTCAATCTTTCTTCGCACCGTTTTCATTGCTCATTCTATTATTGAGCAGTCCAGTATGTCAACACAGGACATATACATTGTTTTTCGTAGCGTATAAAAACTATTTTCATCGTCACTATCTCCAGCCGGCATCAAGGGCATATGTGGAGTAGGTTAAACCTCACGCAGATGGTGGCTTTTCTTTCAATTCTTCGTCATGTCCTATCCTGCTGCTTGAGCTCGTCTCTGGAGGTTTAATCGTCGTGTTTAGCGATTCAGAATGCAACAAGCCTTCCTCAAGTGCGGAGTCCGGCTCTCTGAGGCTAATTGCCTCAGGTCCCTTCGGTGATCCCTTCTTTGAAACCTGGTAGAAGTATTTGAAATCAAAACAGAGATCTCAAAAAACGACAACGCACAATAACGTATATAGCCGATGTCATGATGATAGCGGCTCCGATGAGCGATAGCGTCGAAGGAACTGTGCCGAAGAATACGTATTCCAGGACACCAGCGAATAAGAGCTGTACATATTGACCCATAGAACCGCGTGCTGCAGTCTCGAGTTGATAACCGATCGTAGTCAAAGTCTTTAAACAACTTTAAGCGGGCAAAGTCAAGTGTAATGACAACAACCTGCCTGCGCGAAAAAACCCGAAAATCCGATGAATATCAGCATTGCAGCCCATTTCCAGTTGTGAGGGTAAACAATTGGAATCTTCATAAAGTACATTCTGCACGCCGATCAGAGCGCGAGCTACAAGACAAGACAATGGAGCTCACGCAGCAGAGGAGACGACTGTACACCATGCAGAAAAAAATATCATAAGATGCATCGGATGAGCGCGTTTGCCTATCGCACGCATTGACAACACTGCAACACACTTGTTATGAAGTGGCTCTCATAGGCAACGACGACGTACAGGCTCCAGTCCCTAAGACAATTCCAAAAACAGCGACACTTTGGAGAAGGAGAAGGTTGAATCAAAAACACTTTGAGGAGAATAGCACCTTACCAGACAGCTCGTATCCTGTCTATCGCAGTGGCTCTAGAAGCTGCATCACTGCTGTCTGAATTTACACTGGAAGTATTACCGAACAAAAACGGCGGTCGAGCAATTAAAATGACGCCAAGCAAGCTCACAACTAGAGGAATGAACGTCAATGGGCGTGAATAAGTGTCGAAAGGATACTAAGAAAGGATGATTGCACGGACTGCCTGCAAATGCTTCATGCTTCGAATAAGGCTCCTTTAAGACGATGTATCCACCTATTGCTGCTGACAGCGGTGCAAGAAAACTCAACACCGTCGCATCTGCCAATGAAAGGTACTGCAGGGAATAGTACATCCCGAACAAGCCGAAGAAACTTGAAGGAAGTTCAGCAACTGCGTTATAATGACTATATATATTCTCCAAGTTAGAACTCACCCGCACAAGCCTCTGTTCACCAGCAACAGCCTCACGCCTTTGGGACCAAGGAAAGGATCTGGAATCTTCATTGCAACCCTTTCAAAACATATGAGGGCGGACACAACCGTTACATGAATGACGCACATGTATAATACACAACATGCCAGGGTAATACCCTAAAAAGATTCGGACGGCTTAATCAAGATTTGTATATGCCAGGAAATATTGAAATACCAACCATACGAACTGCAATGAGCTATGAAACTTTAAGCCTGGGTTTTAAGATATGTACAAGCGAACATACTTCAAGGGTGTGCATAGGCACATCGAGGCTGTCCAGCTGCTTGACGCCGAGGTTCATGCATACGAAGAAGAATTGCGCCACTATGATCAACAGCATCCCCAGATTCGTCTCGACGAAGGTGATTACACGAGAAGTTATCCCTCGCCATCGTGCCTGCAAATTCTCAAACCATCTAGACTGAGAGCCAAAAATCCGACGTCGCTGTGTTAGGCCAGAAGATGTTAGATCGATATCATCCCAGTGAGCTTCGTCCTCCGTTGGGCTCTGGGACAGGGCGACGTAGGCGTTTGTCGTGCTCATTTACAGTCACTGCGTTCAACTGGATGAAATGGGCGGAATTGAATGTATCGGCCTAGAGCTGGAGTGACGCGTGGGTTCGAAGTGATATCGATCTCAGCCAGGGTCATCTCGAGCGTGCCCCAATCCCAATATACATCGCATGCTGACTGAGAGGCACACAATTTTAGTGGACGGTACAATAATAAAAACCAGCTGATCATCGGAAAGTTCTCACTGCTCAACGTGGCCAGTGAGAGCATTCAAGTTATTATGTTTCGAGATAGGTGACCTGTGGCATATTAACCAAGTCGATGTTTAAGGAAGCCTCTCAGAGCTAACCAGGGTCTGTCGCTTACCAGCAATTGTCACACAGGCGCTTTTTCAGTCAAGAAGTTGAACTCGGCAAGTACTCGGGACTCCGAACAAGGTCTTGTTACATCGTGGTGTGAATCTGGGAAAGGCATCAAATACACTCCGAACTAGTGGTAAGGTTTAAGTTTAGGCCTGTCACAGGTGGGTGACAGGGGTTTTTCGTCAAAGTCTGCTAAACGTCGGCTAGACGTTAGATGGTGGAAAGATTCTGACAATCAACGTTAATCAACACCCACTCACGGTAATTTGAACGCGTATGTGGGTCCTCAACTTCCCCTATGCATTACCGAGGTAACGGGGGCCTTGGTCTATTCTTAAGTGCTGACTGGACTGTCTCTAGTAATGATGAGACTAGATCTCCTTGCAGATTGTTACTGGTGCCGCGTTTAGTAGATTTACTGGGTGAAGCCCGGTTGCATGTAAGTCACGTGTCAGAAGCCGTTAATCAATGACAGTGTATGGCCACTCACGACGAGACAAGCAAATTCTCAGAACAGGCTATAACGATGGGCAGAGCCAATAACTGACAGTAGGAACAACATAACCCCGAATATTATATGTTCAAGCACTACAGCAAAATCCACACCTTGTCGATTTACAACAGAATGTTGAAGGCAACCATCCTGCTACATAGCAAACAATCAACACGACACGTGAAGTGTAGGGATGTATCTGCAAACCTCGGAGATGCCACAATGGTGCACCACAACAAACAGAGTGTCATTAGATGCGTCAGATGAGCGCGCTTCCGCACGAATTGAGGTGTCCGTGGAAACCCAGTGAAGTAGTCATTACCATGAGGTCAATCACAATGCATACGTGCTCCAGTGACTGTGAGCACACCGAACATAAAATGGTAAATTGAGTGGCACCCAATAGCCACTGGTCTTTGTGCCGGGGTCGATTCTGGCAAGTAGTATCCTTCAGGGATGATAGCTGGGAAGCGGGCGCGCGACGAGGTCAACACCAAGTAAAATGCAAACTAATGACGCCTCCGTAAGTGGTCGCAGACAAGAGAAGTAAGAGTATATATCTCACCTCCCGCGATAGCTTGAGTGACGGAGTAACCTTCCTTGAGAGGATGCGCTGTCGTAAGAGGTACCAAGAAAGTGAGGGCTGTTGAAAGACCAATACAGCCCACATATTCCGAAAAACACGAGCGGCAAGGTTATCATCAAGAAACTGAGAATGTATGTGTAGATCAAATACGCACCCAGTGAGTCTACCAATGACCGAGCGGCACTAAGCAATAAAAAAAATTACGGAGATCATCAAACAAAAGTTATGGAAGGCTGTCGACAGACAACACACGCGGCGAGGGATACGGACTTTGAAGATTGTTGAGGGACCACACTTACCGCGCGATAAAGAAAAAGGATACAGGTGACGATGTATGCCACATGACGGGGGCAGAGAGAACAAGTACCAGAGTAGAGGCAGATGATGTGGTCAATCTCAGTTGTGAATGCCGTGATGGTGTTCATGCTTTTGTCCAGAGGTAGATGAGCGAATGGAGTAAACTCAAAGTCATAACAGAGTACTACAAGCTCTCATACTAGGGAACAATAACAGACTTTATATAGACCTGTAAAAGTTCATAAGTGCGCCTTGAAAGGGACAGGAATCCAATGTTACGCTGTACTGTCAGCGGTACTGTCGGGGGTAGGTTCTCGCTTTGTCAACTGATAATGAGATGAGTAAAGGAGTCATGTAACGGAACAGGATGGTCACCCACGACGACACAGAGAGCAGAAGACATGATGATAGTGGCACCGAGAACCGACAACAAAGACGGCACAACTCCAAAGATCAGGCGTTCAAGCACCACAGCAAAAAGCATCTGGACATACACTCCAGTGGAACCGCGCGATACAGTTTCTCGCTGCAACCCCAACGTCAAGAGAGTCTGGAAGGTAGTGAATTACCGGTGGATAATGACGGAGGGTCACTGGTAACTGACCTGCGCCACGAAGCCAAAGACACCAACCATGAGCAAAAGAAGTGACCATTGCCATGATCTAGGATATACGACAGGAATATTGAAGATGACCATCCTGTTACATAGCAAATGATTAATGTGACACGCAAATGTGCAGGGATAAATTTGCGAACCCCAAAGATGCCATGACGGTGCACCACAAGGAAAAGAATGTCATTACATGCATCGGATGAGCTCGCTTCCCAATTGCGCGAATCGAAGTATCTGTGAAATCATTGAAGCAGTCATTACCGTGAGAAGGTCAATAACAATGCGTACATGCTCCAGTGGCTCCAACAACGCCAATCATAGATGCCCTGCCGAACATCAAATGATAAAATGGGGGGATCGAGGTACAAAAAACGACGCTCACCCAACAGCCATCAGCCTTTGCATCGGGGTTGCTTCCTGCAAGTAGTATCTGTCGGGAATAACGGCTGGCATGGAATTGAATAGAAATGGGGGGCGAGCGATGAGGACAACACCAAGTAAACTGAAAACTAGTGACGCCTCTAAGTATCCATCGACGAGAGAAGTCGGAACATGACTCTCACCTCCCGCGACGCCTTGAGTGACAGAGTAACCCTCCTTAAGGAGGAGGCATCCAGCAACCGCAGTTGCAAGAGGTGTCAAGAAAGTTAGGACTGTCGCATCTGCGACAGATAGATACTGAAGCGACAGATACAGCCCACATAATCCGAGAAACCTAAGCGATAAGATGATCACCAAAATTCAAGCGGTCGTGCGTGCAGATTAATGCGCACCCACTGATCCCACGAATTATTAATAGTGTTCGAACACCTTTAGGGCCAATGATCGGATCAGAGACCCCCGTGACAATCCTTCGTGCCGTCAGTCGCAGCGCATTATCTGAAGGAGTAGCCAACATACATGTATATCACACAACATATCAACGTGATGCCCTGTGGACGAATCGATATTCAAATGAATGCAGTTTGTAAAAACTCTTTGACGCACCATTCTAACTACAATAACCTGTTATATTGAGATTCACTCCGTTCGGAGAATAAAAATAAAGAAACGGCTAACTTCAAGCGCATGCACCGGAGGCTCCAAGCTGTTTAGCATCTTCACCGATAGATTCATGGAAGCGAAAAAAAACTGGGAAGATATAATGTATAGCATCCCAGCGTTATTGGCGACAAAACCTGGAACATTGGGCCGTCTACCGATTGCTCCACCATCTTGAGACGTGCCAGAAGTGGATTGTGTCGAACCATAGTTGTGTCCTACGGTGTGAGTGAGAGGAGACTCGCTGTTGCTCATCTTCGAGATTTATCTTCGCCGGGTTCAGCCTGAGAATGTTGCACTAATAACTAGTGGTGTGTGCTGAGCTGAGCCTGTGTGACCGCCTTTTCACAACTTAAGGTACAAGTCAACATACCGAGCCGCCGACGTAATTAAGTCGGAATACAAATTTAAGCTATCGGCGGCATATCGGACCTTCTTCAAGAGTCACTATCACAATGCACATGACGTTTCCGCCCGAGTATTTTTAGTTTAAGAGGAGCCTTTGATGAAAGTGGCCTCGGATTGGGTACTGGGCAGGAGTCCATGAACTTAGGTTGTGGCACTGCCAGTGGTGCTGTCTGGCGTGGATTCTTGCTTGATCAACTAATAGTGAAATTTGAATGAGCAAAGGAGTCGTGCAAGAAAGGCCAGCGATGACTAGTACTACCATGGCATAGAGGATGACGGTAGCGCCGAGTACTGATGGCAAAGACGGTATAACTCCGAAGAATAGCCGGTCAAGCACCACAGCAAAAAAAATACTTTTAATACATTCCAGTAACGCCACGCAACAGTTTCTCGCTGCAGCTCTATTGTCAAAAGAGTCTGGAATAATGAATTAGAAGTGGATACCACTAGACAGATGCAGGGTCACTGCTAGTAGTACAGTATTGACCTGCGTCATGAAGCCAGCGCCACGAGCCCATGGTGTGGAATATACAATCGGAATATTGCAGACACTCGTACTGTTACAAATGAATAGTTAGTTAGCACAAAAATATGAAATGCAGGGATTTATTTGCGCACCCCAGAGATGCTACATTGGTGTACCACAAAGAAACGAATGCCATCACATGCATTGGGTGCATGCGCTTTCCGATTGCACGAATCGTGCATATGTCAAAATCATTAACGCGACAATACCATGAAAGGTCAATTACAATGCGTACAAGTGTTTCCAAGCACACTGATCATCTCTGATCATACATGCCCTATTAAAAACAGAATGGTGAGTTGAGTAGAGCAAATAAGGTTGCTCACTCAACCGCCACCAGCTTTTGCACTGATGCTCCTTATAGTACATGGCGTCCGTCAAGGATACCAAAGAGAATCGATGACCTGGAAATGAGGATAACCTGCAAACTAGGAAATCATAAGCAATCATATATCATAAAAGGTAGAACACCACTCTTACACTCTGCGACAGTATGCTTGACAGGGTGGCTCTCCTTCAAGAGGATGCATTGAGCAACTGCTGTCATGACAGACAATTGCTGAAGCGACCAATACTGGCCACGTAATTCGAAGAAACTGGGTTATGAAAAAATCATCGAACAAAATATGAGGTCTTGAACCTGGGTCAAAATTCAGTACTCGATGATACCATAAACGACCAGTAGCATTTGAACACCTTTGGCCAGATATCGGATTAAGGATCGTCACGATAATACCTCGAGTGGGGGCCGCCGCCGTCGCCAGCTGTAGGTCGTTGTTTGAAAGGCAACTGACAGACATATATAACACGCAGCAGGTAAAGGTGATACCGTTACACCAGTCAAAATTGGACTCCAATTCACAGAAACTATGTGAAAGACCATCCTGGCCACTATAACCTACCATATAGTGTCATACTGGGGTGAGTCAGTCGGATCGATGAAGTAGCTCTCCTTCAACAGGATGGATCCAACCACCGCTGTCATAAGAGGTGTTAAGAAAAGCAGGACTGTCGCATCTGCGACAGCCAAGTATTGAAGTGACCAATACATGCCATATAACCCGAAAAACCTTGACCATGGAAAGATCATTGGAAAATCAAGGTCGTGCGCGTAGATCGGTACGCACCCACTGGTGCCACGAAGTACTAGTAACGCCCGAACAGCTTTTGAGCCAGCTACTGGATCAGGGATTCGCATGATAGTCTTTCGTGTCATCAGTTGTAGGCCGTTGTTTGTACAGGGCATGTATACCACGCAACAAATGAACGTGATGGTCTGGGACCGATCAATGTCTAATTCGAGCCAGGAAACTGTGACATACCATCCTAATTGTAATGACCTGTGGTACTAGGTTCAATCCATCCGACAACCAGAGGTAGGGAAACAGCTAACCTGAAACGTGTGCATTCGAGGCTCCAAGCCGTTCAGTATCTTAACCGCACTATACACGCAAACGTAGAAAAACTGGGCGGAGACGATAAATAACATCCCAATGTTATCAGCAGTGATGCCTGTGACACTAGGTCGACCATCGTCCGCTATTACCCCGTCAAACGGGCGTAAGTACGTAGGATACGTTGCGTTGTCATTGGGAGAAGACTCGCTATCGCTCATCTTCGACGTTGATGGGTTGGTAGATTTGGAACGTTGCACTAGCCAGCGTGGGTACACCAGCCAGCAGGGACCCAGTGCCTCGATGGCATGGTTGTGACCTTTGCATATAAATGTGTGACAAAGTGCGTGATATATAAGGCACAAAAAGGGTACAGGTATCCTAACTGCATCATACGCAGTTGTTGAATGTACAACTGCTGGGGTATTTGTAGAAAGTGCAAGACTCAGAAGCATCAATGTGGCCTCGCAGTGGGTAGGAACCCACAATTTTATTTTTGGGTATTGTCAGCGGTACTGTCTTGGTGAGGTTTCTGCTTTTTCATCTGGTGGGTGAAATTCATAGTTTGGCAACAACAAACGAGCACAGTGACCACTTACGACGACATAGAGAGCAGAGGACATGATGATGACGGCACCGAGAACTGACAATAGAGACGGTACAACTCCGAAGAGCAGGCGTTCGAGCACTACAGCGAAAAACACCTGGGCATACATTCCAGTGACACCACGCGACACAGTTTCTCGCTGTAGTCCCATCGTCAAAAGAGTCTAAAATCATAGTGAACTGCCAGTAAGTAGATGCAGAATGACTGTACGCACCTGCGCCGCAAAGCCGAAGACACCGACTATGAACAGAAGAAGTACCCACATCCATGATGTAGGATATACAACGGGAATATCGAAAACAACCATCCTGTTACAAATAATGAATTGACACGTAAAATGCAGGGATACATTGACACACCCCAAAGATGATATAATTGTGGACCATAATGAAAAGAATGTCATTACATGCATCGGGTGAGCGCGCTTCCCAATTGCGCGGATCGAGGTATCTGTACAAACCATTAAAGCGGCCATTACCATGAGAAGGTCAATCACAATACGTACATGCTCCAGTATTTCCGAGCACGCTGACCATACACGCCCTGCCAAAAATAGATAAATTGTGGGTTGAGCGGGACAGAGTACGCGTAATGGTACCCACCCAACACCCGCCAGCCTTTGCGCAGGAGCCGTGTCTGGGAGTCCTTGAGGAATAGCATCCAAGGAACCAAACAGGAATGCGGGTCTGCCTATGAGGACAACACCGAGTAAACTAAAAACTGGGGATTTGAATTCTCCATAAGTAATCATAAACTATCAGAGGCAGATTATAACTCTCACCTCCCGCGACAGCTTGCTTGACGGAGTAACTTTCCTTCAAAAACACAGATCCAGCCACCGCCGTCGTAAGAGGTGTTAAAAAAACCAAGACCGTCGCATCCGCGACAGACAAGTACTGGAGCGACCAGTACATGCCAGATAGCCCAAAAAACCTGGGAAACAGATCGTTGACAAGTTTGAGGCCGTGCGAATAGATCAGCACCTACCCAGTGATACTACGAAAGAACAGCATCATTCGAACACCTTTAGGGCCAATTATCGGATCAGGGATCCCCATGACAGTCCTTCGTGTCATCAGTTTTAAATCGTTGTCTGGGAAAGCAATTGACAAACATGTATATCTCGCAGCATACAAAAGTGATGCCCTGAGACTAATCAATAAACGCTCGAGTCGAGGACTCTGTGACGCACCATCCTGATCACAATAATCTGTTTACATTCAAGTTAGTTTTACTCCATATTCGATCACCAAAGATGGAAACAGCTAACCTGAAGTGTGTGTACCGGAGGCTCCAAGCCGTTCAGTAACTTCACTGAGATATCCATGGAAGCGAAGAAAAACTGGGAGTATATGATCAATAACATCCCAGCATTTCTGGCGGTGAAGCTGAGTGATTCGTTCGCGATTGCTCCATCATCTTGACATGTTTGCATCGAGCCATAGTTTTCTATGTCGTCACCGTGAATGAGTGGGGACTTGGGCCTGCTCATCTTCGACGTTCGTTGGGTAGAGGGTTGGTACACCCAATGAGTTGGTAATTCAACGGCCGGATGGGTTAAGAAGTTTCATGCGGTCTAGGACCTGCATAATAGTAATACATACTATACATAAGGTAATCGAAGCTGGCGGTTGATCGATCAATCACACATGTGGATTAACTGGCCCGAACATTTAACCATCGAACGTCCAGCGAATCGGCATGAACTGCATCCTGTGGTCCCCTTGTAGGAGCATTGGCATTACTCGTGTTAGTTCAAGCACATGACAAGACTTTGAAACAGTGTATATACCTTTAGGCGGTGCTAAATGCCAATCGATTCGGAGTCGAAGCCAGTTGCCAGCAGTAACCGAGTCACGCGTCGTACTTTTATGTCTTACGAAGAAGTCGACGCGCTTAACTTAGCTTTTCCCAGGCTAGCGCGGCCCGGATCACTTAGTGCAGTCTTACTATGGTCTGGTACTTTGTCTAGTACATATGCTAGAGTTGTGCTAGAGTCAACCAAGCTACTTGGTTGACCCATGATCTAGGCCTCTGTGCAAATAATATGACTATCCGGAGACTTGCATTCTTTCGATAGGCTGACGGTTGAATACAAGCTCCCGGCTGGGCACCTCGTGCGTGGTAAGATTAGTATGTTGATATAAATTAGGCAAATGACATTTTATGTATACATTAGCCAGTGGCAGTCAGTGTCTAGTCATAGGTGCGCGCACATTGCAAGATTCTGCATTTTTCAATCCGACTTTGAATTTACTGCTAGGTAGAGCTTATGCGGGCATCATAGGAAATGAACCGGCGGAGGCTTATGTTTTGGATGATGATGCCAATAAGATACGAGCAGTACAATCCTCTACATCGACGTTGAATAACTTGATGACGGCATGTCCGGCGGAGTTGTCAGGGGTGGTAATGGAGTATGAGTTTGGCGGAGGAAAAGCGGGCTTTGGTGGAGAACGACGATGGTAGCCATACGAGAACGTAGGGGCGCCAAAAGCGCATCTTCAATCACCGAAGAAGGACGAGGGCAGCAAAAGTGATGGACGAGTGGAGTTTGGTACGGTGGAGGGCGCATGCACTGATGAAACTTGACTTGGGAGTTAGATGAGCACAGATGGCGGGTATTCTGGAAGCAAAGAGGTTGGTGATGAACAACCCGAGTTGTACTAGTAGGGGTTGAGTTGGGTGACGCCTTTCATGTTAACAAATGATTCATCGTCGTTGTTCACGTTGGCATCAGCGAGCGCTAGCCAAGAGGTTTTTGTCGCCGCTGTTCCTGCTATCAGACGTAAATTTGCAACTGACAAGGTTTCGAGGTACCAGTCCTGTCATTAGGTTCTTACGTTACGCTCCACATACCTTGTTCTTCAAGTTGTCAACTTATCTGGAAGCCGAAGTACTTCGGAAGGTAACAGGGGACTCATCACTCATAACCTAGGTGGGGATGTCGTGTCGTACTTCGGCGTCAATCCGACACTTTTCTGAACACAAATGGAAGTAAGCAGGGTGAGCGCACTATACCGCCAATATAAGCCAATATATACCACCATCAGAAGTTAAACTGGGCGTAGCTTCGCCGCCACTTACGAGTGACGGACTCATCACGTGATACGTAATGCGGGCCAGACCTAAAAAGTGAACGGGGAACATTAAATCAGACTCTAGAGGACTTCTGACAATCAGATAACAAATCAAAGTATGTACCCTCGATCATCGTTCCAAACCCAGAATCGTCAAAGTCCACGACTACCAGACACATATCTCAATAGCAGAAGTGTCGTAAGTCCGCGGAGTCAAATACGGCGCTCGTAGCAGGGTCAAAGGTATGTGGTGGAACTGACTTACATAGAGTACACTTCTAGGCTGCAGGCGTCCCGTGTCAATCTCGGAAAGAATGTGATTACAACAAGAATATAGACAAGTCTGCGAAATTATGCCGGAAGTTACTTACTCATTTGATAAGGACGATGTAAGGAGGCGCGTGTATCAGACCTCCAGGGAGCCTGGAACAACGTGTGGGCGACCACCACGATGGCTCAACACTTAGGATGAAACGCGCCTTGAACTTTGATAGGGTGACCGGCAGATATCGTCATGCATCATTTGGGGGCCTCCATGCTTGAGAGGGCATGCCCAAACGATTTTCCGGCTCATCAGAAATGTGAAAATCGATGTCAAACAACATCAAGATGTGGCATGTCTGTGGGTAAGTAGATGGTCTCGCGCTGTCGGAAGCCGATTGCAGTTATTGTGGTACAACAGAGAAATCTGAGTGATGGTGGCGTTGAAGTCACATGCACGAAGAATACGATAGGAAGCATTTCCCGATAGAGTTGTGCTCCCCCGATCAAGACGCAACATATTCTTCAGGAAAAACAATGAAACGGTCATAGGCGCCAAAAGATGCAATCATAATCAAGCCTATTGGCCTTTCTATGAGGGAGGATTACAAGAACGAGAGTGCGTGGAGCTCGGAGCAGCTAGCAGTAGAGCCTCGTACTGTCTTAGATCAAGAAAAGTGTCGAAATCCACGAAATAGTAGTTAAACTCCGAGGTAAACGAGGGTAAACGGTGTGGCTCCCCGCCCAGGGAACAAGGAGCCATCTAGGTCGAAGCCTCGCGTTGTACAGCGATTGCGACCAAAATCGATAGATAGCGTGTTGAATGCGGAGCAAAGAAGGTCGAGAGCATGAAATGATATCTGTATCTCCGCTGAGCGAGAAGACCCGTCGCGCAAGTTCCCATCAGGCTCAATAGTTGCAAGGAATCTTCATTCGAAGTTCTGTCAAATCAGGGTGAACTAACACTGGGACCTACGGGATGACTTGCAGCCTCTTGTAGCTTGGTGGCAAAATTGATCTGGGCACGAGGCAAAGTCTAAACATGGATCGAGATGCAATAAACTCTCCGGCACCCCGGAATGTTCTCCGCAGTATAATCTCGGAGGAAGCACCGTATGCAATTATACGCGTGGTCCGAGCACGATGTATGATATGGTGATCCGGTGAGAAAATACAGTTTGATTCGCGGGATTGTGGAACATTGTGAGAATGTTCGGAGCTGCGCAGGAGTGGAGCCGGTGGGGAGTATAGCAGGTCACCGGAGGCTAAGGCTGAGCACAGTGGCTGGGCGGGAAGACTCGACATCCCGCAGTGGCACAGATTACATAACCGGGTGACCCCGGCAGATCTGTACAATCAGACGCCAAGTTGATCTCGAAGGCGGGGCCTTGGTTCGAGGCCTGTATCTTGGACCGCATTACCCAAATTTATCCCCAAATGATTCTGAATCAAGGATACCGCCTCCTCAATCGCGGATACATCCAGCCAAAGTGAGCTTTTCGGTCGACTTTATTGTTTTAGATATAGATTCCAGTCGCACGTCTGATTCGAAGACGACAAAAAATACCTTCGGTCTCATGGTGAATATCGTGGCTCTAGTCGTTGCACAGGTGTCAGAATGGGAACGTGCCATCCGAGACAAGCGGCAGCCAAGTACGTTCCATACAGTGTTGCATCACTTGTAGTACAAGGACAGTATCCGACCTGCAGGACATTAAAATAACGTTGTTTAGCTGACTTGGTGTCAATCACGGTTGATAGCGGACTGGCAGAGAATGGCGACGATGTTTGCGTGTCCAGCGGAGCCTTGGCTTTGTTTGCCGTTAATTGAGTAGCACCTCAAGCTTCAAAATCTCTGTTGTCCAGTTGATGATGCGGCTCCTCGGATACTTCTGTCGTAGGTAATATCCAAGAGCGGCCACTTCTTAGATCTCGAAGTCAAAGATGCGTTGCGGTGACGAGTGTTCAACATGGCGATCCTTCAGGATGGGTGGTATTCTTCGCAACCGCAAACGAAAATAGTAGACACAAGCCGGACAGTGAGAAGCAGGTGATATATACAATCAACAGCTACATAGGATCAATAGACTAGTAAGCAAGGCGGGCCAGTGCCTGCTGATTGTGTTCGATTAGAGCGGATCACTCCAAAAGCGGTCTGATTGAAATGGAGGGAAATAGGGACCAGTGGATTCCTGGAGATTTGGTGGATGGTAAACATATAATCAATGTTCCGTGGAGCATATGGACATTCGGGCATGAATTCCACACTATACTAGTATCTTCAATACCTCCAACACTCGAATTGGTCTCGGTCGGTGCCGCAGAGGTGATAGCGTTGACCCCTACGGTTGGTTCACAACGAGATCCGTGCATGATCCGCTGCAATTTATGAACAACTGGGAATAAACTTGAAGGACCAGGGCGCAATTGGTGTAGCTTAGGACAGATAGAAGGGAGTGCTTACGAGAGGTGGAGCCTTGTGCATAAGACATGATGTTATGTCGTACGAGAATATGCTTGACAAACATTCCGACCCTGTTCAACACATGATCTGCCCTTTATGCGACAGAGCGCGCAAAAGTGTAACCAAGTTAAGATAAAGATTAGTAACATTAATTACATCTGGGTGCCTTTGTGTGGGCGCGTTTACGGTCGTAGAATGTGACAATTTGAAAGTGTTATGCCTCGCGACCGAGAAGGTAAAAACGCCGTTCTGCATGTTACTACTATGCAGCTGTCCCGTAGCCTTTTCTGTTGAGAGATTTCTGGCTCTGGAGTAATTCTGGCGCTGTGCTTTGTATGTGCAGTGAGGGTGGAGACTCATAAAATTGTGTCTAGAGTTGGATGCGAGCAAGAGACATAAGTGCTAGTGATGCACAGCAAGGGTTGAAGCTTCGAAGACGCTGATCGCCGTATAAAAAGCTAAGGAACCTCATTGGTGGCTCTCTGCCGCGCTCGTGGGTAGAGAGAAGAACTTGATGCTCTGGGTAGGCAATAAATAGAAACACTGTCATTGGTTGATGCCAAAAGAGATTATTAAGGTTCATTGACGTTAACGTTCACTCTTCGAGGATGGATTCTCAGGATCAGAATTCAGAGGATGTGTGTGGGCTCCAAGAACCTTGTACTGAGAGTACCGAATCGAGCAAGTGGAGGACTAGATACTGCAGCAGTCCAGACAAAATGGAGGGACAGGTCCTGAAGGCCTCGTGTAGTAACAGATAGTAGGAGTCGCCAACGACTCGGATTAATGTCATGATCAAATTATCGTAACACCCCCCGCGAGAGTGCGAGTTGACGATGTTCCTTGATACAATAATTTGTCACATATTCTGAATCAGCGGTACATATAATATTATGAAAAATATGAATCGATGGCAGTACTTACGGTGTTCAAGTATCAGTGCATTATAGTCGAAAGGAGCGGATAAACTTTGGTCGCGAGGCAGGGCTGAGTCGGCGGCAATAGGCGCCGGTAGTGGTAAAAGGGCCGGGTGGCAGTGTATTATGCCGAAATGCCGAGATTCTCGATTTTTTATGTAATTGAGCATAATATGATCCATGGCTGGATTCAAGCTAAATAGGCTTAAGGCTAGAGATAGTCCGTCCGATATATAGCACCCTCTCTTCCTCCACATCATCAATTCGAATTCGAGACTCATCTCATTCTGTAGCCGCCGTCTACAGTAGTATACATATCTTACTCCAGCTTCCGTAGCTATGGTCACTACCTCCCAACCTATCGCCTTCCAGTCTCCTAATCACCCTGATTTCCACATGGCATCTGGTTCATCCACTGGTAATAACAGTGCAATGCCTTACTTTCTAGGCTCCCCAATATCATGGCGTGCTGGTTCATTCGGAAGCCGCTTCTACCCTGGTTGTTCCCCTGGTCAACTTCTAGGACCACTGGAGTCAGTTCATGCTTCATTTACACGTGTCATTGTGCTGATACAGTCTGTGTAGTCCTAATGAATTCAAATGTGCCAAGTTGTCGTCATCTATTGACAGCGACCGTGGTTCAATTCTCAATGCTCTCGGTGCCTTCGACAGGGACGATGAATTGGTGAGTCCGTGACTTTCGCATCTTGTGCCAACCTCTCATGGTTCTACTATTGCAGTGTCGCAACTACACATGCTGTGGTCTACAGCTAGATGACCTACATGCTCTCCTACAGCATTTCGAGGAGATCCACGTTGTCGTGCTTGACCCGTTCAGTCACCCTCAGTTCCCAGTCGTCCCTCCTTTACCTCAGTCTATTCATAACGCAACTCCCTCTTACTTCTCAGACCATCATCAGCACCCTTCGTCTTACCACCAAGGTGGCTTCGACCCAGATGACATGGAACTTGATGTCGATCAGGGTAGTACGCCTTCGTCAAACGCACCAACACCCCCTGACACCCCCCTTACCACCCCACTGTCGTCACATCCTAGTCATTCGTTTAACCACTTTGGTCAATCGAAACCTGCCTCTCCGCATCTTCCCGTGTCGGCATTTGATACGACAACCGTACTCCCTTCCCGCTCCGTTCACGGCTCGGCATTCCCACCCTCTCGAAACGGTCTCCCAAATGTGGCAAATGCCCCCGATGCGTTTAATGGTTACGCGGGCTACTCCGACTACTCATCCTCAATGCCTGGCACTGTTCCTTCCCCACCTGCCAGCGATGATCTTCATGCACCTATCACACCTGTCAGTGAACCGGGTAGTCCCTACGGCTGCCTTCCTCCTGCCGTAGTATTCTCCACAAGCAATACTCCTGCCAACACTCCGTCAGCCTCTCGTGTTCCGTCTCCAGCAAGCGCCTCGCACCACCCCGCGCCCTCCGCGGCCATGCCTCAACCGTCAGATTCCCCTGCTTCTTTCCCGTCACAGCAAGCCAATCAGCGTGCCAGTACCACGCTCTCTCGCCCTGCATCATCATTGCTATTATCCAAGCCCTTCCGTTGTCCTAAGCCTAATTGCAACAAGAGTTACAAGCAAGCTAATGGGCTCAAATATCACATGACCCACGGCAGCTGTAACTTTGCACCGCCTAAGGACCTCGAGCAAGTACAGGCACTATTGGCTAGCAAGCGGTCTGCCCGCGAGGCCGCCGGGCAGGAAGATCAGGGTATCACCGAAGGCGAGATGCGCGAAGTCGAACGGGAAGCAGAACGCAGGCTTCGGCCATTTGCTTGTGGTGTCAGTGATTGTCAGCGCCGATACAAGAACATGAACGGTTTGCGGTACCACTATCAGCATTCGGGTGACCACGGTGCAATTGGCTTAGCTCTCCTGGCCAGTGGACAACACGAATGTTTACAGCATGCTCATGGACGAAGTAGCAGTGCAAGCTCACGGCATTCAACGCCAGCAACGAGTGGACACTCGACGCCAGTGAGCGGACACTCAACACCGTCATATGCTCAACAATATCAGCAACAAATGCTTTACTCCTCCGCACAGCAGCAGTACTTGCGCCAGCAGCAGCAGGCCCTGCATGCGCAAGTGCATATGGGCTATCATGCTGGCTCTGCCGAAGGTGTCCCTATCGTTGCCCAACACTGATTAGACTGGCGCTCGTTCAAAATGCAGGTCCGAAAGGACGGTGCGGTTTTTGAACGTAGACTAGATGTAATTTATAGGCCTCATCATCACATCCCTGGTCACTCCTCGGCGCTTTCTGGGCCGACCTTGGCCGCTCGCCATCTCGATATACGACGCAAAAGTAAAAATTATACATATTGGTCGACTATTGTGATATATCCCATCTTTTGCTTCTCCGCTCTGCTTTACTTTGCTCTTCCGTGTGTTTCTCCTCCACTGGCCTTCAACATATCCCAGGTCGACGCCCATCGCTTCTCAGATTCGTTTGTTTGCCGGTTCTCGTTCTTTTTTCTTTGGCGTCTGGCTTATAATACTGCGTCTCTCTTCTTTGTTGGTTGTTCCCCAACTGCGCAGAGCATAGCAGCTTTGTACGTTTCCTAAAAGCCAGGAGTCTGTACTATTATGCAGGCTGGCATCTCTTTTGTAATTTTACTCTGCAGGTCCATCTCTCGTACTTGTATTGCGTATACTTACATTAGCTAACTACATACACAGTATCACTACCTATTTCATGTGCAGTGGATTTTGTGTGGAAATGCGAGTCTCGGAATACTTTGAAAGTTTGAAACGTTCAAGTCAAAGGTGCACATGGTGCCACGTGCTGATCGGCGTCCAAATTCCAGTTGTGTCACAATGTTTGGACAATCCCGACTCCCCGCAGATCTGATCGACAGGTTTCACCAAAGTCAAGTCCTGCTGCCCCTTTGCATTTGCAATTGGTGTTTGCTATGATTTTCATTGACGTGTGACACGGGCGAAGGAGGGTCCTCTAGCTCAAGGTTTGGAGTGCGTGACGTCGCAGCGATCACTGATGGATCGTTTGTAGTCTAGGAACAGGATAGCGCACTTGCACGAAAAGGGGATGAAGAGTCTAGCTTGGGGGGAAAATTTTTCCCTCCAAGAGTCTGTTTGTCGTCTACCAAGGCCTTGGCGAGGGTCGATGCGCAGAAACGAGCAGCCTGGTACCCGTACGAATTTGATCAGAGACGAAGTTGGGTGAGAGGCAAGTTAACTCTATATCTTCATCCTGTCTTTGGTCTGCCTGCGAGAGACTAGCAAAGAACACAGGGAGATAGCTGCGGAAGCATTTTGCATGGTGCTGAACGTCCGTTATCGTGGCAGGACCTTGATGACCGATCGGTTGTTTCTACGATAACGGACAGCCATGAAAAGCAGACCTTATACGGAGTTCCAACCCTGGCCTACCTGTCTTGCTTCGATAGGGCCATCTAAGGGAGGCTAGAAACGGGTGTGCACACAGGAAGGTCTCCATCACCGTCAGCTTATTGAGGTTGTGGTCCCGCGAAAGGGTCGTTCATATGGTCCCCCTTTTCTCGCAGTCCATCTGTCTGGATAAATTGGTATTCCAGCTGCGCAAATGTGTGGTTGGCTCGAGTGTCTTCGAGGAGCTAGCGAAAAAGCCGGGGCCTGAGAACGCGTGATTGATATGCTCGTCGAGAATATATGAGCGGGAGTCTGAAAGGCGTAGGCGGAATCGTATCTAGAGACGGTAGATTTCATAGATATTCAGCACTGTTCTAATTCTCCGTATTTTTTGGTTCGTGTCGCAGAAGCCAATGTATATTGCGTTGAAGGAATCTGTATTGCTGAGGGGAAGGTTGTTGCGGAAATACCGACAAAAGATACATTCTGTAGCCCGCGTTTTGCCTGCGTCATGGCAAAAATATAGCAGCAATCGCTCAAGCACGAAGAGAAACACCATTTGGAAACAATCGCCTGACACCCAGTTGAATCTACGGTTCTAAAATGCGTCAGACTGGGGAAGGTAGTCGGGTTTCGGCTGGGGGAAAGGCTTCGTAAAAATATATCAAATCCTGACTTGTAAGTCTCCCTTATGTCTTCCTCATCACAAGGGTATTTCATCACGAGAGATTCCAACTTACTACTTGAGTCACAGCGCTCGAGGGCACGTAGGCTTGCCCTTTAATGTCATAGTCATAATCCACGGAACTAATTGTAATACCAATGCAAAGTTTCTTCAAGCAAGGGTAACACCCGACGAATCTGACGACCTCGGATAGTGAAATCCACAGTGACATATGTGCCGCGCCAGACATGCTCCCATATGTCTCGTTGAGGAGCAACACCTCAATATAGGACCATGCTTCTCCGATTTCTTCCAGGTCGCCTCGCCAATGCTGAGACGGGATATCGTACCGATGTCCGCAACCCGAAAGTGACTGTGGTAGAAGAGTGGACGTATGGTGTCCGAGTCAATGGTGATGACTGTACCGTTCAGAACTAACAATCGGAGGATTTGGATACACGTATGCACTGGAGGTTCCTGAAAGCATGGAGGGAGTCAAAAATTATCTGCAGCAGGCTTGGATCAAACTTGACCTCAGATCGAAGTGGCACCGAGGTGAGTTTATGAAGCCATAGATGTGTGAAGACTTCGACGCCGTCAAAGCTACCAAAGAGAATTGGGCCGCGGGATAAGTCAAGGATATCTTCAAGATCACTGCCGGTGGGCAGACGCGTCTTGATGCTGGTAGATGACGAGAGTCCACCCAGATACAAACAAGTCAGGGCATCATTTGTGATGGCCGGCACGACAACTACGCGCAGCTTCGGCATTTTTGGATAGCACACGAGACTGGCAGAGCTAAAGGCGCGTCCCGCAGGCCAGGTCGAGAGGAGAAGTCGAGATCGAAGTCAAGATCGAAGTCGAAGTCGGAGTTTTCAAGGGATGGACAAGTTGTAGGCAACGACCGTAAGATCACTGAACGAAATCCTCTGCAGAAAGCCCAAGTCCAGCTAGCAAGGGGCGGAACAGGTGAACTAAGTGACATGTAGCACGTAAATCTCGTAGGTTTGTCATCAGGACCATCGAGTATGCTCGGGTTTGTAGGAAGGATTGGACAGGGCGCGACCATTACGAACGAGACATGAAAAAAATCGGACGTACTACGCATGAGGGGTTCAACGCCTATGAGAGTGTCCCAGAGAGGGCGGACATCCAATACTTGTCCTATAACGCGCGACACGATAATGCAAGGGCGAACAAGGTTGGTCCCGAAGATGTAACATATCTCGCTTGCCAGCGGGTAACACGTTTGTTGACAATGGGATAGCTCATGATGACTATTGCACCGCCAATACATCACAAGGCATGACAACTCTCATGTACAGGGAGGGGACAATTCCATTACCCACACTTTGCTTGCAGCTTTGCATCATGGTGTCATGGCAGGTGAGATAAGATAACTTGGACAACGATTCGAGCCCCGGTCACTGTCACCAAAGTAAATCCTTTGAATTATGTTATGTTTACCATGTACTGAGTACTGTAGTGTGCTGCGGGATCTACTAGGCATATAAAGATTCAAACCAGTCAACAGAGATGAATTGGCAACGGCATTTCGCCCGAGGGAAAAGCTTCTTTACAAGCATGTTTAACCTCGAGTAATGAGAAGTCAATACGTGTTCCTCAGCACGGGATCTCAATGTGAGATGTTCTAAAGTATTTGAGGCACGAGACTCGAGGTCATGTAAGTTGTCAAAGCCAAAGTCTTCGTTCACGTCATTGAGTGTAAAATTAATACCAAGTTTCGTCAAGTGAGGACACAACTTGACGAATCTGACGACTCCAGCCAATGTAACCGCCGGTGGCTTGGGATCATGACACCCATATGTCTCGTTGAGGAGTAAAACCTCAAGACAAGGCCAGGCTTTTGCCATTTCCTTCAGGTCATCTTCATTCAAGCTGATAGAGGACCCTGTATCGAATTCCACAACCCGTAAGGCTCTGAGGTAGAAGAGCGGCCGTATGGTGTCAATCGTAATGACGATCTCGACGAATTGAAAGAGACCGGTGGATAGGGAGGGGGAGAATTCGGATAAGCGTATGCATTGCAGGTTTCTGAAAGCCTCGCGCGTATGAAGCGAGTCAAAAAGTACCTGCAGTAGGCCTGGGTTGAACTTGACCTCAGATCGAAGTGACATCGTGATGATATTACGAGGCCATAGACACGTGAACGTTTCGACGTCTTGCCATTCTGCGATCTTCCAGTCAACACTTTCAAGATTCTCGAAGAGAATGTGACTGCGGGATGAGCCAAAGACATATTCTAGATCACTACATGTGGGCAAATGCGTCTTGATACTGGTAAATGATGAGAGTCCGCCCAGATAGGTCAGGGCATCCTTGGTTATAGCCGGCACATTGACTGTGCGCAGTTTCTGCATATTTTGGATTGCATACGAGACCGGCAAAGCTAAAGGCGCGTCCCATGGGTCAAGTCGAGAGGAGAAGTCGAGATTGAAGTCGAAGCTTTCAAGGGATGGACAAGTGGTAGGCAATGACCGTAAGATTGTGTGCAACGAAATCCTCTGCCAAAAGTCCAAATCCCGTCTATAGTTGACTGAGGTAGATACGTTGATGGAAAGATGCTGTAGACGCGGGCCAAGCAAGGGGCGGAGCAGGTGGACTAAGTCGCACGTGACACGTAAATCTCGTAGGTTTGGCATTAGGACCTTCGAGGAGTAGGCTAGGATTTGTAAAAAGGATTGGACAGGGTGAGGCCAATCATGAAAAGACATTTTCAAAAATCGGACGCGATTTGCATAGCGACAAATGATGGCTAGCTGAGACTCTGTTGGAATCTAAGCATCCATAAGTAACTATGCATTTATTCGCCGAAACAAAACGAAAACTAACGACATGATCATCTCCAAGCGTTGTGTTTGGTGATACAATGATCCCACCGCATTTCATGAGTGGAATAATGCTTTCAACCGATTCCCAGAGAGCATCCAGTGCTTGCTCCGAAAACGTGCGACATGTTAGTGCAAGGGCATACAGGGTATTCCTTGAAAATGCAGGAGGATTCTTTGTGTGAACGTATATATCGTCTGCGCTGATGTAGCTTATGATGTTAGAGAAAATTTCGGACACAAAAAGAGCGCGAGACATCGACTCCGAGTTGTTGACAGTCGACAGGGGCTTCGCTGGCGCTGAGACTGTGGTGATGCAGTGATCGTGAAAGGGCGCTTCGCTTGAGAGCATCTTCAGGGTGTGTGCAATCCACAGGATGAAAAGATACTACTAGGTAAAGACTCGGATCTCAATATTTATTCAATCAGAGGAATCGTAGGTCCGGCCCTGTTACCCTTCCGGAGTACTTCGGCACCCAAAGCTCCCGAAGACAATGTACGTGCGTTACCTCACTTACAGCAGAGGTTAAGACCTCCAGCACCGCTCGGTAAGCTTATATTTTCTACCCGCGCATAAGGTTAAGCACCTTGGCACTGCACGTCTACTACTGCCCACCACGCCCGACCTGCAATCTCCTGCCGCCTACCACACCTAACCTCCAACCTGCGCCCTCCCGCGTCATGCGCTAGCCCCTCATGAAGCCTCGCGCTGCCTCGAAGCCTCGAAACCTCACGTTGACTCCAACCGTCACGGTAGTCTCCCGAGGCTGTTCCGCCATTTCGTGCTTTCACTTAGTCACTCAGCATCAGGAGAATGATGGAGTGCTTATTTAGCCTTATTGTACTTAGTGTGCATGATCAGCATAACACGGAACTTGATTTAGGGAACACGAGTAAATTTGATCACTCTAACTAAGGAAGGTAACACAGGATCATCAGGATACATTTATTTCCAAGCAAAAAAATAAGAGATACTCTCTATGTTTGCTTTAAAGCTCGTCCAATTTCAATACTGGCGTTGGCGAGCACCAGAAAGTTGTCCTGTTCGTGGTCAAGAGGTTTCCACCACGTGCCGCTGTTCTCACTGCTCGGGTAAGTCTGGTAAATTTGCAGCTCATGAGGTCTTGATTACGTTCTTCGTTATGCCTTTTCGGGAGCTTTGAGCCGAAGTTTTCGGAAGGGTAATAAGGCATTCAAATCACTCCAATTGCCGGGAGTAGCGGAGGAGTATGTGTCACCTATGATACTAAGGATACGTACTAAAGCGATACAAACAGGCTCCGTGAGGCGCATACATACCACCATACCGTGTCAGCACAGACCAGCGGAAAGCCTTACTGTGGCCGCTTGTAGAGTCTGTCCTCAATCGAGGGCTGACGATGCAATGATTGATGGTTGGAGGATTGCAAGCTGATGTCAAACAACAATCGCTCGCTCCAAGATCATGAATGTCATCAATAAAGCAGGAAAGGAACATTGGGATATATCGTACTGGTATCATGATCAAAAGTTTCAAAGATACATTTCTACAGCAACCCACAGCACTAGGTCATCTTCACCGCCCGCCAGAATGACGCGTACCTGCACAAACATCCGCGCATGATTAGCGATCCTTCGCAGCCAAATTCGAAGTCAAAAACGTACATGTTGACACGGTCTAGTGGAACCTCCGGCCCCTTCCTGATACCCAAAGCAGTGACAGTAAAACCTTTGCGCTCAAATCTGACGCAATACTACATCAGCCTTCACAGGGCCCAGCACATTCTCAAAAAAAAACGCACACGTCACAGTACCATGGTTTCCTAGCTGCAGAGCGCCAGAGAACGAAACCACCAGGTGAGAGCACACGATAAAACTGGTCAACCTCATCATCCACATCCTTGGACCCTGGTGAAAACCAGTCGAGGTGATCCATAATAACGGCTCGAGTGAGAGACCAAGAAGTCAACCCTCGTAGGACGCTGAAGAGTTTCATCAGACCAGTTACACTTCATAGTACTAACAGTGCTTACTTATATATCGAATCAGTGTGCAATCTAAACGCATTGGTAGCTTCGCCATTGTTGGCTTTGAGAGCCTGAAATCCGGACCGGGTCAGATATTCAGGGCAGGAGGATGGTGTGTAATGTCCAAGAAGCGTCTGATAGTATCCTGTGAGCGCAAGAAGAAAAAACTCAAAAATCCTCAACTTACCAATGGGTAGAAGTACGCGCCATCCTTGAAGGAATACGTCGATGGTAAAGGGTTTAGGGTATCTCTTACGAACTCATACATTGACCCTTCGTCCAGGACCATACGGCGCTGGTTGAGGGGCACTCCCAGTGCGTTCCAGCAAAATATCGGGCTCTTGAGCAAGGCAATGACGACGGGGTTCAAGAGGACAGGTTTCAGCTTCTCGCGCCAGATCTGATCCTGCCGAGTTACACTGCCCGCATTGCACAAAGCTTCCACATCTTTCGATACCCCAGCGATTGAAAAGATGACTCTGGCGAGGCGCAGTGCCCAGCCGCTATATCCTTTCAAGTAGAAGGCTTTGGAGAAAGCATTGTCGTTGATGTGCCAGAATTGATAGGCAATAGAAGAGAGAAAGGGGGCAATCTTGGAGTCGAGGAGCGCACGGAATTTGGGATGATGCCCATCACCGAACATGGAAAAGAAGTCTTCATACTCGAGGGCTTGTACGGCTGCGAGTTTCAACTCTAGCAAATGACCTTGACTGTATGGCAACAAGTCAGTCGAGCCGCATGATGGAAGGTAGCTGGTCATACCAGGGGTTCATATCCACGCAATGAATCTTTACAGTAAATGTTAGCACACAAATAACGATGCTTCATCGATCCACATACTCTCTTGGGCTGCGCTGCTATGGCGTAATGCAAAGCATTGTCACCTGCTGATGTGATTACCAGCATCGAGTCTTCGGGACCAAGATTGAGATACTTCATATCCACATCAGGATCCTCCTAACATACTGTTTAGTGCCCGGGAGCGGGGATTTAATGAGAAAACAACAGACCCATGTGAAAGAATATATGAACGTTCTGAACGCTTGGTGTATAGCCTGCTCATAGTACGGAAGCCTCCAAGGCTAGCCCATGATCAGTTTTATCGCGAATTTCGTAATGTATTGGCTCACCTTTCCCAAATGATAGTGGAAGGAGCTCAAAGGCGGTTTCACAGTGATAAGTGCATCTGCGTGGGAAGCCTGCGTCTTCAGAACAGGTTCCCCAATCTCAATTGGTGGAATAGTTTCTGAATCCTTGATAGTCGTAAAAGATGCCGGCGAACAATTGCCAAGCATGTTGCCCCCTTCGACTTCAAAGGCATGGCAGAAACGAGATACATCGCACGAACGTGAGCGACCAAGCCAGATGTAGTAGGGACTATGAAATATTAGTGAGGACAATTGCAGATAAGAGTTTGATGATACTGACATGCGGACGATGAATGGGATAACGAAGCGATTTCTGCCGTTGTAAGTCTTGACCTGCATACATAGTTAATGTCATTAATGCTAGAGCTATTTGGTAAACGTACCGTGCCGAACTTGTATTCCAGATAGTCTCGACGATGTGGTGACAATGAAACATGGTCGAAGTCAAACCAGATCTGCCAGAACCACCTACTAAGCCAACCACATTCCTTGCTCGTGCCTCCGATGGCCTTCTCGTGCAAAGACGGTTGCTTTCCAGAAGTGTAAAAATCGACAACAGACAAAAGACCGTTCTCTGGGGAAAGAACGTAGTCGATACGATCTAAAAGAGCATAGAAGTTGGGTATCTAAATTTAGATTGTTAGTTCGTTCTTCCAGAAACCGATGATCTTAAACTTACCATTGAGAGGGAATAGCTGAGCGTTACGAAGCTTACGCTCCCTTTCGGGTCACTCTGCGCCCATTCTGGAAGGGTAAATTCGGTTGCATCTTGACACAGTACTGTGATGTTTGTCCATCCCCGCTTGGCAAATCGCTCCCTGGCAACTTGGAGAAGGGGTTCACAAAGATCGATGAGATAAATAGCATCGAAGGAGGACACCGGAAAGTGTCTATCCATAAGCTCGACATTATGGCCTAATTGGCATTCAGGAGAGAATGATCCAGCCAGCAAGTAGGCGCGTACCTGTTCCTCCCCCTATATCAACCCAGATCAGTTTCTGCTTGGGGTTTTTGGCGGGCATAGTCCGGATATGACTGGCTGAAAGGTTGAGCATGGTATTCCGACCTCGTAGAAGACCACTTCGGGTTGCATCATAAACATCCGCCTGGCCTTTGTAAAACTGCGGATGTCATGGGTGATCTATAACATGTATTAAAACAATTTTACGGACATTGTCCAATCTTGTTCGCTGATCGCTTGCGTGAAGAGGGCGGATAAAACAATGCCATATGAATTTGAGTTGGGGGCGAAGGGCGCTACCGAGGGCAAGGACAAATACTGTCAGCGAGCAACCGAGTAAGATGAAGGCGGCGATGGTTGAAGATCCGGTCCAGTATGTGATGGCTTCGCTGGCATATCTGGCACATCGTCAGCTGCAATTCGATGTATAGAATACGTGCCAATCACTGACCTTCGTTCGATATAGACTACAAGGGCGCTACCGATCAACAGGAGAGCACGAGAGACCGTAGCCATTGATGATCATCCCAAAAGATTTGACCCATCTTCTTATTCTCCCTTTTTAATGGCACGCGTGCTGAAGTGCGGGCCACTATCTGCCACTATGCAGGACGAATGTGGGATTGTCAAGAAGATGAAAAGGAAAGAACCTTGTTTCTCGAGAGAGGTGAACCAATGGGGCCTCAGTTACACAGGGCACGACTGGCGCGCGTCGACGAACGTGCATTTACGATTGACGTGCGGAGATAACGGCCCATCTCGGACTCTCGGTTCCAGGATTAACGCAAGAGATACGCCGAAGAGTCACTAACGCAGTTAATGAACGTTGAACGTGAACCGACACTTTGGCACAGTGAATAGGATGAACGTTGAGCGCTGAGTCAGTGTCGAGCGAACGTTCAAACGTCGTTGGAACTCTTGTCGATCACCCGCTATAGGTCTGAGTCTCTGACGATAGACCACGACAAAATCGTAAGCATACCCCAGCATGTACCGCCAGAAAGGTTATAAATATACATGCAAGGTGGCATATATAAGTATACTACTCGTATGAATCCCTGTAATATCAGTACGATCATCCAGTCAAGGGGCAGACATATCTGAGACGGGTTTAACTGTATGATCACGAAAACTAAGATATATTAATAATGTAGACCCAGATAAGCAATTAGCCAGTGAAATTCTTGTCCAGGAACGAGGTGGTATCGAATCAAATTTGCTAAATGCTGTACAATCATGAAGCAGCAGCCTGAAGTTCCGAACTGCTACCGTGCGACAGCCGCCGATACCGAGTGCGAGGCAAAAGTTGACCCAACAGCCACGGTCCTCAGCAGTTCGAGTCTCAGACTGCGTCTGGGTATGTTGTGGCATGCCGGATACCGAGTGTGGCTGCCCTGCAGAAGATGTCTGATCCGCCTGAGGATTAGTGTCGGCGTTCTTCTTCTGCGACAGAGGGGGACGTGCGACGTAAATCCTCTAGAGATGCGGTTATGTGTGTGGAGACAAGACATGCAATCTACTGCTCACTTTTTTTGATTTTACAGTGGAGACTGTGACCGGCATTGGTCCTGTGTGCCACGCGAAGAAACTGCGTTTCAAGTTGCGACGTTGATGCAGCGGAATAGCTTGGTTTACTGACGAGCGAGGTCGAGAGGGCATGAATATCCTCCAGCAAGCCGAAGACAGGCTCCGTCGTACGACTGCAATCGCGTTCGATGACCGGCCAGCTGCGTCCAGTAACCATGACCCACCGGCAGGTGAGATCACGGTTCGGGGAGACTAGTGGAGCAGGAAGCTTCAGGCCTCGAGTCTCGTGGCCTTAAGCATATCGAGACCCTTAAGAAACCCACTCACAAGGGACCCTTTTTCGGTCGTTTCCGAACCGAACAGCGTCTCCGTGCAGATACGATGCTGCTCGTCATTTCCGTATGCATATAAACCTTTAGCTTAAGCGCCTAATGCCCCACATCGGTGTCCGCTTACACATATGATCGCAATCTTTTTCGGCCTTACTGGGGCGGTCCCTCGCTTGACGGGAATGGTAGTCGCGACCGATTTTGTCTCATCTTCAGCGCTCAAGCGCTATATGTGGGGGATAATGGGATGATCGATAGGGAAACTGGGGGGCTTGATGTGGGAGGGAATATCTACGATAAAGAGGCCCAAACTTCATTGCACGTGCAAGACTTGAAGATCAAATTATCTGATCCATCGTGTCAGCCTCAGAAAGGGCGCATGGCAGTCGACGATAACATGATTACTATATCATATAAGCTCCACCCGCATCTGTTACCTCTTGATGTTTCTCACTGCTATTGCATATTCATCAAAGTATGATGAACTCCACATCGATCTCGAGAATCTTATGGAAGGCTCTGAGCCTGCATCAAATAGGTAGATGTTTGTATCATCGCACCATGCCGCTACATGCTACTGGTTCTTAGCATGTGGTGAGGTCCCAGCAGCTCGATCACCTGCGTACTCTTTTTTTACAAGTTACGGTCAGGTGCGTATGGATTCTGATCTATCAACTGAACTTGAAGTGATCAGGCTTCCTAAGGCCAGTCAGCTTGGTATTTGTTTGGCTAGCACCCCCTGCCACTCCCAGCCATTAATCACATTGCACGGCACCGAACAGCTTGTAAGCGTGTTCATCCTCTATCGACCTTGCACCTTGCTCACCGGAGCAATTGTAGCCCTGTTATTAGGGCGCGAGTCTGTTCATTCATTATCCGACAACCTCGCGCCTCACTAAAATCATCGCTGACCCATTGACAGACTGTGAATGGTTTGATCCACCAAGTCAATGTCAGACTTCAGTGCTGACTAATAGCATCGCCCATCCGTACACGGCCCTCGTGATGCTGTCCGGCGCGACCCTCGGGATGATGAGTCCAACGAACAAACCGGGCATGAGAATATTGGAAAAGGTCACCAAGGGTACAACAAGTCTCTATCAAGCAGTGGTCGGGGGTTTGACCAAATAAATACTATATTGGATTCAGCGCTGATCACTATAGCTAGTACGAGTCGGATCCCGCTTTCCATACAAACGAAAGTATTGCGGCTCGTATATTTGCAATTTACTAGCTGACTCATATCGTCCGAAATATCTCCTCCTAGGTATAGTCGACGACTTACGCACCTGCACGGCGGCTGCGACCATTACACCGGCATTTCGACTCACGCGTGACCACGCTTCGTGGAAGTATTTTCTACAGATGAGAAGTACTTGACCGACAACCTGGACCACATCCAGACGATCCTCATCAGCAGACATCCAAATGGCGATTATGCTTATCCTTTCGACAGTCCCCAGATCAGCAGACATGCGAATTGGGTCACGGTAGACTGAACGTACACACGACGTTCTCCAGAACTTCCATTCTTCAGGGACGAAGTTCGACCTCTGATTCGCGAATCATGACACAGCCGCGCAGGACTCGACTGCAAAAATGATTCTATGCACGGAAGTGCCTTCCAACAATGGCGGGTGGGAGTTCGACGACTCACATATCTAAACGCATAAGAACATGAAACACGAAACTCTATGCAAGTCAGGTCCAGTGATCAGCGTTCAACTAACCACCAAGGACTGGATTATGATCCGAATGTACAAGCCGCGGAAAGGAATAAACCTAAACAACGGGGTTCTGTTCAAAGAACGGCCTGCAGTTGGGTATCGATGGCCATAGTGAGGTGGAATGCTTTACAGGAAGTCAAGCTGGGCGTTAATGAAGACGCAGCCTATCGAGGACAATCCAGTGCATCGGTAGTATCTAGAAAAGTATTATGATATTGAAGATTAATGGGACTTCTGATTCTGGACGGTGAGTCTCAGGGTGCTACTGTATGGGTCATGACAGGCGCTGAGGTGGTGTACTGAATGAATAGAAGTTGCAGATGGCCCCTTAGAATATGTGCCCCATTTTCCACTTTGCCTGTCATGGACTTCTTCGTGAAGATCGAATGTATGTTGATCGGTATCTTGCCTACAGAATACCCCATGATACCCACTGGCATCCAGCTTGGCATCCGGCTTCTGTCTCCTTGTGATGATCCATTCGCGCGTCGGTTAAGCTCCATTCCTTATCATGATGTGCTGCCTGAGGACCCTGGACTAATAGAGACAGTGCTCAGGACGCAAGTTAGGCTCAAGAGAAGTTGTGTTCCAGATTTTGTAGATCCCCGCGCACAAATGTAGATTCTCGTGGGTGCTGCCCCAGGTGGGGCTGACGGTCCGAGCCTATCAAATAAACACGCTCACGAGCTACCCGTGTTTAGTGAATGCATGATCATTGTTTGTACTCCCGTCCAGTTTCTGTTGCGTGCTGATGACCTTTAGAAAATTTCCTGGCATAGCTGGACAAGTATCTTTGGAACTCAATGCCATGTACACGTATGGCGTCGATACCACATTTGGATGTAGGTCCATTGCCTTGCATATATAAGGACCCCCAAGTTGCTCCTGCTACCCCATCTTGAAATCGTATCCTCTCTTGTGAGTCCAAAATCTTCCTTCCGATATCAGGGCTGACAGTACCCCCAGTACAATGGCTACTCCTACTGTATTTAGCGGCTATGGCGGGTGGCTTCCAAGGCATCCTGATATCTACAAGAACTTCATTAATCGTCTCCTCAAGCGCGCTCTGCAGCGTAGCCATGATTCTCTCGAACATGAACCTGCTGTTGCGGCTTTCGGAGAGGCAATCCAAGGGGATCCCGTCATGAAGTCTCTGTTCGACCAAATATTCCGACAAGTCCATGAACAGAGCAAGGTACGAGCTAGTAGCCAGTAAGCCTTCCACAAAGCCTCATCCTCTTCCACAGGTGAAGGACTTCGAATGCTTGTTGCACGAGCTCGACTGTATCATCGTGACAGCGCCCAAGTATGAGGTGGTAAGAGACTCGAATGGCGAGGTGATTGCCAGCGAGCCTGTCGGGGTGCCTATGTATCTCGTTTTCGATTTGCTCAGCAACACAGCAGCGGGCTATGACCTGTTCCGCATGAAAAAATTCAACCGTGCACTCAAAACCTTGTTGGAGAACTGGGGCAAATTCCTCATGCAATCCGGGTCGAACTCAACGCTTAATACAACTGACGAAGGCTGGTTTGGTGCGGCTGGAATAACGCATCTCGAGGAGCATCTGGGGGAATATAGCTTCGAGCGGACCTACAAGTGTCCTGACGCGACAGCTGATAATCGCGGGTTTGAAACCTGGGATGCCTTCTTCACTAGAGCGCTCAATGATGGTGTGCGCCCCATCAAACCCGAACCTATTGTATTACCACCAGGTGGACCCCGTACTGCTGCATATCCGATTCCCATCTATAACGCCTGCGAGTCCACCGTCCTACGCATTGAGAGGAACGTGAAACAACACGATCAGTTCTGGCTCAAAGGCCAGTCATACTCCCTTTACGACATGTTCAACCGCAACGACGAGTACGCCAAGTTGTTCGAGGGAGGGACTGTCTATCAGGCATTCCTCGGTCCCACCGACTTTCACCGCTGGCACAGCCCCATCAAGGGCACAATCACAGATATTGTCGTGGTTGAAGGAACATATTATGCCGTGCTTCCAGATGACGGGGCAGAGCAAGATGACCCTGAACTCGCAAAGGGTGACCCTCGTGGTGCATTGATTCGCTCCCAGCCCTTCCTCACCATCGAGGCCACTCGCGTACTGTTTTACATCGAGTCGGAAGACATTGGCACAATGTGCTTCATAGCCGTGGGGATGGCGGAGGTGTCGACTTGTCAGGTGAGGGTGAAGAAAGGTCAAGCGGTAGTGCCCGGGATGGAACTTGGAATGTTCCACTTTGGCGGGTCCTCGCACGCCCTCGTATTTCCCAAGGGGATCTATTTTGAGGAGGAAGAGGCTGTCAAAGTAGGCGAACACATATGGGTCAATTCAACTCTCGGTCGAGCTATTCGCATGCCCGAGTCAGAGTGATGGCACAGGGTAGCTATTCAAACATCCTTTATCGAAGAATGCCTTGATACTATAGGTGTTAGGAAAAGATTTATGCATACACTTTTTACGATCACGTCCGAGTCACGGTATGCTTACGAGTAGAATGATCTTTGTACTATTAGCAGTTTGACTACACCGATGTCATGTTTAGTTTGTTGGTCACAATCATCACGCCGCTTTACGGTGAAACCTGAAGCTTGAAGGCCGAGAACACCCTTGATCACGTTGCTACAGCATTGCCAGTGCAGTCTGCGTCAGGTAGGCTGAACCAGTGCTGCGGCCGCATGCAAAGAAGCTTCGATTGGGACAAACCTAGCACCTGCGCCAGCCTCCATCTTTGTGAAATTGTACGAATCACACACATACTACAAACGAGACCTTCCACTACTTGATACTTCAATGTTCAATGTCGAATCAACGTTCGGACTCCCGGAGGCCGCCTATCGACTAGCGCGGTTCCCTCTTATGATTAAAGCTTAGAAGCTAGCTATGAATTTTACTGCCTATCCTACTTGCAATTTCCCTGACTGGAAAGTAAGACCGCCACCATAGTATAGAAGTAACGACTACTTATTACCTTGCGGTGCAAGGACATGTTGGATGGCGTTGAGTGCACGTCATTCGTATTCTCCCCAAATATGACCCTTGAGCCAAATACCACGCACATGCCACGTCTGCGCCAATTGTGACAACAATCTAGGCTCCATCGTCGTACTAGCAGGCTGTGGGGATGAGGCACTCACATTGCCTAATGATGTGGTGTCGCCCGAGGTGTTCGACGGTGGAGGTAAAACACTCACTCGTGTCTCAACGTCAGCTACAATATCCGTGAGTGGGGGTATACATAAAAACGCGTTCAATATTGTGGCCACAGTCCCACATCGTCAGAAAACAAGCGAGTGCGGCCCCATCGAAGACCTCCCTGATATGATTTGTAGTTTTGCCCTCAAGGAGCGGGGAGGTCTCGTCAGAGTTGCACGCTATGCGCACGACGGATAGTCAAGGCCAGGCAGAGAGTAAAGATGTGGTCCATGCTCTCAAACACACGACAACTAAAATGACACAAGGCGGCGTATCCCGAAAACGACGATGCCGCACCTACGCGGTGTTAAGTTGTGATGATCGGGCATATAAATGTACTGCGATAGAGAATGAACTAGACGCCCATGTGTGTGGAAAGTCAGGTAGGAGATAACGGTCGTATAGTGCGAGAGTCAAGGCTTGGACCGGGTGGAAAGAGTCGCTCGACACATAAGCATCCTCAAGCCGAGAAACAACGAAAGAAGGCAAATTACATTCGATGAACCCACAACCAGGCGCAAAGACAGTATAGCCGCCCACAGCAAATGTTACGAGCGGTGCAGAGGGAAGAACCCCACCGCTATGCTGCGCCGAAGAGGCCATGTGGCCTACATAAACGTTAGCTAGACAATCGGGTGTGAGACTGCCTGTATGATCAGCAGTCCAGAATAGCGAGGGAGAAGGGGACGGGAAATGAATTAATGGAGGAGGGAAAGTAAAGAACGCGCTGGTTGAGCATTCCAGATGTGGGGCAGGACACCAGGGACCACATCCAGAACTAAGTGCACTGCATTCTTATTATCTGTAAAAACGGGGTAGGACTAGTTTGGATTAGCACAAATAGATAACAAAACAACAGCTATGATGCCCAAAAGCTCGCCATGCAATATACCTGTAGATGAGTCCCATGGCTCGTAGGTGAAAAGGCAACCCGGCTGTCAGGCGTTGCAGCTGCGGATGTGATCGAACGAGCCTGCAAAAACGACGCTGGTGACGGGAATATTGATGTATCTGACGCAGCAATGGCCCGGGTTCGGTGTTTGGAGAATGGATCAGTCACCTGATATGAACATTAGGCTGTGCGATCATGTGAGATGGAATAACATCGTAGAAAACAAAGTAACCTAGATCTAAAATTAGTTTAGAAACTCGAAACTGTAGAAAATTCAAAGTACCGGCCAATTGCCTGCATATTAAGCAAGGTCAGAAGTTCGCAATGCCAACCCCGAGTCTTCATTCGTATAATGCTGGTCGGTCTGCATAGGGTTGGGCAGAACTAGGGAAGCGGTGTTTGAATTTCCCAGGCTCATCCAGGGACTGGTCAATGGAACCGGCCAGTCTCTCGTACTATCTATCCAGTAAACATGCGATTGCCAAACGACAACGTCTGCGCGCGCGATCACAGTGATGGCAATACGAGGGGTGACCGTTGGTGCTTCGGTGAAAATTACAGGATTAATCGAAAATATCACTTGAAGAGTGACGAAGCATGACATGCGGTCACTGCGAGGCAGTACCTGGTAACTTGCCGCCAGAGAAGCCTTATAAATGTCCTGCCCTACAGCCTCTTGGGCGCTAAACGACTCTTCCGCTCCTTCTTCTTTTCTTTCTTCAAGTTCTAGCAATGCCAGACGTTGCAGCCTCTCGCAAGTTCATTGATCTCATCCGTCAGGCCTCGTCCAAGTGGGCTAATTGGGACCCGCCAATTGAAATCAAGGTCAGTATAAGTGCTCCAGTAATTACTGCGCAGATATTGGCCTCATAGTCGAGGCTCATAGGTGGGGGACTATGGGAAGATCGACAATGAAACTGGAGAGCTCGACGTGGAAGGGAATATCTACGAGAAAACATTCAGACGTCACTGGACAACCAGGGCTTGAAGATCAATTTATCTGATCCATCATGTCAGCCACAGAAGGGTGGACTCGACGACAACATGATTATGTCCTCTTCGGGTGTCAAACAAGGGGATTTCTCGGCGAAGCCAGAAGTGTGAGAGCGTACGCACTTCTTCCTTTGTGTGCTATCATTCATCGTGCACCAATCGATCAGCTCCCTTCTCAACCTGGCCTCTGCTTCCGTCAAGGCCGAATTTCAGTTCCAAGAAGGCAAGCGAGGTGCCGTCCTCGTAATGCACAAGCCCCAGCAGGAATATATTCCACGGGGCAAGGTGCTGACACTTGTCCACAAGGCAATCGAACTGCACGACAAGTATCTCGTCACCAGCACATTCAAGTGCCCAGGATATTATATCTATTTGTCTAACAAGTGTGCGTCTACTTGCCATGTGCTTCACCGGCGGCAGTATACTGACAGTCTGACACAGCCGGAGAGAGGATAGCACTGGCGCTAACTGCTAGTGTACCGATTGCAGCTGCGGCAGGCGTAACTGCCGGCGGAACAGCCTCTGTGGATTGGTGGACTGATGCTCAAGCAGCATTCCTCCGGAAAGCGGTTGACAAGGCTGGACAGTACCGGTACACGCCACTGTACACCCTGAAGCACAGACAAAATTCTTTACTAGCGCGACTTTTCCGCGGGGAAGAGTCAGAGGAAACAGAAGACGATTTGTAAGTTACTGATTTCCACTTATGAGACTGATTCTGACATTCACCCAGGTGGCCTGACTGTGCAACACCGTGGCAGCCTCTTGATGAAGATGGAGCTGAAGATCCAGCATGGGAAGAAGTACGTCAGGTTTTGCTCACTCCTAATGTCTTGGTTCATGATTTATCTTTCAGAACGATGAAGAATTTGCCCCCCGGTCCGCAGTGGAGGGCGATCTTCCGTTTGCAGGAGCATGATACGTGACGGATGTTTATGTTTGGTTTGTGATTGTCCGTTGCATGATCGATTTGTGTTTGTGATTGTCCATTGACGTTGAATGATCGATTTATTTCTGAATTTGCGCTGGCTGTATACGTGTCTGTATGATATCCCTGTCACATCAATATACATGCAATACATTCTACTAGTACTATATTCTCACCAATTAGAAGTGCTTGACAACGATCATGGACTCTCACAAGGCGGTCTGCGGTGGGGATGCGTTGGCAGCTTGAACTTCCGTGCAATTTATTGCGGAAACTGTTGCTGTACAGCCCTTCGCGCGACCGGAAGAAAATCCGTCGGGATGACGCATGGCATTCGAAATTGAAGATCCACAAGCAGAGGATTTGTTATATCATAGTTCATCGATTTGACTTGTATGTAATTCCCATGCATCGATACGAACTCGGAAGTCGGGGCCTGGCGCCTTGCGCGCCTCGGGGATACTGGTAAGCATGCTGTATTCCATATGTAACCCACAGCACAAGGTAAGTAGGTAGTACAGTACTTATCAACTGAAGCCGAACGCCAGCATGAGGATTATAATATGAAAGAGAGCGCATAGGTAAGGGGCCATATCGACCAGAGTCACGCTAACGCTAAAACTAACCACGGACACACTTGCAGTCGTACATATAGACAAGCCAAGGGCCGATACGGAATACTAGTTATAATCAATCCCCGAAAACAAGTGAACGAAGAGGGAAAAGAAAATGAAGCAGAGCAGAAACAGAAAACTGAGAAAAAGAAAAGGACCTATGGAGACAAAGTACTCAGCCGAGTATGATAACACAATGAAAGAAGACTGAAGAACGACGGGAGAAAGACGGGGCAACGTAAAGAATACAACCTAGCAACCGAAAGAGTCTCATGCAGGGCTACTGGAGCTGGCCTCAGGCGCCACGCGGCCTTCCGAGGGTTTGTCGGGTAGCTCAGTTATACTGGCGGAAAGTGGGGGTGCACTGGAGGAGCCAGATGTTGAAGAAGAGTAACCGGCGTACGTTGGTGCCTGCCAGGTGTTGCTTGGGGGGTAACTACCATATGAAGGTTGTGAGGCCGGCGGCGGGTAGTACTGATAGTAGTTGTTTTGCGGCACCGAAGTAGGTGGGTGGTGAGGAATCAAAGTCTGTTGTGTGTCAGTGTTGGCTGATGCACCACCATACCCGGGGTATGGGTACGGCTGAGATGGAGCTGGAGATGGCTGGTGAGGAGTTGTTGGGGACGGTGTAGGGTACGATGAACTCGAGTACACTGGAGGATGGGTGGTAGAATGGGTGGTGGAATGAGAATTGGAGTGTGACGTGGGATACCCTGGAACGCCGTAGTAAGAAGGGGTTGAGTACGCAGAGTAGTGAGGCTGGGAAGGGAGACTCGAGACTGCTTGGTCAGGGTATGCAGAGGGTGGCGGAGCTTGCGATGCAGTAGGAGTCGATGGGGATGGCAGGGGGGGTGCGTGTTGGTCCGTCGGAGATGTGGACTCCGGCTGAGAACTCTTGGTTTTACGTGAGCGTTTGCCATTGCCGGTGGTGTAAGGGTTGTAGCGCCCCCCTCGTTTGCCATCGGTGATGCGACCGTCGGTAAGAAGAGGAAGCCCAGACGAGAGGGGAGCAGTGATCATGGAAGGGGTAGATTCGATATCATCCGCCTCTCCACGGTAACGAGGGACACCATCTACACCAATCTCCACTTTAGGAGGGTTACGGAAGTGAGTTTTGTCGAGGTATTCTGGACTGATATCCAAAGATGCCAGCTCGGGGAGTGATGAAGGGGAACGTAAACGCCCTTGCTCTACATCCTCGACCTTATAGTAAGAGATGAGATGCTGTGATACACCACCGATTGTCAACGAAAAGGTCTGATAGGAATGAAACCGTGAGAAAAGGAGTATAGGAGGAGGAGGGGGAAGAACAGACCTTCTTCATGAGGCCGTCAGATTTGAATTTATAGCTATTGGTGAGACTGCCGACGAGGACACGTTCCCTGTGTTTGTCGATGCCCAGGGAGCTGGACTCGCCTTTAGGACGACTCAAAGTTTGACCCTCGAGGCGAACGCCATCCACGTTGTACTGAGAATGTTCGTTCATTTCGGCAGGGTCTGAGCGAACGCCTCGATGACCTGCACCACGCTTGTCGGTTTCACGATAAAGAAGAAAGTTGCCTAAGATGCGACTTGGACTCCAGAAGAAACCGTCGGTCCAGCGCTTAATACCGCTTTCGTCCTCGTCGAAGACAAAGACTGAGCCAGAGGTTATCATCTTGCGCTCTGAATCGACTAGGCGCCTAGTTACTCTTGGTATTAAACCACGACGAGCAGCTTCTAGTATAAGTAAGGCATCGCCAGTAGTCTCTATCCAACCTGACCAAGGAGGCTCTGTCCAGGCTGAACTTGAAGAAGATTGATTTGTAGGAGTAGGATTGGGATTTGGAGAGATCTGCTGATTTGCAGACATTTGTTAATATTTGTGAAGTCTGTGGAAGGCATAGTGGGAGACAAAGTAAGAAGTTGATTCGAAGTTGATTGAACCAAAATCTTTAAAGTTCATACCTTGCTCGGAGATGTTCTTAGGTTTGCGGCGGGGTTGGTTGAGAGTGATCAGAAAGCCTATTTGGCCATTTCCCGCCACAACACCAAAAACGTATGTCTTTCCTATTAATCCTTTACAGTTCCATGATTTCAATGGTCAAGTTTAAAACTTGGAGGAATAATCCTTTCAAACGATCCTCTAGGCTAGCTCAATCTTAAATCAACCAATTTATAATTCCAAGTGAGTCACCGCTCAAAAATCAAAGTTTTTGCTCAGCTGACTCCAACTTACCGCTTACTTAAGCACTCCGCGAGCAATCAAGCTCAAGCTTCAAGCTTTCGATCATCGACTACGTGACCAATATCATTATAGATCAGCTAAAGAAAATCACCTTCAAGTTACTCCCGTCTAACACAGGGAATAATGCAAGGTGTTACGGACAGCTCAATGTCACCAGTGTCATCGTTCTGATTCGAAGTTCTCTTCCCTCTAACTAATCCGACATCACCGCGGTCAATCCTTCCGAATTTCATCTCCATTTGATGCGATCCTAAGGTACTTCATATCCGTGTGTGTTTTCTACTCATCAAGCGCTTTCTAGGCCCACTCTACACGCAACCTACATCTGATCATACATTCACAGTCTTGTCAGACGTGAGTCTTTGACTATTCCTGGTTACGTTCATACACGATCCATAAAAAGTGCTTCCTGTACATCATGCCCGAGCGCCTAACCCCGTGATCGTGTGCCTGCCTATGTGCTGTTCGCAACTCACGCAATCACGCGGAGATAGCGGGTGAGTTAGGTAGTACTCCGGTCTTATTTGTATCAAGAGAACAAGCGCGATCTCCTCTAAAATAGAGTCCACTTGGCAGCAAGTCCAGGCCCATCTTTCCTGAATTCCAGACGTCAGCCTGGTAGGGACGCTTTGTATTCGCTTAAAGGTATCTCCTGCATGTCTACACCGTGCATTCGCAAATTGGAGCTGCGTGGTGAGCACTTTGGATGAATTCGAAGAGCCTCGTATTGATTTAACCATCCATTACTCTGTCAGAGCGATCATTTACTTCTTTCTTCTCTCCATTCATGGATAACCTTCCTTTTTTCAGGGATACGTAATCTCCGATATTAACGAGCCTGGCCAGCTCAGCTAGAATGATGCGACCTGAATGCTTGGCTGCTGGCCACAGGGTTCGACGGAACCAAGTACCTTGATGTCCCTTTCGTCCCTGACAGTTTCTCCCAACTGTCTCCAGAATCCAGGTTACCAAAAAGTTGATAGAAAGGAGAAGCCCCAAGGCGCTTCTGGGATGTATAAATGCAGCGTTCTTGGGGAAGTGTCGGTCACGACGAGATGGCTGGTCTTGCCACCTCGTTGATTTGGATCATATCCTCGCTCACAGCAGTACGAGCTTATATTGTCTGTAGTACAGAGTCGTTAATATCTCTTCTCCACAGACTGGCTATGCATATCGTTTTCCCTCACACCATCTTCACCATTTTCACCGACGCGACACAACCTGGGCTGCCCTTGGATGCTGGACGTGAGTATATCCTTTCACGATTGTGGAAATTTTATGACCGGCGTCGTCCAGCGATGGTGTCGATGGTACAAGAACGCTTTCTGCAGCTACCTACACAGACACTGTGAATATGACTATCGAGTCATGCGTCAACTTCTGTTCAACTGGCTCCAACGCCTATGTCTACGCAGGCGTCGAATATGCTCAGGAGTGTTGTATGTGTTATTTTACACTAATTCATATGGCTCTTCATTGCATCTTTCACATAGACTGCGGCAACTACTTCTTCAGTGGCGCCACCAATGTCAGTTCATCGGACTGTGATATGGCCTGTACTGGTAACGCTGGCGAATTTTGCGGTGCTGGCAACAGACTGGATATATTCTGGAGTGGGGTCCAGGCTCCCGCTCCGCCCATCCTTGTCCCTAGCGTTGGCAACTGGTCGTTGCTCGGATGTTACAAGTACGACCCCATATGCCAAGCACAAATCCTGAACTAACCCGGATTTGTACCAGCGACTCAGCGACACGAGCATTGCCATACGGGACCGGCGTGACCGGAAGCGTTACTGTTGAATCTTGTACCACCGCATGTTACAATGCTGGATACCCTTATGCTGGCATGGAATACGCTGACGAATGCTGTGCGCATGCATCTTCGGTCAAACGTTCCCTTTGCTGACAAGTCTTTGCAGACTGTGGCTTGACCATCGAGAACAATTCTGGTCCCACCCCAGACACAGGCTGCGATATGACATGCGCGGGAAATTCTTCCGAGTATTGTGGAGGATCTTACCAGCTCAGTATGTATAACTACACCCAAGCTATTATAACTTCCCCTGCCGTCAATTCCGCCAATCCCAGCACTGTTTCGCCCGTGACTTCTGGCTTAACTGGCAACTGGACATATGGAGGATGCTACATCGACAACGTAAATGGGCGTGTATTGGGGAACGAATTTGACAGCAGTGACATGACAGTGGAAAGTTGTATCGCGAACTGTGCCGGGCAAAACTTCACCATTGCAGCCATCGAGTACAGCACGCAATGCTGTAAGTAGTCTGTCTTCTCCTTCACCTCTTCTGACTCTCGCTCTAGTCTGTGGTGATTATCTCATCAATGGCGCCACGAAGGGTGCAGACAGTGATTGCAACATGGCCTGTGGTGGAAATGCGGCGTGCGTGTCTTCTTCGATTTGTCCGTTTTATGTTCTTGACGTGAACTAGTGAGGCATGCGGTGGCCCAAACCTACTGTCTGTTTACTCCTCCAATGGAAATATAACATTACTCCCTGTCCCTGTGCTGCAAACCACAAGTTTGCCTGGACAATGGGTATATGAAGGCTGTTTGGCGTTAGCAATTCTTCACTGCCTATGCTTGCGATCCTGATGTTACCATGCAGAGAACCATCCATTGGTGCTCGGATATTCCCATATGAAAATGAATGGGACACAAATAACACCGTCGATGCGTGCTTAAATCAGTGTGCTGCCTTTGGGTATCCCGTAGCTGGCCTTGAATATGGAGTTCAGTGTTGTAAGCGTATTGATCCACTACTATACTTTCTTGCGGATTGCTAATAGAGACAAGTCTGTGGCGACGTCAGTGATATCGCGGCAGCTGGTGGGACGTATGTCTCGGATTCACAGTGCAACGTGGCTTGCTCAGGAGACCCAATCCACCTGTGTGGAGCAGGAAGCAGGTTGTCTACCTATTACTGGAACGGGACAATGAATACGTGGAACACCCCCGCGAATACTGGCTACTATGAGGTGCGTCCCATTTTGTCCTGAATATACAAAACGCTCATAATCTATGCAGTTCTTAATAGGCGGCCTGGTCGTCCCTCTCATCGCCACTGTGGGTATCAACAACAAAGTCACTTTCCTTGAGAAGCATGGTACCTCGGAATATGACAATTCTACTGGCGCGTACGAGTTGGATCTCAGTTTGGTGGACAATTACCAGCTGGCTTGGCGCGAGATGCATCTGCAGACGGACGTATTTTGTTCTGGTAGTATTATTCTACCAGACTTGGGAGGAAGGTTTGACGTTTCACTTGGCATATCAGGCCCACTCTTACATTAGAATAATCAGGCAAATCAATGTAGGTGGATGGTCACTTTCGTCGACATTTGGTGTGAGATTGTATACGCCGGATGGGAGCCCTGGTGTCAATGGTACCAATGACTGGGAGGAAAATGTTAATGAGCTTACGCTTCAGGTAAGCTCTGGACTACTGGTTTTTGGCTCATTGCACTAATACGTGCTCAGCGTGGCCGATGGTATCCTACCGCAATGATGATGCCAAATGGAAGTATTTTAGTCGTTGGCGGGGAGTCAGGAAGTAATGCTTCCCCGCAGCCCAGCCTCGAGATCCTTCCAGCGCCCCCTGGTGGCGATACGGTCGTTACATTGGACTATCTTCAACGGACAGACCCCTACAATCTCTACCCATTCCTAATGGTACTGCCTAGTGGCCGGTTCTTCATTGGTACGTGACATTGTGGGTTAGATGCACTATTTCTTACAGAACGTAACAAGGGTACTACAATGAGGCTCGCATTCTTGACCCTGTCACCTTTGACACGGTGACTGTGCTACCAAATATGCCGGGGGCCGTGAACAACTTCCTCGCGGGCCGGACGTACCCGATGGAAGGGTCTGCGGTACTTTTGCCGCAGTACGCTCCATACACCGATCCGATTGAGGTTCTCATCTGTGGTGGCTCGACGATTGGAGCCGCTATCGCACTGGACAATTGTATCTCGATTGCCCCTGAAGTGCCAAATGCGACATGGACTGTGGAACGTATGGTGAGCCACTTTGCTTTTGGGAAAGTTAAGGTTTGATGCTAAGATGTGCCGACTTCAGCCTTCTCAACGGGTGATGCCTTGCATTACGACTCTACCAGGTAAATATGATGATGAATGACAGGAGTCTAGACATTAATAATACATCGATCACAGATGGCACGTATATGATTATGAACGGCGCTCATCAAGGTGTTGCTGGCTTTGGCCTAGCGACAGATCCTAATCTTAGCGCAATTCTATATGATCCTTCGCAGCCGATTGGCCAGCGTATCTCCATCCTCAACAATACCATTGTAGCTCGCTTGTATCACTCCGAAGCGACCCTTCTGCCCGACGGGCGTGTTCTGGTGTCTGGTTCAGACCCCCAGACGTACTATCCCAACGGGTCCTATGTGTACCCAGAGGAGATGCGCATCGAGGTTTATATTCCACCGTACCTCAATCAAGGACTCACGCAACCAGTGTTTAATATTTCCGAGACCGACTGGGCGCTGGGCGGGCAGTATAGTATCACGGTGACTTTATTCCAGGGAACGACGAGCACCATGCGCGTCTCACTCGTGGCGGGTAAGCAAGGCTAATGATTATAGATGGATCAGTTTCTGATTATGGAATATAGCTTCGTCTAGCACGCACGGAAACGTCATGAGCGGTGGGAGGATTCTCTTCCCTGCGTTTTCGTGCTCTGGAAACACCTGTACCATCACGGCACCCCCGAATGCGTATGTAAGCCCACCTGGATGGCACCAGCTTTTCATTTTGGACGGTCCGACGCCATCGCACTCTGCTTGGGTCCGCATTGGAGGTGACCCTGCACAGCTGGGCAACTGGCCTGATTACCCTGACTTTACTACGCCAGGTGTCTAAACCCACCCCTCCTTTGTTATAACATTCTTTTTGAAAACATTCTTTTTGTTTGGACTTGGTTCGATTGTTGGTTATGTATACCCTGTGTTCTCGAGTTACACTCATTTCGCTCGTTCCGTTCCGCTCGTTTGATAAATATTCTTCATTTATGTGGAACTGTCTACCATACCCGCGGTAGTTACCTGGGAAGTAATAATTTTCTTGTGGTATGAGATACAGTGATGATACAACATTAGTATATCTGAAAATGATTACTGGTTTAGCTTTATCCATGTCTAAGGCAGGATACTACCTACCAGCTACTATTTGGTACAGCACCAACAAGCGTGTGCGCACAATACTACAAGCATTCAGTGCTATGCATCGGTGGATGGGGACTAGGTTGTCTGTTCTCGCAGATGAGAGGCGCTCTTTCAACGTCGGATGTGGTGTCATCAATGGCCTTTGCGCATGAGCAGTAGCTTGCACTACAGAGGTGCTCTGTGCATGGATGTCCTGCCAGTGCAGAATTGCATCAAACGATGCTCATGAAGTCTTAGTGCTTACGTATGGACATGAAATCAAGACATATTCCAGCCATGACGTCGCAGCACGCAGTGAGTCCGAGCGCGCAACACGTATCAGACATGGTGTAAGTAAGGTTCAAGCCCAGTGAAAACTGACTGTGACGGGAGGAGGTGTGGTGTGACGATAAGTGATTTTGTCAGCAGCTCAGTGGAAAAACATACGAGAACATGATATGACACGTAGTGAGCGAATCCGCACATTTCAATATATGCGGGGGCGGGTTTCCTCATGCACATAGGTGCTTTTTTCAATGTAAAACATATTTGCGCATTTGAACGTATATACTCGCTCCCTTACCAAATGGTCTAAAATGTGCGCAAATATGCTTGAATAATATCTCGCTCCCCTTGCCAGACGGTTGAAAATGTGCGCAAATATGCTCAAATAATATTAGGCACTGTAGCAACGGGGGTACAAAAGGTGGTACAAAAAAGCTCAAACACACAAATAGCGGCTTGAAAACATGACATGTGCGGACAGCGGCTCGAAAACACTCGAAAACATTGTAGGAAATGCATATGTCGGATGGTGCAGGATCGGATGGTGCTGAATCTAATAAAGTCGTCCTTGGGAGACAGCTTTGGTCCATGTATCGGTAGCGACCTAGTAGATGATGATTTAGAAGGTCCATCGAGAGAATCAAGGACTTACGAGTGCAGCTGCTTCCTCGTGACTTCGGAGCAAATTGGCGATTTACGAGTTCTGACCATCCTCCACGCAGGGTCTTGCGAATAGCTTTGACTGTTGCTTCAGGGACCGGTTCTCCGTTTTCGCCTTCAAGGTAAGGAATTTTCCCGCGATGAAGCCCTTGTGCGCTAGCTCGTTCCGCCCAATCCAAGAATGCGTCCTGGTTCCAAAATTTGACCTTGGGATGTGTCTCACGAGTCGGCTGTTTGGTGTTACTGGTGCAGGGTGCTGCCAGTGATAGGTGCGTGCCTTTGGAGCCAAGAGACTCCACAGCTTCGTCAAGGCACACAGAGGAGGCGAGCTGGTGAAACATTGCCCTATCATTACATTAGAGAATGCACATGAAGTACATACAAAATCTTACTGTATAGTATCACGTTCAATGGAGAGTTTGGTGACTTGTGCTTCCAAGATTCCGCAACGCTCTCGCAAGGCTTGGTTTTCGTGCATATATGCGCCCTAAAACATACAGTAAGTTAATAGAAACAGTAGCAAATGACTCACCTGCTGGAACAAGCTGAATTGAGGCTGCGGGACTTGCACTGGGGGTGGTGAGAACGAATCTGCCTCGGGTGACATCATATTTGCCAAGGAGGGTCCAGGAGAAGGCGTATAAGACCCTGAAAATGCACTGTTGTTCCAGAGGCTAGAGCTTCCCTCGCCAGCCATACTGAACATACTAGAACTGTAAGAATTATAAAGTCAGTGATAGGACAGACTGGCTCGATATAAAGTAAAAGCAAGACTGTCCGAGTCTGTATTCGATATTCTGTCTCCGCCAGAAAATACCGAATCGAGAAACTTGAAGTTCTCGGTCTCGACATGGTACCTTTCATTTCACGACTTACCACATATCGATGTCTTCCCCGACTATCATTAGCTCATCCAACATCACGATGCTCGGGGATATACATTGTGTGGCCTCCCGAAATTATATCTCGAGCACACACAGAGGCTGGAATTTTCTGCGCACTCGCTTGTAGTAGTAGGCATGTTTTCTATAGATTAAACATACACATGCGCCGAAGTGCGACGTTTCTGTAGATTGTAGACACGCAAAGTAAAGCAAGGAGAGGTTATGCAAAGAGAACAAAGGGAAACACGCGAAGTTAACACTTTACAATGCAATGTTGCAAGCACGACGTGTGCAAAGAGTCAGATTATGATAAACGAGCATATCCGAACATGTAACTAAAAAGGAAAATCATTTCTAAGCATGTGACGACTCCTCCCGTCACAGTCAGTTTTCACTGGGGTTCAAGCTCGCCGCTGACTAACATAGGCATTTAACTGTTTGGCTCTATTGTTCAAAGCCCCTATGTATTCGAATCGAGTTACACTCGCGCTCCAGTCGTTTTATAGAATATTCTCATTTATGTGGAAATGTCTACCATACCCGTGGTAGTTACTCGGGAAGGGATACATTGATGATACAATATTAGTATATCTGAAAATGACTACTGGTTTAGCTTTGTCCATGTCTAAAGTAGGACACCACCTACCAACTACTATGTAGTTGGTATAGCACCAGCGAACGTGCACACACAAGATTACGAGCATTTAGTGCTATGCATCGGTGGATGGGGACTAGGCTGTCTGTTCTCGCAGATGAGAGGTGCTCTTTCAACGTCGGGTGTAGTGTCCTCAGTGGCCTTTTTACATGAGCAGCAGCTACAGAGGTCCTCTGTGCATTGTCCTGCCAGTGCAGAGTTGCATTAAACAATGCTCGAGAAATCGAGACTCTTACGTATGGACATGAAGTAAAGACATATTCCAGCTATGACGTCGCAGCACGAAGTGAGTCCGAGTGTACAACATGTATCAGACATGGTGTGAGTAAGGTTCCTCACTGCTTATTAACTGTTACTTACATACTATAGAATTGTTTGGCTCTATTGTTCAAAGCCTTTAGGAATAAACACGATCAAATACTGTCAACAAGACAAGGTGTGATATTCTATCAAGACCGACTGTGACCACCAGTGCAGTTGGCAACATGGAGTCCACCACCCACTTCCGAACACAGAGAGGACGCGCAAATGGTGCCCATCATGACAACGCTGGAACAGGACGAAGAGCACACCATAAAAACAAGCATTGGGTCGCAGACAATGCCACTAGCAGAAGTAGTACACCTCATGGAGGCGCGGACACCGAGCGATGGGAGCGTGGAGGGCACAGAGGAAGTCGGGGTCGAGGAAGAGGCACCCGTGGCAAATTCTCTAATACTACCATGCATTTCCGTCAAGGAGGCGCTCTAGATTCTGGGTCAGCTGCTGCCAGCGAAGGGGATAACAGCGAAATGGAGGATGCCACTGATGTAGATGAAGTCGAACACCAAGAACCAGATACTCTCGAAGAACGGGAACGATTCTGGAAAGAGGTGGGCCATACGTTTCATTCTGTGTATATTACCTTTACTCGAGTCTGCAGCTTGTGAAAGTGCGCGAAGTCGAGCGCAAGACAGCTATTGCAGAGGGTAAAATGGACGATCCAAATGTGGCAAAACGACTGGAAGATGCTATCACAATGGTCGGCACATGCATGGATATGTGCCCGAGATTCGAACGCTACCGCCGTGAACGCGAGAACAACCTCACTGAATGGGAAATTGTATGAGGACATTTAATTTGCAAGTGTGCTAGATATCTGCGCTGATTATTTGTTAGGTTCCAGGAACCAAACGCGTCGATCACAAGAGAGCTGTCAAAATGTATGAACGGGCAGCTGGTGACAAGACGCTACCCTCCGATCTTCGTCCTCCAAAAGTTCTTCGAGTATGTTGCTCCAATATACTATTCTATGCATCCATAATTTAATTCAATCTATGGCAGCGCACACTTGACTATCTTTTCCACGACCTGCTTCCTCGAGGCGGCTTTTCTGCAACCTTCAATTTCATTCGTGATCGTTCGCGTGCTGTACGAAGTGACTTCACGATGCAGCATGAGATGGGTTCCATCGCAATTGAGTGCCATGATAGATGTGCACGATTTCACATTCTTGGTCTTCACCTGGAGCGCGACCGACCCGGATCCCAGGTCAGTCTGGAGGAACAGCAGCTGAAGTACAGTGCGTGGACTCGCCACTTGACAAACCTTCTTGATAATAATTGTGCTCGCAGCTCTTCAAAGTCTGAAGGAGTTTTACGAAGACCAGCGAGGAAAATATCAATCACCAACAGAGCTTGAAATGCGAGTCTATCATCGTCTGATCCATATTCGTGATCAAAAAGAGCGACATGAGGATATCCCTTCCCTTATCCTTGAGCATCCAGTATTCAAGCTCACGACCAAATTCCGGCTCCTCGTACAGGCGAAGAGTGCTCCCATCAGCAGAAGCTCTCCTCTTTCCGTTGATAACGAGGCGCTTGGGGTCTTCAACGAATTGATCATAGTGCTCCAGGGGGAAAGAAATTACGCTATGATATCTGGTCGCATGCATCATAGAGCACTTATTTGGCACCGACACCGTCGACGACATTGAAAGCCTGCGGGAAAATCTCACCATTTCGGATATCATCGATGGCAGCTCTGCTGTTGTAGATGAGCATTATGATGCTATTGTAGAAGAACCAGATGCTATGCACGAGGAAGAGGAGCCGCCATTCGAGGGTAACTTGGTGGATGCGCCACAATCTTCCCCGAAACCCCCGCAGCGAAGCGGGACCGAGTGGCTCAATGATACATTTGGTCCGAAACCCACTGAATCAGCATTCCTAAACGCTTATTCTCAACCTGCACCACAATCGCCAAAGTCTGCGTTTTCAAATCTGACGTCCGTTCCCAATGTATTCGGGGCGACGACATTCCAGACATCAGCATTAGGCTCCATGAACGAGTTTAGTTTTGGCTCAGCTGCCGTCCCTACATCAGTATTTGGACCTTCTGCAACTGGGACCTCTATCTTTAGCCAAGCACCCTCTTCGGGTTTGTGGACAACTTGTTTCCAATTTCTTGTTTAATCACACCTTCACTTAGGTCAACCTCCACTTTTTGGTCAACCTCTGCTCGTCCCACCTACGACCCCAACAGCGCCCAGCGAGAATAAGGTTCAGGTTCCAGTGCCTTCGGCACCTCCTCCCTCTACCTTTAGTAATCCATTACCCTCTTCCCCAAAACTCTCTTCCATACCCGAGGTCAACAAGGCTGCGTCATCTATACAACCTCTCAACCCTCATGCACCAGTATTTGCACCATCGCTTTCTCCCATTATCACACAACCTCCACCCTCACACCAACCTCCAGTTCCTCCCTCCCCCGCCGCTCCACAACCAACCTTCGGTGTTCCCCGTGATTCTTTCGGCAGCTTAGATGAAACACCACCTTCTCAACCGCCACCTTTGAGTAGACAGCAACCAATATCTTTACCACCAACACCCACCGCGTCGATATATATCCCTTCGGCCACCTTTTGGCGCATCCACCAAGTCCGTTTTCGGGTCTCTTAAAAAACTTCAACCTACTTCGCTTGCTGCTTCTCCTACTGAAATCCTGAGCCCATTGGTACTTTCGTCGCCCGGGACAAGATCAACACTTAGTTCTATGACCAATTTACACCGACGTGACTCCGTACAGACTCCCTTGCGTTCAGGAATAACTGCTGCCGATCTTGAGACAATTTCAACTAAACTGGAAAGCCCACTCAACGGCAAGGCATCGTCTTCATCGCCCATCAGCAACGTAGACCAAGAAACGCTCAAATCCAAAGCTTTTGCATTTGCTCGAAGGAACTTGGTAATCAGGGAGGCCTTCCATGCATGGAGGGAACGAACGGCCAATCGTACCAAGTGGAAGGAGGCTTGTCTCCGAAGCGATGCCTATAGTCAGCGCGTCCATACGGAGCGACTTTCGAAGAGTACTAGCTCGTTGCCACAAGAGAACAAGCGCAAAGTGGTTACGCCAGAACGACCCAGCCCCGTTAGGAAGCGGCTCAGGAATCGCTTGTCCAGCGAATACCGGCCACCGGCCAGCGATGAAGAACTTGTAAAGCGGTTCGAAAAGGTTGGTACATCGCCCGTATCAAGTGTGCCACACCTTTTGAATGCATTGTAATCTTAGAATCGTGAAGAAAACGAACGGCGCTGGGCTCGTGGATCTTTCCTCCATGCGCTGCAGCAACACCTAAAGGCCACGTCAAGCACCATTCCAGAAAGCTGGTCTGCCTGGCTGTCCTTGAATCAGGATAATGATGGGACTGCCATCTGGCTTGAACTGAAATTCGATATACCGGACTCTGGCAGCTGGAAGGACGCCAATGTATTCCAAATACCAGTGGTGCCGCAAGCGCATAACAGATCATTATATCCGGGTATCATCATTTTCGAGCGAACCCCAGTTGGTGAGGTTGAAGACCCTCTGGAAAGGTTAGCTGTGACGAACTACTTGCTACGAGTTACTAACTTATGCATGGTAGAAAATATCGAATGCTAGATGATTGCTCACGTTTACGAGATATTATCGAGTCGTTACCTCCTGATCGACATTTCATCCCATCTATCTTGACGATATCTTGGCCTGGCGGGGAGCCCGACTCTTCTTCCGATTTTAGTGATATGGTACACTCAATGTTGTTCTGAAAATCGAGTAACAGCTGAACATTTCGAAGATTGCTGCAATACTTCACGATGAAATCGCGTTTTCCCATGTTGATCTATCATTGACATCCACTGCCTCGGACCTTGACTCTAGGTTTCAGTCTGCCTTGCAGTCAGTCAAAGTTGATACTGAAGGCAAACTTGTACGGTGGATGTCTGTACTAGGTATGTTGGGATTTACGATGTACTTTTCAAAGTTTAGCATCTAATTTTGGGACAGACCTCTTCAGGCAGTGGAAACCCATATGGCAGACATTTACCTCCCAGCGATTAGAACAATGCATAGTCAATGGGGAATGTAAGTAAAAATCGGTGCTGCTGAATGTTCAGTACTGACGGCGATTGCCAGTTGACTGGGGTTTCCTTGGGAGATTCTTAGAGTTGTGCATAGAGCTTCTCAACACCATCTCCAGTACTGCACTTCAACTGATGGGTGGTAACATCTTCGGAGATGTTCTGCCCAACCTGAAGCTGCAACACGTCAGAGACTCAGAGTACGCCATGTTTCCTTCCCACGCCTTTCTGTTGCTTATCACCCAACAGCTCAATGTTTGATGCGGTCTTGCAATGGCTGGACAATCCATCGTTACAAGATCCCGGTAGACATCTCGCAGGTGATCTGAGATCGCACCAGGCCCTTGACCGAGGTATGCTATCTCTACATGAATTGTGTGCGCAGCTCAAACTTGTTCGCCGTAGAGTTTTCCTCAATGTCCTTTGTTCAATATATATATGACAGTCGCTCAAGTGCTGTCCACTCAACGCTTTAGCCCCAAAGCTGTAAACCCCACCCTCATACGGAAGACCCGTTTCGATGCAGCGACATTGAAAATCTCAACTGAGCAGGGTTCTTACTCGGATGAGCTCAATGCCCTTCATTCCGCCAAGCTGCGACAGACATGCAAACGTACTGCATCAATTAATGCGTCATCCAGCCGGTCCGTCGTCAATGATGAAAATGTCCTAATTTGGCTGACTGTCATCCATAGGTCTTCTACCCCTGCCAAGCGGAGGAGATTATCCGTCTCTGATGAATCTAGCGATGGCGGAAGTCCTCCACTAAGCATCGCTAGCCCTGCCTACACGTCGCCCTCGATCAGCACCACCACATCTTTACCTCCTGAGGACAAGTCCACAGTGGTTACATCCGCTATGCTTCGTGCTCTTACTAGGGAAATACGGACCAAGTTTGGCAGTCCCAAATGACAGGCATCTTGATAGTCCTTTATAAATGATGTTATTGCATATCTCGGTATTACCTATCACTATATGTTTCTTCGCATCAATCAGGACACAGCCTCTAGGAGAGTTCTCATGGGGAACCTCATTGTTCAACATGTAATCAGTACAAAAAACTACAATAATGTACAGCGTACGAAGGAAAATACAACAAGGATCCTACAACATGAGCAGTGGTGTTACAAACCAAGAACCAATTATGCATTTTAGCAACTGTAATACGAGAATTCTTCTGAAAATTACGAGAAGGCGAGCGCAGACCAAGTGGCAACTGCACCAACTGCCATGGCCGTGGCGGTGTGCGCGATGGATGACACTATCCTCCTGGGCCGTTTAGCATGTCTGTAATCTTCGACCGGTGATTCAAGTTTCGCAGCCGTCGTTGGGGCTTCTTCCGCAACAATACCCATCTTGACTGGAGGAGCAACCTCAACTTCAACCTCAGAGTGCTTACGTTTAAGCGATTTGAAAGTCTGCAAGAGTATGAGAGCGATGAGGAAAGTGTAAAAAAGTACGTTACCTCTACTTCTGCAGCGATGACAGATAGTGCCTCCGTCCTGGCGATCTGAATTGTCTGAATTCTCTCCTCCACACGTTTCTCAGTCTCCTCGCGCAAGGTCTTCATTTCTGCGGTATTTGATCAGACGAATGAAACAGTGACAAGGACATCACTACTAACCAATAACGAGGGCATTGAGAGCGTCGGCACAAGCCTTGACATCTACAGTGGGCGACGCGAAGTTGTCGCAGCTTTCTGCGTCGACCTTGGATTGCAGCTCAGAGACTTGATCCTGTAGGTCTGACAAAGTAGATAGCTTGTCTTCTGCAGCCTCCAAGCGTGCAAAAAGTTGGTCAGATTCAGGCTCGAGCATGTCAACTTGATGCTGAAGGTCATAGAGGTCGTCCTCTGTCAAAGCATGGCGATTCTTGATGTCAGTAACGCTGGAATGCAGCGCATTTACTCGACCCTGGGTGGGTAAAGTTGAGATATAAGATAATAAAAATCCCAGAACATACATGTACTTGCCTCGATAGTCTTTATGGAATCGCGCAGATCTCCATGGTCGTCATGGCCGGAAACCTGGGGTTCATCCGACTGCACCTCGGCAATGGAGGGAAGAACCGGAATGGGTGCCAAGATGGCCGGTTCATCCTCCAGCGGCACAAACGGCGGGAAACTAGAAAGCGAGGGCAGCCGTTCTGGGAAGCTCTCAAAAGATCCTAATTCGAGGGATCCCATGTGCCCAAATGAGCACATCGATGGAAGTTTGACTCTGTTCGACTCATCCGACCGACGTGAAGCGGGCTGCGGGGAGTCAGCCCGGGACGGTGGCCATGCGCCAACAACTTCCGGCTCCGAGGGGGCCTGAGGGGGTGATGGAGATGGTGTTGAGAGCTCCATGGGAGAATGAGATCGCGAATCCTCAAGGTGGATTATGGACGAAGGCGCATCATCATCATCAATGGACGCAATGGTTGCAATAGCCGGAGGGGACCAAGGTTGAGGAGAATCTATGTCGAGTGGGTCCACAATTTTATGGCAGATATCCTGCATCAACGACCCAAGCGATGGCATCTTTCCGAGTAATGAACCACCTAGAAAGTCTGTAGGGAAGTCTTGACGCAGGGATGAAACACAGGAACGAAGTTCTTCCCAAGACGGTATCTCTTCTATATCAGATTCATGCTCTGAATGCGAAGCAGCCTCGTTGGATGAGCCTGATGGAGATGAAAGGGATTCTGAAGAATGAGATGGGGAAGAAGTACATGAAATGGGACTGTTAAGACCATAGCGCCCAGTGCTTAATTTTCGTGGACGAGGACTTGAGGGCTCGGCAGGGGTAAGGCACCATGGAGGCGAGTCGCGCATATCCAAAATATCGCGCAAAAATTCGATGCGAACTGTGACTGGCGAAACGAGAGTAGCGCCTTGCCCCACAGCTTTACCAAACGTCACGACATCGCCATCAGCAAGGGTGGTCTCCACCTCAGGCTGTAACATCTTAGATGTTATCTCGTCTTGCTTCCGTAAATGCGTCCCATGACGGGACTTGAGATCAACAATATACACCTGGGACAGGTTGTCAGGTGCAAGTCCGATGTGACAGAATCAGCATGTGCCTACGTGGCCACTGGAGGCCAACACAAGTTTGGCGTGCTTTGCGCTGACTACGGGGCATGCAAACACAGCATTCTGATCGTCGTTCTCTTTCCTCATTGACCTATCATCTGAGATTGATTTGCGACCGATGTGAACATGGGAGGTGCGGGTGTTGAAGAAGGAAATATTATGAGCGGGCTTTCCACCACACGACTCAACGTGCAGAGTGACACCTTGGTAATAATATGTCTAGGAGGTGCTGTTCAAGCAAATAGTGACGGTGCTTACCTGTCACCGGTTGCTGTGGATCACAGGGGCAAGCAGCTGGCTGGGCAAAATTGGTGCCTAAATACTCGACTTCGTCGTCCATGATGACCGTCGATTACAGTGTAGAGCGAAAATTCGAAAATATGGAGGAGAAGGGAGCGGTCTGTGCGTTGGTGGCGGTAAGAATGAGAGCGAGTGGGGGGGACTTGGTGCTGTCCTCAAGGCCGTGCTTTATCGCCTTGACGTTAATAATACCGGACCGAGATATCCTTTTCGAGATAACTGTCCGGATTCCCACCGAGAGCCTTCCGAACGATGCACATACTATCACATTCGACGTATTTTAGGCTACTCTTACTGTGATACGAAATATGGAGACAAGGGTGGACGACAACCTGAAAGGTGACAAGGAAGTGGAATATATCAATTATGTATGCGATCTACTCAGATGCGAAGAACTTGTCATGACGGTGTGTAGTGCGCGAAGTAAGGGTGGTTGAGAGCACGTTTTGCTGAAAGTATGGTAAGACATGAGAAAAATGAGTAAGTTCACTGCACACATACCAGAAATCCGTTTTGCCGTGTCATACGTCAAAGTGTGCTGCGAATAAGTATGTGAGCACCAGGCAAAGGTTGACGAAAAAAAAGGAAATGCGGTAGCGAGATGAATGATAAATCAACAAGACGACATACCGCGAGCAGGTCCAAACCTTGTTCATCAAGATTAGGTACGACACTCTTGAGTTCCTGCTTCGACCATCGAGGGAATGTATCCTTGTAATCAGGCAATTGAGTCACGCCTGGCCAAGTCTCTTCGCTTGGAGTGCCGAGGATCCTGGATCAAACGGTCAATTATTAGTTGTTCCGCCAGGCCAATCTGATTGTGCAGAGCGTTACCTGAAGATCTTGAAGATCTGGTCAATCTCAGAGTCGCCAGGAAACAGAGGACTCCCACGCATCACCATCTCAGCAAAGATGCACCCAACGGACCACATGTCAATAGCTGTCGAGTAGTGCCGAGAACCAAGCAATACTTCAGGAGCGCGGTACCACAACGTTACCACCTAGAATGGCAGCACAAACGCTCAGCTTACAATGCCACACGTAAGAAGGAAAGTTCAGGGGTGTCCATTACCTCGTGGGTGTATGTCCTCATTGGAATGCCAAAAGCTCTCGCGAGACCAAAATCTGCGAGTTTGAGATTGTTCTTCTTGTCAATAAGTAGATTTTGAGGCTTCAGGTCGCGATGTAAGATTCTGTGCGAATGACAGTACAAAAGGCCAGCATTGAGCTGGTGAGTAAATCGCTATAATGTGATAGGAACACGGTTAGTCAAATTGCCGAATCACGTGACGATCGCTTCGCGTCCCCGCCCTAACATCACATCATATCCCCTATCACAATCGATGTGATGATGCCAATCTGAAAATGTGTACGGTGGAATTAAAGCTAAATGACAAAAATAGCATGGGCCAAGCATTCCGGTGCTCGGGCTAGCGAAAACCCGCAGCAGCTGTTCGATGTCTTTGCATCAAACTACGCGCCGAAACGCGAAACACGCGTCCACCACGCGCCAGAAATCGTAAATGATGGGTAGGGGACCAATAAGAAGCAATTTTAAATGCCAAGCTGACTCACCTTGACTATGCCGATGGGAATGGGCGTACCGGATGTGTTGGCGTTCTCCATATAGCGCTTCAAGTCAACATCCAAGAATTCAAATACGAGATAAAGCTTCTGTTCGGCGTGCACGATATCAAGCAGTCTAACATAGACATTTAGCCACGAGGAGCGGTTGTCATAGTTTAGGACGTTATACCTAACGATATTGTCATCCTTGAGTTCCTTCAGCAGACTGATTTCTCGGATGGCAGTGCTCGGGACTCCTTCATCCTCTGCTTCGAGTCGAATTTTCTTAAGGGCTACAATCTGATTCGTTGTAACGTCCCGCGCTTTATAAACAACTCCATATGTGCCTGAATGTGCGTTAGCGATAAACAACGAAAGCGGGCGGAGTGCGACTGCACCTTCTCCTACAACGTGCGCCACACCAGTTCATTGTAGTCTGATGTGAACACACGACAGGCACGCACCAACTTTCTCTATTTTTGCGTAGCTACAATTCAGCAAAATCAATTGATTTTGTCAACCATTGAGCGAGAAACGAGGTGCGCACCGATCCATTTGTCAAAAGAGCGCACAATCTGTACTATGCAGGTTAACTGTAAAAAGCGAGTATCGGTATCAATGGAAAGGCTATCGCGTGGATGAGAGGAAATGGTGTCTACAGGTCAATCTAGATGAAACCTGGCGGGTGATACGGAGATCGAGTAAAGGCGAGCTCGCCGACTCGTCGTTGTAATTGGAAGATTGGCGATATTCAGAATATCTGGCGCTCGTAGCTAACCCTCAGAGAGAGGCGTGACAGTGGAATGAAGTGGAGATACGCGCCAGGGATATGCACCTGGTCGAGGTCATATAAAGAGCCCTTCGGCAAAATGCGACTACGGACGCCACTGCTGTCACTCTCACCGAAACAATTCATTGCAACAACCGTCTTATTCCCTGCTTGACAATATTAATGCAAGTACTACACATTCCAGCGACCTGGGTCCTCAGGCCTCAGGGTTCACTTCCGAATTTTACTGTCTTTCGTATTTCCCTTCAGGCTACGAAGGCGCTCGCACTTTTTCCACCGCTCACTGCACACTGACAGAAACCGTTTGTCCAAGGGAGCACCGTCGGACCGGTGCTTTCGAGGTGGCTGGAATAACATCAGCAAGCATTCATGCTGTCTGCCACTTGGTTGTCAAGGCTTAACAATAGAGTCACCTTCCCATGAACTCAGATTTTGCCTGTGAAACCATTGTCATCGCTTCACTCCAGCGCTATGACGTTCATGGTAAGCGCAGGGCACCATTTAATTTATTAATGCTCTTGCCACGTAGACTCCATTCACCGTTAGAATCACTCGGTAGAGAAACAATACGTCAAAGAAGAGGTGTTTAAGTCATAAACGAGAGCAATGTGACAATTGTCACAAGATATCATCATCCCACAATTTCAAGCGACAAATCATGCAATCAAAGATGATGAGCCATCGTGTTATCACACGAATCTTTCATCTTGCCCGTTGTAATGTTGACACGTTCATTTGATAATGCTTATCAGTGCTGTGCACGAAATTGACAGTAGTAATCTAAATATTACGGGGTTCTCCTTCTACTTACGAACGGTAGGGTACATCATGTTAACGTTGAATGGAACGTGTATCCAATGATGAATTTCATCCCGGATTTGGCCAATTTATATTCTCACTTGGTTGTCGCATGCGTGTGATGTCGATGTACTGGCCAGGATATGGTTCTTCACCTAGCAAAAATGTTTCAGAAGTCGAACGAAAGGACTAGCAAACCACTCACTCCGATCGATGAGGTTGACTTCCAGCTCTTCGTCATCATCGTCATCCTCCTCGTCTGACGCCCAGCGGTCTTCTGCGGCTGCCCTGGGGTTGGCGGCACGATCAACGGTAAGATCTTTCATCAGGCGATTTATTGAGTCCTGTTTTACATCCTGCAGTGATTGCTCCCGTGCCGCGCGGGCGCGTTCAAGTTCTGGGAGATATTCGCTGCAGACGGAAAAAAAATAAAAAAAGTAAGAATAATGAAGATAAAACGTACGTCCTATATGTCTCACGAGACTCCTCCACCGCATCGAAAAATTCCTTGATGCCGGCACCTGTCGTACTTGAGACGCCGACGGCCTGTAATACAGTCAGCTACCCTTTCTACGGAACGACAAGGTGAAAATACCTTGAGGTGCTTGTAAAATTCATCCAACACCAAACTCATGCTATTCATCAAGCTGTTCATATAGGTTGGTTCACCTTCAGAGTCCCTCGATCCCGAATGGGACGCAAGAGCGACTTGGAATGACTCAAAATCTTGCATCCATTCGAGAGCAAAATCGTGGGGTTGCGCGTCAGTCTTGTTAAAGACAAGGATGAATGGTAATTTTGTTTTATACATGACACTAATAAAGCATCACGGATTATTGAACCGCTAGGTGATGCAGCACTCACCTGCAGGCATACAGCATGTTGGACATGAATGTCGCGGGAGCTGTCGTCCGTGGGGTGTCAATGATGTACGCCACCACGGTGGGAAACGAGGAAGCAACGGCATCTGTGATAATGGCACCAGATGCTGACCAGGTAAAAATCTCAATTTGCCCCGGAGTGTCAAGAATTATGTGACTAGCGTGGGTGCACAAGAAGTAAGAGTGAATGCAAAATAAAAATAACAAGAGCGTACTCGACTGTCTCAGCCCTTTTCTCGACCAAGTCCATAACCTGGTCAAATTTTGTCGTAAAAAGATTCAAGGCAGTCAAAATACCGCCGTTCGGTCCTAGGTTATACCTTGTGTCACAATGATCCATTCCGTTATTCATGCACTACCGTCCGGATGGAAACAGCAACACACTGTTTCATGACCTCTTTGTAATTGACAGTATCCCGGATATCAATGTTGGCTTCGAATGGCACATGAGTAACCGCTGGGTCGAGGTTTAAGATGTATGGTGGTTGTGGAGGATTTTGCGAGTGGAGGTAGGAGTTGATGCGTTGCACGAAGGTGGACTTGCCAGCCCCTGCCATCCCGATCGTAATGATGACATGTGGTTTTCTTTTCGAATTTAAATCCGGTTGACTGCTCGAAGATGCGCTCATGCTGGTGAAAGGGGAGTCTTCCTCCCAGGCAGACCAAATCGAATGAAGACAGCCGTAAATGAACTACTTGAAAGATCTATGGTAGATATGCTCATAACGTAATGCATAAATAAATAAAGCACAAACAAATCATTCTTAGGTGCAAAAGATTATACATTAACAGCAGCAATATTAATATATGGGCTGAGTTCATTTCTATGAATGGATAACTTTGCGCGTCTCGAAAAGATTGGGTCCTGATTTGTTATAATTTTTTATGCCAAATCACGCCACCGAGTTGGTATAGAAGCCCGGGGTGCCAGGGATGCATTGATGACGGTGTAGCGGTAACATGCGGTCTTCCCAAGTCTTTGAATGACATCGGTGTGGCCGCGCTCCGAGTTCCACTCTCGGTCAATGCAGGATGGGGAGCTAAGCTCATTTTTGCAGAAGTCGAAGAATCTCTTCCCGCGATTATATACCTGCCTATTGCAGTGCTCGTCGTGCAGACAAAACAATCTGCCACACCCCGACTGCTGAGAATCCCCCTCCGAGACAGACCAATACGACTAACGAGTGCCACTGGCACACATAAAACGATAGTGTTCTCTGTACAGATGTAAGGATTGCTCGCCCTCTATAACTATGCTTCTGGATCCGAAGCTCTCTGCAGAGCTGGAGCAGCGAGTTGTCGGAGGAACATTTCATAGGCTGTGAGTTGTCGCGGTCCTTGGTCTGACTAAGGGCGGCAGGAGTCTCCTGATCACGAGCGATTTGAAGGTTTGAACTTCAAATGTATCGACTTCCATGGCTTGCCCAAACTGAGTCAAACAAGCAGTTACGGTAATTAAGAACAACACCCCTGCGCGCGCGACACACAAAAGCCCTGCGGCTATGGTGAGTAACACTGTCACTGCAAGGAAGACTCTAGATATTCTAATTAGACGTTCTGAACTTTGTTACTTCTAGGCATTTCTGCCATCTTCAACTTTGAACTCCGCATGCAGCCACATGCTCATGCCTTGCGAGCAACCTGCAAGTTTATTTAATTTCATCGGGATCGTTCGAAGGCGATCAGTAATGGTGACTAGTTGACTATGCAGCATTGTGCCAATGCAACGTCATTCCGGTGATCATTTACATGTGATCTGACATATTCTTCCTCAGGGGGCGACTGGATCACATGTGCAATTCCATTCCTATACTGTTGGAGTGGTGCTCGCCGTGTAGGCAGCCTGAACCTCGAAGAAGAGATGATCACTAGCTACTACATCTGTGCATTGTGACTAGCTGCTGACAAACGCTGCGAACTCCGGCAAATCCCGCACCTCTGCGACCCTCCTCCCTAGGGGTCCCCTACTCCACGTGCCCCCCTCAAAAAACGGAGACGTCCTCGTCGACCACGTCCTCGTCTCCACTAGTCTCTATCATCCCTGCCCTGTTTCGTCGTCGTGGTCTTCGTCTCCCGGATCATCTTTGTCTGCTAGATCTTCGTCGTTCTGCAGTTGTTCTTCCTCTATACTCTCTGCTCTCGTCTTTGCTTGTTCGTCTTGCCTCTTTTGTTCTTCTGCCAGCTTGGTCCCTTCTCTGGGAATGAACGCGCACAATCGTCTGGCATGGAACTCTCCTGGGATAGGACTGCCGTCTAAGTTTTCCAACTGGTATGAATTGCGCAGTCGCTCCGTGATTCTACAGGGTATTGACCATTTTGGTAGTAGCTTCCTCTTCGCTTCGAGCGTGTTGTGTATGCCGCTGTGATAAAATTGAGTGAGTTGTCCTGGTGAAAATATGACTTCCCTTGGTGATTGCGCGAGTACTCGTTTGTCAAATGCCGCTTTCTGCTTGATTGCATGCTGTACGATAGCGTCGTACCCGTCTAACTGTTGTTGTCCTACGTATGCCATATGCGTGTTGATGTCTGAGTGTCGAATGGCTGACGTACAGTTAGTTAGGTCTGTGTGAGGTGTATTGATTACTTGGCCTGATAGGAGCTCCTTTGGTGAAAACTTCAACGCTGGGAGTATTCGGTAGTTGAGTGCTGTTACTGCCTCGTCGAGGTGTTTTGACCAGCTGTTCGGCAATGTGTTCCATGAAATTGCTTTGTAGTCGTCTTCGCCTAGGTTTGGTGTGCAAAGACGCTTGAGTACGTGTAACAGTATTTTGTTAGTACCTTCTACGAGCCCATTAATCCATGGTGAATAGGCTGCTACTACGTGTGTTTTGCAGGACCATTTCATACAGAAGTCTCGAACCTCCAAATTGTTGAAGTGCTTACCACCATCACTCATGAATGTTTCTGATGCGACAAAGTTCCGAAATATTTGTGAGAGGCTGTTGGTCGTTGTCTTCGTGGTACCTGCTGACTTGTATTTGCACACCCAGATGTGCTGTGAGAAGGTGTCCAGGTATACACCCAGTGTGCTGTATCCACCAGCTTTTGGTAATGTCAGGTAGTCACCTACAAGTAATCTGAAGGGGTGTCTGTGCATGATGGGTTCTAGAAGTGAGTGCAAATGTGGTGTTCCAAAGTTTTTGCACTTAGCGCAGTCTGTGATGGCTGACATGATAGACACATCTAATCTTGGGCTATAGATGCGGTCTGTGAGGGTGATTTTGATGGCATCTTGCCCCCAGTGTCCTCCCTCTTCATGTTGTTGAATTGTGAGTTGCCTTGCTTCTTCTTGCGTGATGCATTCTACCCTTCCTCGTGCTTGTACTGCTGTGCCTCCATGTAAATGCCATAACTTCCTGTCTTTGATCATGTATTGTGAGGCCCTGTGCTTTGTGCATTTCTGATCCCTAAGTGGCCCTGTCGAATTCAGTTGTGCAATTGATTCGATGACTTCGCAAAACACTGGTTTGTTGACAAATTGTTCCTGTAAACTTTTGGTGAGTTGCAATTCGTTTGTGGGAGTGCTGAATAGGATATCATTGACTAATCCAGTGTTTGCTTCCCAGTCTTTGCTGACGGTCCAGTTGCTACCATCCAACAGTCCAATATCTCTTGGTTGCCCTTCTCATTGCCTACTTAACCCATCGGCTATCACACTGAGTTTCCCTGGTACATGCCTAACATCAATTATTCGATGTGCGAGGATTCCATCTCTCCAGCATGTGTGCTATGTTCATGTGGTTGTTGAGGAGTACATCTCGTAATGCCTGGCAGTCAGTTTCTATTTCCACTGGGAAACCCCATACCATGTCTGAAAACTTATCCAATCCGAATTTTAGGGCCACAAATTCTAATAGGAAAGGTTTGTACTTTTGTTCAGACACTGATGTACGTTTTGATGCAAATCCTATTGGCAGGAGTTGTTCTACCCATTTGCCCGAGGGTTTCTGAATGCGGGTACGTTGGGACAGTACTGCTGCTAGGCCTTCTTGGCATCCATTGGATGTTACCACAAATGGTGATCTGTTGTATCGAGGCACTTGCAGTATGGGCTGTGCAACAAGGGCTGCTTTGAGAGTTAGGAAGGCTTTTGTATGTTCCTTGGTCCATCATTCTGCTAACTTGAAGTCATGTAGTGTGTGCCGATATGTGTTTTTGGTGTATGGTACTTGAAGTGGGGCCATTTTCACCAAGTCCCATAGCGGTCCTTCTCATTTGGCATATCCTTGTACAAGGTCATGGAAGTGACTCATGAGACCTAAGAATGATTCCAAGTTAAGTGTGTCAGCTGGTTGTACCCAATTCACAATGGCTGTTAGTTTCTCTAGGTCTGGCTGGATGCCTTGTGGTCCTACTGTGGCACCCACAAACGTGGTCTCTGTCATGAATAGTCTGCATTTTGATGGGGAAAGAGACAGCTTCCGTTCTCTGCAATGCTTGAAGACCTGCGTGAGTTTCTCTAGCATTTCGTCAAAGGTGTTTGCTGCACATGCTCCGTCATCAACAAATAGTTCCATTGTACCATCTGCAATCAAATCATGTAGGTGAGTAGTGGTCATGTCTGCAAATGTGGATGGTGTGCCTGTGAGCCCCATTGGCATGCATTTGTACCAGAACCAGCCTCTTCCCTCAACATAAAATGCAGTATATGGTCTTGATTCCTCTGGTACTTCAATGGCATAAAACCCTGATGCAAAGTCAAAGACTGAAATGTATTGATGACCACTGAGCCGGAGTTGTTTGGTGTGGATGTCTCCTTGTGGCATGGGGGTGATAACTGTATGTTGGTTGACCTCATTGAAGTTTTGGCATATGTGCCACTTCTGTGGTCCGTCTGGCTGTGGGAATATCATTTGTCCTGGGACCTCTTGTTCTGGTAATGTGAAGGCTGGTGGCATTCTGTTCTGTTGACACTGTTTGTTGACCCGATACTGAAGTTCTTCTAGTGAGAGACCTCCATGTTCATGTGCCTTTTGTGCCAGTACTGTGGTGGCTGCACACTTCACTTGGTTGGGTGGCACTCACTCTATGATTCCTGTGACCAGCATTTCATCTATTTTTCCATGGAGAAATTGCAACTGTGGGGGGGTGAGTGCTCTTTGGTGAACTCATAAATGGAATGTGACACCCTCTGGGATGTTCAGGGAGTGTTTGGCACCTGGTACTGGAAGTACCTCTGCGAGCGATCCTGCAAATATATCTGTGAATGATGATGTAAGCTTCTCTGCTTGTTCCCGTTCTCCTACTGTTAAATCATTGCCATATCAAACTTTCTTGATGATAAAGGCTACTCGATTTGCGTTGAATGGGTCCGTAAGCCTTGTGAAAATGGCATTGTCATTTTCTAGGAAGCCTACTGGTATTTCTTTCAACATTGCTTCTATCAATGCTTTGGGCATGTCTCCATCTTCTGTTAGTATGCAAATGGGTATTTCGTTCTCTGTTGGTGTAATTGGGTCAGTATTCTTGTCTTCTGTGCTCACCTGCTGTTTTGTTTTTGACTCTTCGCTCATTCTCCATCTTTGACCTCCTACATGTCTAGCTGCATTGTGGCCAGCTAAACAGTTCGGCTTTGGTTTCGGATTCTTCTTCTCTTGATGCACTGGTGGGTGTTTATTTCTATCTTCACCTTGATCTTCTGATGATGCTCCTAGGTTGTGTACTTCCTCTACCACTTTGTTGATAGAAGCTTTCTTTGCTAGGCTGAGGTTGTGTAATGTGCATGTTCCTCCAATGCCTATGATATCTACTTTGTCTGTCTGATAGTTGTGAATGGCTTTGAATGCGTGTAGCATTGGTTTCCCAAATAGAAACTTCCATCTGCCACCACTGTCGAACACCTTGAACTCCCCATATGCTTTGATTCCTTTGATTTCAACCTCTCCTCTCCATGTTGTGTGTGAAGGAATGATAGCACCATTGGCCATTTGCAGTCGTTTGCTTGATGGTGTCCAATTCCCAAGACAATGCTTGATTTTTTCAAAGAATGAGGAGCACATTGCACTGATCATTGCTCCTTTGTCAAATAGGGCTGTGACTCGTATGACTTCTCTGTTGGGTCCTGTTACGGTAAACCGTAGGTCGACTAGGATAGGCTCGACGATAGACACTCGATAAGAGTGACGTCTAAAGCCGAATCGTAACCTTACAAATGTAAGGGTCTTCTAAGACAAGTTGGAGAGAGTGTCTCCGACTCGAATATCGATATCAGACACTTAGAGATTGGGGGTCTCTAAACGAAGGATGTTCTGGGTAAAACCTAGTAGATTAAAGTGAGGATTATCTAAGTACAAGACCTGCTTATATAGGTAAGGCCTGCTTTAGGGCCGGTACGTATACGTCATCGAGACGAGTCAGAGATAAGGGAAGTGACGTCAGCTAACGATGGCACGAGGCGGTCGCGCTGTGATACAGATAAGGGATGAGTCAGAGATAAGGGAAATGACGTCAGCTAACGATGGCACGAGGCGGTCGCGCTGTGATACATGCGTAAGCGGAAGAAAGGAATAGCCTAGTGATGGCACGGTTAAGTGCGGTCATGACGTAATACAAAGAGAGATAACAGAGAAAATGATAGGGGGCAACCGTTACTGTAACATTACCCCTCGATTAGCGATGAAGTCGCCGACTTCACATATCCTGATTAGCCCAGTAGATGGGGTCAGCGTCGTAATTGGAGTAGAGAAGGTCGTCTTCTTCCTCCGTGATGGTGGTAGGTTGTGCCAACTGCTCGGCGTGAGCGATGGCGTCCTGCTCAATCTCCCATCGAGCAAGTGCGTCGTAAAAACCGACGTCAGTCCATACCAATGGAATGACCGCTTCTCCTTTTAGGTCCCTGCAAAAGACCGACAAATGGCCGGGTGCGTATTCTTTGCAAACCCTGCAGTAGTATGCGGGACAGTTCTTATGCCGATGACCGGCGATGTGGCAGTTCCGGCATACAACATTATCAGCCGGTGACGTTTTCACAATGGTGACTGATGTTGACGCGGATGGGTCAGGAGGCGATGGTGATCGCGATCTTTTGAGCGGTGGTTTGGTAGGGGAGATGGATGCGGCTCGCTTGGCGGCAAGGCGGGAGGATCTACGCTTGAGTGGGAATCGTTTCTTGGTGCGTACGATTGGGTCAGGAGAAGGAGAAGCCGGTACGTCAAGTACGGCAATAGGAGGGATATTATCATCCGGATGCTCCACGGCAGCGGGAGTCGGTTGGGGTACTGGAATGATGACATGGGGTGACGGTGGTCTTGCGACGGGGTTAAGAGCGATGCGCTCGGTGACGATATGGATGGCCTCCCTGATAGCGTCTCTGGTGTCTTCAGGGAGAAGGCGAATGGCAGTGTTGCGAATGCGTATATGAAGGTGGCGAAAGATGGTCTGATGACGCTCATCATCGAGGAGGGCGGCGGTGCGTTCAATAAGACTAGCGTCTCTGATGATTCGAATTATGAGACCACTAGAGATTGCTCCCCTCTCTCCAAGGAGACGGTCAATCTCAATAGCGTACTGCTGGGAGGTAATAGCGGATTCGAATAGAGCACTGGTTTCGACTTGGTCGATGACCGAAAAATAATCGGTTAGAGTAGAATCGTCGGTGAGAGTCAGGGTGGAGTTAGAGGTTGGTGGTGAGGGTATGGGAGAAGTGAACGCGTGTCGTGCCAGGTCTGCGGCGGTGGCGTTCTGATATTCTTGGAGCGTTACGGGAACTGTTCTTTCTCTTTCAGTGGCAGCGTCCATAGCGGCAGTGATTTCTTGTATGCGGAGGATGCAGAGACGTAGTCGTTCGATGGAGGACATTCTGAGGAAATCACAGTCCATGGGCCCTTTTATAGGCTTTAAGGACGTCGGGGGCATTAGCGAGATTTCCTTCTGGAACCCACTCGTTACTGGCTGATGAGTACCCCTTCCATGATAAGAGATAGCGTCTTCGTTTACCCGTCCCTTTGTGCGATAAGATCGCATCAATTTCATATTCTTCTTCGTTATCAATGACGTCAGGGGGTGGATCGTGGAAGTTTGGTCCGTGAATCTCTGTTTCATGATAGGACGATAGTTCGGAAGCGTGGAATGTGGGGTGAACTTTCCACTGAGGTGGTAACTGGAGTGTGAACGTGATGGGAGATAGGACGGCGGTGATTGGGAATGGACCATATCGCTTGGGGGCGAGTTTTCGCGATGGCAACTGTGTGATTAGGTTCTTCCCAGATAGCCAAACCTTATCTCCAGCTTTCCACGGGTGATATTTCTGTCCATGAGTTCTTTCTGCCATACGCTGCATTGCGAGATTATGGCAAGAGAGTGCTTCTTCTCTAGACTTCTGGAGCGTACGGAGTCTGTCTTCTGCGGCTGGAACTGTGGAGTCGGGGAGGACATGTGGGAGAGCTCGTGGCTCGTATCCCATCATGAGGAAGAATGGGGAGGCGTTGCGAGAGTCGTGTTTACGATGATTATGGACGAATTCCGCCATAGGGAGTTGTTCTACCCAATTTTCAGGGTTGCTTCGACAATAGATCCTGAGATAAGTTTCTAGTTCTTGATTGAGCCGTTCCGTTTGTCCGTCGGTCTGGGGATGATAGGCGGTTGATGCCGCTATGTCATACTTCAACAGCTTGGCAAGGGCCTGCGAGAATTTGGATATAAATTGCGGTCCGCGATCGGAGATGACTTTGTCATGTAGACCAAATCGTCTGTAGACGTATTTGAAGAATTTGCTGGCGACCCCTTCTGAAGTGATAGTTTTAGTGCAAGGGATGAGAATTACCCCCTTCGTAAGCCCATGGTCGACCACGACCATGACCGAATCGAAGCCGGAACACGGGGGGAGATCCGTGATTAGATCGACGGATACCTGGGTGAAGGGTGCGGCGGCGGCGGAAGGGATAGGAACCAGGGGGGGGGGTCGATAAGTGCCCATAGCGGGCCACCAAAAGTCGCGTTTAACCAATTCTTCAGTCTTGAAACGGCCAGGATGGCCGGCGGTGGGGTGGTCATGACATCGTTCTAAAATGAGACGCCGCCCAGCGGGGCGGACGTAGGCGCGGTCCTTGTAATAAAGGATATCGTCGGTAATTTTCCAATCGGAGAGGGCGGATTTCATGGGGGGAAGGGACATTCCATCCAGGGCATCAGAGGCGGCGGTAAAGATAGGGTCGGGGTTGGAGGGGTCGGGATTTACTAGAGTGGTCATGAGTTCGACGTCAAGAAGTCGAACAAACATAGAGTCGGGGAGGAGGGTTTCATTGGTATTATCATCAGCGGAATCTGATCCGTGGTCGGGGCGGCGGGATAGGGCATCGGGGGCGACGAGCTTGGTTCCTGCAACATGGTGCAGCTCGATGTCATAGCATGACAGGATTAACTGCCATCGTGCTTGACGGCGAGTCAACTTCTGGGCTGTCCTAAAGTAAAGGAGGTTCTTATGGTCGGTGAATACAATGACGGGATGGGGATTTCCTTCCAAATAATGACGCCATTCGGTCAACACGCGAATAACTGCGAGAAGTTCGCGGTCGAAGATTTGGTAGTTACGCTCTGCGGGGTTCAATGTTTGGGACAAATACCCACAAGGGTGATAAACACCGTTATCGTCCGTCTGGAGTAACACCGCACCAGTAGCAACTAGAGATGCGTCAGTGGCAACTGCGAACTGTCTGGCTGGATCGGGGTTGCGGAGGACTGGTTGCTTCAAAAAGCACTCTTTCAGCTCAGTGAACGCAGACGTGCATCGGTCGGTCCAAAGGAATTTAACATCCTTCTTGGTGAGATCTATTAACGGTCTGGCGATGTCGGAGTAGTGGGAAATGAAGTTCCGGTAGAAGTTACAGAATCCTAAGAACGACCGAACTTCTTTTACCGACGTGGGGGTAGGCCAATCCCGAATACCATTGGTCTTAGCGTTATCCATTGCTATACATCCGGGGCGAATGATCATTCCGAGATATTCCACTTCTTCCGCGTCGAACGTGCACTTTTCCGGTTTAAGGAAAAGTTTCTCTTGTCGAATTCTTTCTAGGATATGCCGGGTACGTTTATGATGGGAAGTGAGGTCGTTCGAGAATATGAGGATGTCATCCATGTATATGACAAGCCATCCTTCGTTGATTTCCTGTTGGAACGTTCTATTCATGTACGTTTGGAAAGTGGCCGGGGAGTTGCAGAGACCGAAAAACATGACGTTGGGTTCAAAAAGTCCGTATTCCGTAGTGAAAGCAGCCTTCCATCGGTCTTCTGGATGGATACGAATGTTATTGTATCCAGACCGAACATCCATCTTCGTAAAGTATTTTGCACCATGTAACCGAGCGACCAGAGAAAGCGGTAATGGGAGTGGGTAGGCGTTCTTGACGGTCCATTCGTTGATATACCGGTAGTCTTGACAGGGACGAAGATCTCCACTTTTCTTTCCTACAAAAAAGAATCCGCTAGCTTGCGGTGATTTTGATTCGGAGATAAACCCTTTCTGGACGTTTTCATCAATGAAAGCTTTAACCGCTACTCGTTCTTTTTCGGATAGCGGGTACACCTTGGACGTTTTGGGAATAAAACCGGGCTTTGTTTCTATTCGGTGGTCTATACCAAGTCGTTCCGGTGGTAGTTGGTTCAAGCCATCCTTTGCAAAGATATCGGCGAAGTCGTGAAGGTAAGAGGGGACAAGTTCTTCGAATGGTTTCTTCTTCTGTTCGAGTCCAGCAGCCAGCGCGAATTGCTGGGCCTTGTTACTGGTCTTGATATATTCAGCAGGTGGCGTCAGGGGGGTGACCTTGGTTCGTTGTTCCTTGATGCTAGTCCCATCTTTTGTCAAAGGGGTATCAAGCGAGACATTAGATATTACCCGAAGCTCTGAAGCATCAACGGGGTACTCGACTAGGAACTCGTCATCCTCTAGATGATAGGTGGAGATTTCTCGCACTGGTGGTGCGTAATCAGCCGTCCATATATCTTCCTTTGTGTCAAAGGAATCATCGTCGTCGTCTGGTATGGGGTCAAGATTGGGCAATGCTGGCGGGGTTGCTTCTTCATCAATAATTTCTTCTATTGTGGCATGCAATGGCTTCTGTTCGACCGTTTCCCTAGGAGGCGCCTTCGGCAGCACTACAACTGGGATAGGTTCTTCTTTCGTCTCTTTTGTTTTACGAAAGAGAGGAGGCAGTCTGTTCTTCTTTCATTCTTGATCGACTTCTTCTTCGATCTGGTCACTTTTCTCTGTACGAGAAAGCTCTAGCGTTTCCGCTTTCCATCGGATTACTGGGTCCATGGCGCGTAGCCAGGGGATCCCGAGCAAGATCTGATCACGTCGGCCTAGTCGCGTGATGTTAAACTTTCCGATCATTGATCGGTTATCTATCTTGACGATGAGGACGCAGTATCGCGTGATAGCGCCCCCTCTTGCATAACTCCCATCCGCGGTTGTAACCCGAAATGGTTTTGATAGTTTATGCGTTCGGATGCCGTGAGTTTTGACAAACTCTTCTGAGATAAAGGTTCCGGCGGCGCCGGAGTCAACGACTGCTGTCGTTTCGACGGTTTTCAGACGTGTCTTGGAGATGAGAGAAATGGGAACGCGGAGTTCCTTTCTTATTCCTGTGCTTCGTACAAGTCTTATAGGTACATCGGAAGATACGGACGTCGATCCCGTCTTCCACATCAAAAATCCTCGGCAAGGCGACGGATCGTTGTATCTTCTTCTTCTTCTTCTGTGTCGCTCATTTCTTTCCTGCGAACAGGGATCTTCTTCTTCTGTGGGCATGCTTTTGTCATGTGCCCCTTCTGGTGACACGTGAAGCAAAGCCCCTTCTTCATGTGGTCGCTTCTTTCGGCTTCAGTGAGCCGATCCACCTCCATAGCATTTGGATCGTGTCGGTCAACGGAGGGTCTAGGCACATAGCGTTGCCCAGAGGGTTTGGTGTTTATTCGATGATTGGATCTGAATGCGACACCCCTCTGATAGTTGCTATCGAGTCTGACGACCGCGGCGACGTACTTGTCGAAATCTGTTGGGATGGTTTCCATCTGGTAGACGGAGTTAACGATCCCTTTTTTCAGTCCGTCATTGAGGAACGTGATAAGGACGGCGTCCTGCTTGACTTCTGCTTGAGCGGCAAGCGTTTTGAAACTGGCGATGTAGGATGTGATGTCACCCGTCTGTTTCAACGTTCTAAGCCTGTTCATAGCGGTACCGACGGCATCGGCGGGTACGAATGCTTCTTTGAACTTTGTTTCAAAGTTCGCGAAGGTTCCATAGGTCTTGGCGGTGGTGTTGTCGACTTCTGTGTAGAAGGTGAGTGCCCAACCCATAGCACTGTCTTCTGTCATATATGCGAGGGCGGTAATAACCTTCTTCTCATCGGTGTTGTAAATTGTAGCGTTGAGCGCAAAATACGCTTTTAGCGCATACAACCATCGTAGTGCCTGATGGGGGCTCCCGTCGTAGGTGGACGGAGCTCCGGCTTTCAATTCTGGGATAGTGGTGGACATCCTAAGCGTTTCTGCTTAAGGGTGTTTCTTGGTTCTGGTTCAGGGGAACGTTTTCGTTCTCTCGCTGAGTCTCTTCTTGGTTCAGGGGAACGTTCTCGTTCTCTCGCTGAGTCTCTTCTTGGTTCTGTGTAACCTCTTTGATGAGAGGGTCGATTTGGCGACTTTAATCTTTTGTTACGGTAAACCGTAGGTCGACTAGGATAGGCTCGACGATAGACACTCGATAAGAGTGACGTCTAAAGCCGAATCGTAACCTTACAAATGTAAGGGTCTTCTAAGACAAGTTGGAGAGAGTGTCTCCGACTCGAATATCGATATCAGACACTTAGAGATTGGGGGTCTCTAAACGAAGGATGTTCTGGGTAAAACCTAGTAGATTAAAGTGAGGATTATCTAAGTACAAGACCTGCTTATATAGGTAAGGCCTGCTTTAGGGCCGGTACGTATACGTCATCGAGACGAGTCAGAGATAAGGGAAGTGACGTCAGCTAACGATGGCACGAGGCGGTCGCGCTGTGATACAGATAAGGGATGAGTCAGAGATAAGGGAAATGACGTCAGCTAACGATGGCACGAGGCGGTCGCGCTGTGATACATGCGTAAGCGGAAGAAAGGAATAGCCTAGTGATGGCACGGTTAAGTGCGGTCATGACGTAATACAAAGAGAGATAACAGAGAAAATGATAGGGGGCAACCGTTACTGTAACAGGTCCTGTGAATGTGACATTTTGTAAAAAGGGAAGGCATGCATTTCAGGACTGTTCCTCATCTGCTGAGTACAGGTTAACAATGTTGCATTGTTCACTAGGATTGATAAACATGATGACATGATCTTTACAAGACATTGACTCAGCTGGATTGTTGTATTGGTCCTCACATGCTTCCTTTTCTCGTGTGAGGACTGGTAGTCCATCACTATGAGGTGTGTTATGCAGGTGGGTCGTCGAGTGGTCCTCTACACTGATGACCCATTCCCATTTCCCTGCTCTCCCCTGGCTGGTGCATACATGTCATCAAATACTATGTCCACCTGTGGCGCTGTAGCCCTGTTGAACATGCCTAATGTGCGTGTGCATAGTCCCCTCCAGATCAACTCATTCTTTGGCAATTGGTCATCCACTGGGACTTGGCACTCTGGACTGATGTGCCCATGCAACCCACATCTGAAGCATTCTCCCAAACATATCTGTGCCATTCCTGGCATCAGTGGATACAGTGTCTGATCTGAGCACCTTGTTCCTCCTCCCCACAGGTTTTCCCATTGTCGTACCTGTTCCATGTAGGCCACTTGCCCACCTGGGGTGTCTTGGTGGTGCGTTAGCTCATTAACATGAGCTCACATTGTGTCTCACTCTTCTTGCATAGGTGGTTGACCTCTGGGACATTGCATTGCACTCTGATTCGCTGTGACATAGCGTATTTGTCAGCAAGCTGGTATATTGCTAGATGGGTTGGTTGGGGCATTACATGCTGTGTTCATGTTGCTAGAGGGTGGGGATGAGGTATTGATCAGTCTGATTGCCATGTGCTGCATCTGGAGATGCAAGATTTCAATGGGGTCCGTTTGCCTATTCTCAAGCTTTGCTATCCTCAAATTCTGTGCTTTCTCCACTTCTTTCTTCTCCTTCTCTCATCAAGCTTTGTCTTGGATGACATCAATATTTGCATCCTTTATCTCATCTAAGAATACTGTCCATGTGGCTGGTGCTGGTGAGGTGAGGTCTTGTATGATGCGCAGAAGCACTTCATGGACTTGATGGATGAACACTAGTGCATTAGCTACGCCTGCATCTTGGACTAGCTTTTGTAGATGTCCGTGGTAATGGAGATGCAACCAGGTTGAGACGCCTGCTACTGTGATGCGTTCTCCTACATCATCTTCCTTGAGTCTCAGTGTGAGCAGCTCCTTCTGATAATCTAGTGTAGATTTTGCAGCTACCACTATAGCTGGCCATTGCACTTGAAATGCCACTTTGATGGTCGTCCATGAGGTCAATTGTGCCACTGTTAGGGCGTTCCACCATATATCTGCTTGCAAGCCTGCAGAAATGAACATGCCGAATAAGGTGACCTTCGTCACTTCATCAGTGATTCTAGTGACTTGGATATATCTCTCTACTTCACACAAAAAATTCTGTGGGTTTTCATTCTCATTTCCATTGAACAATGTTGGCATGGGTGCAGTTGCCATTGGTAGATGTTGAATTTGGACTGGAATGGGTGGTGGTGCGATGCTTATCTTCGGGGATGGCCTCAGTTTGCTTATGTTATGGACGGTGAGTTGATGCAGGTATTAAGTCGATGGGAATGGGAATGGGATTGGGATTGGGAGGCTGATCTCTGGAATGGGGATGTTAGTGGATGGATCCAGTGCTCCTGGTAATGATTCCTCGTCATCTTCACATTCTTTTAGTTGCCTATTGACCTTGTGTTCTGACATTGATGTGTCATTGTCCAATAAAGCATGTTCATCAATTTCTGGAGTATCTAGTGGTGATGAGTTCTCTGACACAAATTCTGAGAGTTCTGAGGTGGGGTCTGTCTTCTTGGTGAATCATCCTCCTTTGCCTCTGGGTGGAAGGGACTTTTTCTTTGTTTGTTTGGCTAAGGGAAGATCAGACATCAGTGATGGGTTTTTGTACTTCTGAGTTGAAATGCTATGCTTTGAATGTGTTTTCCTTATGGCTCTAATGTGGTGGATTCTCTTAATTCTTGAACGTGTGCTCATGTATTCCACAAGGCTTCTAGATTTGGTTCTGGGTTCAACTCTGGACATGGCTCTGGACTCAGCTCTGGACTCAAAGGGAAAGCTCTAAGGCAGCAACTTGGTTGAGACAAACTCACTCTGTTCACCAGTTGGAGTGGTGCTTGCCATGTAGGCAGCCTGAACCTCGAAGAAGAGATGATCACTAGCTACTACATCCGTGCATTGTGACTAGCTGCTGACAAACGCTGCGAACTCCGGCAAATCCCGCACCTCTGCGACCCTCCTCCCTAGGGGTCCCCTATTCCACTGTCTTCTCTATTGTTCTGCTAAGACGGGACAAGTACATCTTCGGATCTCAACATGCTGCGAAAACCATAACTACTAGCATGGTTTGCCCAAGAAGATGAGCGGTGTCTGGTTAGTTCAGGAGTCAAGATGGCCCTGTACGTTTCGGACACAAGACAAAAGGCAGCCGGTCACGCAACATTGAGTAATTTCGTTCCCTAATCTGACCTGGGACATAACATGGTGCTGCTGGCTGTCGCAGTTCTTACACTCCCTGCATCCTTCCTCAGCATCGCAGTGGCTATTCCAAACCGCCATGCCGCAAAGCCTGCTGTTCGTGGACGAGCAGGGTTTGGCATTGTACGGCTTCCCCGAGAAGCTCACTGTGCTATTTGTCCAGAAGACATAAAGACAAATGGCGGTACTGCAACGCTTGTCTTTGACCAAGGGTCAACTGACGGAATCACTATGTGCACGTGAGTCTGCGTATATTCAGCTGCGCGCATATACTCATCGTGTGTGTAGCTATAAGGAGAGTTCCAGCACGGATATCATCTGTCCCTATGTAACGGTTAGTGCAATCCATGGGATGTGAGATTTGCTGACAGGTGTTTTATGCACCGTGACAGGACACTGGAGAGTTGAATGGCGCAGTCAAGTACTGTCCACAAACGGTTGCTCTTGGTGATTGTGTCAACAGTTAGGCATATGTCGAATTATACGATATTATATATGCCCTTCTGAGCCACAAAATTGGTTAGTGGGAGGGCGTCGTCATGCAAGCATTGATACTGGCTACAGGATAGCCCTTCACACTACATTGTACAGCATTTCTGTTCGACTTTCATATGGTATTTGTTGGGTACGACCTGGTCTAGCTACGTGGTTTTCATATTCGCAATTTAACCGCATTGATACACAATGAAACGCGTGAATTAAACTGTAGGTATCCCTAAACATGGATATACAATGTTAGTGTAGATCGAGAAACTGTGATACAAAGCGAAACACGCTGAAAGAAACAGAGCTAATATGCGCCCCGTCCGCTCAACACTTGAAGATTAGGAGTGTGAAGAGTGCCAGGAGTCCGCAGAGTATGTCCATTGCCACTATTTGCTACAGACACTCTATAGGCAAAGGCGTAGCTGGTACCCGGCTCACGGCAGGGAACCGCATCTCAATCTAGAAGCTTGCCCAGTTGACCCAAGAGATGCTTGCGAATTTTGACCTGCATGGGAAGTCGAAGCCCCACCACCAAGGGTATTGGTAGTAGATGACACAATTGGTGTTGGTGACAGTGCGGGAATTATTACAGCAGCTCAAGTCATCAGAGACACGTACTTGTCCTCGTCGGAAGCTGGGAGATGTCTCTTTCTCTTATCCGCAACTGCAGAACCAACAGCCTTCGAAAGTGTCTCCGAGTCCACCGAAGAGTGAGAGAGAGCCGCCCTAACACGGATGTCGTGACTCAAAACCATGTTCATTCTTGGAGGAGTGGAGCAGTGGGCGTAGCGGCCACGATATGGGCTAAACCAGCCAACTCAGAAGGAATACTAAGCAATTCCTGCACTTGCTGCTGTTCGAGCGTCTCGAAAGTTCAGACCTTGGTGAGATGTACTGACGTCGACGATAATATGATCTGCATCACTCAGGTGACCGGGAACATACAGGGAGTTTGTCAAAGGAACGAAGATAATCACTCCTGTACGAATAGAATCAAATAAGAGCTTGGAGATAGAAATGTTGAAACGTTGATGTACCTTTGTTTTATCTCCGACATTCTCAATGCGTGACTTAAACTTTGCTTGTGCTTGCTTCAGCTGAGCGAATAAAGTCGCGAGGTAGTTCAACTCCTACAACGCAATCAGATATGCAAAAAAACAACCATATCATCGACGTATCTCTCCTAGCGGCGCAAATAAGACAACTATTCAAGATTGGGATCGGCAACATTGATTTCTTAAGGCGTAGTTGAAGCCATCGCGGAGGATCGGGCGTGACTGGAGTATGAATATATGACCTCTTCAGCGTATTGGACCTTGTGAGTGACTTTGTTGTTGTAGACTCGAGTTCGTGGTGGGTAATGATGACAGTGCACCGCAATGTGCATAGTAGCAGTGCAGTAACTCCAAACCCATGGGGCGCTCATCGTGATCGGCGGCGGCGAGGAACCCGGCGGGGCTCGAAGAAGATCTGCGCAGACATAGTCTCCGGTAGACCGTGACAGACCCCAGAAGATCAGTCGAGGCCGAAGTTGCAGTGACCGAGGAGGTACCAGAGGTATACCCAGAGACCAGCGATGACATGAGTAGGGTATAGCACAGGTGTACCCGCGGGTCGGAAGATGAACACCGTACCCGTACCCGTCAACACCGTACCCGTACGGGTACGGGTACGGTATTACCCGTACTAACCCGCGGTATAGCAGCTTACCCGCGGTGTTGCATTTACCCGCGGGTACACATACAAGAAATAGTAACACTACGTAGCCTGTAGGTCTAATAACCTCACCCAACACTCTCGTCCTCTCGTTTTCTTTTCTTCAGAGACTTCATGATCTTAGTAAGATCCTTGGGTGCTACCAGATCACAGCGGAGCCACGAGCCAAGACAGAGGAATGCGCGAGTCGATGACGGAGACAAGCGGTTTCGAGTGAAGTGCAGAAGGTGCCGGCCTTGCGAAAATACACGTTCGACTGCAGTCGAGGTAGCTATGGTGTGTAACACATAAGCTGTGATGCTAGCGAGAGCGATGATGCACAACCTACCAGGAATGCTAAGGTAATCAAGTGCCATCCGGTGCAAATTCGGATACGTCTTTTGATTATGGACCCACCATTGCAGTGGGACTTTGGTATTCTCTACTGGTTGCCTCAAATAGTCGTCAAGCTCATCTACTAGAGATGCTGCTGTGCCAAGAAATATGTCACCAAAGTCATCAGCACATTGTCGTACCTTGTCTTCTACCGAGACATGTGCAGCTGGAGTTGAAGGTGAGACCTGGTCTTTGTAACGATCTATGTACTCTTCTCGGACGAGATTCAGAGAAAACTGATCCGCTCGTGGCCTGTACCTTTCCGCCACTAAATGCAAGATCAACTGCCTCTTTGCCCCAACGGCCATTGGTGTGATGCCTTAGATTCGTAGTCGATGACTTGTCCCCGGAGTCCTGGAAGCGGCGGACACCTCCGGAAGGGAGTTTGCACTTGTGTGCCCCGCAAGGGAAGAAATGAACTAGACGTCCATCGTGATACTGGACAGCCACAGCGTCAAGCTTAAAAAACGAATAGACTGCTGAACGCCATGTTTTCTTGAGAGTATCTGTGAGCGAAAATTAATCAAGGTCCACGCAAACGCGAGCAATAAGTTCACGTACTTAGATCAGCTTCGTCATCCTGTTCGGCGGCAGGAGGTGCCACATCATTTTCATCAACATCAACATCAACATCAATTACTTCCGGAGCAGCGGAGTGCAACTCAGAGGGGGTTGCTGTGGCCTGTGCAAGGATAAGCTTGACACGTTTTGCAACATTGTCCACTATGGGCTGCGGAGATGACGATATATTTAAACATGTTGAGGTGGACTCAGCGAGCGAGGCCGTGTCATTGACAGTAGACTGATTAACCATGATGATGATGGAATAAATGGTATTGAGAGTCTACATACCTCACTTTATACTGTTGAATCGCCGAGTGCAGCGGGTTACTGTTACAGTCAACGACCCTCCGAAAAATAGGGATCGTAGTGAGTGGCGAATCCTTGTCATGTCCAACCGTCACTGTTGCAGTCAACGACCCTCCGAAAAATAAGGATCGTAGTGAGTGGTGAATCCTTGTCATGTCCAATATATAACACCGGAGAACATTCGGAGATAGCGCGGCTACTAGTACCCGTGAACATACCCGTATACTGTGCAAACGGGTACGGTATGACCACGGGTGCCAAATCTCTACACCGTACCCGTACCCGCCATACCCGTGACCCCCATACCCGCGGTGTGGCCCATACCCGTGCTATACCCTAGACATGAGCGGGCGCATGGCCCGTATGTTCAAGGATCACATAATACAGCATCAGATTCACCTCTCCTGCAGGTTCAAAATTCGCGCCCTACTCATATACATCCTTCAGTGTTTCGCTTAAAATTCCACGAACATCCGAGTTTTTCGTCCGTGTCGTTGATGCGTTATACTTCACTGATAGAATCTCAGAGCAGTATCATTGCTGTATGGCTGGTACTAGCAAAGATCTACATTTGGGAAACGTTGAGCGCCCTGGTACCAGTGCACTGTCTTAAGCTGTTCGCTTCCGCGTACGGTCCAGGGTATCACTCATTTCTGTCCGCTCACCTCAGACTCTTCCCAACCATTTGCTCCATCCCTAAAGGCAATTAGTTACGTCGTACTCATGTCAAGAGCATTAATCACCTCCAAACGTAGCCGAAGACTATCACAAGAGGGTAGCACGGACGTCGCGCATGATCAGAGCGCCCACCTTGACGATCACTCTCCCCAACAAACTGATACCCTACGACCCGCCGACAAGTAAGTTGCGACTTCTTAAAATCATCTTGGTGCCCCATTTGACAGCAATGCAGTGAGAAGGAAAACTCCGGACCTTCGATGGTGCAGCTATCATCAGGAATGTGAGCATTTCTGCCCCGGTGCTTTTGCACCCCCCTTACACGGATTGCAGCTCGAACTCTGGGCCTCCCCAACAACCAGAACCTTGCGCACAGGAAAGTACTAATGATGCTCCCAACAGCGGCTTAACTGCAAGTTCAACTCGGTCACAAAGTCCAACATGTTCATATCATCTCAGCGAGGCGCAAAAGGTCGTAGTGCAGGAGGACCAACCAAGTCCAAGTGAAATGTGGGCGGCCAAATAAGCCAAGGGGTCACAACTGATGATACTATGCCTGCAGAGTGAATGTCTTGAAGCAAGTGTTGGACGTTCTACAGGACTCAACGATTGCCTCGAAGACCGGCAAGGATGACCGCTCTCGTTTCTGGGCGGCATACAAAAAAGTCGCCGAGGAACACGACGACGAGTTCCTTGAGCGATACAATAGCGACATGGACATCGTGTTAATCTTCGTAAGTTTCACACACTCGCCTTTGCCTTGTGTTAGGATTGACGTTTGATCAGTCTGGTCTGTTCTCCGCTGTTAGCACGGCTTTTATCGTGGCCATGGAGTCGAATCTCAGTCCAGACCCCGATGACATCACGCATGCCCTTCTCACGCAGCTCGTCCAGATTGGACTGGGCAACTTCACTGCAGCGGGGCCTACGCCAGCATCGACAGCATCTACCTGGTCGCCGTCCATAGCCAATATAAGGATTCAATTGATCGCATACGCAAGCTTATCCATGAGTTTGCTTGCTGCGTTTGGTGCCGTGCTAGGTAAGCAATGGCTCGGGTACTACAAATCACACAGATACGGCCGCGGCTCGGAGGAAGAACGAGGGAAGCGCAGACAAGAGAAGTTCGACGGCATCGTCGCATGGTATTTCGATGCCGTCGTACAGTCGTTTCCGATTTTACTCCAGATCTCCCTTCTTCTGTTTGGGATCGCCCTCAGCGCCAACATGTGGTACCGGCAGTACACTATAGCCTGGGTCATTATTGCAACAACGGCCTTCGGATTTTTGTTCTATTCATTGACTGTGATGGCAGCTTTGGTATCCCCCGCCTGTCCATTTCAGACACCAACATCGACGATATTGCGCATGTTGCACATCGACAGTAAGATCATCTTGTGAGTTCTGGCGGTCACTTTCATTCTGAGTCAAAATTGCAGGAGTTCTACGCCCAATGGTCAAATTGGCCTCCTGGTATCCTCAGCAGCTGGTGACGCTGGTGCACGGTAAGGATCGTTTTTTTATGTATACATAATTTGAACTGTTTCTTGTTAGGTGTGCTGCAATGGCGGTTTGGTGTCCTCAGTTTAAGATTATTAAAAGCACTGTCAGGTTACGTTCTTTGCTACCTACTGTATAGCACACAGCGCTCATTCCACTCCAGACTTTGTGCTTGTGATCAGCTCATCCGCATGGCGCTCTCTTCAGCAATTATTCGGCGCCCTTCATCACCTTCTGCCTTCGCTGCATTCTTTCCTTCCGCGCCCTCCGACAAATGTCGTGGACTCTGAAGCACAACTCCATAATCAGAACTTGGATGTTGTAGCCAAGAATCAATGCCCCCTTAGCCTTGAGCTAGCAGACACACCTATCAGCGGTCTCGAAGCTCCTAGCATCAAGTGGCTGCTGGAGACATCTACGGATCCTGAAGTATTTTTCGTGACTGCTGGTCTTGTTCCCCAGGTTCAATGGCCTCTGGATCTTGACGTCTCCGACACCCTGCGTCAGCTGTGTGATATTTACACAAGCTGCTTCGACGTGCATGGGGAAATTGTACCCTCGTTGACGGAGAAGGCATTGGCATCTACAATGGCTTTGAGTCACTTATACTGCGGACGCGTGCTTCAGGCATATCCAAGCCGTGGTGAATATCTTGGTCAGAGGAGAGACGACTTCACGGTGTTTTATGAAATGTTGTCCAGGCAGGATGCACGAGCCTATGAGCTTGCCCTGACAACCAAACTTTCTTTTTCCCGTAGGATACGTGCATTTCCTTCAGGGTTGGAAGATTGCCCTGATTCCGTCCCCGAGTGGCTTTCACATATTCTTCCTTACCACTTCGTTACTGGGCAAGTGGACGAAGACGTTGAAACACTCGCCATGACGGTCGTATCAAAGCTGCTATCCTCCCCATACTCTCCATCGCCTCAAATCATAGCCAACTGCACTCTTCTTGCTTGCGTCATGGTCGGCGGTCAGTTTGACAAGAAGGACATAGTTCGAATTGATAAAAGGTGCTATCGAATTATTTGATGTTTCTTCCGACATGTTTAACGAACGGCCTGCGTAGTTCTGCTCTTCGTCAACTCGGCCCATCTCTTTTGGCGCAGTTTCGACAAGCACTCTGGACATGCGATGGACATAGCACAGGAGTTGCACGCCGAGCATGGAACCTCCTCCATGTCATCTGTCGCATGCTTGAACTTGCTCGAGCTGATGTGCCTTCATTCCAACAGGCGTTTAGCCAGAATTTGGACATGTGCAGGAAGATTTTTTTACAAGCGAGGTCATCCGAACAGAATGATCCCTCGGGTTCAATGACACCTTTGCGACACATGCTGCGCTTCACGCTCGCCACTGCCTGCCCATCTTTTGACCCTAACCCCTTGTGGATTGAGGTTTGGTGGACAGGAAACTCCTCGCCAGAAGATTTTAACTGGCTAATAGATTACCTCGACGATGTTTATTCCAACGACCACGAGACAGCAGGTGACATCCTTGTACTACTGGGTAGTATGAAAGTGAGCTGTAGCCCTGCCAAACAACATCTGTTCATCAAGAGGCTCATTGCCTGTATGGACAGCAGCATGCCTTACCGTTTACGCCATGCTGCCATTCGCGCTGCTCACAGTTCCCGTGAAATCTTGGCCTCCATTGATGCCGTTGATTATGGAGATATGGTTTTAGCCAAGCTCTCCCCTGCTATCCTGACCGCAGTTTGTCCACAACCGGGTACAACATCCGGCGATGAAGATCCTGACCGGCCCTTCAATATCAAGCGCGACTCGTGCTATCTCGAACTGGTTTTTGCCCTCGCGAGGAACCCAAACTGGCGCCCCCATTTATTTGAGGCTCGCCATATTGATCGGTGCATCAGCATGATTCCAAAGTGCTGTAACATATTCATGCCGCATGCATTCTATTTAGCTGGTATCTTCCTCCGAATCACACCTGAACAATCGTTGGTTACATCGCTTGATTCTATCACGGAGCACCAGTGGTGGGACGTGATATGTATGGCATGGCCACATGCTTCCTCCATAATCGAGGATGACATACATTGTTTCGAATCTCTTCCCGTTCTTGTGGAAGGCACAAGAAAATATATCCATACCGCTTCAAAACCTAGTCTCAAGTGGCTCATCAGAGATGTGGATAGTGTTCTTAACACGGTGGAGAGACGATATTCAGAGAAGGGAGAGGGGGTCGTTGCTGCTGTGAAGGAGTTGAGAGGTGTAGCCCATGGCATGTTTTAGAGGTACAGTCAATAATTATTGGGCAAGAAACACGTCTCTTGGTTATCACGGGGATCAAGGGAAGCATGATGGGCAGTGCACCTTGAGTGTAAAAGGTAGACGAGATGAGAAGTATCAAAACCTGAATGAACTCAGTGAATTGATGGACGAATATGAAACCCAAGTGGCGTGCAGTGTAAAAGCTCGGGACACCAGCACATAACATAAATGCATCGACAAGGTTCGATTTCGTCAGAACTGGACACTGTCAGCTGCGAAGGATTGTGTTTGGGCGCCCGAATCATCCATTTATCCAGACCATGGATAAACGTAAAACTAGTTCGATTTTCTCAGTGATACCATTAAAATACATCAGCCGGCGCTTTCACAGAATCCCGACGACATAAAGTTGAAGCTGTTTCCGTTTCTGATGAACGAACTGCGTAAAAGTCCTCGAACATGACAGAACACAAATCTCGAATGCGAACATCACAAAGAATCAACGACAGTGAAGTAAACCACTCTCGGGGAGGGACTGTGATATACGATTACAGGTAAATGTTGATCGGTGAGCACCCAATGTTAATGAGGCCGTACTAGACACCATTTCGTCGGTCAGAGTACATAATACAGGAACACCAAACGACTCACGTATGTGTTACCACTGCAGCAGACAGGCTCCTGGTTACACACCGCGCCACTACCAGTGCCAATGACGCTGATGGGACTGCAGCCCATTCCAACCTTGGAGTCCTCGACGGGTTCAAGGGCGATGTTCAGTACCCTTGTGATTGCGTTCAGTTGAGGGCTGCTGTACTGTTCGGGGGTCAGACACGGCCCAGACGGGTCAAGAATTACGCACGTCATATGTGGTTTGGCAGCATGAGACGGTGCCAGTGTCGCACTGTGCGCCCGAACTGCAAGTGCTGTTGTCACGAGCAGATAGGGTGGGTACAGCGCTGGTTCCCACGACGAATGCGAGAAGAGAGACGAGGGGGACAGAAAGAGCGAACATGTTTGAGGGGTGGGGTTAAAACTTTTGAGAGGAAAATGAGTGACTTTAAAGTGGGTTGAAGGAAGAAGATTATTACCTGCTGCCTTTATATCAGCTATGAGCTGTAGAGCGGCGTCGCTAGCTTCAGGGAAGCGAAATGGAAGTAATTAATGGCACCTCATCGGGGTTGCGTTCTGAACTGCACAATGTCCTGTCACATAAAATCAGCATATGAAGGAGGTCTATTAACAATCTTGGCCACGCACCATCAAAAACCATGATCAATCGTGATATATGGCAGCTTACTACCTAGTCGACCGTTGTATGCAACATTAGAGGTGAAGCTTGAGTTTCAACAAGTCGATAGCATTCAGCAACGCAACTTCTCGTTCTGAGGTCCAGCGCTTTGAAGTTTAAATTTGGTGAAGCAGAAGCTTAGAGCGGCGTGTACGAGTACGTACAATGGGTGAAAAAGAACTCCGAGCTTGTTCGCTTCGTGAACGGGTAAGTAGGCATTACCGAAGCTACAGGAACACATGCCAGCTTGACTGATGAGCACAGTTCCAAATACCAGCACGTAAGTATAATACATACTCACTGGTGTGCGGGCCTGGATGGCTGACCTTGTCGAGGCCTTGACCTGTATACGTATCGCACATGAAGAGATTTATGAATCTGAAATTAACAGACGCTACTTCCAAATATGGAAGGTTTCGAGACAAGTTCACTCACAGGTGTTGGGGAACTGCAAATTCCCGACAAACTCAACAAGTGCCTGATCAATGCATACGGTGCTCATGATAAATTTGGTCAGACCGAATGATGTGCCTGGAGGAATTTCTTTGGCCATGAAACTGAAGACGCATGACCAGGCTCACTTGAGTCCATATGCATAGGGGATCAGGTGATAGATAAGTACGCGTCATATTGGAACTTCAAGAACGGATACCAGCATCAAGATCCTCAAATATGCATCAAGGGTAACATGACATTAAAGGCTGCGAGGGAGCCTTGCCGAAGACTAAGTATATCATCAACAAAGACAAGTAACTCGGCATATATAAATGAAGTGTGTCTGCTCAATATTATTCAGCAGTCGACTATGATCCGTCCGCAGAGGACTCAGATAATTTCTCCATTTTGCCTTCCTCAAGTGTAAGGGGTTTATGCGTCTCCGCGGCTCTAGTTTGATCAATAAGATCCTGGCGCGAGGAATACCCGGGTGGAGCCCATTCCCCAGAAGTCCAAGGTTTGCAATTAGGGTTGGTATACATCTGATATCAAAGTTTAGATCGATGGACCAGTAAAGAAAGGACACCTACCATGTTAACACTTTCTAGTGAAAGATCAGATGATTCGTAAAGGAAGAAATACACGACAACAGCTCCCGTCAAGTTGCATGCTGGATAATTAAAACATTCAGTGGCGTGTTGCGCTATTAATGGAAGACGTCATACCTGCAAAGACGAAACCGTAGCGGTAGTTTATGGCACTACTGATGAAGGGCGTGAAGAACGCCAATAGGAAATTCCAAATCCAGTTTGCAGCGGTCGACAGACTGCCTTGCTTGGCACGGGTCCGTGTAGGGAACGTTTCTCCAATAAGAATCCAGACACCACTGTCGAAACGTCGGTCAATCACAAAAATCCAGTAATGCAGATTCTTACGGAGCCCAGGTCATTGCATAACCCAAGATAAACATGCAGGCGGACACGATCATCACTAAAGATGCTAAGTCAGCGACACGAAACACGAATGGAATGGCATCCCCCACATTTCCCAATGCCAGGATGAGTCGTAGGATCTACAGAAGTTCCAGCAGCGGCGAAGACGAAAAGCCATATTGATTGCCAGATCCCTCCAACGATCAGGGGTCTGCGACGCCCAAACTAGACGTGCAGTGAGAAACGCACACTCCGCCTATAAACGAACTGGATTGCTTACCCTTTCGAGGACATACATTCCGCCGAACGTACAGAAAAAGTTGACAGCGCCAAGAATGATTTGAGTCACAAACGAGTCGCTGAGACCTACTGATTTGAACACAGTTGCGCCGTAGTAAAAGAAGTAATTTGCGCCAGTGAGCTGTTGAATGCTCTGTAGACTCATTCCAAGAAGGGTGCGGTATAAAGTCTTGTTTTTCGGCTTAAAGCAGTCAATCCACCCGGCACGAACCTGCCTTTCGTATTCGATGGAAGACTTGATTTCCTCGACCTCACCAGCGATGATATGGTGGCTCTTCGCCTCTTCCTCGGAAACACCACGAACACGCGCGAGAGACGACCGAGCCTCCTCCATTCTGTCATGCGCGGCAAGCCATCTAAAGGCATATTTAGACAAACGGAGGAAACCAGATTCGATTGTTGATACCGACCTAGGGCTCTCTGGCATGAAGAGGATACCGATGCCGAGAATCAGTGCCCACAGGATGCCGATACCAACAACGATGCGCCATGAACCGGAGTTGGAGATGTCCCGGGTTCCAATTGAGATGCAGTCTGTGCAGGAAATCAACGGCTGACAAGGAACTTGTTATGATGATCTTACAAGCAACCAAGATACCGAACGTAATGAACAGTTGGTAAGTTGCGCTAAGGAGCGTCAGCGCCGTGTATGCCACTGAAGTGCTGTGTGGATATCATACGTCAAAGTACCACGGATCTGAGATGGAGCTGTCTCGGCTTGATACTGAAGAAATCAGAACGCAAGTAAAGAGAATGGCTGCAGAACAATCACCATCGGAACGGCAGCACTAAGTGCTCCAACACCCAAGCCACTAACAAACCGGCCGACAGCAAATTGCTGCCAGACGCGTTCCGAAGCTATCTGAATGATGACTCCAATTGTGAATATCACACACTCCGCGGACATGGCATAACGACGTCCTAAAAAGTCAGCGGTGCTGAAAGAGACGTTGGTGAAATGCGGAGACAGATATTGCAGGCTGCTTACGGTGCACCCAGGAGCGCGCCGACGAGGGTTCCGATGGAGAGAAGAGAAACGATGAGACCTTCCCGTACAGTGGAGAATGAACAAGTGGATACATCTCCGGGTGTGGAGCAGGTGGCAAAGCGAAGAAGAAAATCATCCATCAACATGATATCTGATATCTGACCAGTGTCATACTAACATTTTTAGGTTAGCGCAGATGATTAGGACAATTGTGCAACCTACGCCAAAGATGAAACCACCCATTGACGCCAAGAGGGCCAGCATGATTGCCACCCATCCTATGGGCACTCCTTGACTGTAAAACAGGGGGTAATTAGCATGAGCATCATTCTAGTGATTTGTTAGTACAATGAAAGCTCACAAATGGAACGCCATGGAGTATGAGTATGATTAGCCCACTGGGCAAGTGTCGTGAATGTGAGGAGACGAAGAAGAGATGCTTACACAAAATGTTTCATCTCAATCTATAAAGTAAGAGAGAACGGTGTGAGAACTCACTGCTAGCTCGCGTCTCGGGATTCCGAAATATATCCACTCTCTATCTTGATCTTAGTCCCCGACTGAGTCTGCCTGTCTGACCAATTCCTTACAGACCGATTGATAGCCGTGCTGCAGAGCGGCTCCAAGTTCTTCCTCCATGCGCCACGGCTTTGCAAGTAAGCAAGCATGAATGGATGTATTTATATAAGATCGCATTAACGGTTGTGTGATGTCTGATGGGCTGCATGTACTGCTATTACACCTCAAACAGATTGCCAAGCCGTCACTGGCAGCCTGAGCATGTCCGAGTCACCGGTGGTCACTGGCACGGTCAAGTTCTCGTTCGGAATGACGTAGTTGTACCACCAACCTAAAATAGAAACCCGTGACCTTCGCCTCATTCACACCGTCGGCAAAGGAAGAGCGCATTTGGGGCACCTGTGAAGCCGTGGGCCAGTGGCAGTAGTGGCACCTTGCGGAGAGTGGATGGAGTCAGTCACCTGCTGCGTAATCACGTGAGATAAAAGAACATCGTAGAACACAAGTAAAATCTGGATACAGAAAAACAAAGCACCCGCCAATTGCCTGCATATCGGAGCAAGGTCAGAAGTTCGCAAAGCGAACCCCTAGTACTCTATTTCCTGTATATGACTCATTGAGTATATACTGAGGCCTTCAGGAGTGTTGGAGGTCCTTTCATAATCGGTCTTTGCCTTGCAGTCTGCTAGTGTCATGTGACCCTTCCACCTAGAGTGACATTATTCGCTCGTCGTCCCAATTTTGCTCATCTTGTCCATCTCCCACGCTCACCTTGACCTAGTCCCACCACCTTTGTTTTTTTAAGGCTGCTTGCTTGAGCTTTGATGGCCACCTCCTGTCAGGCTTTTTTTATATTCCGAAGATCCTCTTTTCTCACTTGCGTTCTTTTCCTTGCACCCGCATCACATGCGCCAACAACTCGTGACATTCGACTCAACCATATTTACATCCTCTTGCCTATACTTACTCCTAGCTCCGTTCCCACCACCCCAGCACTAGCACATGCGCTTTTCTTGTCATCGCGTTTAGTTTAGTGCCCAGCACGTCAAACGCCCCTTCTTCACGCGTTTTTCACAGCCTGTGCCCCAAGCACCATTCACGTGCCTATATCCAGCACCCACCGCATCGCTCACACTAAGTACCCTACACATCATCTGCATTTGAGCTTGAACCAGCGCCGTTCGATATGCAACATCACCCCATGCATCGGCGCTCGCACCTATCACCGCGGAAACTTTAGCAAACTACCAGAGTGACGCAAAAAGGAGGCTATGGACGAACCAGAAGATTCCAACGCTGGTAAGAAAAGGTTTGTCAAGGATGATTTCGGTGACAATGACAACGAGAGCGCCAGCAATGGTGGGGAGAGACACGGAGGTGACTGAGAACTAATAGGGTGCAGGGAAATGAGGATTGTGGATTGGGGTAGTGAAATGTAAGGATATACTTCATTTAAATTAGGGCGGTCTGTTTTGATTGCGACTATAAAATGTGTTGGGAATAATGAATTTGCGCGCTGTCGATTGATTATGAGCACCAGGGAAAGACACCAGACAAGAATATTATCGATTCGGAAGATATTCCACGTTTCGCAAGATAGCACATGCCTCTGACGCTCGATCTTTGATGACAACGTATACACTGTAGGTGATTAGTTATCTCAGCGGTTCCTCAAGACGTACAGCCGTCAGTTTGGCAATTTGAAGTTGACAAATTGATGGGAGTACGACTTGCCACAGTTGGTGGTATAGAAAGAGGATCCAGGAAGTGCAACAGACAGGTCTGCCGCACCTGGGGCCTGATGGTTATCTGCAATAGTTAAAAGCTATATGATGGTGGCCGGGGCTAAAGCGTTGATATCGACGGCCCCTCCGACCCGACGGACTCGGAGTACCATCGACATGAAACTTCTATTCAAGGAAGATGGTACACATGTAACAGAAGCATCTGGTTCCCTGTGGAACCTTGACAGTTCATCGAAGAGTTCTTGTCGAGCAAAGATTATTAATACCAGCCAGCTTGGTGATTCTAAAAACAGAAGCAAGTGAACGCGCTCGGTCACAGTCACACTTCCATTGTGTCACACGGCGCGTTTCCGGTTATGCATCATCCTGATTCCTCATAACCTCAACCAAGATGGCGCGTGCAGGACCAAGCAGAACACAGAGGTCGCAAAGGGCCCCACAACCTTCCCAGTCCCAGTCACAACGACCTGTTCGAGGCAGAAGAGCAGCCGTTGAAGAGGAAGAGGACGAAAATTCAGGAGACGATGATGACCAAGACATGAACATCAACGGAAGTCAAGCAAGGCTCGCTGAATCTGATGCAGACGCAGTGAGTAGCCCGCATCCCGGTGGGGATTTCCCGATGTCGGAGAGCGCTCGTTGATTCGCTTCCCAGGAACTTGACAGAAAAGCAAGTGATCTTGTAAGATTCGCTCTTTTCATGGAGCAGAGGCGAACTCTTATACGCCGAGAGGATATCAACAAGAAGGGTACGCCGAGCTTGCAGAGCTCATCCACTTGAGTGCTGAAAGAGATACAAGTCCTGGCTTCTAACTCGCGTTTATTCAATCCTGTGCTTGAAAGAGCGCAAAAGCTCCTAAAGAAAACCTTTGCGATGGAACTCGTGGAACTTCAGTCGCGAAACTATCGTGAGCAAGATAATGTCGTAGCTGGTGACGACCTTCAAGAGGCACGCAACGCTACCGGAGTAAAGAAGAAAAGTAAGTTGTAGCCATGCCTCCTATATCTTCCATGACGTTTTCTCTCTCCATAGCTGCGGCTGCAGGATCAAAGACATATGTTCTTCGTTCTGTTCTTGATCCCATTATTATCGAGGAAGCAGCACGTACGGACGAACGGCTGTATGAAGAACAGATTGCGGACTGCCAAGAAGACGGCGATGACGACGACGACATGCCGAGAAGCTACGGATGCATCATCTCTTGGAGCACTGCAGATCAACTCGGAGCCTTGGGTGTTTTACATGTCATTCTAGCAATCATTCTCGCCAGCGGACGATCCATGACGGACTGTGCGTGACGTAGCTCATCCCGTAATTCATCTAACTAGTCACACAATATGCACTTAGTGGAGTTACGTGCCCACTTGAAACGTCTCGGCCTCTCATCAAATGAGTCCATATCCATGAACGCCCAGTCTACGCACAAGTCCCTTCCTATAGACACATATCTTGGCCAGCTGATGAAGCAAGGATACATAGACCGTATCAAGCTAGGCGACACGAAGGCAGCTGGCGGAAAACGGGGTCGCGCTCCTGCAGCGACTCAAGCCAATCAAGATGAAACCCAAGCATTTGAATGGCATTGGGGCCATCGCTCGTACAGCGAAATAGGAGAACAGGCTATTGCTACATTCGTCGCTGAATTTATGGTGGAACGCAACCGTGATAATGATGCCGAGGACGATGATGAGGACGGCAAAGCTGCGCAGGGCAGGGGAAAGGGAAGAGCCAGCGCTGCGGATGGTGGCGGAGACAAGAAGCTGAAGAACGTTTACGGAGCAATTGAAAGGGCGGCCGGGGGTAACCTGTCAGATGTTAAATGAGATATTCTTGATATATTCATTCCGTTCTTTGATGCCGCCCTCACCCTGCTAAGTGCTCTACTCTATACCTTACTATGCTTACTACTAATCGTCCACTATATTCCACTGATTGTAAATCGAACTAGCAGCGTTGCCCCAGTGCATCTCCCATCCATTGATAGTAGGTGAATGAACCTCCAGCCCTGCTCAAGATCACAAAGACGAGCACAGAAAACCAACATATGTTCATCCTTTGAGAGTAATTCGTGACGAAGGATACGTAGGCTGCACAACATCAGCTTGTCGATCAACTATACTTTATTATCGTTCACTCACCGGATAAACGTCAATTCATCCTCTTCGAATTCCCATTCAAAACGGTCATTCCACATGACGTCTGCGCCATCCTCTGGTACATGTTTGCACTTAAAATGCTCGGAACACCAATCTAAATTCTTCGAAGGACTATAAAGCTCCGCGTGGACATACGGCGAGAATTCCGTGTGTTCTTTCGGGCGAGGCACTACAGGGGAACAATTGTCAAAAAATCGAAGTCTACCGGAAATTGGAATGACTTACAGGAACTGATTCCGATAACGTCACATGTTAATTTCACCTTGCGCTCAGAAACTCCTATCAACCGACTTGGCCTCTCAACCCAGCCAGCAGTCCCGGCAAACATGGCTTCATTAAGCTGCATACCATGGTCGAAGTTCTGCCAATTGAGACATACGATCTGGGAGCCGCTGCGCCATTGCTTCAACGGATCGAGATTATTCGAGCTCAAACGTACACCGCGGGGGTAGATGCGTCGAATTCGACGCCGAGAATCTTCGATCAATTCTGACAGTGAGTGCGGAAGCATGGCTAGTATAGAAGATTCGCTGATGTTCATCAGGATATTGGGAGGATGAGGAGGACTCGGTAACTCTACAAAGGGATCTATAAACACGCCGAGTGAAACAGCTGGTGAACACTTGCCTTCAGTAAGCCAGTGTTTGACCGGTTTCATACTTCTTGTGTAAAAACCCAGCTCGGCTAGCGAATCTGCAATCTTTGCATGGGCATGATTGGCCATCTTAAGTACAGGGTCGGTCTCATAATGAAGTTCGGAAACTTCATCCCACTCGGTGCCAGCACACGAATCGTGATCAAATGCCTCAGAATCAGAATCTGCAGTGATGTCCTGGCAATATGCGTCCGGATAATACTCTACCTAAAAGTGACAGTCAGAAACAATCTATACTGACACCATCTGCATACCATAAGTAAGATTTTTCCTTTCAGATCCCTTGGAGATATGGTATCACCGTCCACTCCGTCCAATGGCTCCTGCACCAACTTATTGCCCCACGCGCCTTTCATAATATCTACGAGTTCGCCTTGGTGGGCGACCGGCACGTGGCACTCTAGACTAACAATAACAGGCCAGTCTTCATCACAGATTGCTTCGCCAATAGCGTCGCAGACCGCCTTGAACGTGACACTTCGACTGAGCGTATATCCATGCGTGACGATCGGACCCTTGGAAGACCACCAAACATCAATTTCGATGCAGCGTGCGTTCTTGGAGAGAACATGTGTGTAGCACTCGGAAGATGCACGACCGAGGACTTGCCATGCGAGTAGATACGTGTTATGTGAAGAACTGGTCAACATGTAACGTTGTATGTGTGCATTGTTGAATTGATCTTGACGTACGAAACAAAGTAATCCCTCAAAGGTCGAGTGTCGTCGACAACGCGCGGACGAACAGCAGGGAGTTTCAGTAGTTCATGGGCGTCCTATTCAATTGAGGGTCGTTCGGAAATCATCAGGAATATTTTTCAGGGGTACCGAGGCAGAATGATTTGAAGTACTCACCAAACCGTTCTGCTTCAGAAAACTGAGGATCTCGGGACTTAGTCGTATGGTATCACTTGCTGGCGGATATATGTTGATGGTAGTCTCCACAGACAAGTGCGGGGAGGGAACCCCCTCAGAAGCCTTGGGTATCAACATGGGAGTTGACTTTCAACTACCCTCGAGGCCCACTGGTCCCAGATAAACGAGCTTCGAAATAGTGATTAGCAAAAAAGTCACAGCTGCGTGCAAAACTAATGGCAATCGCAAGATTCCCGTGTGCCCATGACCAAACCCGGGATGGTCAGTCTAATTACAGCTGTAACTTATTGGGCTGAGACGTGAAAATTTGATCCGTGATATATAGACACGGAACTTGTCTCGTTTAATACTGAAGATTTGAGCAGTAACGTTATATCAACGTTATATGTATGCAAGTGCCAGCAAGTCAGCACTCATGCCCGCTTATGAAATTACAGCGTGTGCACTGCCGGTGACCAAGTAGTGCTTATATGTATATGCAGATGGTGTAACAAACGAGTAAACAATGTACAAATTTTCCCAAGTTGTGTAGTGACACAGTAATAAGCAAGAAATTATATAGTGAGATTGTATGCTACAAACCTACACCGCTGGTTTAAGAGGACCCAACTGCCTAGTCTCTTACGTTGCGACCGATGTAACAGAGGAAGAAAGGCGGGTACAAATCTCAATATCAGGACCCTTGCCTTGAAGCTCGTAATTTTCCGACACACAACTCCCCTGCCTAGGTAAGAGAGGCCAGCTGCGTGGAGAATAAGTGTAAACATCGATGAAGAGACTCTCTTCAGCCTCGACAGCGGCCCGCCGCGAGTTTATAATAAGTCGGGTCAGCGTCACATTGCAGGCGCTCCAGATGAAACTAATGCACACAGTCAGATAACGAGAGCAAGATGCTGACGGTACGGACAAAACTCCAAGGAACATTAATGACAGCTGATGTAGTTATCAAACATGTAAGCAGACTGACGTGAAGGAGCTAGTAAACTTACAGGTGAAACGATGGATAGAATCAGGTTTAAAAGACGCAATCCTGATAGAGTGTAAGTCTGGTGTATAAAACCTGTTAATTGTAAATCTACCGAATAAAACCTAACGGAAGTCAGCTGGTTTCGACCACAATCATGATGACCACTCACGAAGAAGTAAATACTTCCGTCACGATACATGACCTTCGCCATTTTTGCATGCTGTGGGAGTGGTTGGTCCAGGGCATTCCACCAAGTGGTGACAAATATCATAAATTCAAACACAATCTGTGCAGTATCAGCGCCTAGACCTTGGAACAAAGTTGAATGGACACTACCCCAGGAGTCCACAGGATCACAAAGTTCACCTTCTGTGTCAATATGCAGGAATGCAAGTACGGCTCAAAGACCACCAAAGCTACATCGAAAAGGTAAATGTCCCTGCGCCCAATCGTAAGACGACTCACGCATCATGCTCGATACAACGTAGGTCGTACAAACGATTGCCGTTATTTGCGTTACCAGAAAAAGTGACAAAGTGACTAGCACAAGGCGGGTTTTGCGATCCCAAAGGACCCATAGACGAAGGAGGATGAGAACTGTTTCTATTAGGATGGAGACGGGTAGCTCATAGCGATATGGAGCTCACAGTTGCTGGTGCCAATAGATACCATGCCGACAACTATGCCGACACCAAACCACGTTTGGCAGCTTTGCAGAAAATCAGTATGAAGTCCACGTTTTGTCTGCTCAACCACATACAACTGAAATTCTAGCGTTAGATGAGATATCAGTAATTATTCACGGTATGATGCATACCGAATCTGAAAGAATGTCTTCTGAAAACCCACTGGTCGCTTCGGGAGACACATCAGATAAGATAGCTAAAACAGGCACAATAGCTCACCGTACGTGAGCATAATCAGGGAAGTAGGGACAACATATCGGTTAAATAAGAACAACAGCTTGGGAAAAGACGACCGAGCACGCCAGATCAACTCAATCTCGTCATGAAGCGTTAGGAAGTGGTCCCATAGCAAAACCTGTTCCGCAGAGTTATTTAGCTTGTCATGCAGCATCAAGAAATCATATGTACCACAAGCCCTGCAGCTATAGAATTTTCGAGCAACAATCAGTTGGTTAACGACAGGAAGGTGAGCATGCAAGCCTACCACTGACGTACTGGGACGCCCTGAAGTTTTGCAGCTCGGCGGGGGTGAAGCTGGGTACCAAATCAGCCATAAAATGCTGCACCAGTCGACAAGGCCTTGCGCACTGTGTGGGAGGTAGTGGAGAAATGAGAGACCTGCGCAAATTAAGGGAGGTTATCAGCTAATTATATGTGTCAAAGAGTTCATCAAACGTTAAAAGGGATAATAATGATCCGGTTGCTGGACGCGTGAGGGGGCCGTATTGCCACGGTACCGTCTGGTAAGTATAGTTTTCAATGAGCAAAATTCAAGTTTGAACGCAAGATGTGAACAAGCCATGATGAGTGGCAATGTTCCACTAAGTTACACATAGGTAACGTGACTCCAGTTGTACATACGTTAAAAGCGTATAACGACTATATTATAATATTTGTTCGCTAATTTAATCATGTGTGACTTTCGCATCTTAGTTCCCACGAATGCAACACGAATATGTTCACGGTTGACTATGTTTGGCAAAGGCTTCAGAAATAAACAACTACAAACCGGTAGGCCGCTGTAGACCGTGAGATGCGAAGCCTCACGGGCTGTGCGGGGTCGGCAAGACCATCTTCCGCCCCTTGCAACCAGTCCGAAAGAATGGAAATCGAATCCAACCGCCATGAGATACAAATATATAGTTTATTTCAAGAAACGGGACCATGAGGACATAGAACATACATAATAGGGGCACATAGGTACATCGAACAGTCCGCAGACAGTGAAGCAAAGTGTTTGTAGGATGATAGGAACCAGTCAAAAGTCATCATGAACGCTAGTTCCGTAACTGCTGTGGTTAGACCCCCGTAAGGACTGCACACTCGAAGCAAAGAGACCACACAAAGATGCCTGGAGATGTTTCCTGCAGAATCCGTGCTGAGGAATAAGAGGCAGAGCGAGTATGGGTGATCTGTGAGGCTTCCAATACTTTCCATGACGTCGTTAATCGAGACGGAGCTGGAACAGCCTTGGAGCCGAGGAACGGTCATATCTCGGCTGTATTGGTCAGTAGTCACTTCCACAAGCTAAAGTGAACACACCTTGTACTCAAAGATGCCACATAATCAGGATTATGGGTCTGGTTCCAGTTTTTCGCCTCTAGCAAGGACGCGGACGACCTTGCTAGGTTGAGAGACCACTTCCATCATTTGCATAACGGCGGCAGGGCGCTCCACTAGTCCGGTGCCTCGAGCGATAGGAAGAGCTCCCGGAGCAGTATGAGAATTACGTCTACCTCGACCAGCTTGTCGTTTTCCTCTATCGTCATCATCAAGGTTACGAGGGTGGTTCGATGAAGGCGGAACAAGTGGCGCTGCGGAAGGTTCCACTTCTAAGAGAGTGATACCAGCCCGAGTAGCCCAGTGTCCGATCAGTAGGCCAGCTGAACGAGGCTCATACTTGTGAGTGTGTGGACTCGGAGCTGGAAGGGGTACCGGAGAGGAGACTTCGGGCATTGCCTCAGTTCGACCAACCTGAGCTGGAGTAGCAGAAGGGGAAAGGATAGCAAGAACGACTTTCAGTTTGTCGCTCGTTGAAGCACGAGTTTCAGCGACGTGGTCAACTTCCCAACGTGCGCAGCAGATCATGCGCCGAACCCACTCTGGAGAGCCAGAGAGGTGGAGTGGCTGTGACGTAGCCTTGTCCTTATCATCATCTGGTGACAAGTCCTTGAGCTCGATGCGGTCCCACGGAACGAAAGCATCATCCCGCTGGACACGAATACGAGGATTTGTGCCAACTTGAGCCTCTAAGATTCGTGAAGCTGACCGCGCGCGCTGGGCAAGAGGACTTGTTCCCTTCTTGAGTAAATCAAGAGTATTCAAGGCTAAGCCACCTCACGTCAGTTGACAAAACACTTGCAACTTCCCAACTGACCTTCAAGGGGGACAATAACAATTTCATCACGTCCATCTCTGCACCATTTCTTCACCTGGTGGAGGGCATGTACCAATACGCTCGCATCAACCACTACTACATCAGCGTCCTTGTCACTCCTCGCCTCCTCGCTCGATTTCCTGGGCTTTTGCATCTTGACCTCATTGTGCTCTCTTTCAGGTACAGCTTCAGCGACAGACTTCTTCGCGGACCTATTGCCTGAAGATGGGCGTTGTTTGGGTGTATGGTTGATAACACCGCGACGGTTGGTATTACCCAAGTCGGCTTGTGGATGACGACGGTCTCTCCAGTTTCCAGATGCTGGCCCATGTGTAACTGATTTCTCCAGCTGTTCCACTTGGTGACTTAGAAATGCAGCCCCGAGCGCTCGAGACATGGCAAGCTTGTTCACCGAACCGTTAGTTGTGGGACCCTGCAGCATGGCACGGTGACAAAAGTTGATGGTCAGTGAGAAGATGCTCAGCGATCCCGTTGAGCTTACCTTGCTCTCCGCCATTCACTATGTGACTAGAAGATTATTACAAGGAAGAAGAGTATAGCTTTCAATGTAGGCTGTTGGTCGTGGGACAGATACAGCTCCGAGTCTAGTGCGGCCCACATCGCGTTAGTGGACTTATACTTAGTCAGCAAGCTGTGGGGAGTTTTGGTCAGGTCTAAATCTGAGACCTGCATAATTAATGATCAAAGCCTCAAGGCGGGGGACTGGTCTAATAGGGTCTAATAGGGTCTAATACTACAGTTCTGTCGGGTATCAAGGCGCCAACAAGCAAATCGATAAATATAAAACACCGCGTCTTCTCAGCGAGAGTCGATGCTAGTCAACCAAAGCCAAATATCATTCCAAATAAATCCTTCCATCCCCTCTTCACCACGACCTGCGTCCCCGCGCCATACTCGTCAGCTAACCATTCTAGATAACGGGCATCAAGAGAGCTTAGAGGGCCAAGCTCGAACGATACCATATCCTTTGGAGTAATGTAGATCGTCGAAGTCTCTGGTGTACCGGAGGCGACAGAAGGAAGTAGATCAACTAGGCGAGAAAGTTGGAAGCTGGTGTTGGCGTGGAATGTTTGAAGTAACGCGAGTGTTGTTAGAATCTGACGATCGCGTCGTTCGTTGGGTTCTGGATCTGTGTCATCACCATTGCTGCATAACTGCGGCATAGATCGCGTAGCAGCGGAAGATGACGAAGGCTGGCGACGGTCAGCACCAGTATTTCCAGCTGGCCAAGTTATGCCGCTGGACCTTCTCATTCCCTTTGAGTTTGGGCTTCCGCCAGGACACCCTTCAATCCCCATACCCAGGTTACGCACAAATGTACCGTCGACGGTAAGGTCATCGTCACCTTCTAATCTGATGCTGCCCCAGTTGGCGAGGGATCCGTTGCCGGTGGAATAGGACGCGACCGAGTTGCCGCGCCAGGACCCCATCCAGAGCCCAGCACATACAATACACACGTCTTCATATATTCTCCAAGGATCTGTCCATGCAGATGAGGGTTTATTTCTCGCATCGGTTTCAGATGAGGGGCGGCAGCATGGCTGTGCACATTGATCGCCGTCCAGCTGTAGAATGCGTTCAAGCTCATTCCACTGTCAAGTGTGTTCAACACGTATACAGAGATATGATTGCAAATTATATGTACCAGCCTTATATCACTCCACGTGAAGCGAAAGACAGTTAAACGATGCGTGGGTCCTTTGGAACCAGGTGGCTGGAGCTGCGGCTTTGAGAGGTACAAGGTTGGTCGTGAAGTTTTGGAGGGCGTAGATGTCGTTAGATCGATTAGAAGGTCGTAGTAAGATGGTTTGTCCAGGAAAATGGCATCAGTCGTGCCTTTCAAATCAGAATAAGGGGCACGCCGAGAACTATATTTGTCGTCACTCACAAGCAACCCAACCTCGACCAGTTTTGCCTTCGCGGTCCATCTTGTCAAGGTCACTGAGAGTAACCATGCCAAGCACATGAATGCCCTCTTGTGTTTTTCCTTTAAGCCTCGTATAATACTGCGTGACTGGGTCATTTTCATTGATGTCATTAGTTAGTGGGTCAAGTTGTGCTGCGTAACAGATATCCGCAGCCACTTGGCATAGTATGCATGCGGCTTCAACCGGCGGGAGTGTATATATAAGTATCCTCCGACGCCCTAGGACATGCTTGTACAATGTCAATGCCGAAGGTCCTAGGATGCGCAACAGGTGTGAGAGGTGCATGGTGGGATTAAATCGAGACAATTCTGAATCTGGCTGTATATTGGTGTCAGCCAAACACAAGGAAAGACTCATGCTGCATCGCACATTATCGAGTTCATGGCTCCAGCCATACCATTCGCCAGCACCACTAAGATCTGCTCGTTGAACCTTGCGTTCTTCGAAGAAAATACGAGCAGGTTCCCAATCACTTTCGGATGGTTCTAAAACACCTCTGGTTTCTAGCGAGAAATAGATAGAATCGGCTAAAGCTCGAAGGGCAGCGACATGCCGCCACGGACGAGACCGGGTAGATTTGGCCAATAGGACTCCAAGAGACGTCAGCCGAAATCCGCGGTGGCCTTGTTCAGCGGTCCTCCGTCGACGGAAAACACATACGCCTGAATGGGTGTCCTTCGTGAAGTATCTATTGGACTCTGATAAGTAGAGCTGTGATATGGGTACAGGGCACATACACCACATCCCGGTCTACAAGGTGGAGACCACTGGGGAGGGTACTGAATTCAACACCATCGAGCTCAAGGTCTGAAGCACGTTTAAGTCGCTAACCGATATGAAAATTGCAAACAGACCATCGCTGGCCTTCAAACACCAGTCCACCAGATTGCCCTTCGTTGGGTGAAACGAAGCGTGGAAAATAGCAACTGGACAACCAAATATCAGTTGAGCTCTTGCAGCTTCGGACTTAATAACAGACCTATATCCTGAGGTGCTCTTCCTCTTGAGTCGACGGCATCGATGGACATGGTTGCAGCCGCATGCACAGGCTGCTGCAGGCAGCAACTGTTTAAAGTCTCACACAATATTAATGTCACGGGCTGAAGGGACCATCGGTCACACTCTTGTCACGCTTAATCCGCGATGGCTTCGACCACTTCATCGCAGCCTCAACAAATCAATGTTGCTGATCTCGACCTCCAACAGTTATCTGATGTGCGCCGTCAGCTAGAAGAGGTACCTTAATGATATTGTTGTTTTCCTACATCTCTGATTGCGCCGTAGGAACTGAACCACCTCACGAATTCATTCGCACAGCTGAAACAGGCACAAGCGAAGTTTAAGTCATGTATTGAGAATGTCGGAGAAGTCAAACCTCAAAACAAGGTACTTCTGCATTTTCGTCTTCAGGCTCTTACTTGACTCTATCCGTACAGGAACGACTATCCTCGTTCCTTTGACCAACTCTCTGTATGTTCCTGGTCACCTGAGTGACCGCGGAGAATGTAATCGTCGACGTTGGTACAGGTATTACGTGAAGAAGGCATGTACGAGGTCTTATATTACAGTCTGCCGCTGATTAGATGGCCGTACAGTCTCGGGCCCAAGCCACAAAATATTATGAAACAAAAGTGGAATATATTCGCACCAATCTCGATACGTTACAAGAAACGATACAGAAGCAGGAGAATATGAACTACCTGATTAATGTAATGCAAGCTAAACTACAGCAGTCCCAGACACAGCCCATCAAAGCCTGAACTTTCGATTCGAGGCAAGATTACATTTGCACACTGTTCTCCCCCGCTGATCTCTCTATAACAGATTTTTAGCTGTAAAATACTGAATGCACAATTTTGCCCCTTCATCGTGCATGCAACGTTCGTTACTTTACTTGGATGGCAGATCCCAGTTAATGGCCTGAGAAACGAGGTCCCTCACTGCTGAAGAAGATTGCTCTGTGTCGTCTGTGCTCTTGTCGATCACTAGGATATGAACAATCTCCTGAACTAGAGATTTATCGAAAGGTATGTGACATATTATCTTGAGCCTGTCACGGCTAGCTACAAACGACAAAAAACGCAAGAGCCACAAAACTCGATCAAACACAATATCATCATGTCAAAAACGCTTCGACGACTGTGGACCTCATGACGGTCGATGCATACGAGAGACCCTATTCGTGGTCTCCGTCTTGCATCGAGCAGCGCATCATGCACGAAAACACTGACTCGCGAAGGCAACTGCTCGTCTAGTGCTATGACTTTCTAAGAACCACTTCAAAGAACGGTATGAATAAGTATTGTCCAAATCTTCGCCTCGTTGTCATCTCGGAGCTCATTGGACGTCATTTAGTGCGAAGGCGGCCGTACAAGTGAGTGGGAAGTGACTGCACATTTGTCGTTGTACGTCTACGACACTGACGAGAACACAACTATTCGATGGCTTCTTCAAGTTGCACAACACAGTTCTACATCCAGCGAGAACGACAGCGCTCGGAGTTGCTTGATAATGAATGGCTCATCAGCGTCATTAGAACTGAAATCACATCTACCGAATCGAGTTCTATCTTTCTGGTCGAGGAAGTCCAATAAACGGATGGTTCAGGTGGTCAGGCACAAGTTTGCCGGTTAGTACGTATATTCCCTGGCGATAATTAAATGTGTGTTCGTGTCGTGATCTTTTGCATCGTATGCCAGACGGGCGTCCGTCAAGTCAAATTGATTGAAGCGTTGAAGTTCCTCATCTCGTCCGTTGTCAAGCTTCCTCACTTCTACTGCCCACTATCCCTTCCTCCTATTCCTTGACACACAAGCACTTGTAATAATTAGAGGACCAATAACATGTCTCCTGCCCAATATCTATGAATTGAACTTCGCGAGCATGTCGTTGGCTATACTTCTCAACCCCTTCACAGCAACGTCGACCCCTAACTGCTCTGGCAGGTCTCGCATTTCCACCACCACGATAAGACGATCCATCCGTCTGATGAGCTGCTCGAGATCATCTTTTGAAGCGATACACATGTACTTCTTTACCTTCTACAAGAACGGGGAGGAATTCGATACAGTGTGTGTTGTTCATTATGAGAAAAGCAGACCACCATGCCTTTCTCATCATGTCCCACCACTGCTGCTCTGTGATGGAATTGAGTGATGCGGTGGACACCTGTTCAGATGTCATTCGAAGGAAGATACCAGCGAGGTAAAATGCATGCGGCTCGGGTGATTCGCAGCACACTGCGATCATCCTAATGACCCGATCCATTTGGCAATGCAAATAGGGGCGCCAGTAGGAATTCCTCGCTAGGGCAAAGATCAATTCGAGATAGCACCAAGTCGCGGTCGGGATGGAAGAAGCAATCAGGACCACCATCGGTAGATGTTGCGCCTGGTTGCGGGACAGACAGCGGTAAGAATAGCAGGGGATAAATTGGTCAAACCATGTCCACATCATCAACGACATTGATGGAGGCTAGGACTTCTCGGGAACTGTGAGCAGCGCGAAGGGCAGCATGGCGTAAACGGAGAGGCATGCTGCTCCCCATGCAGGCAATGAGCTTCTCCATGTATAGATGTTGTTTAGTGGAGCTGCAGCCCACTGTCATACTACTCAGTAGTACAAGGATGTCACCTGCTGTCTCGTGGTCGTTGAAACAAATATCGCCGAGGTAGTCCACTAGCCAGTCGAAGTTTTTCGGCGAGTGGGAATTGCTTTTCCACGAGATTCGATGCTGCCATAACCAGGCAGGACCCCATCGCGATTCATCGGTAACGACGGCGAACCTGAAGGGCTGAACTTTTCGCAGCGCTGCTGATTGATGCCTTTCCAATAACCTCGCCCGTGAATAAATCTTCCTACACACGCCCAGGTTCCACATATCCTGTGATGGAGGTGGATCAGGTAGACCGAGCTGGAGCATGCGACAGATGACGTCGGTGAGGGTCCCATGCTCGGCAGCAATTTGTGCTGTCACTGTCGAGATTGCTTCCGTCCAATGCCCAGAATGCTTTCCGGAACTGCGCCCAAAGAGACTCAGCAAGTTGATGTAGAGCAGAACTACACGATCTTTTCGTTAAGCATAGAAGAACGATCAAATGAGTCAATAGCACCTTTTATCAACCCGAACGATGTCTTTCTTGTCAAATTGAATCCCGACCATGACGCAAGCCAGAAGAGTGCAATTAGCTATGATTTGAGGCGACGGAGAGGAAGGAGAGGACAGGTGTTTTGATATCACTGTGATGGCAAGTTTTTCTACGTCTTCATCTACTCGCCCTGTGACAAAGTGGAAAGGAAGAACGTGAGTCAGCCACTCGAGGACAGGGTCGGAACAAGCCCAAAACTTCGGTGAAGACCACAAGACAAAAGGTGGTTTATATTTCGCAACAAACAGCTTGGTTGTCGCAACAATCACATTGTCTTTGACTTTTGTCCTCTCCAACATCCGGCGAAACACGCTGTAGTCTGTGCTTCCCTGGCCAATAAATCCATAGGCAGGATGTCCCTGAAGAATGCGGTTGCAGTATAGGTGACAAAGAGCCATTGTACATGCCGATGCCTTCTCCTCCAACGACGGTATGATTCGCTCCTGGACGTCCAAGCAGGTTGTGTAAACATCGTACAGCTGACGCAGCGTGTCTGAGACGTCAAGATCCAGAGGCCAGTCGACATGCCGAACAAGGCTAGCAGCAGCGAGAAATACTTCAGGATCTGTGGATGTCTCGAGCAGCCATTTGATGCTCGGTGCTTCGAGAGAGCTGATGGGTGTGTCCGGCAGCTTGAGCTTAAGGAGGGATTGATTCTTGGCTATAATTTTCCTGCTCTGGTCAAACGATTGTGCTTCAGAATCCATGGCCACTGTCAGAGAGCGCCGCCAGGATAGAAGGCGCTGAAATGCGTCGAATAATGACCGAAGACGGCGCCATGTGAATGAGCGGGTTGCAAACACAGAGCCTGGAGTAATATGAGCGCTGGGTGTGCTATGCAATAGTACCAAAGAACGTCACCTGCTAGTTCTGATCGGATCCGATATATAACATGCTGGACATATCGATAGAACAGGGAATTTAACATCAATTGTAGCACATCTAGCAAGAAATGATCAAAATTTGGGCATGCTTAAGGAAACGCAACGTACCGTGCACTGACTGCTTAAGATACCGGGACGTCAAAATAACCACTGGACGGAGGACCTCTGCAATTTTGACTCAGACCGGAGATGAGCAGAACTTGAAAATGATCTTACTATCAATGCGCAATATGCGCAACATCGTCGATATCGGGCTCTGAAATGGACAGACAGGGGATACCAAAGCTGCCATCACCGTCAGCGAATAAAACAAAAACCCAAAGACCGTGGTTGCAATGATGACCCAGGCGACCGTGTACTGCTCGTACCACATATTGGCGCTGAGAGCAATTCCAAAGAGAAGAAGAGAGAATTGCAGTAGGATTGGGAACGATTGCATGACAGCATCAAAATACCATGTGACAATGCCGTCGAACCTCTCTTGTCTGCGCTTCGCTCGTTCCTCCTCCGAGCCGCGGCCGTATCTATGCGACTTGTAAAACCCGAGCCACTGTTTGCCTAGCACGGCCTCGAAAGCAGCGAGTAAACTGAAGGACAAGCTCGCGTACGCGATGCATTGTATCCTTATGTTGGCTGTGGACGGCGACCAGGTAGATGCTGGCGATACTGGCGTAGACCCCGCTGCAGTGAAGTTGCCGAGTCCGATTTGGACGAGTTGGGCGAGAAGGGCATGCGTGGTATCGTCGGGGTCTGGACTGAGATTCGACTCCATGGCCACAATAAAAGCTGTGCTGACGGCAGAGAACAGACCAGACTAATCGAACGTCAATATTTCAATCCCAATACAAGGCAAAGGCGAGAATGCAAAACTTACAAAGATCAACACGATGTCCATGTCATTGTAGTATCGCTCAAGGAACTCCTCGTCGTGTTCCACGGCGACTCTTTTGTATGCCGCCCAGAAAACGAGAGCGGTCGTCCTTGCCGGTCTTCGAGACAATCGTTGAATCCTTAAGAACGTCCAACACCTGCTTCAAGACATTCACTCTGCAGGAATAGTATCATCAGTTGTGACCCCTTGGCTTATTTGGTTGCTCACATTTCACCTGGACTTAGTTGGTCATCCTGCAATACGACCTTTTGCGCCTCACTGAGACGATATGAGCATGATCGAGATTGCGACCGAGTGGAACTCACGTAGTTGAGGCGCCTTTGGGTGAATTATTTGAAGTACTTTCCTGTACGTGAGGTTCTGGTAGCTGGGGGGGCCCAGAGTTCGAGCTGCAATTCATGTAAGGAGGGTGCAAAGTATCAGAGTAGAAGCACTCACATTCCTGGTGAAGTCACCACCAAAGGTTCACAAATTTCCTCCTCACTGTGTCGCTATCAGATGGGTAACTGAGATTTCAGGAAAGTTGCAACTCACTCATCGGCAGGTCGCAAGGTATCATTTTCTGGAGGAGGCTGCTCATTAAGATGGGCACTGTGTGTGCTACCATCTTTTGATAGCCTTCGGCTACGTATTGGAGTGAATGACGATCTTGACATGAGTATGATGTAGGGTTTCAGGGATGGAGCAAATGATTGGGAATAGTCTGAGGCGAGTGGACGGAAATGAGGGGTAGTGCACAACCAATGAGTCAGGCGGCTATAGCTATGACGAACATGTGGTGAACTGAAGGTACTCGTGAGGCTTGCTGAGCTGTAGCGGATATGAATGGCCTCGCATAGTCTGCATGGCCTGGCACTCGTGATAAGCGCTGGAGCCCAATGTGTTGCAGGGAACTGCGGAGCACAAATAGTACACGCTAATAAAGTTCTACAAGTGACTGGTTGGACTGTATGACCACTGGCCATGCACTACATGCTACAATCGTCCAGAACGGTCCAAGTTTCTGTGAGGCCATCGTCGATGGAGATACCATGGTGGAATGGGCAACGGATGCGCTGATACCGGAAGGCTCTAGCGCTTGCGTGGATAGTGGTACAGGGTCCTTTTGTGACGGTGTGCATGGTATAAGGATGGAGGCAGCCGTGGCTATTGATATGACTCTGTTGGTAAAAGAGCTGCGGGTTATGTGGTGATAGGCCAGAGTGACGGGAATAGAGAAGGACCGACGAAAGTTCCAGGAGTTTGTGAGGACGTCGACTCAGGATTTGCTATGAATGAGGGCCATCAGAGAACTGGTGAGAAGAAGATATTGTCATATATCGTTATATATCGTAATATATAGGAAAGGATTTCGTCACATTGGAATATAAAGCAATACACATCTGCAAAACACCCCAGTTCTCGCTTAAGTCGCTTAACGTGTCAAAGAAGTCTGATGGGTTACGACTTGCACCCTGAAGCATCCGATTGGTGGAGATGCTCTATAGGTGAGGTAAGTAGTGGAAGATCTGCGATATTTTATCTTGGCCATCTTATCTTCTTAGATAGTGTTATCGATACCAACAATTCATGTTAAACATTGCATGGAAATCTAGTACAGTACACCGCGAGATAAAACGAACTAAGAAGAATCTGTGTGTGACAAATAATACCACTCCTTGTCTGAGAAGTTGTTCAAATAAAAAGTATCATAGAGCTCCAAACATGTCACAGAAGTAATAGCACAATTAGCACATACATCATACACAGGAATCAATTTGATTGCATGAGTAATGTCAACAAGAGGGAATATCATACCAGCCCTCACTCATGTGCCATCAGGGCCAGTTACAAACTGGTGCTTGATGCTGTTACAATCGTGGTCACCCCTATCTCTTTTCTCTTTTCTCTACTTGTGTATTACGTCATGACTGCACCCGTCTGTGCCATCATTAGACTAACATCCTTCTACATCTGTATTACAGCATGACCGTCTTACGCTGTCATTAGCTGACTCACCTATGACGTCACTAGCTGACACATGCCTCTTATCTCTGACTCAACTATGATGTCACTGGCTGACGTATGCCTCTTATCTCTGACTCGACTGATGACGTATGTGTACCTACGTCTATATAAACGCAGTCATGTACCTAGATAAAACTTCACTTTAATCTACTAGGTTTTACCTGCACTATCCTTCGCTTAGGACCTCCAATCCTAAGTCATCTGATAACCAATATTCAAGTCGAAGACACTCTCTTTGACTTGTCTTAAGAACCTTACATTTGTGAGGACACGATCCGACTTTAGGCGTACTCTTATTGAGTACCTATCGTCGCGCCCATCCTAGTCGACCTATGGTTTACCATAACAAAAGATTAAAGTCCACCACCGACCCTCTCCATCCGAGAGGTTACCAGAAAGAAGAACTCAGCGAGAGAACAAGAACATTCCCCTGAACCAGAAACATCACTTGACCAGACGTTCAGGATGTCCACCGTCCCCAACACCCCAGAATTAAAAGCCGGAGCTCCGTCCACCTATGATGGGAGCCCTCAGCAGGCTCTACGATGGTTGTACGCGATTAAGGCGTACTTTGCGCTTAATGCTACAATCTACAATACCAACGAGAAGAAGGTTATCACCGCTCTCACATATATGACAGAAGATAGTGCTATGGGTTGGGCACTCACTTTCTACACCGAAGTTGACAACACCGCAACCAAGAGCTACGGGACTTTTGCAAACTTCGAAACCAAGTTCAAGGAAGCCTTCGTACCAGCCGATGCTGTCGGCACCACCATGACCAAGCTTAGGACGTTGAGACAGACAGGAGATCTCACTTCCTATATTGCCAGTTTCAAAACCTTGGCCGCACAAGCTGGTGTCAAGCAAGACGCCATCCTTATCACGTTCCTCAATGACGGATTAAAGAAGGGAATCGTCAGTTCCATCTTTCAGATGGAAACTATCCCAACAGACTTCGACAAGTACATCGCCGCAGTCATTAGACTTGACAGCAACTATCAGAGGGGTGTCGCGTATCAATCCAACTATCGTACCACCACCAAACCCTCAGGACAGCACTATGTACCCAGACCTTCCATCAACCGACATGACCCAAATGCGATGGAAATAGACCGGCTCACTGAAGCCGAGAGAAGTGACCACATGAAGCGGGGATTATGCTTCACGTGTCACCAGAAAGGCCATCTCACTAGAGCATGCCCGCAGAAGAAGAAGATCCCTGTTCACAGAGAAGAAATGAGCGACAGCGAAGAAGAAGATACAACGATCTGTTGCCTCGCTGAGGATTTTTAATGTGGAAGACTGGATCGATGTCAGTATCTTCCGATGTACCCGTTAGACTTGTACAAAGTATTGGAATAAGAAAGGAACTTCATGTTCCCATTTCTCTCATCTCCAAAACTCGTCTTAAAACTGTTGAAACAACAGCTGTTGTGGATTCCGGTGCTGCCGGAACCTTCATCTCAGAAGAGTTTGTCAAAACCCACGGGATCCGAACGCATAAACTCTTGAAACCATTCCGAGTTACCACTGCGGATGGAAGCTACGCGAAAGGAGGCGCTATCACTCGATACTGCGTCCTTATCGTCAAGATCAATGACCGATCTATGATTGGAAAGTTTAACATCACGCGGCTTGGCTGACGTGATCAGATTTTACTTGGGATCCCCTGGCTATGCGCTATGGACCCAGTAATCCGATGGAAAGCGGAAACGCTAGAACTCTCTCGAACCGAGAAGAGTGATCAGATAGAAGAAGAAGTTGATAGCGAACGAAAGAAGAACGGACTCCCTCCTCTGTTTCGAAAATCAAAACAGATGAATGAGAAGACAGACCCGATTCCAGTGGTAGTGCTGCTGAAGGCGCCTCCTGTAGAAATGGTCACAATGCCCAAAGCAGCGGGAACGCAAGCAACCATAGAAGAAATCCCAGACGAAGAAAACTCACTGCCTAAACTCGACCCTATCCCTGATGATGATGACGACTCCTTTGATACCAAGGAAGACGTATGGACGACAGATTACGCACCAGCAGTGCGGGAAATCTCCACGTACCAACTTGAAGATGACAAATTCCTAGTCAAATATCCTGCTGACACTTCTGAACTCCAGGTGATCACCAACGTCTCGCTAGACACCCCGTTGACAAAAGATGGGACTAGCGCTAAGGAACAGCAAACCATGGTTACACCTCTGACACGACCTCATGAGTACATTAAGACTAGCAACAAAGCCCAACAGCTTGCGTTAGCCGCTGGGCTTGAACAGAAAAAGAAGTCTTTCGAGGAACTCGTTCCTTCTTACCTTCATGATTTCGCCGACATCTTCGTGAAGGACGGTCTAAATCAGTTACCTCCCGAACGACCTGGAATAGACCACTGAATAGAAACTAAACCTGGTTTTATTCCCAAAACGTCCAAGGTATACCCACTATCAGAAAAGGAATGAACAGCGGTCAAGGCATTCATCGACGAAAATGTGAAAAAGGAATTTATCTCTGAATCTAAGTCTCCGCAGGCTAGCGGATTCTTCTTTGTAGGAAAGAAAAGTGGAGATCTTCGTCCCTGTCAGGATTACTGATATATCAACGAATGGACGGTCAAGAACGCCTATCCCCTCCCGCTACCGCTCTCCTTGATTGCACAATTACACGGTGCAAAGTATTTCACCAAGATGGACGTTCGTTCTGGATATAACAATATTCGCATCCACCCAGAAGATCAATGGAAAGCTGCCTTCACTACGGAATACGGTCTCTTCGAACCAAACGTTATGTTTTTCGGTCTTTGCAATTCCCCCACCACCTTCCAGGCATACATGAACAGAACATTCCAACAGGAGATTAATGAAGGATGGCTCGTCATATACATGGATGACATCCTGATATTTTCGAACAACCTCACCTCCCATCACGAATGAACTCGGCGTATCCTTGAAAGAATTTGGCAGGAACGACTTTTCCTTAAACCCGAAAAGTGTACATTCGACGCTCAAGAGGTAGAATACCTTGGAATGATCATCTGCCCTGGATGCGTAGCAATGGACAACGCTAAAACTAGCGGTATTCGAGACTGGCCTGTACCCACCACTGTGAAAGAAGTTTGGTCGTTCCTAGGTTTCTGCAACTTTTATCGGAACTTCATCTCCCATTATTCCAATATCGCTAGACCGTTAATCGACCTCACCAAAAAGGACGTTAAGTTCTTTTGGACGGAGCAATGCGCATCTGCTTTCTCCAAGCTGAAAGAATGCTTTCTGAAGCAACCAGTCCTTCGGAACCCCGACCCTGCCAGACAGTTTGCAGTCGCTACTGACGCATCCCTTGTCACTACAGGTGCAGTGCTACTCCAGACCGACGATAACGGTGTCTACCACCCATGTGGATACTTGTCCCAAACATTGAACCCCGCAGAACGGAATTACCAGATCTTTGATCATGAACTCCTTGCTGTTATTCATGCACTAACCGAATGGCGTCACTACTTGGAAGGAAATCCCCATCCTATCATCATCTTCACCGACCACAAAAATCTCCTATATTTTAGGACAGCCCAGAAATTAACCCGCCGCCAAGCTCGATGGCAGTTAATTTTGTCATGCTACGACATTGAACTTCACCACGTTGCGGGGACCAAACTTGTTGCCCCTGATGCCCTTTCCCGTCGTCCCAACCACGGGTCAGATTCCTCAGAAGATAACACCAATGAAACCCTCCTCCCAGATTCCATGTTCGTCCGACTCCTTGACGTCGAACTCATGACCACACTCGTGAACCCTGATCCCTCCGACCCTGACCCCATCTTCACCGCCGCCTCCGATGCGCTGGATGGCCTGTCCCTTCCTCCTATGAAATCTGCTCTCACGGATTGGAAAATTAACGATGACATTCTCTACTACAAAGACCGCGCCTACATCCGTCCCACTGGACGGCGCCTTATTCTAGAATGATGTCATGACCACCCCACTGCCGGTCACCCTGGCCGTTTCAAGACAGAAGAACTAGTCAAACGTGACTTCTGGTGGCCCGCCATGGGCACCTACATTCGCAAATACGTTGAGGGTTGCACCCTCTGCCAGCAGATGAAATCAGATACTCATCCAATGACCCCCCCCCTTGTCCCCATCCCCTCCGTCACCGCAACACCCTTCACTCAGGTCTCCGTTGATCTTATCACCGACCTTCCCCCCTGTGCCGGTTTTGATTCTGTCATGGTCATGGTAGACCATGGGCTTACGAAGGGGGTAATTCTCATCCCATGTACGAAAACCATCACTTCTGAAGGGGTCGCCAACAAATTCTTCAGATATGTTTACCGATGATTCGGCCTACATGAAAAAGTCATCTCCGACTGTGGCCCGCAATTCATATCCAAGTTTTCCCAAGCCCTTGCCAAGCTTCTGAAGTATGACATAGCAGCGTCAACCGCTTACCACCCCCAGACCGATGGTCAAACCAAACGACTCAACCAAGAACTGGAGACATACCTCTGAATCTATTGTCGGAATAACCCCGAAAATTGGGTAGAACAGCTCCCCATGGCAGAATTTGTACACAACCACCGAAAGCACGACTCTCGCAACGCATCACCATTCTTCCTAATGATGGGATATGAACCACGAGCCCTTCCACACACCCTTTCCGACTCCACAGTCCCTGCAGCAGCGGATAGACTCCGCTCGCTCCAAAAGTCTAGAGAAGAAGCACTCTCTTGCCACAACCTTGCGATGCAGCGTATGGCAGAAAGAACTCACGGACAAAAGTATCACCCCTGGAAGATTGGAGATAAGGTTTGGTTATCTGGGAAGAATCTGATCATGCAATTGCCTTCATGAAAACTCACTCCTAAGCGATATGGTCCATTCCCAATCACCGCCGTCCTGTCTCCTATCACATTCACACTCCGACTGCCACCTCAGTGGAAAGTTCACCCTACGTTCCATGCTTCTGAACTATCGACCTATCATGAAACAGAGGTTCACGGACCAAACTTCCACAACCCACCACCTGACATCATCGATAACGAAGAAGAATATGAAATCGATGCGATCTTATCGCACAAAGGAACGGGTAAACGAAGACGCTATCTCTTATCGTGGAAGGGATACTCATCCGCCAGTAATGAGTGGGTTCCTGAAGAAAACCTCAGTAATGCCTCCGATATCCTTACCGCCTATAAGAAGACCCATGGACTGTAAACTTCCCAACAATGTCCCACATCGAATGACTACGTCTTTGCATTCTCCGTATCGAAGAACTTACCACTGCCATGAACACTGTCACTGAAGGAAACGCCCATCCCTTAATGCTCTTAGATTACCAAAACACCACTGCTGCTAACCTTGCGCAACACGCATCCTCCCCTGTAACTTTGCCACCTACCTCTGATTCCACCTTAACCCTCACCAACGACTCCACCCTAACTGACTATTTCTCCATCATTGATCAAGTCGAAACTAGTGCCTTGTTCGAATCCACTATCACCTCCCAACAGTATGCTATTGAGATAGACTGCCTCCTTGGAGAAAGGGGAGCGATCTCTAGCGGCCTTATAATTAGAATCATTAGAGATGCCAGCCTCATCGAACGCACCGCTGCACTTCTTGATGATGAGCATCATCAAACCATTTTTTGTCACCTTCACATATGCATTCGCAACACTGCAATCTGCCTCTTACCAGAAGAAACAAGAGACGCTATCAGAGAAGCTATCCACATCGTCACCAAGCAAATCGCTCTCAACCCTATTGCACGACCGCCTTCCCCCCATGTCGCCGTCCCCGTACCACCGCCAGTTCCTGCCGCAACTACCGTGGAGCATCAGGATGATAATATCCCTCCTATTGCTGTACTTGACATACTGACTTCTCCTTCTCCTGACCCAGTCGTACGTACCACGCGACGACTCCCGCTCAAACGCAGATCCTCCTGCCTCCATTTCCCCCACTAAAGCACCACTTAAACGATCACGGTCACCGTCCCCCCCAAACCAATCCTCGTCCGTCACAGTCGTGAAGATACCGCCGGTCGATAATGTCGTATGTCGCAACTGCCACATCGCCAGTCACCGTCACAAGAACTGCCCTGCATATTACTGCAGAGTTTGTAAGGAATATGCACCAGGCCACCTATTGGTCTTCTGTAGAGAGTTGAAGGGAGAAGCGGTCATTCCTTTGGTATGGACTGATGTCAGTTTCTATGACACACTTGCTCACTGGGAGATCGAGCAGGACGCCATCGCTCACGCTGAACAAATGGCGCAAACCACCATCACAGAAGAACAAGACGATCTTCTTCATTCCAACTATGATGCGGACCCCATCTACTGGGCTAACCAAGATATGTGAAGTCGGTGACTTCATCGTTAAACGAGGGGTAATGTTACAATCATGGTCACCCCTATCTCTTTTCTCTTTTCTCTACTTGTGTATTATGTCATGACTGCACCCATCTGTGCCATCATTAGACTAACATCCTTCTACATCTGTATTACAGCATGACCGTCTTACGCTGTCATTAGCTGACTCACCTATGACGTCACTAGCTGACGCATGCCTCTTATCTCTGACTCAACTATGACGTCACTGGCTGACATATGCCTCTTATCTCTGACTCGACTGATGACGTATGCGTACCTACGTCTATATAAACGCAGTCATGTACCTAGATAAAACTTCACTTTAATCTACTAGGTTTTACCTGCACTATCCTTCGCTTAGGACCTCCAATCCTAAGTCGTCTGATAACCAATATTCAAGTCGAAGACACTCTCTTTGACTTGTCTTAAGAACCTTACATTTGTGAGGACACGATCCGACTTTAGGCGTACTCTTATCGAGTACCTATCGTCACGCCCATCCTAGTCGACCTATGGTTTACCATAACAGACGCGGTACATGAAGACTGCAGGATCATCCTGGGGTTGCGCGACAATTTCGAAAGGCTGCACATAGATAAACAGCTGAGCAAGTGCAGGAGGTAGTCCCACACCCCTCATTGACAGTCCAAAAATCATCCGGACTTGAGTGATGATATCATCTAGCAGAGCAGTGCATGAGTATGACAAGGCAAATTAGTAGATATTGAAGACTCACCACTGCCCTGCATTCACAGTAGTACAATATCACAATTTCCAAGATGGTGGGCATCAGATGGTGGATATGCCTGTACTTGCTGACTTGGCATCACAAGGAGTGGGCGCAGCAATGAACGTAGCTGAAGATGGAACTTATACCAGACCTTGAGTAGGTGGTTCTGGAAGCAGGAGCTGACTCCATCAACACGCTCAATAAAGGAGTGAAGCTGCTGAGAAAAGTCTGGAAGCATGTAGTGTTGCGTCAAAAAGATGGCTGTCTTATCCATGAGATCACTAGACACAGTGATGTGAAAGGCTGTGACACTATCATCGAATAGGAGGCCCTTGAGGAAGTGGTTGTGAACTGGTTGAGGGCCTTTGAAATGAGAGAGAGATTCAGGGGTGACACGTGTGATCCAAGCAAATGCTGGATCCATGTCGACGACTTCATTGAATTCATTGACAATCAGATTATTGAAGAACAAATTGGTTGAGTAGAAAAAAGCATAAAGGTCAAATTGACGTGCCGAATCTTCCCAATCTAAAATACAAACAATCTGCTGCGTGAAAATCGAACACTGGTGACTGGTGTGCTCACTAACATCAGCTGTGTATTGTAGTATGGCACCAATGTTAGGAATTGCTCAACCAAATGAAGTGAGGAGCTTGAGCTTTGGTATTTGAAAGTGGTCGATAGGACCTGAGGCTCCCCTGCGAGCCTCAGCAAGGGTGATTGAGCCTTTGAAACGATGGAACTCTTGGAGCGAAGCATTCATAGTAGAGATTGATGATGGAGTGAATGTGGGGGACTGTGCCTGATAGATGAAATCAATCAATGCACAAATTGCACAAATGAAATTGACGTCAACAACACCCGCAATAGTAGGAACAATCGTGTGTTGGATTACCTGGTGTTCGTGACCGGTCATCTGCACAATGTGTGTGATACCTTGGCCGAAATGGCGCATTCTGATGTGTTTATGCTGGCTGCAAAAGCAGGTGTCAAGTTCATCAGCCCCGACAGCCTCCTTGCACCACTTAACAACATGATTAAAAAAAATTTATGGAGAGTGTGAAGAACATCAGGTGCAAGAAAAAGCACTGGATCAGAAAAGTGCCAATTGCGCCAGAAGGGAAGCTGGACACCGCTCAGTAAAAGCACCTTGGCTTCTTCTTGGAAGTGCTGAACTTTCCAAGGATCCATGCATCGGCAGAGTTTGTGAAGCGCTTCAATTGTAAGATGGCCGGAACGAGGCGGATACAACTTCCTGTCGCCAAACTGCAACTGCATGGCCAAAGTCACAGGCGAAGCATTCTTGCTTACACATGCAATTAACTGTTGCTCAGGGAGGTCTGCTGTGTATGCAACAAGGGGGGTAAATGAGTAATGTAGGTTGCCAACTGGGTCCACCATTTGAGTACCTGTCGCAGCTGCAGATTTGACACCCTGGAATACAATATCCATACACTGATGCCAGACATGGGCTTGCAAGAGCGAGGCAAAGTCTGGGTGACAGACAAATTGTGGAATTGGCATATATGCTATGCATGACCAAGCATGCATGGTAGCTTTCATGCGGATGTCGGATCAAATATTAGTGATGGTTAGGAATGTTGGGTGCATCTCAAGTCCACCTGTTTGTCGAGTTACTGGTGTTTTGTCAGAAGCAAGGACTATGGGAACGATAGTGGCGCTGCAGGGAAGCTGGTCCTAAGAATGAGAGAACCAAATCATTAGATTTAGCTTTTAGTAGAAAAAAAAGAAGAAAAAACAAACCTGGATATCATGTGCACGCAAAGTAGACATCCATTCACCGAATTCTCATTCTCCATTGTCATAAATCTCATATGGGTCGAACTCCATATTGTTAGTGAATGCCAGGTTGCCAAAAATGTGCTGTGTAACCTCCAAGGCATTGTGCCAGATGAGGTGCACAGGATGAGTCGTAATGTAACCTTCAGTCTGGATCATTGTGCAATGCCACTTCGGTCCCTTCGGCAGGGTGTCTATGAAAGTGAGCAGTTGCAGGGCTGATTTGTATGCTGGCAGTTTCTGTGCTTCTGACCTCACCTAGGAAGTAGTTAGAGGTAATGTAGTACATGGTCATTAGGCTACTGACCCATGATAACTTCAAGAAACAAGTAATTTGTCCTTGATTAAGATTGTTGCTCAGAAATTTTGCCAGCTCCCATTCATCTCTGTCTACAAATGGGTAATACACATTATGTTCCTGGTGAGCTTCGTATTCATGATTCTTCATGCACTGGAATGTGTTGGGATGGTCAAAACCATATATAGATCTGGATTCTGGATGATAATGTCCATCACGACGCTGACCTGGAGCAGCAGATTGGTGAAATGCAAGCGGCATGGGCATAGCATAGCAGCATGGATCATTTGTCAGGTGAGTGCACAGGCCTTCCACCAACATGAATTGTGTCAAACAGCTGGGACAATTGTAATGACTCTTCCTAGAACATCAATGCAGCAACATTCAGTGCTAGATAACTCGGCACTTACCCTCCCTCCTTAAAAGATGCCTCGTCAGAGGTAAAGTCATATGGATCTGGATCTGGCAGCTCCTTGTTTGAATCTGGCAGTCTCTCATTTGTATTCAAGGTGGATGACATGTGGTCCCCATATGGGTCGATAAGAATCAGCCTGAGGTGCCCAGTGCCAACACTGCAGCTATATAACATGGGGTTGCTATAGCATTGAAATGACACAGTCTGTGCGGGGGTCTGTGCCAGCATTCAATGCAGTCCATACAGAGTTGCCAGCCAGTTCAGTGAGTCACTCAGGCAATAATTTGAAAGTCTTGCCAGCAGGTTGTGAGTTACTCAGCCAACAGTTCGAAAATCTCTCTAAGTTCTTCAAACTCCGCCAGGAGCCCATGGGTGTGTAGTACTCATGATAACAGATTCCAAAGTCAAAGCTTTCAAGACTCAATGGTTTGAGCCCACTGCTGTACCATCATGCCAGGTGTTATTACCATGAACCCGCTTTCTCTCAGTAGCCCAACCAGCTCTGCAACTTATGTTGATAGTTCTCCTAGGCAGAAAGCAAGCTGCAAGGTTCATTATCACATGAACCAGCAGTCGACATATTCCTCATCGGATGATGAGGTAGAAGATCTCAGGCAACATCCCACTGGCATGTCACCTAGTACAGAGAACAACTTTAATGTTCCTGCTACCAGCTTTATATCTCATGTATGGTCTTCAAACATATATTTTTGAACATGTTGACTCCATATTTAATAGGTGCCAGAGATTTTAAATGAGTTGAATCTTCCCCCAGATCACCTCAAAGAACTTGTTGCAGCTCAGTTTGCTACCTGTGAGAAGTTCTGCAACCAACTTGTCTCAATGCTGTGGGAGCTTGAGGAATCAAAGAGGTGGACAAAGGTTGTGAAGTGCACTCTTGGCATGGTGCAGAAAGAGCATACCACTGCTCAGTTAGCACTACAAACCTGGCTTCAATATGCGGAGAAGACACTCAGCGAAACGACTCAGGAACAAACATCCAGCAACTACAGCAAGCAGAAGGAGATGTTTTGTTCTGTCCAGGCAAAATATGAGGATCTGGAAGGACTTGCGATCACTCGTGGGATGACAGATCAGGACTTGGCTGTGATGGACGACAACTGTCACTTGATGATGAGCGATGACGAGGACTCTTACCCAAGTGCTGGCTGTAATTGATACAAGTCAATACACATGAGTCAGTTTCTTTTCTAGAAGAATCATGTCACTGATCATTTGTCAGTTGCTTCATCAGGAAGCATATCATTGTTTGTAGATTGATCATCTGTAGCAGTGTTTCTATGTTTGAAGTTCAATCCAATGTAGCTTCTATCATTGCCTATATTGTCTTGGTCTCTGATCACCAGGCCTCAAGGTATGGCACATAGTATATGATTTTATTATCTCATCAGGGCGAGTCTCCCGCATGTCTTTTGGCATGGCCATTTACATCTGCATCTGACTGATTATCATCACTCTGTCCTACTGACCGCGACAATGCCCCCCAAGGCTATTTCAAAAAAAAGGCATCCTCAATGCAAAAACGCCAAGGTGAGTCCTACCAATTCTTTCAAAGTTTCACTAATACTACTAATTCTAATCTAGAGTATAAAAAAACTGGGAAGGAACAGCGGAATCAACCCCTCGCTGTTATCTGAACAGAGTCAGATTGGCCTCGACATTGAACATACCCAGTGTCCGATAAATTTTGACGAGCTCTCAATGCTTGCGAACAAAGACCCTGATCTTAGCACTGATGATGAGATAGAAGAGCATGAAGATGATGAAGAGTCCCACCGGTCTTCCCAATACCCCTACTACCAACTTTCTCCATGCTACCCACCCCCTCCAAGCCCTTCATTCCCTTCTTTGTGCTATCCATCCCTTTTAAGCTTTGACCAGCCTGAGCACCAGTTCCAGCCCCTTGAACATAAATGGTATGCAACTCCTGGGCCCTCCAATAGGGATGCAAACCCTTCTCCATGCTACATGCCCCTTCTGAGCTTCAGCCAGCCTGGGCATGAGTTCCAGCCCCCTGAGGGTGAGTGCTATGCAACTCCTGGACCTTCCAATAGGGATGTGTTCCTTCCTTTGTGCTATGCACCCCCTCTGAGCTTTGGCCAGCCTGGGCATCAGTTCCAGCTCCCTGAGGATGAGCACTATGCAACTCCTGGACCTTCCAATAGGGATGTGTTCCTTCCTTCGTGCTACATGCCCCCTCCAAGCTTTGGCCAGCCTGGGCATCAGTTCCAGCTCCCTGAGGGTGAGCGCTATATGACTCCTGGGCCCTCCAATAGGGTTCCTAGCACATTGTTCAACCCTCCCCTCCCCTCCTTTGACTCTGAACACCACTCTCTATCCAATCCTGCTCGTTCCTTTGTCGAATCTCTCATACCACCCACTATTTGAGAATTAGAACGACCCATGATGACAACCTTTTGAGACATACAGAGATTTCAGGGGCACCATGAAGAGCATGAATGAGTTTGGTACTCCCACCACACACATCTCAATTATCTGGGAATTCATAAAGTTTTTGTCTACAACCCTGGCCATCCAATGGAGGGCCATCGAGGACAGCTTATCTCAACCGGTGTTATCAAAGTAAGTCCTCATGCCATCATTCATTTGATTCCACTAACACTAATATTCAGGCTACAAACGAGACTACTGTGTCGGTGCCACTCCCACCTTCACGGGCACTGCCACCTCCCTTTACTCCTCCATCAGCCGCAATGAATCTAGACCCTGCTGACCACATGCCTGAAGCTTCAGAACAGCCTAACCCTCCCCAACTCTTGACATTGATGGACCAGAAAGAGGTTATGAAGGAAGTGAAGCAGGTCATGTGGTGAAAAGTCTCACTTGAAAATGCAATGCCAGACACAGCTACCAATATGGCCATGGCTCAAGCAACTCTTTTGGAGGCAGTAAAACACATAGTCCCCACTGTACCGCCAAACACCTTAGTGTGTATACTATGTCATTACGATACCAGTGTCAAGACAATCTGCACCATCACGACAACTGTGCACATGGCCTTCAAGAAGGAGGTGCGCAATGCAATACTAGTCCCAGGACATTACAATCTCACCCTCCCGCTTGACAACCCAAGATCACAGACTGATCATTGACGGGACACTGTAGCGCCACTTCTAATCAATCAAGTGTATCTTTTTGTAGGTTTGTTCATTGCCTCTCACACATATCTACTTATAATGTCCCTACTAGGAAGATCCTAACATACAGTCGCCTGTGAACCACCCAGCAGTGATCACAACAATAATTTGTGCTGTGTGGGGAGGTATCCTGCACGAAGCGCTCAATTTTGATGACATCGACACTCTTGACAACTTGGTTACCCTTGGAGGTGCTGCAGTAGGCTCTAGTTTGATGGAGTATGAGGAAGGGGTGCACAAGACTGTTCAGTTTGCACCTGCATCACAGTCTGCAGGTGAGTATGGAGCAATACAGCATCACAACAAAGTTGTTTGTTGTACTCCTGCTTTACATTGTGCCTTGAGAGCCTTGAGGGAAAGCATGATAGCTTGTGGGATGTCTTTGCGGGAGATTAGATAGTGATCATAGTACTATCTAAATGTAAACACAATAAAATGTTTCAATCAATACATTTGGGGCTTTGTAAACTTTGATCTCTAGTGCAAAACTTTCTTGCCCATTAAGTGATGCTTCAACAGCTTTACTCACTTGGGTAAATCAAAGTCTGCTCGACGAGCGGTTTCAAGTTTTAGATGCACCACCAACCACCCAAAACCTCTGGTAGACCCAAAAAAGTGTTAGGGTGTGATAAGCCTTACCACAGTATTGATTATATGGTTTTCACACTATATATTTTGGAGCAATTTAGTAATTGTCTGAGTCACCAAGTGGGCACAAGATTAAGGAGACCTGCAAATGGTAACCTGAGCATATTATAGAGAAACCGAGGGTACATTGACGACCAGGGCTGTTGTTCACATCAGGTTGTCATGTTCCTATAATATTTCGAACATACATCTCAGAAACATCTCATGCTATGGCTCATATAGATATCAGGTTCAATATGTTTGGTGTAGGTTCAATTGACACCTTGCCCAGATATCACGCTTCGTATGTTTAGAGCACCTGCTAGGTATGTAGGTGTCATATCATTATCACATACCAGTCATGTTGTTACTGTATAATCAAATAGCAAAAACACGAAATTAAGCCACAAAACATTTGCATTGCATTACTGATGATGTATTAGACACAAGCAAAATTAAGCCATACTAAATGAGTGATACTAAATGAGTGATGCTATTAAATGAGTGACATGCATCAATGCACTGCTGGAAAGTGAGAATGAGTGGAAATGAAAATGAGTAGTTGAAAAATTCAACTTCACCATAAGAGCTGGTTCTGGATGGTAGTCTGCCACTGGGGGCTAGTGGTAGTGAGGAGCTTCAGAATGGTTCTTCTTCCAGGAAATTCAGCAAGGTCCAATTGAAAGTATTCCACAAGGATACTTTGTAACAATCAGCAACAATGAGGAGGGAAAATTAATGGGAAACATACTCATGAAAAGCATGTTCATATGTCAGAGAACCACCCATCCCCTCCTGCTCACTGACCCAGGCCCTTGCTAGCTTGTGAATGCCATTGAGGGAGTCATCTACAAACTTCCAGAACTTAGACAAAGAGTAAACAGCAGGGCGTCCTTTGCTTTCAGATCCTGAATTTTCCTCATCAACTGGCAGATCTCCTTCGCCTTGGTCCTCATCCTCTGCTCCTTCGCCCCTGATATTCTCGCCCTCATTCTCTTGCTGGCTGCCATTGTCAGTATTCTCCGTGTCTTGCATCAGATGGTCTTCATCTAAGAAACTTTCAGAATCAGTGGGAGTATTGGGTTTGAGGTCTTGATCAACATTGCCATGTATCCTGCATTCAATAGCATCCATGTCAATGCCGAGTTTCTCGTTGATTTTGATGCGAAGGTCATCATGAAGTGATGGAATGAGTGAGTTGGAAAAAAGAACTTTGAGGGGTACAGTCTTGTAGTTGTCCACACGGATAAGGAAAATGTGCAAGCAGTGCCGCTAGATTGCATGTCATGAACCATCTGTTGTCAAATAGAGCGAGGACATACCAAAAATGCGAACCTATTCTAGTGCATAGAATCAACCTCAATGCCACAGTGATGAGTGAGAGACTTTGTGGTCTCCATGATACTTAATCGTTTGACAATTGACGTTGTCAGCTGAGCATGTATATCTCATGATTAGTTTACATAGCAGTGGCAAAACTTGACGAACCTTGGCCTTTATGTTGCCATGGATGGATGAAAGCAGGTCACTGACCATTTTTGACAGTTGTGCTTTAAGTTCCACATCTTCAAGCATTGCCACGGGGATTTTGAACACATTGTGATGCTTCCTGACGAAGTCCTGTTGCAGTTTCAACATCTGACTAATACAGTGATTGACTTGAAGAATACCATAATATGAGTGTGTGCATTGGTGACAGCATGCACGCAGTGAGATGACTCTGGATTCCAGACTGCATTTCATTTGATCAACTAATACTGCTGTACATTTGGACAGCCACAGCATACCTTGAAGTCCTTAGAATCTAGCAGCTCTTTCAATTGGGTGAGCTCTATCTTCCTGGCATCTTCATTCTGCCTCAACAAGGTGGCCTTGATGTCAATAAGCATATAGTATATCCCTCCAGTCTGCAAGCAGGGCAGCCATGTCAGAAAGTTGTGTAGCACCAAAGGAAAACTTACATCAATAAACTCATGAAGTTCCTCCTCAGCAACACCTAAGTCTGTTATGAACTTGGATAGAGTGTCGTTCCAATAAAGGAATCAAGATCAAGGTCAATTAAGGACTAGGCCTTATCAAGTCAATGCCTCCCTCAGGAGCGATCACTTAGACTCCCACAGGATCTAAGGTTCAAATGGGACAATGGCTAGCCTCCTTCCCAAGGAGCTAGAGTTTGAGTATCAAAGAGAACCGAGTAGATTCAAGTTAGAGAAAATACAAGTGGTCACTAGGGTTTATATATGTAAGGGAATTGTGCACAGACCAGGCTGGGCAAAGGGTAATGACTACTGAGAAAGGAAGGTTCATGGGAAAACAAGGTATGAGTCAAAGATAAGGGAGACCATGAGGGAACAGCACAGTGAAAAGGAAGCGTTAGAAGTACAGCCATATAGGAGTCCGCAGTGATGATGGGAAAAAGAGTGGGGTACTGTAACACCTAAGTCTTTGGCAACCTTCATCGCATAAACTTTCAGTCTTTTCGCACGTACAGGTGTAAGGACAGTTGGGTCACCACAATCAGGACTTGAATCAGTTCATTGATGGCATACACCTGTGGTAATGTTTTCATCAAGTGATCCATCAGACATTGCAGATTGCAAATTGTCACAAGAACAGGATGCGCCAACAGCAGATTGTGACTGAGAACTTGTACTACTGCTGGGTGGTCTAGATGTCTGGGAGAATCCTGCTGGTGAGTGCACATGTCCTATACTCCCTGTTCCTAAACCATTTGCAGGAGGTTGAGATCCACTATAAACACTTTGAATGGAAGCTGAACAACTCCTGCCTCCTGGACCTCTGGCAGCATCTGGTGTTAACAGATCACTTGTTGAACATGGCTGTGGAGTGCCTTGAGTGCATATGGGAAAGTGCTGGAGTAACATCCTGAAAGCCGGGAAAAGGAAGGATGCAAGACAATGAGTCCAGCTCTGAGATCTGAGTGAGTGTTCTGCCTGAATGCCATAAAAAATCAAAGCTTATTAAGGACACACTTAACATTTGCGTGTTTCACATGAGGCTCAAATCTCGATGGTGCAAAATTGCTCATATGATAAAATACAAAGTTAGAAGGGAGCACATAAATTGAGGACTGTATGCTATATGTAAAGTACAGGTCTTATTCAAATATGTATTAGTCTGACTGTATGCTTAACTCCAATGTGAATTGCAATATGCAATGACACATAGCTGATGCCCTGAAGATTGCAGTGGGTTTCTGGAATGACAGTAGCTTGATCCCAGCGAGATTTCTTAGGTGTCTCACTGGCAGCTGCAGTGGGTTTCTGGAATGACAGTAGCTTGATCCCAGCAAGATTTCTTAGGTGTCTCACTGGCGGCTGCACTTTTACTGAAGTAGCATTCCAGAAATAATAATAGCCTGAGTGACAGATGTCATGGATGAGTAGAGTGCTGTGTAGGATAAGGTGTGGGCAAGAAGGGGGAGATAGAGGACAGATGGGGGTAGTGATGCTGTGGTGGTTAGGCCCAGGTCAACTATTAGGTCCTGCCAGTGAGAAGGTATTAGTTGATAGCATATGGTGGAAATGAGGTGCAGGTGGTGGATGTGAAAAGGCTTGATGGCCCAGATGCCAGGTAATTGAAGCTGATGGGAATGCATGAGCATGTAATTGGAGTGGAGCCAAGTGTGATTGAGGGGCAGGAAGGTGCAGTTGGAGGGGAAGGTGTGACATTTGTGGATGCATGTGTAATTGGCCTGGGTGCAGAACTTGAATCATGTATGGCTGAGGCAGTGGAAAGTGGTATGATTGAGGTGGTGAGGAAATGTATGATTGAGGCACAGGATTGTGTGAAAAATGAGGAGGAATATACGACGGCTGTGTAAAATATCATTGATCTGGAGCAGCAGTATCTGCTGTGTTTTGCTGTGGAGGTGATGCTGGTCTAGAGGGCCCCACAACAGCTTGACTGGTGCATGATGGTACAGTCTTCTTTCTTCCTCACATGCTGGAACTGCCAGCCTTTGCTTTCGGTTTGGCACCAGTCTTCATGGTGGTGGGAGCATGATCAAAGACTGCACGTGGTGCTGTGGCATCTTCAATGTGTTCACCCTCTCCTTGTTGAGGTATATTTCCGGATTTTTTGGCTGCTCACTTCTCCTGCATTTGCTGCACTGCCAATGCTCGAACTTCAGTCACATTGGTCACTCTCAGTGGTGTCTTGTGAAGGGTATTGGGCATAACAAGATTGATGTAGTCGTAGTTATGAACAGAGTATACATTGAGGAGGTAGTGTGGGGTTGGCTTGTGTTGAATGATGGGCCTTGAGTGAGATGTTATGGTCCATTCTTGATATATGGGTTGCTGAGTGGTGTCGGTGCAATGTGAATTGATGCAGTTATGTTGGACATTGACAGAACACACAATATCATGCAAGACAACACTCATAAGATGCATCACTGACTTGTGAAAGACAATGACAACTTACAGTGGTGGACAAAACTACTTCATCATCAGTAAGATCTAGACATGGAAGATGAAGAGATGGGTGCAATGTCTCTGTGAAGGAAAAGTGCTGGAGAGCGATGTGTTCTACTATTCGGTGGTCATTGGATGATACAAGTATTTCCCGAATATGTCCAATGTACATCTGAAAACATCTTGTCAATTATTTGCCTTGAAAGTTCAAACAAACAACCCACCTTTCCATCTGCTGATGGTCGAACAATAACTTCACTGTTGAGGTATGCGTTTTCTCCTGTGCTGGTCACAATACATTTGCCCAGTGGTAATCAATGTTTGGATTGCATAGGATGGTTCTGGGAATATTCGCACAACGTGTATCCTTCCAAAAAACTGTGTCCTTCCAGACCGTCTTTCTAGACTTTCCAGTTACTGTTTCGACTTTTCCTGACCCTATACACAAATGAGTCATGAAATAATGAAATGTATGGCGTTATTCACCAGGTATTGGAGTGCTGCGACTGAAGTTTGATAACCCAAGCAGCTGTGCTTGTTCAGGGTGCTCATCAAGATAACTTAAGACCTGGACTCCTGCATGAACCCATTTCTTGATCTCACCATCATACCAGTAACCACCAGTAGCAACATGCTTGATGATGTCCTGGTGAGCAAATACTTTGCAGGTGTCTCTGCTTGGTGCTTGGCGATTGCTATATATGCAAGACAAGCAGAAAATGTGGTTAAAAGATTCATATCGCTCCATCAAGAAGATAATTGCTGGTCCAAAACGTCGAATATAGGCCAGGAGATGAATGAGAAAATGGAATTTGGATTTGCTAATCAGGATACTTGGTGCACACTGCGCTGTCATGTTCAGAAAATCTTGGATCGTTCGTGTTAACTTTGCCTATCAAAAGATGATTAGAAAGAGCAGGCATTTGAATGTATGTGATATAAGAACTTACAAGGTAAACCTTGGTGTTTGCTATTTTCGTGTGCCAGACAAGGACAACAAGTTCACCCATGACTGTCCAACCATTGAGGACTGTTGGTGGGACAAGGTCATAGATGAGGAATGGCATTACTTGTGCCAAGCTCTTGAAATGCTTTCCAATCAAGCTGCCTTTGTAGTGGCAGATATAGTCAGTGTTGAGGCAAGGAGATTTAGCCCATCTTTGTTAATGGTCTCGAGGCAGGTCTGAAAGAGATGCAAGAGCTTTGATTTCTCGAGGAGGAATACTGTTTGCCCCCAGAAGTATTTTACAACACCTAGCAGTATTGTATGGAAGATTTCAGTTGGCGTATCCATATGGACATTGAATGCTGATTTGAACATGAGTGTAACATCTACATCATTTTCAAAAACACTCACCATGCATGCCTAGCAGGGGATTGATTGTGTCATCGAGCTTTCCACCTTGCAAGAGCTGCTCAAACTCTTTCTTGAGTGTGATGCTGACCTCGTTTTCAGGTATTGCTGGAGAACCCACTGTACATTTCCTGAGTTTCTTGCCAAGTTCCAGCAGTGTGTTAAGGATGGAGGCTGAAGCTGTATCACAAATACCAGTTGATGACACAGAGTTCTTCACCTTCTTCAAGGCACCCAATAGCATTGCAGTCTCGAATTGCTGTTGAACTGTGTTCACAGTACCCTCTGGCATTCAGATATTGCCTGACTGCAAACACAGAATCAGTAGTTAGAAAACATGAAACAGACTTTCAAACATTGAAGATACTGCTATATCCAGCCTCAGACTCCTTATATTCCTTCATGCCACCAACATCACACGTCCTGCAATAATAGTTGCAGTTCAGCCCAGCATGGCTGCATTCTTCAGCTTGCATGGGATTGTCCCCAGTGACAAACAATCCATAAGGGATGAGCATGACCTCCTCACTGTCCTTGCAGTCCCATGCAATGATGCCAGATTCAGCTGCAACACTGAAAATCGCGACCACTGACTGAGAATATGAGCTAGACAACAAAAAACATGCACGTACCAGATAGACTCTTTCATGGCTCACATGAGCTCCATTGGTGCAGCATGAGGCAAGGATGTGACAAATCACACCAAAAACTCTTTCTCAAGCATCTCACGCAGCAAGTTGGCATTTGACATGTAAATGGCATGATGTTTGTTCCATTGCTTCAACACATTGCCCAACACATCATCCATAAAAATAATTAGTGGGACTGGCGTAGACCATTTGACCATTGGACTTCTCACGCAATGGATTGGGCATAAGTGATGCAAACTTAACTGAAGAAGCTGTTATGTGGTTAAGTCCCACAATCACTAGTGCACTTGATATAGAACATACCTGTGAGACCACAATTGAGCTCACCATGCATTGCAGCAATATCTTTGAATGATTGCACAAAGGCTGAAGTGGGTATAATCTCTTGTTCATTGTTGATGATGAATCCAGCCTAATTCACATGTCAGTGATCAGCACAAAGTCATAAATCTAGTATCAAATAACATATGTCAGTCCATTGAGCAGCTCGACCAAGGGCATACTGAATTTTCATGTTTGGTTGAGCTCCAGGTTCAACTTCGTCAGTGGGAGGACATGAACCAAGAAAGAAGTGCTCTGGGATAAAGTATGCCTTGGATGATTCTTGCAGCAGCTCATTGATAAAATATATTGTGCCATCAACCCGAACTGCAGGTGGTGATGGGAGATCAAGCAGCATCTTTGTGCCATTAAACACCTGCAACATTCCTTCGCCTCCATCCTCTGGGTAATCTTGTATTGCAAATTGAATGAGTGGGTTCACATAGTCCTGAAATATTGTGTCAGTACCATACACACCTATGTAACATATTAGACAAACCCTAGCAATTGATTCTGCGACATTGTTGATATAAAATGTGTCCCCTGAGTGAGCTGAGACCTTCTCAGTTGGATCACCAACAAGATGGTCAACATGTTTCTGGACCTTCTTGACCATGCTGAATGAGGGAACATCTCAAGTGCCAAGGTCTCTAGCCCAATTGAGGACTGCCTTTTTCTGCCCATCAGAAAATGGGTGGTGGGGGGAGCTGAAAAGAAGCGACGTGATGAAGTTCTTGACATAGCTGTGAGCATTGAGTTTGCAACTCATATGAAAAAAACTCACTGCTTTGGATGTCCATGGGTATGTTGGACTATCTTGAGAGGCGATAACATTGGTGCCCGTCATATTGTAAACACCATCATCTGTACACTTCATTAAGCGCATTGTCATGGAGCACAACTCAAATTTTACACTCACCAGGAAGTTCAATCCCAAAATCAGGCACACTATCATCAAGGAGCTCACACTCTCCATTAACAGGGGCAAGAGGCATCAAGAAAGGAATTTCCCCGCAGGCAAGACTTGCTTGGAGCTTGGTGAATAGGTCCAGATGTGCTTCTTCAAACTCATATTGCTGGTCACCTGCAATGTGGTTCAAAAGCTTGGATAGTGGGACCTCCATGTCCACATCAGGCATGTCTGCATCCATGTACAGGTTTTCAGAGTTGTGGTGAGACACTGTGGGGTTGGTGTTTGTTGAGGTAAAGATGGGGTTCCTGGCTTTCTTCCATCGCAAATTCCCCTCAAGACCAAGTGGTACAGAAGCAGTGGCCTGTTGACTCTTGACAGATCTTTGAGAGAAACATTGATGCATGTTCTGGGAGATATGCTTTTTGATGTGTCAGATGGCCATTGTGTGCAAGACACCTGCTCTGCGAGGGCATACCATGCAAATGGCATTTTTGCTTCTATCATCGCAATATTTTATAACTGTAAATAAAGAGCGGTGAGATATAAACAACCATGTGAATAACAGACTAACAAAAACATACTATCACCATCAACAAATTTATGGTTCATGAATGGACGAGGTGGGTGGGGCAAGTAAGTTTGGCAAGTAGCTGGAGGGTTGATTGAGGCTTGTGTAGTGGCACTTAGTATCAAGCACCATACACAATGATGATACCATGAGCACCTCTAGTAGGAGGATGTTATGGTGCAGAACTGCTCCTGGTCTTTGATTTGCACATTAGATCTACTTCAATACTCAAAATGATGGGACTCACAGATGGGACGAGATGATAGCTTGCACAAGTCTTGGAGATGATTATCACAGTGTTGTCAGTGTCAGTGATTGACTTGAAGTTATTGAGTGACATAGTCATGTGCCTTGTGATATGACTTTGAATGACAAGTCCAAAGTCCCACACACTTCCTCAGACTTCAGATTTTGACATTCCATGGATCCTGGAATACTCACCAATATTTCTGTCATCTATCCAGACATACAACATGAAGAGACTGGATGTTTATCTCTGCAACCACTACTTCTCACAGTCTGCTTTTTGGGTATGCTACCAGGGGAATTTCTACAATAAAACATTGTGAGTCAGCATTGTTCTGTTCAAAACAAACTTAAAATCATCTGTTGCAGCCCGTTCAAATATCAGTATCTATTGCCAAGGAGTATGGGATGTTTACCACTCCAGTTGTAAACACTGTATCGATGGATATGAGGGATCCTGATAGCTGGCAGGCAAATTTGCTTCCCTCAAGTGACATGAGTGCACGTTCTGTTGCAAACATACTAAATCACTAGTACTTACATTGTGGCACAGCTGTTTTTCTTTCAAGAAGTAGCTGATCACAGCACTGCTCCTCCCCCAGATGATAGCATTCCATTTTTCCCACTTCTGTCAATGTTCGACCACTGCAATCGAGGAAATTGGTCAACATTGTCAAAGGAGATTGAGTCATGGCTGGTAACCAAAGTGGATTCAGAGTCACCACTGTGGGCTTGGGGATGTGATGCATTTTGGCTAGCATTTATTGGGGGATATCTGTGCTTTCTGAGAGGCAGATGGCCCATGTGGGATTCTTGAGTGCCATTGCAGGGTGCATTCATTGAAGCATGGTTAGACCAGTCGAGTGGTGCTGAGGGGAATTGGATTGGAGTGCAAAGCACCCCTGAAGTATGTGATCATGTTTGGGCTGAGTTCTGCATGCATGCAGCCCTCTTCTATCCCAGTCCCCTCATTTCTTCTGACTGCCTTCAGGATGATCAAGCTTCCGCTTCATATGTTTCAGTATGTTAGAATGCCTATATCACATAACTTGTCATTTTCATTAGCATCTATGGTTGTAGGACATGTGCCAATTTTATGTGCTTGGATTGTTGCCACCTTGAACTGCTGGAAGGCCTGCAGTAATATTCAGATCATTGATAGTCAAGAGTCGATGGTAAATTGTCCAGATCAGCAACAGTCAACATGTATAGACCATAGGAACAAACATAGGCCACTCAACATTAGTTATATATACATACAACCTCTCTCAGGTGTCTCAGCTTCTGATCTTTACCACAGGTCTCTGTCTGATATACCCAAAATATCCTTCATGTGGCCTCACATTGAACCTTGATGCAGGCCCAAACAACCTATTTCCCATCTTTACCAGATATCAGGTCAAATGCACTGACAGAGCCTCTATTTGGTAGCTTTACTCTACAAATATGCTATTTATCTACCAAAACCTTATTATAGCCAAGATTCAGGTTGTGGTAAGGTCACTTAAATGGTTTTCACACTATGTCTGTTTGGCCCAAAGAGGCAGTTGGTGGTGTATTGGGTGATGTTTTGGGTGTTGTAGTGTAATTCCCACACTGTGTGGCTGAAAAATGCGAAAGTGCGGAGTGTGGGAATAATGTGAAGAAGCCCTGATATGAGGAAGTGACCAAAATAGGATGTATTTTGTGAATTTCCGCTTTTGGAAGCCAAAATTGCGGTCATACCATAGGAATATATCCCCTACCAAATCTGGAATGTATCCTGACATTTGAAAAATAGCTGAGTTTCAAAAATGCGAAAAATGCGGTTGTGATATCTGGTGAGAACAGATATATCCCAGCTGGGTGGATAACTAGACTTAAAGATGTATCACACTTTTAGGGCTATAGTCCATTTAGATATATCTTTCTACCTGTATCCTGTGGTAATGTAATGGACACCTGTTCAGATGGCATTCAGAGGAAGATACCAGCTAGGTAAAAGGCATGCAACTGGGGTTTGTAGGAAATGTCATCCTTCAAAAAATAATACATTTGAAAATTGCAGGACTTTGCAATGATGCTACTGCACTGATCTATATGGCTATCCCAAATCAAATGGGGATGCCAGACCAAATTCTTCACCAGAGAAAAGATCAATTTGAGATAGCACAAGTCACAGTCAAGATGGAAGAAGCAGTCAGGACCATCATTGGTAGGTGTTGCACCTGGTTGTGGACAAACCATGGTAAGGATAGCAGGGGATAAATTGGTCAAAACCATGTCTGCATCATCAACAACATTGATGGAGGCTAGGAATTCTCAGGAACTGTGAGCAGCACAAAGGGCAGCATGGCATAAACATAGGAGCATGCTGCTCCCCATGCAGGCAATGAGCTTCCTGATGTATAGACATTGTTTATCAGGGCTGCAGCTCACTGTCATACTACTCAGTAGTACAAGGATGTCACCTGCTGTCCTGTGGTCATTGGTACAAGCATCACTGAGGTAGTCCACTAGCCAGTTGAAGTCTTCTGGCAAGTGGGAATTGCCTTCCCATGAGATTCAATGCTGCCACAACCAGGCAGGGGCTGGTGGAAATTGATTGTCATTGATGGGGATGGTGAACCTAAAGTGCTGTACTTCTCACAGTGCTGCTGATGAATCCTGATTATTGTGTTGAGATGACCTCACTTGTAAAAAAAATCTTCCAGTACATGTCCAGATCTCACATCTTCATAGGTGGAAGTAGGTCATGGTCAAGCACTTGGCAGATGACATTAAAGTGCCATGCTCAGTGGACATCACTGTTGAGATTGCCTCCATCTGATGCCCAGAGTACTGTCTGGAACTGCTCCAAAAGAGCCTCAGCAAGTTGAGGCAGAGCAGAACTACACAATCTTTTCATTAAGTATAGCAGAAGAACAATCAAATGAGTCAAGAGCACCTTTTATCAACCTGAATGATGTCTTTCTTGTCAAACTGGACCCCAACCATGATGCAAGCAAGAAGAGTGCAATTAGCTATGATTTGAGGCAATGGAGAGGAATGAGAGGATAGGAGTTCTGATATCACTGTGATGGCAAGTTTTTCTACATCTTCATCCACTTGCCCTATAACAAAGTGAAAGGGAAGAACATGAGACAGCCACTCTGTTAAGGTCATGCTCAAGGCTAAATGGATCTGAAGGGCTTCAGCCTCAGCTCATGCACTGTGCCTGTCATATCCACATATCTGGATCTCAGATCCAAACCTTATCTCGTCTCAGATCTGATCCACAACTTATCTCTGATCCTATCCACATCTTATCTCCCTTCACCATCTCGTCATCCATCCTGTCCACTCATCCAGTCCAGTCCACAATTCATCTGAATCCACAACCAGTGCTCATTCTCTTTTTGGTAATCCCCTAACTCTGGTATTTCGGCTATCTGTATATCCGTCCTGCTCCCTGACCCATTACCTATGTTTCATTTCCATTTCATGATTTGTGATCTGTTTCTACTTACCAATAGACTATCCATATGCTTCATACATAGCCTCGGACTCTGCTGATTGATCATTCTGTTAGATACCTATAGTATATAACCTCCTGTAACTTTCTGTAGTACCTCAGTTCAAATATCATCCTAGTTCTACTCATTCCTGTCCTCTGGACTTGAGTATCTCTACTCTCATCACCCTCCAAGACTTAGGATTGATTCCTATAGTCTATCTGTATCCACCTCTGTCTCTGACAGTCCATTACTGTTAGTTTCTAGTCTGGACTCATCCAGATTAGCCCTACGATACTTACCCTCATCTGGAAATCATCCGGATCTGCTACACTACTCGTCCGACCGTCTGGATGCATTAGTCTTGCCTTCCTGAAATAAGGGGCGATACTCAGGTAAGGGGCACAGTGCACAAGCTGAGGCCAAAGCCCTTCAGATCCAGTTATCCCTTGAGTACGACCTTAACAGTGCCCCTTACTCAAGTATTGCCCCTTATTTCAGGATGACAAGACTAATGTGTCCAGAGGGTCAGATGGGTAGTATAGCGGATCTGGATGACTTCCAGATGCCAGATAAGTATGGTAAGGATAATCCAGATGAGTCCAGACTAGAAACTAGTGGTAGTGGACTGTCATAGACAGAGGCAGATGCAGATAGACTATAGGAATCAATCCCAAGTCTCAGAGGGTGACAAGAGTAGAGATACTCAGGTCCAGAGGACAGGAATGAGCAGAACTAAGTTGATATTTGAACTGAGGTGTTACAGAGAGTTACAGAAGGTTATATACTATAGGTATCTAACAGAATGATCAATCAGCAGAGTCTGAGGCTATGTACAAAGCATATGGATAGTCTATTGGTAAGTAGAAATGGATCACAAATAATGAAACAGAAATGAAGCATAGGTAACAGATCAGTGAGCAGGATGGATATACAGATAACCAAAATATCAGAGTTAGGGGACTACCAAAAGGAGATGAGCGCTGATTGTGGATTTGGATGAATTGTGGACTAGACTGGATGAGTGGCAGATTGGATGATGAGATGTTAGAGGGAGATAAGATGTGGATTGGATCTGAGATCCAAATATGTGGATATGACACACTTAAGGACAGGGTTGAGACAAACCCCAAACTTTGGTGACTCAAGAAATTTGTAGAAATATGGTTCATATTTCACAGCAAACAGCTTGGTTGTTGCAACAACCACATTATCCTTGACTTTTGTCTTCTCCAACATCTGGAAAAACATGATGTAGTCTGTGCTTCCCTCACCAACAAATCCATAGGCAGGACATCCCTGGAGAATATGGTGGCAGTATAGGTGACAAAGTGACAGAGAGCCATTGTACATGCTGATGCCTTCTCCTCCAATGACAGTACAATTTGCCCCTGAACATCAAGGCAGGTAATGTAAACATCAAACAACTGATGCAGCATGTCTGAGATGTCAAAATCCAGAGGCCAGTCAACATGAGGAACAAGGCTAGTGGCAGCAAGAAATACTTCAGGATCTGTGGATGTCTCAAGCAGCCACTTGATGCTAGCATCAGTAAATCACTAGGCTCTGTACAGAGCTGGACAGTATCCCAGTTCTACAGCTTGGTCCCTATTTGCCAGCTTACTACAGCAACACCTTACTTTATGAATCACTGTACACATACTCACAGATCCTTCTAGCAATTCCCAGAAACCCTTCAAAAGTTCCAATTGTTGCTGTACAGACTTTCATAGACAACTTTAAAAATGCAGAGCTTTGTACAATAGCACACAATGATAATATATATTGCTGTACAGACATTCACAGACAACTCAAAAATGCAGAGCTTGTATAATAGTGCACAATGATCATATATTGAACCAAATGAATCACATGACAGTCAGATACATTAAATGATGAAAAAGAAAACCAATGATAGCTAATATTAGTGACTGATAGACATGGAGCTCCTTCTAATCAAGCTCTACCTGCAGGTGGACATGCTTGGATCTGTCAATGCTGTCAAGTTTGCAAAACTTGGCCCTGGATGAACTAGTTAGTGTCAAATACTATGCAAAGCCTCATATCCATACCATCCAGCTTCAGCCCACTCATGAAGCCACTGCACCAATTTTGGGCCATGATAAGGGTCATTCATAATGTCTTTGAGTAGTCCCAGCATTCTGTTGTATATGCACAGGTAATCCTTTGACAAAAAATTGGGGTAAGTCTTCCCATTCCCATTTTTTTCGAGACCATCAAAGACACAGTTGAACTAAAAAAAAGTGTCAGCACATTCCCAGTAGTGTTAATATTGAGATGATACCACTGTAGTGATGAGAGCTAAACACTTTAGTGGTATCTGCTTGCAAAAGATGTCTGGTCACCTATGAGCAATGCAATAAGACCCTACATAGATGAAAAGAATGGTGGCTTCATGAAGTCCAGGGTGAGCAAAATTTTTAGTCTTCCCCAATTCATCCTTCCTGTCACACAAATATTTCAATTTATCCAGCAAGTCCACAGCAGCTGCTTCAACCCAATTTGTGTGCTCCTGAGTGGAAAGATCGGTCAGTGGGATGAGATTGTATACAGAAGGAGTGATGGCGGCAACTATCTTCTTGAGGTCTGACTGCCAAGTTAATAGATCATCATATAACTAAAAAAAATGAGACACAAGCTCATGACAAGAAAGATACATACCAGTCTTGCCATATCAGGTTTGTGAGTGGGCCATACATCTGGTGGATATTGTGAGTCAATACAATATCAAAAGGGAAGTGACGACATACCAGCTTCAACTTGATTACCATCTCCAAGCCATTCAATGAGAGAAGCTGAGAGCAACTCCATGATGCTGGTTGATAAGTCAGGGACAAGTTTTGGGAATGCATTCTCTAGAGCATGCAGGACATGACACTCTCCCTTTGCTTCCTTGAGAAAGTGCTTCCAGCAGGGACTATACCAGGCTAGTTGTGTGGACTTAGGACCATTGCTCAGGTCCTTGGATGCTTTGGTTGCCTTCTTCTTTAAACCTGATGTATTGGCCATTTCAGCACCACAGAGTAGGTCCAGAAGGGCAGGATCAGGAAGGCAAGGATGACCATTTTTCTTATGGTGAAGTTCCAGTACATCAGCCAGCTAGAAGTTATGAAAATGTGAGCACACTTCAAATAGATCAATAAGTTATACCTGGGAGGCACCCATTTCCAAATCATCACTGCTTGAAGTATCATTGAATGCCAAAATTCTCCCAGCTGCTTGATCATCTTCATCCCATGAGTGCTGGAATTTGAAGTTGGTATGAAGAGCGACAGCAACCCAAGGTTGGGATGATTAGACTTCCTCCGAAAAACCTGTCACTGATTAATGTCATTGTGTCATATCCCACAATCCAGACCCACATTCCATCATATTCCCACACCTTCCGAGCCTATGTCCAGACCCCACTTCATATCCAACTCATTCCCAGATCCCCTTCTGCTGTATGCTCCACACCTCAGTAGGATCGACTCTGCTCCAGATTTACCCCTGAGCTCCGGACCTCTGGATCCCCACTGCTAGCCTGATCCATACCACCCTATGCACACTCCATCCAGCAAGACATCCGGACTTCACCTCATCTTGGATTCTGGACTATATCCATCTCCTCATATTCCAGTCCTGTATCCACCTCATCTTCCAGATCCCCAGATCTCTGGACCTCCGGATATTAACTCCAGACCTATTCCCACCCTCTGTCTGATATCCTGCGCCTATCCCCATTTAGACATTCTCTGCCTTCCAGCTTTTGGTTACCTCTTGTTCATCTTTGCTTATTGATCCTTGTACTAAGTCCTCATCTCCAAGTTCATTTACTTATGTTCCAATCTTACTTACTAATGTGTTTCCACATGCTCGTACATAGCCCTGCTCCTTTGCTTACTGATCCCCTCAGATATTGTCCAGTATATAACCCCTGTAGATACTCCTGTAGTTCCTTAGTTTAAATATCATCTTAGACTTTGCTCTACTTGCCCAATCCTCTCTTGGACTTTGGTCTACCTAAGTCTGTCCTATCCATCAGGCCTAGGGATTGATTCCCTAGGCTAGAGCTTTGCCTTTCTGGCACTTACCCTCTTTCTGGACTTAGGTCCAATCCCTGTTCTCTCTGACTCTGCCTTAGGGTAGTCTACCTCTGTTTGTTTCTACATTGGACTCCATCCAATGTAGCCCCTATTCCTTCCAGATCTCTGGGTGTCCTGTCCTTTATACCCCTCTGGACATTCAAAGGTACAGAGGCGGGATATCCAAAGGACAGGACACCCAGAGATCTGGAAGGAATAGGGGCTACATTGGATGGAGTCCAATGTAGAAACAAACAGAGGTAGACTACCCTAAGGCAGAGTCAGAGAGAACAGGGATTGGACCTAAGTCCAGAAAGAGGGTAAGTGCCAGAAAGGCAAAGCTCTAGCCTAGGGAATCAATCCCTAGGCCTGATGGATAGGACAGACTTAGGTAGACCAAAGTCCAAGAGAGGATTGGGCAAGTAGAGCAAAGTCTAAGATGATATTTAAACTAAGGAACTACAGGAGTATCTACAGGGGTTATATACTGGACAATATCTGAGGGGATCAGTAAGCAAAGGAGCAGGGCTATGTACGAGCATGTGGAAACACATTAGTAAGTAAGATGGAACATAAGTAAATGAACTTGGAGATGAGACTTATACAAGGATCAATAAGCAAAACAGAACAAGAGGTAACCGAAAGCTGGAAGGCAGAGAATGTCCTAAATGGGGATAGGCGCAGGATATCAGACAGAGGGTGGGAATAGGTCTGGAGTTAATATCCGGAGGTCCAGAGATCTGGGGATCTGGAAGATGAGGTGGATACAGGACTGGAATATGAGGAGATGGATATAGTCCAGAATCCAAGATGAGGTGAAGTCCGGATGTCTTGCTGGATGGAGTGTGCATAGGGTGGTATGGATCAGGCTAGCAGTGGGGATCCAGAGGTCCGGAGCTCAGGGGTAAATCTGGAGCAGAGTCAATCCTACTGAGGTGTGGAGCACACAGCAGAAGGGGATCTGGGAATGAGTTGGATATGAAGTGGGGTCTGGACATAGGCTCGGAAGGCGTGGGAATATGATGGAATGTGGGTCTGGATTGTGGGATATGACATAATCTAAAAACTTACTCAACTGCTTCAAACATGATTCAATCTTCACCTGCTGGGATAATATCTTGCACAAGGTGATCCAAGCCTGCAAACAGTGTGCACAAGACTCTTATATAATGGTAAATGGGGATGTGAAAAGTAAAAGATACTCAGGCAAAAGTTGGTTTGGATCATCTTTTGTTATTGAATGTTGAAGATGAATGAGTGAGCATTAAGGGAAGGTTTAATAGCATGCATAACATAATTGGTGTTTTGAAGACTCAAACTGCCCAAGAAAACTGCTTGGCTAACAAAGTTCAAGTATAGGCCTCTATTATAATAGTAGCAGCTAGTCACATCAATGAGTTTGAACATGAGCTGAGATTGTACATATAGTAGACATACTAGGTGGTTCTGATCTGCTTTGGCTGGGGCATGGTTTCCATCATCCAAAGAACCTGACCTCCAAATGTCATATCATGTTCCATGGCTGGTAAATCATTATCAACCACTTCAGACACCTCCTTTCTCTTTCCACCAGGGGAGGGCATCAGGGAGTCCACCAAGGAGTGCATCAATAACCTTCCATGTGAATAGAAGCTCTGGGGAAGGCTCATCCTTTGGAAGGATGTTGAGGTGCTTAGTCAAAAGATCAGTGACTTCTTTAAATGTCACCATATGTGATGGTCCTTTGCTCCTAATTAATTTGTACCACTCCACTGCAAGTGGAAGTAGGTCATGGAAGTAGGGGTAAAATTGCTCTCTGAATTTGTGCACATGCAGATGGAAAAAGAATGAGGTCTTCTCATTACCATTCTCCTTGAATGAGTCAGTAGACCACAGATGCAGTAGCCAATCCCTTCTGATCACTTCTGAGTCCCAAGAACATGTTTCATGCCAAGTGGACCCCTGTACCCAATACAGATCCAAACAAAGACATAAAAAACTGACTCAAGATCATCCTGATAGCCATGCATAATGAGAGGAGGTACTTGTACATGGGAATGTGAGGCATGCTTCCAGCTATTTTGAGACATCACACTACCACCAACAGCTTCAGAGAGCCGGAACAGGAGTGAATGGGACATGAAAGATGCCATTCCCTGACAGTCAATGTCAGTATATTGAGTCTACATAGGTAAATGTGTACTGACTGTCCCCCCAATAGCATGTTTTTGGCCTTGAAGAATATGCACAGTGAACTCCCAATCAATTAATGTTCCATAGGATCCATTACCATCATCCTCAATCATGGAGTTGTTAAGACTGCAGTCTCAGTGGAGAATTCCATGTTCTTCAACAGCTATCTGTTGAACTGAAAAACAAGTCAGCAAAAAGAAGAGTAAGCAGAGACTACACTTACTTCTAACAATGTCCTGAATTGCATTAATCAACTCTACTTTCATCCAGAACATGTGTAAAGGTTGCACACTGGGCTTCAAGACCAAATGAACATGTGTGTGTGAAGTACCTTTGATACTCTGCCAAATCTTGCCACAATAACTCATTGTTTCATCAACCTCTTGAGGCCCAATCTCAACAAGCCAATGTTCAGTTAGTTGAGGAACACTGCAGACTCCTTGCATGGCCTGAAGCATCATAACTTCATTCAAGGCAACATTTCTATCCCAAGGACCCAATGGTCCTTGATTATGTATTCTTCACTGTCCCTCCTGACCAAATAACAGACTGTGCCATGCCCAACAAGCCCCTGGCTAGAAAAGATGAGTTCAAGGATGTTGTATGTGTGATTGTTGACTAATATCTTTCCAATTGGCTGTGAGGGATGCGTGCAAAGAGGATCTGTGGGGATTTCTGTCTCAGGGGGGTCGGAAGTTACTGTAGCTTTGGTCACTGGTACATTGGACATTGTGGGGATGGTGCTCCTGATCTGAGGGGGGACAGTACTCTTAACCTGGATAACCTTGTCCATTGGAGATTTGGCTAAGGATTTGTGTGCTTGATGATCTAGAGTAGGTAATTTGTTTGTTGTTGGGTGAGAAAAAGCTGATGGATTTTTGAGCTGGGCAGGCCGAAGCATTTTTGTAAAGATGAGGATTGAAGGATCATATTCAAGGCACTCAGGATTGCCAAAGACAAGACAGGATAAGATGTGAAGGTAAAGTTTGGATCACTGACAATATTGATACCAGGCATTACAACACCACCTGAGTGGTCATACATGTGTACTCGCAGTTCATGGTACTCATTGGTGAGGGATAGCAGTAAAACAAATCACCTCCAAGGCTGACACCTCAAGAGAAGATATGCCTTGCTATCAATAGTTTTTCTGATGGTACTTTGAGGTGAGTATGGTTGTGATGTCAGCTCACAAACAGCCTTGATCATGTCCCATCAAGCTATCACATCATCCAACAGTGCAAGGTCAGGCTTGCATTGAATTTCCTCATCCTTCACAGGATGTGTGGCATTGGCTGAACTCCACATATGTACATACCACTGTGTTATTTGCCTTCATGACCATTGGCTGCTCATGGGCAATGGCACCAGACATGATATTGAAAATGAGGCAAAGATTTCCTCAAATGGATGTTTCCAAGCCTCAACCAGTGGACCCTCTGGTAAGCTGTCACCAACCCCACTCCCAGACATCTCATTCTCAGTTTCCTCTGACCCATCTCCAACAGTTTCTTCAATCCATTTGATGCGAGGCTCATCGAGATGTGATATTGGAAGTACCCAGTTCCACTGCTGCTCATCTTCATTGAACAGCGGAACCAGGTCCTGTGTTAAGAACCATGTTGCTCAAGGGAGAGAGAGACTGACTCAGAGGGGCTTGGTGTCATATCCCACAATCCAGACCCATGTTCCATCATATTCCCACGCCTTCTGAGCCTACATCCGGACCCCACTTCATATCCAGCTCATTCCCAGATCCCCATCTACTGTGTGCTCCACACCTCAGCAGGATCGACTATGCTCCGGATTTACCCCTGAGCTCCGGACCATTGGATCCTCACTGCTAGCCTGATCCATACAACCCTATCCTGTCCACCCTATGCGCACTCCATCCAGTAAGACATCCAGACTTCACCTTGTCTCAGATTCCGGATTATATCCACCTTCTCATATTCCAGTCCTGTATCCACCTTGTCTTCCAGATCCCCAGATCTCTGGACCTCTGGATATTAACACTGGACCTATTCCCACCCTCTGTCCAAGATCCTGCACCTATCCCCATTTAGGCATCTCTACCTTTCCGGCTTTCAGTTACCTCTTGTTCCATCTTGCTTATTGATCCTTGTACAAGTCCTCATCTCTGAGTTCATTTACTTATGTTCCAACTTACTTACTAATGTGTTTCCACATGCTCGTACATAGCCTTGCTCCTTTGCTTACTGATCCCCTCAGATATTGTTCAGTATATAACCCCTGTAGATACTCCTGTAGTTCCTTAGTTTGAATATCAACTTAGAATTGCCCAATCCTCTCTTGGACTTTGGTCCACCTAAGTCTGTCCTACTCATCAGGCCTAGGGATTGATTCCCTAGGCTGGAGCTCTGCCTTTCCAGCACTTACCCTCCTTCCAGACTTAGGTCCAACCCTTGTCTCTCCAACTCTACCTTAGGGTAGTCTACCTCTGTTTGCTTCTACATCGGACTTCGTCTGATGTAGCCCCTATTCCTTCCGGACCTCCAGACCTCCTGTCCTTCGATCGTTCTGCCCTCCATACCTTCAGACGTTCTGTCCTCCTAACCCTTGGACATCCTGTCCTTCTGTCCTCCATCATCCTGCCCTCCTGTCCTCCTGTCCTCCTGTCCTCTGGGCCTTTGGACCTCCTATCCTTCCATCCTGTTTCCTGTAGAAGTATTACCTTGCAGTGGGAACTCTCCTGAGCACTTCCTGCATTCCTCCGTAACTCTCCCACGCTCCTCCGGATGTTTCCTGTGCTCCTCCAGAAGTCCTCTAGCACTCTCCAGCAGAGTAGCCAGCCTCCGGAAGTCCTCCAAACTTCATTGGACCATTATTGGACCTCATACAAAATGAAGGGCACATACTCAGGTAAGGGGCACAGCATACGAGCTGAGGCCAAGCCCCTCTGAGTCAGTCTCTCTCCCCCTTGAGCAACATGGTTCTTAACACTTGGCCTCAGCTCGTATGCTGTGCCCCTTACCCAAGTATGTGCCCTTCATTTCATATGAGGTCCGATGATGGTCCGATGAAGTCTGGAGGACTTCCAGAGGCTGGCTACTCTGCTGGAGAGCGCTAGGGGACTTCCGGAGGAGCGCGGGAAACGTCTGGAGGAGCGCGGGAGAGTTACGGAGGAATGCAGGAAGTGCTCAGGAGAGTTCCCACTGCAAGGTAATACTTCTACAGGAAACAGGATGGAAGGATAGGAGGACAGGAGGGCAGGAGGACAGGATGATGGAGGACAGAAGGTCCGGAGGTCTGGAAGGAATAGGGGCTACATTGGACGAAGTCTGATGTAGAAACAAATGGAGGTAGACTACCCTAAGGTAGAGTTGGAGAGACAAGGGTTGGACCTAAGTCTGGAAGGAGGGTAAGTGCTGGAAAGGCAGAGCTCTGGCCTAGGGAGTCAATCCCTAGGCCTGATGAGTAGGACAGACTTAGGAGGACCAAAGTCCGAGAGAGGATTGGGCAAGTCTAAGTTGATATTCAAACTGAGGAAACTACAGGAGTATCTACAGGGGTTATATACTGAACAATATCTGAGGGGATCAGTAAGCAAAGGAGCAAGGCTATGTACGAGCATGTGGAAACACATTAGTAAGTAAGTTGGAACATAAGTAAATGAACTTGGAGATGAGGACTTGTACAAGGATCAATAAGCAAGATGGAACAAGAGGTAACCGAAAGCCGGAAGGCAGAGAATGCCTGAATGGGGATAGGCACAGGATATCAGACAGAGGGTGGGAATAGATCCGGAGTTAATATCCGGAGGTCCGGAGATCTGGGGATCTGGAAGACAAGGTGGATACAAGACTGGAATATGAGAAGGTGGATATAGTCCGGAAACCAAGACAAGGTGAAGTCTGGATGTCTTGCTGGATGGAGTGCACATAGGGTGGACAGGATAGGGTTGTATGGATCAGGCTAGCAGTGAGGATCTGGAGGTCCAGAGCTCAGGGGTAAATCTGGAGCATAGTCAATCCTGCTGAGGTGTGGAGCACACAGTGGAAGGGGATCTGGGAATGAGTTGGATATGAAGTGTGGTCCGGACGTAGGCTTGGAAGGCGTGGGAATATGATGGAACGTGGGTCCGAATTGTGGGATATGACATCCTGCTCATGTATGAGGGTGAATTTATTGCGCAATCCGTGATCCCTGTAGCGAATTTTATGTAAAGAGACCCTCAGCTCCATCATGTCAGGGAGTGTGACCGTAAATGACCAAAAAATCTGTGCCAACATGAAACTGAGGAGCTTGTCAGCATTATCTGGTGGCTTTTCTTCTTTGACAATCAAGCAATTGAGCTCATGATCTGTCAGTTTGTCCATAGTATGGACATCACTAATGTAGGGAACTGACATCAGCAATGCCATCTTCATTCCATAGTCAACAGTTTTGCTGTGATACACCATTATGAAGACTGAAGTAACAGTTGGATGAATACCTACCATTGGCAATTACAATAGTACAACTTGGGGGTGATTTTTAAACATACTAAAATTGAACCTATCAAGTATGAACTTAGTGCAAGTATACTATGATGATAGTGCAAAAAAGGTGTTTTTGTCCCAAAAATAATTTAACCAAAACTCAGTTGCATGCTCCATGCTATTATATGGTGTGAGGCACTTATCTGCAGCAGTGCCAAAGCAGGGAATGAGGTTGACAGGTGCTCTCAGCTGAGAAACTGGAATAACATTGCCCATCTGAATGCCATTGGAACACTTTGCTCTTTTCAGTATGTGCAACTGAGTAGTTGGATCACATTCACTAGAGGTATTGAAATGTTGGACATACACAATGAATTGGTCTTTCCATACCCACAGTGTGCTGTTTTTGCCAATTGGCCACATGATCAATCTGATTTGTGTGATGGAGTGACCTGTGTGAAACATTCTTTAACTTACAGTACATATCACAATAAATGCAGAAAGAGCACACCTGTGAGACTACTAGCAGGCCAAGAGTGCTCTGTGCTAGTCTGGGTAATGACATTATCATAACAGCCTAATGTCCAGGGGTCACTGGGTGGCGCACAGTTTAATGTCTGAGCTGGGTGAATATTGCAGATGTTGTGAAATTCCGTCTCCTGTAAATGAACTTTAAACCAGACTTGAACCTTATCAAATGGAAGTTCAGTGTTATGTCCAGCCCTTCTGGGACCACCAATCAGGTGAACACAGTGCAAAGACTCTGTCCTCTACAACTGTATAACAGGTGTATTTTCATGTTTTGGCCTCTGTGCTGATGCCCTCCAATAAGCATGATACATGTGCAATATTTGCAACAACATGCACTTTGGTGCACTTTGGACATGCTATGAACATGCTTTCACGCACTTTCACATCCTCATCACCAACCGTCCACATGTCCTGTCCTTGTCCTCCAAGGTCCATTGGTGTGTTTTATCTATTTTTACTTCAATCACATATCACAGAGTTACATATGGTATGCAATTACTCATTGCCTTGCTATTTTTACTTAAGTTACATCACTTATGATATTTACTGCTACCTATTTGCTTCTGAAGCCTGGGAATGCACTTACAAGGCATTACATGCCTCTGGGTAAATTTTAGTTACTTACTTCCCTTCCATTAGTATCCCTGAGGGCAGCAGCTAATAGTTGAATTAACAACCACCTTTGTCAACTTTCACACTTGAGACCTAAAAAGGATCATCTCATCTCCATCATCTCCCACCAATCCAAGTAAAAGATCAGTATTGCTTGCTTTGAGGTCTAAAGCCCAGCCATGAAGTGCACATTTCACATATTGAGTGCGCATTTTTGTGTACCTGTTGCATCCAGTGCACCTTGGCACCTATCATCACACTTCATACTTTCACACTCCACCAGGCCCTCTGTCAAGAGCTAGTTCTTGGCATTCCCCCTCAATTCTTTAGAGGAATCCTTTCTCAGTGACAATCCCCTTGGGTTGAGTTTGACTCGCATCCAGAGGAGCTCTGAAGAGTTCTTATCTTTAGTTTCCCCCATCACCCCATCCAAATTCTTTGCCTTTAGCAGTTGCTGTAAGTCACCTCATGGTGAAGAAAATCAGCCATAGCCAGGCACAGATCTGGTAGGCCAAACTTAACAGCAACTTCATCAAGAGTAACACTCCTAATAGAAGGATCATAAGCAAGATGAAAGGCTGTCCATCCAATGACAAAGGTGTGTAATGGGACCAGCACTGATCCCATTTCCCTTTGCTGGAGCATCTTGGCAATCGCAAAATAGTTTGTAATAGGACATGGCTGTCTGGGTTGTCAAGATGTGGAGGGTAGTCCTGCAGGTATATCATCCTCATTTGCAAATTCCTCTCTGACACCCTGCAACTCCTCAATATTCTGCTTGCGATCTAGAAGGCTTGTAGCAAGTTCAAACCAACTGCACTTATCCACACAGTCAAGATAATGACAGATTTGGGGATTGTAGTTGTTGTTGTTGCTGGATCTCACAGGGTCTTTCACTACTATTATATGTGCATGCTCAGTGATATCTGCAGACTACTGTCCTGTAACACCAGAGCTGTGGATGCTGGGAACAATGCTTTGCATAAGCTCAAGCTTGGGTATGTACCAGTTGTCAATAACATTACAGCTTTTTCCTCAGCAAACTCCAGTGCTGATGATCACATGTTTATTGGCATAAAACTTGTCTGATGCAGCTGAGATGCAATGGATATTGTGGTTGTTGATGCGTGGCAATTATATAAGGTAATGAAAGTGCATGAGTGCACAGACAGCAACAATGATACCAGAGGGTGCTGCATCTGCACAGACTGTGATAATTGATCACTGAACATTTTGATGGCAACAGCCAGTGACTTGCTTGAGTTTCAAGATGCCTTTGTGAAAATGCCAATAACCAGTGGTGGGCTGCAGGATGGAAAATTGAAAGTCTATCTCTGTCATATCCCACAATCCAGATCCACATCCCATCATATTCCCACACCTTCTGAGCCTATGTCCAGACCCCACTTCATATCCAACTCATTCCCAGATCCCCTTCCACTGTGTGCTCCACACCTCAGCAGGATCAACTCTGCTCCAGATTTACCCCTGAGTTCTGGACCATTGGATCTCCACTGCTAGCCTGATCCATACCCCCCTGTCCCATCCACCCTATGCACACTCCATCTAGCAAGACATCCAGACTTCACCTCATCTCAGATTGCAGACTATATCCACCTCCTCATATTCCAGTCCTGTATTCACCTTGTCTTCCAGATCCTCAAATCTCTGGACCTCCAGATATTAACTGTAACTATCTTTGGATGTATTCCCACCCTCTGTCTGATATCCTGCACCTATCCCCATTTAGACATCTCTGCCTTTCCAGCTTTTGGTTACCTCTTGTTCTGTTTTGCTTATTGATCCTTGTATGAGTCTTCATCTCCAAGTTCATTTAGTTATGTTCCATCTTACTTACTAATGTGTTTCTACATGCTCGTACATAGCCCTGCTCCTTTGCTTACTGATCCCCTCAGATATTGTCCAGTATATAACCCCTGTAGATACTCCTGTAGTTTCCTCAGTCTGAATATCATCTTAGATCCTGTTCTACTTGCCCAATCCTCTCTCAGACTTTGGTCCACCTAAGTCTGTCCTATCTATCAGGCCTAGGGATTGATTCCCTAGGCCAGAGCTTTGCCTTTCTGGCACTTACCCTCTTTCTGGACTTAGGTCCAATCCCTGTCTCTCTGACTCTACCTTAGGGTAGCCTACTGTCATATGCCATTCCAGACTCTCAACTCTAAATCCACTTCTCTGGATATCCAGATCTGAGATCTGGATCTCAAATGATCTGATCTATCTTTATCTCCCTTCCGGAATCCAAACCCTATATCAGCGCCCAACTCCATTTAGACTGCCCCTGTCTCCGGACTCTGGTTAACCATGTTTCCCTTTTGATTATTGATCCATTACATACATTTCATTTCTGGTGTTCATTATTTGAGATCTGTCCTACTTACTAATAGACTTTGCATATGCTTCATACATAGCCTTTATGTTTGCTGACTGATTCCTATATGATACCTACAGTATATAAACCTCCTGTAACTCTCAGAAATACTCCAGTTCGAATATTATCTTAGTTCCTGCTCATTCCTGTGTCCTCCGGACTTGAGATAAGTCTCTTGTCATATTCCAAGTCTTAGGATTGCATCCTAGACTATATTTCCGACTCTACCTTAAGGGTAGTCCATCCTCTGTTAGTTTCTAGTCTGGACTTCATCCGGATTAGTCTTATCTGCTTGCCCAGGTAATATCTGGATGTCTGTCGGATTTATCTCATGTTTCAGATCCGGACATCCGTTATCCGCCCTAGTCAAATCCGGAAACTCTGGACGACTGTTCTAGCCCCCGGAAATTAAGGGCACATACTCGGGAAAGGGGCACAGCATACAAGCTGAGGCCAAGCCCTTGTGATCTGACCCCCTTGAGCACGCGACCTTAACACCTACCTCTGTTTGTTTCTACATCAGACTCCATCTGATGTAGCCCCTATTCCTTCCAGACCTCTGGATGTCCCGTCCTCCTCACCTTTGAGCATCCTACCCTCCTGTCTTTCGGACATCATGACCTTCATACCTTCAGACATCCTATCCTCCTGTCCTTCAGACATCCTGCCCTCCATACCTTCAGACATCATATCCTCCTGTCCTTCTGTCTTCCATCCTCCATCCTCCATCCTCCTGTCCTCCTGTCCTCCAGACCTTTGGACCTCCTATCCTTCCATCCTGTTTCCTGTAGAAGTATTACCTTGCAGTGGGAACTCTCCTGCACTCCTCTGGACATTTCCTGTGCTCCTCTGGAAGTCCTCTGGCACTCCACCAGAGTAACCAGCCTCCAGAAATCCTCCAGACTTCATTGGACCATCATTGGACCTCATATGAAATGAAGGGCACATACTCAGGTAAGGGGCACAGCATATGAGCTGAGGCCAAGCCCCTCTGAGTCAGTCTCTCTCCCCCTTGAGCAACCAGTTCTTAACAATCTTGGACTCTCCAACTGCAAGGATAAGCTATTGCATGTCTTGATCCCAAAACTTCTTATGAATGATGTGCAGTGATTCAGGTGTGAGAAATTGGTCAGGATCCACTAAGACCCAATCACTCCAGAATGGTTTTGCAATGCCATTCAGGCAGAACTTCTGTGATTCCCAGAAATATGCTTCAATATTGTTTTGATCAGCACATGAGTGCACAACATCTAGTTGTGTGAGAGTCATTTCTCTTGTGTGGGGTTCATGTCAGAAGGCATCTCCAAATTGTTTGAACATAGCCATTGTCACAGGAGACATCTTTCCACCAATGTATGTGAGCATCATGGCTTCAGGAGTGTCTGCAATGTAGCTTACAAGTGGAGTAAAGCAGTAACAACTGCATCCAGTGGGATCTGACAACATGATGCCTTCTTGAGTAGCCAACTTCAGTGGTTCTAATACAATGTCCAGGCACTGGTGAATAAGCCAATCCTGTAACACACCCTTCATTTGTTTCTTCTTGTGAATGAATTGTGGGACAGGTAGCAGGGCAGTAAGTATGAAGGCATTTGAGAATGATTTTAGCTGCATGTTCATGTGAATATTGGCAAGACTGAGAAGGAGTGGATGTGTGACATGATTACCTGTCAATGCAGTGATACATGTCTTGTCCAAAGACAAGACAGTACTGAGGAGTGTTGTATCATGAGGTAGCACCAACTTCAACAATACATGAGGCAATGACTTCATACAAGACACATCACATACCTGCATTTCCCAAGCATGGTCACCCATCATCCATTCAGTATATACCCAAGATAGTTTCTGTGCCATGGTATAAACTTTGTGAGACATCAAGTCCATACAGTTGTGAAATAAAGGGTGAGTGAATAAATTGCTGATGCAGTCAATCAGATCCCACCAGTAGAGAACAACTGGTGATTTTGTATCATGAGATGTACAAATTACTTGGGATTTCCAATGTGGATCACTCAGTAGTGTTTCAGCTCAACCTTGTAACTCTTTTGCTAAGTGAAATGACAGATGTAGATCCTGGATCTAAGCACACCGTTAACTCAAATTGTCACAATAATCTTAAAAATAAAGCACAGACCATCTCCAATGCTAAAAAAGAATTGATTTTCCCCATGCTTAGTCTGGAATGCAGAAGCCACACTGCAACTTGCCATTCTCTCTGACTTGAAAACAGATAGTAAAGGTTGGTTTTGCAGTAGATGCTATTTTTGTCAGAATCAAATAGACTCAAAAATGTGTAGCCATGTTCAAAGGCAACCAGGGGCTCAGGAAAGTACTCAATTATGTCTGCATCCCTATCCTCATCCCGAGTTCTACCTCCAGATGCTCGCTCAAAAGTCCCTCCTTTGTTTCTGAAGTCATACATATACAGTGGCTCAAAAACTGTCCGCATGTTTTGACATTTTTCACTATCTATGATATTGTGTGAGAACGAACAAATGGCTCAAGGACATGCTTATACCACATTGTAGTATGGCTTCAGGGCTTTCATTTGAGCCCTACACCGTGGGAATCGGTGGAGATATGGTGGAGATACAAGGCTCACAAAATGGTGACTCATGCGGACAGTTTTTTGACTCAAGTATTTTACAATAATAACCAGGTATTCTAGTATTTTGTATGGCCTCCCTTGGCTTTAATTACTGCCTCTATCCTTCTAGGCATACTCTCAATTAATTTCTGGCAATCCTCAGCTGTGATCTTCCCCCATTCCACTGCTACTCTCTCCCAAAGCTCCCATACTCCTTTAGGGGGGTTTTCATAGGCTTGAAGCTTTTTCTTGAGTGTTTCCCAGAGATGTTCAATGACATTGACATCAGGAGACTGTGCTGGCCAGTCAAGAACATTGATGTTATGTTCTTCAAACCATTCCTTAGCTCTTCTGGATGTGTGCTTTGGATCATTATCCTGTTGGAAAATGATATCTTCTTCATCAATCCCTGATTCTGCCAAGCTAGGCAGCAAGTGGTCATTTAAAATGTCCACATACTGCTCAGCATTCATCTTCCCCTCAACCTCAGCAAGCATTCCCACACCATTCCATCCCATACAGCCCCATACCATTAAAGAACCTCCTCCAAACTTGACAGTCCCATTAACCTCTCTGTCTGTTAGGCCATCTCCCTTCTTTTTCCATACATATACCTTCCCATCTGACCCAATCCTATTGATTTTGGTCTCATCTGACTATATAACATGCTTCCAGTCCTCTACAGTCCAGTGTTGATGAGCTAAGGCAAAGGCTAGTCTTCTCTTCCTATGTTTGATGGAGAGAAGAGGCTTTTTCTTCTTTGTTACTGCCTTGAGATGAGCTGCCTTGAGAACATTCCTCACAGTTTGTGAAGAGACAGGGGTAGTGATGGTGGAATTGATATAATAGGTGGCTTGGACATCATTATCAGCCTTTCCTGTAGTGATATGTTGGATAATAGCCCTTTTGTCAGTAGAGGTAAGCTTGGATGGATGTCCTCCACAAGAGTTTTCCTTGTCTGGGTGGCTTTCTTTGATAAACTTGGCCACAGTGGACTTGCATACTCCAGTTCTAGAGGAAATTTGGTGAGCAGAGAGGCCAGCATAAGACAGAGAGAGGATATTATCTCTTTGAGCAGAGGAGATGGCTTTCATGGTGATTATGACTATGATACATGAGATATTCTGGTTTATATAGTTAGATATAGTCATAAAATAACATAATGACACCACTTCATAATTTATATAATAGTGGCATGATTTTTGTGGTGTCATAAATAATGATTTATATAGTTTTAATATACACTCAAAAAACTGTCCACATGAGTCATCATTTTATAAGCCTTATGTCTCCATCATATCTCCACCGATTCCCACGGTGTAGGGCTCAAATGAAAGCCCTGAAGCCATACTACAATGTGGTATAAGCATGTCCTTGAGCCATTTGTTCGTTCTCACACAATATCATAGATAGTGAAAAATGTCAAAACATGCGGACAGTTTTTTGAGCTACTGTATACATCATCTCCTGCTTCATAGGAGGAAGTATGAAGGTTGTGAAGGTCATCCACTGCCATGGGATTATCTTCACCAGGTGGGAGGATCAAGTCAAGCCAGATTAGATCTTCTAACCAAGTATTACACCCAGATTGAGGTTGGCTCATATGATGAGCAACAGAGGTGTGGTCTTTGAACTCTGTCCTGCATGAAGGACAGCAAACTGTAAGCATTATGCTAGGAATCTGAGATCGTGGACTAAGGAAAGACAAGTCAGAAATTCACCAGCAATATCCGGAACCTGCAGTGTTACATTCTTTCCTCATGTTTCCCAAGTCACTTAAGTATGATATCGCCACTCTGTGATCGCTACCAGCAAGCACTTCCTGTTCTTCAAGTTCCACCCATCCTGGCTCTAACAATGAATGCAGTGATGGGCCATTGACTGGCATATGCAACTTATACAATGTGCTTGAAGCAGTCAATTCTATGGTGAGATGAATTCCATCAGTTCCTCAGCACCTTCACATTTCAATAGTCCATCCATGAACCAACAGATTCAGAAGCCAACTTGGTCATGGATGTTGTAAGAACAAAATGCAATGTTTTCCTCACTCAGAAGGCTCTCACAGATTGTATACTACATGAACATGAGGTGTTCACAAGCCTACTCAAATTCTGAGCAAAAGTCATTGAAAAGAAGGTAGATGACATGGACATTGGGCTGGGATGTATGTGAATAATCTTCAAGAAGCATGGCTGGTCTCATCTCCCTCCAAGCCATTCATTATCATGGGGATAAGATCAATTGAGTTCATTTGGTAGGTGCAATATGATCTCTTGAGTATCATTGTTATAACGCTGAAGATTACAGGAACATCTGACTTGAAAATTATGAAGAGCCAACAGCCTATGATAGTTCTTGATTGATTACTTCAATTCTTACTGATCTCATAGCTTACATTTATGGACTGTATATAAGTTTTATATGTAGTATGCTCATGTTGCCTGTTGTCAAGTATAAGATTTGTTTTGTACTTGAATTTTTCTGTGTGAGGTTGAATTTTGAGTCTAACTAGTACTAGTACACAGTGTCATGTCTTTGCCAAGTGCTCTAAATCTGCTTAGTTCAAAATCACTTATGTTGTGCAAATTGCTCATGCTTTGAGCAGCTATAATTACTGTGCAATCTGATATCAAGTATGAAGCTATACATCTTGTGGCCTCTGTTAGCACTGTGTGTTACTGTACAATCTGACAATGTGTGAAGCTGCATACCCTGTGACCATTGTCAGCACTGTGCATTATTGTGAGAAACTATCAAAAATACCAATCTCTATGGACAAATTTGTAGTTTACTGATGAGGTGCTTCAAGAGAGCTGGTGAGTGTGACCAGCAGTTCAAGCTTAAAGGGGCATTGATTCATGGCTACATCATGCAGGTTCTTGTTAGGAGGTTATGCTTCAAGGTCCACATCCCTTGTCAGAGAGTGCCACCAGGGTAAAAGGTGCTGAAATAACAACTGAAGACAGTGCCATGCAGATGAGCAAGCCACAAACACAGAGTCTGGAGTGATAGGAGTGCTGGGTGTGCTATGCAATAGTATCAAAGAACATTACCTGCTAGTTCTGATAATCAGGTGAGATGTGTATCATACTGGTCATATAATCAATGTTGCAGCACAGGTAATCTCCATTTTAGCATGCCTAGCAAGAAACAGTCAAAATTTGTGCATGCTTAAGAAAACAGAACTTACCATGCACCAACATCATCCACTGCTTAAGATACTGGAAGGCCAGTATAACAATTGGACATATGACCTCTGCAATGTTGACTCAGACTGGAAATGAGCAGAACTTGTAATAATCTTACTATCAATGTGCAATATGCACAACATCATCGATATCAGGCTCTGAAATGGACAGACAAGGGATACCAAAGCTGCCATCACCATCAGCGAATAAAACAAAAACCCAAAGACCATGGTTGCAATGATGACCCAGGCAACTGTATGCTGCTGGGACCATATATTGGCACTGAGGGCAATTCCAAAAAGAAGAAGAGAGAACTGGAGTAGGATCAGGAATGATTGTATGACAGCTTCAAAATACCATGCGACAATACCATCAAACCTCTCTTGTCTGTGCTTTGCTTGTTCCTCCTGTGAGCCATGGCCATATCTATGTGACTTGTAGTACCTGAGCCACTGCTTGCCTAGCACAGCCCCAAAAGCAGCAAGTAAACTGAAGGACAAGCTCATATACATGATGCATTGGATCCTTATGTTGGCTGTGGACAGCGACCAGGTAGATGCTGGTGATACTGGTGTAGACCCCACTGCAGTGAAGTTGCCAAGTCCAATTTGGACAAGTTGGGCAAGAAGGGCATGTGTGGTATCATCAGGGTCTGGACTGAGATTCAACTCCATGGCCACAATGAAAGCTGTGCTGACAGCAGAGAACAGACCAGACTGACCAGGTGTCAATCCCAACACAAGGTAAAGGTGAGCATATGAAACTTACAAAGATTAGTACAATGTCCATATCACCATTGTATCACTCAAGGAACTCCTCATCATGTTCCTCAGCAACTCTTTTGTACAGTCCCCAGAAACGAGAGCGGTCACCCTTGCCAGTCTTCAAGACAATTGTTGAATCCTTAAAAACATCCAACACCTGCTTCAAGACATTCACTCTGTAGGAATAGTATCATCAGTTGTGACCCCTTGGCTTATTTAGTTGCTCACATTTCACCTAGACTTAGTTGGTCATCCTGCAATGACCTTTTGTGCCTCACTGAGATGATATGAGCATGATTGAGATTGCAACTGAGTGGAGCTCACGCAGTTAAGGTGCCTTTGGGTGAATCATTCGAAGTACTTTCCTATTTGTGAGATTCTTGTGGCTGGGGAGGTTCAGAGTTCAAGCTGCAATTCATGTAAGGAGGGTGCAAAAGTATCAGGGTAGAAACACTGACATTCTTAGTGATATCGCCACCAAAGGTCCACAGTTTTGCTCTTTACTGTGTCACTGTCAAATGGAGTATTGAGATTCCAGGAAAGCTGCAACTCACTTATCAGCAGGTCACAAGGTATCACTTCCCTCAGGCTGCTCATCAAGGTGGGTGCTCTGTGCAGAGGCACCTTCTGTGCCACCATCTTTTGATAGCCTTCTGCTATGTTTTGAAGTGATTGATGCTCTCAACATGAATATGATGAAGGGTTTCAGGGATGGAGCCAATGATTTGGAAGAGTCTGATGCTGAGAAGGTATAAATGAGTGGTAGCACAGAACCAACCAGTCAGGTGGCTATAGAACATCATGGCCCTCCTCAGCTCAGCCTGGCCCAGGGCTTAAAGACAGGTTTTGCACATTACTACATGTCTTGAGACTGAAGGTATTTGTGAAGCTCCCTGGGCTGTAGACATGGATAGCCACACTTATGTCCCAACATAGTCTGTGTGGCCTGGCACTCATGTTAATCACTAGAGCTCAATGTCTGCAGGGCACAAATAGTACACATCAATGAAGTTCTGTGAGTGAGTGGTTGAGCTGTATGGTCACTGGCCATGCACCACTGCAACTGGTCAGCCCAAGTTTCTGCAAGGGTATCATCAGTGTAGATGGTGGAATGAGCAATGGATGTGCTGGTACTGGAAGGGTCTAGTTCTTGGGTGTATGGACCCTTTGTGACAGTGTGCATGGCATAGGGATGGAGGCAGCTGGGGCAATAAGGTACAGATGACATAGAGTTTGAACCACTTGGCTGAATTTCATTGGAGGTTCATTATGTCACACATACATTAACCCATACTTAAGAGTGGGTGCAACAATGGGCCATTGATTTATGTAATTGTGGCATATACTTACAATCAAACCAGGTAGTGACACATATATGGATGGCAGAATAGGAATGGGATGGCAGTGGTACTGCTCATTGAGGTATCAGAGTGGGAGGTGCTAATGCCATCATGGCAGGTGTGGGGTACATGAAAGAGGCACTCTATGACCAGAATGGGACAAGCTAATGCATCATTAGGAGGTGTACAATCTCGAAATTGTAGTCGTGGTCATGATAATTGAAGCCGACAGTGTTGCAGCGGCACCCACTGACACAGACAGGGGTACACCAACACTGAAGTGGGAGGGACACTTCATTGGCAGAATGACAGCACTTGTAATAAAACTCCGGCTGATTGAGCCGAGCGACACATCCCCCAGAGTCTATGACAGACTAGATATCCATTAGCCAGACTTTCTGGGATGGTCCTAGTAGTGCTAGACTGGATTCAAGCCATTAAGCTATTACCATAACATCAAGATCGTATCTACTAGTACCACAGCTACATCGAGCAGCCGCTAGTACCAATATCACCAATGTACCATACGTCTCGAGTCTCGTGCCACTAAAATTACCAAAAAAAAAAGCAAACCATCAAAAGAAAAAAGAAAACAAGCGAAAGAGCGACCACAAAAAAAAGCTATAAACAGCAGATAAATTAAAGCGAATGGTAACTTATATCCCATCGTTAGTTAAAAGTATCTTCCTACCGGGGGCGGTAATGCAGGCGGGAACACATCTCCATCCTCATCCATACCCCGGCCATTTTCGACCAGGTACATCGTACGCCTACCAGCCGTCTGCTCATCTGAGGGATAGAACGATGCATCATCGTCACCCTCGTCGTCAGCCTGTGCGCCCTTTGCATCATTTCCCCCCTCCTCGTTGTACGTGCTCGAACGCTCGTCGTAGACGCTGGTACTAACGTCGCTCCGGGTATCGAGCATGGACGAATGTGACCGTGAGTAAGCGATACTGGCCGTGATCTGCTTCCCGTGGCTGGACCCTGACCGTGAAGAAGATCTTGTTTCTGGGCTCATATCTACGATGCCTCCCGAATGGCGACTCGAGTGCCCGTGACTTTCAGAAGTAGATACTGACGGGGCGTTAGAGGAGCGTATGGAGCGAACAGACGGGTCAGACGAGGAGCCAGACCCACTCGTACTGCGCAGAGCAGGCGAAGTGTATCCCATTGACGATACGGACGAAAAGTGTTCATGGAATTTCGAGGGGAACGCTGGAGCATGCATAGAGCGCGCATTCGGAACCTGTGGGAGAGGTGAATCTGGGGGTGGATGCCGCGGGGATCCCTGCATTCCATGCATGCGCCGCTGGAGAAATGGTGGTGGTGACGTCTCCGAATGCTGTTTCCGTACCATACCACCATACTTGGGAGGGTGGATCTCAGAGTTGTCGTCACTGGGAACAGCGCTGTGGCTCTGGTACCTCCTCGGTGATGCCTCGCCATTGTCATGCGTGTATTGCGGGACAACTGAATCAGATGCGCTATGTGACGGCTGTGGACGAGGGGAAAATAGAACGCGCGGCTGAGCTTGTGGATGACGGCGAGGAACTAATGGAGCTGTAGGGCCAGGTACTGCAACCGGCCGGAAAGGTGGCAGTCTCCGCGAGGGCGTCGTCGGCGTAGATGGTGGCACGGGGAGCGGACGCGCTGGTACCGGAGGCAGTGCTTGCGTGGGTGGTGGCCCAGGGGCCTTTCGTGACGGCGTGGATGGCGTGGATGGTATGGGAGACGGAGGCGGCTGTGGTAATGGCTGCGTAGGTGGAGGAGCCGCAGGTCGAATGGCGATATGCCGGGGAGAGGGGCTTGGGGGTGAACGGATTGGAGTTGCAGGAGCCTGTGAGGTAGGGGGTAATACCGTACTAAGGGCTGCACTGGAAGTTGGTGCGTGAGATATCAGCATAGACGGAAGAGCGACAGGAAGCGTAGACGGAGGTACAGGCGAAGGCGACGGCGACGGCATAGAATTTATTGTCTGCTCGGATGGTCGAGGAGGAGTGACAATGGAGGGAGGCGTCGCTACTCGAGCAACTGGGGGACTGGCGCGGTCCTTTCTTGAGTGCAAGACAGGACTTGACGCTCGAGTTGAGGTCCTAAAGTTCAGCGTCAGAGGAGTGAAGCCAGATCGCGTTGGGGATGAAGGTGTTGCGACAAGATGCTTTAAAGGTCTTGGACTCGAAGGAACCGCCATTGGAGGCATCGCGGGGACTGGTGGTATGTAGTTATCATCATCTTCATCACTAGCTCGCTGCTTCTTTGGCTTCCTCCGAAAGAAAGCCATTGCCCGAGATTTGCCCTTACTAGGCTTCCCTTGCGACTTGCTTGATGACGCAGAGAGATAACCTCCATCCGAAGAATAACCAGGCGCTTCATCAAATCCGGGTCGTAAGTCCAAGGCTGGCAGCTTGCCTTTCTTGCCTTTTCCTTTCAGTTTGCCAGACTTTTTGAAACCAACGCTGTCAGAAAGATATTGACCATCGCTCACGTAGCCCGCTTCAGACTTGGCAGAACTCGGCGTGGCACATTTGCGATCGGTCTGACGTGCAATGTCCTCACTCGATTGGTGTCCCACATCATTTGACGGCTTCCCAGACAAATTGGACATGCTTTCGGCCCTCTCCCTCTCGTTTACTGGCGTGCTCAGCGGAGGCAATGATAGCATCAGCTGCGCGGAAGCGAAATCATCGAAGTGCACGTGGGGAGGTTCGAACACGCTCGGCTTGTGCATGTGATTCTGCCTTGCGGATGCAACGTTGTTTTGCGGGGAGGACGTCGTTGAGGAATCATCACTCGCAGTATGCGAGCCAAAAGTGAGGGCAGGAGTCAAGATCTGCGGGAGTGAACGCGGCAATAATGAAGTAAACGAAAGAGCTTTGTTGAGTGTCAAGTCATATCTGAGATAGTGACAGCGTACCTCCTCTGCCTCCGTTTCAGGAGGGATATCCTCCAATTCTTCTACCTCCTCAGGCAGGGGACTATTGAATATCCAATTCGCGACAGTGGAATTGTGGATCCCAAGCTCAAGGGCAGTCTCGAAAACCGACGCGCGAACGACATTAGAATCTGGTCTTAATCCGGACGACCTGAGCTTCGTACGTCTGCGGACTTGGGGGATTGTGTGTGACATGTTAATGTAAATGAGAGTCCGAAATAAATGAATGGGACGGCGTGCGTCAAGGCGTTGAAAAGGAGTAAAGATCACTGGGTTCCTGCAGTGAGTTCAAAATCTAGCCTTTGGACCAGACAAAGGCCATCCGCTGTTTGCCTGTCAACGCAACAAAAGGTGAAACTTGAGTATGTGTGAACAGGGCTTAAAAGCGGTAAGTAGTAGGAGAAAAGCGGTACCTGGGATATGATGAAGGATGTGCTTGCAACAATCAGATTTGTTAGACAATATGGTGAGACTGAATGGACTGACTACAGTTGCAACGAGCTCAAGTCAAGACTCAGCGACTTGTCAACAACCGAAAATCTCGATAAACGTCGAGCACGAAAGAAAAGCACGAAGCTAGTGAGCAACCGAAACCGCGATTTCTTGAGCCAATTAATTTCCTTTTATGGACACTTGCATTTGATTCAGTCTTTCAAATTCCATTGTCAAAATATTAGGTCACATGACGTCAAATGGACACGACCAGGGCTTCCTCCCTAGCTTCAGCCTTCGAATCTCTACCTTTCTCTCTCATTCACAAGCAATCGATCGATACATAGGCTTTATATCAACACCAGGGAAGGTGGAGGTTGAGTGGACCCTCAGGGTAACGTGACTCACAGATGCCAGAAATATTAATATTATGAAACGCGACGCGGGCATCGTCCCTGCAAAACAATGACATCCGTTTCCAGGGACCTGGCAGTACACTATTCGGGCCATCAATGCTGCAGTCCATTGGACGCACCTTCACGCATGATCACCCCCTTCCGAGTAACTATATTCAAGCGCTCGATTTTAAAGTCCCGTCAGGCGCGTTAACGCGTTTTCCGGATGATATCAATATTGACAGCGGCGATTGCTGTTTCCGGTAGCGGCCTTGCAAAGCCGATGGTGATCAAGGGTACAGGAGGTACTTTTGACCTTACTACCGTATCCGTTCGCCTTTCTAAAACTTCTAGAGAAGCCGGAAACTGCGCGGCGCGGTCGATATCTTAGTGCAACACTTACATCAACGAAAGTTTCAGAGGAATCGAGACTCAAGGTGCGTGCTAGAACATCATCGAATACTTGGATCTTGTACTATCAGATGTGATAAATGCCATCAGGTTGGAATTCGAACTACAAAGAAACCATATTGGGGACGACCTGAGACATGCCTCTCATGTAAAGAGTGATTACGCCAGGATTCAAACGTCACTTAAACCTTTGTGTATACGCGAAAGAAATGTTGACCGCAAATCCTGCTCAATGATATAAACTCGGCGTGATCATCCATCCACAAACACGTACTGGCCCGATTCAGGCACATCAACAGCTCCTTCACCTTTTCTTGTAGTCCCACACGAAGTCCCTCACATGTTCCTCGAACTATCATCTCTCCTTGCGTGACAGAGCTAGTCCCCCATGAATATGTAGCACCATGATCGGACGAACGCCTTCGAATCTCATATTATCTAGTTCCTCGTCGTCCTCAATAAGATTCTCCTCTCGCTGCTGATCATACCCTTCAGCATTTTGAGCGGGATTTTCATGACAATCACCCTTGGCTACGAACTTGAGCATAGTGATATGAGGCCATTGGGAACAAAGCATGGTACGGCGACTCAAAGGTACGCCAAGAAAGATGAAGACATTCTTCATGCAGATATAATCGCTGTTCACAGCGGTCACTGTACCACCGATCCACTTGCAGGAAGTTTGAATTGTCAACTCCTTGCTGGTGCACCCATCAAACTCCAGTGTCTTTGAGGAGGGTAACGGTACGCCACGAATGTTATCGACATGATCGCAGTGGCGAATATCAATTGTCTGACGAGACACGCATGAACAGCGTCAAAGATGATGTTGATAGTCCTGAATTCGAGAGACGATGTTGAATGAACCATTGGCAGTGGTCAAAATTCCTGCCTCTGCTGCTACAGCCGTCATGCAGATTTTGGCAATGAACGTTAACGCTCAAGCTCCGAATGACGCAGCACAAATCTTGACATTGAAATCGTTCCTTATGTCTCTTCAAGTTAGTTAATATTGAACGTTGAATTTGATTTAAAGGCGCCTCCATTACCCATCAAGCAGGGAAAATTGTCCAGACTCAAGAACAATCACATTGACCAAGTCAACAATGAACTACATATTGTGCCATCAGCCACAGCATCAATCCGAAAGCAGAAATACGACTCACTGTCCATATGCTCATAGACAGGCTGCCAGCCCATCGGTAAACAGTCTAATCATTTGCAAAGTTTGCTACCTGTAGGCTATTGACATTGCAAGGTGCAAGGGGTGAGCAACAGGGTTGAATCCTGGATGCAAAGCAAACTACTCATATTCACGATTATGCGAAGTGACACAAGTTTTGCAAAGGCGACTCTGAATTACTCGAGGTGCACGCGGCTTGCTTCTATATCCTGAAAATAGGGTTGTGGGCAAAACTTGGAAGTCATGTTGTTTTGACAGATTGATTGCGCCTGATAGAACTTCAGTGGATGATGTTGGAAGAACCTGGTGTGACCATCCGTGGACACAAGATGCAGACATAAAGTTGCGCCGTCAAACTTCCAAGGGCATGGGTAATGGAATGCACTCTGAAAATATATTGTTCCCCGCACGATTTTGCGGTTTCGTCTTTCAAACGCATCCAGAGTCCAGACGTAAGAAAGGTCGTTATTCTTGGTTGCGTAATATGCACTACAGAGCGGTTGAGATCTGAGAATCCACGAGGCGTTCGATATCATTAGAGACCAAGAATGCACGGTGAGTTAAACTGACTGGCGGCAGTTTGAAGTACTGTGTCATCAAACGCCCGACCAATTGCCAGTCAACCCGTTGGGTGGTGTGGTGAGAATAACCTTCCTAATTTGGGAATAATTTGGAAATGGTGCGATGGTGAAAATGGCACGATTGTAATAAGCTTATAACTAGCCCGAACGTTGCCGCACGCGGTTATCCTTCTGCTCCCCCACCGACAGTAGCGCAGTGAATATGGACGGTGAACTTCACGTCGACGACGTTTCAAACGATGAGCCCACTTTGGACAAATCTGACCTGCTCACAATGCTCTTGAAGAATATATCAGACTCAGAAACCTCTTCATCCCAAGCATCTTCTCCACCAGACTGGTCTCAGCTTTCCTCTTTCTGGCCGCAACAGCCCTTAGACTTGAGTTCTGACCAGAACTCAAAATTCCGGATCTCGGCGGCTCTTTCGATTTCTCTTTCCCCATGGACCTTGACCTCAATGCTGCATTATCCATGGCTGTTGACCCAAGTACATTGCACTATCACGGCACATCTCCACAGACCTTGTTTGACGTGGACTCTATTCGTATCCAGCCCCAGGATTTAATTTCCTCCTTTCCGTTCACTTTCTCATCGCCTACCCTCAGCTCTGCCTCAGCTTCTTCTAGTTCGGCTGATGAGAAATCACCCCGGATGAGCATCTCATCCGGTGCATCCGTGTCTCCGGTCATGGTACCGATTAGCTCGGGTACAGGTATGCATAGTCTATTTTCACTGGCTGTTTTATTCATAGAGTATCACAGACCCCTTCTCTGGGGTTATTATGCAGGCAAAATTGCCCATACCCCGGCTTATATCTTCTATTCCGGCACTGCCTTCCTCCAAACCACCAAAACATAAGCAGGAACCTCAACCTTACCTCTCATCTTCGGCGTCATCATCTCCTTCCCCCGGTCCAACTACTCCTACTTCCGACTCTGGATCATCTGCGCCTAACACTCAGACAGCAGGCGCTGCTGTCATTAGCCGCCCAAAGACTAGTCACACGACCATTGAGCGCCGTTACCGTACAAATCTTAACGCGCGCATCCAGAGCCTCAAGGCCTCTGTCCCTGCTCTTCGCGTTCTAGACCAAAATACTACCCAAGAAGGTGATGTTGTAGATGAACGTGGATACATTGACGGTGTCAAAGTCGCGAGGAAAGGAAGCAAGGCCAATGTACTCGGAAAGGCAGTCGAGTATATCCGGTGAGATACATTTATCCCCTAATTATACTTGCGCTGATCGTCGTAACAGCGTCTTGAAAAGGCGAGAGATCAGGTTGAGACGCGAGCAAGAAGGATTGCGTACCCTCATCCTTGGAATTTCCGGCGCTCAACCTCTCCTTGCTGAATGGGATCATGAATGGGCCAAGAAGTTTGGAGGCCCAGAGCGTGATGAAATTGACAATGATGCCGAAGCCTACGAAGCGAGTGATGATGAAGATGGCGATGGCGAAGATGAGGGCGATGACTCTGAGCGTGTCCACAAGAAGCCCAAGTTAACAAAGGCACCTGCGGCCAAGAAGGATAAACAGCCCGCCGTTTCTGTCGCCGCTGTTGTGCCCACATCCATCCCTGAGGGTATTTCCGGAGCAGTACCGGAGAAGCGCAAGCGAGGTCGGCCTCGTAAGATCCAACCTGGCGCTCCACCCCCAATTGTCGCTGCCGCACCTGTCTTGCTAAGCGACCCCGTTGGTGCGCCTGTGCAGGGCGATGTTACTATGCAGGCACAGCCCCAGCAGTACCTTCTTGCTGTCTTTGCACTGTTCTCGTTTTTTAACTCGCCCTTCACCTCAACGGGTGGTTCGCATCCTCACACGCACCAAGGTTCGGTATTATCCCACGTCACTGATTCTACACCTGTTGCTGCTGCTACGATATGGTCCTGGAGCAGTGCCATACAAGCCATCCACCTGTTCGCATCTGTTCTGGTTCTGTTCACAATCATCGTCCCATGGCTACCTCTTCCAGGATATGTTCAACGTGCCAAGATCATGCGCCTCATACCCTTTAGTTATCTGATCAGCAGTCGAGCACTCACAACTCACGAGGGGGTGGAGCTTCTCTCACCTCCTCTCTCGCCTGATATCAGCGACTCAGAGTCAGATGCGGATTCGACTACTACCGAGAGAACCACACGCCAAGAGCAAGGTCCATTATCAGATGCACTTGCTCAGAGCGGCTCCCTGGATGAACGTGATGCTCTCATTGACGCACTGGGGTTAAGCACCGGTGCACTTGGAGCAGTCCGAAGCGTTTTCGTTAGGCGCATGGTGAACAAGGCCTCCGACTTTGAACTTGAGCGTAGGGCATGGGTCCGCCTAGCCGAACTCGTTGCTCTTCACCCCGCCTCAGCTCCGGCCCTTCTACGTCTTCAAGTCTATTTGCGTCTTTCGTCCTTGTTAGGCGCATCTGGTAAACCTACACAACACGCAAGTGATCTGGCAACATTGGCGCTCCTTGCCCATTCACTCCCAGTATTCTACGTAAAGGATCGTTCGCAGAGGTTATGGAACCGTGCTCGTGCCGGGCTGGTTCGCCCTTACGAGCGGTTAGTGCTAGAAACGCTCTCCCTCGAGGAAGCCGCTCAGACACTTACGTCCTCACTTCCAACCACATTCCTAACGCCACTCGGTGCCCTCGCCACGACCCTCCTCCGTCAACGTCTCCGTTCCCACGCATCCGAACTTTTCGTGCAAACCGTCACCCGTTCCCACGGCGGTGCACTCTCTCAATCCCATGACGCAGAACAAGAAGCTAAATGGAACGAGACCATCAACGCGGGCCGGAGCCTAGGCGGTACCATCAGCGCCATCTCCGACTCCTTCGCCAAAGTATGGGAGAACGACGTGTTGAACGTGAAGGACTTAGTCGCAGATGACGAGGACATCAAAACTGTGCTGAGCACCATAGTTTTATTCCGGCGGATCTTCCCATCTCGGATTATGTGCTGCGATGCCACTAATAACGAGGTTTCATTGATATTGTCTCCCCCGCCTAGCCCACCTGCGAGAGGACCGCAGAAGGAGGTGGTGATGCAGTTGCGTCGGGCATTAGGATCGAGTGTATTTGAGGAGCAGAGCGAGGATCGGGATGAGCTGGAGGATTCACGGGATCGTGCGGTGGATATGCTTGTTGAGTATGAGAGACGGGGGAGGAGTCGTATTTGATGTGTTTGTGTTTTTGAGATTCGCGTGATAAATGGAGATCTTACAATATATTAGTATTTACCCGCCTGTTGTCGGTTGAACTTGTATCAGAGACATTGAATTCCGAATGACGTTGCATCCAGAAGACTCATTCGTAAGAGATAAGAGTAGGGGAGCTGAAATTTAAGACACCCCAACATGTCCGTAATCCCCGACTCGCCACAGGAGCGCTTATTGTTGTCGTGGGACACGGGGCGTGCCCCGGGGCCGGGGGCATGCAGGCCCCAGACAGCGCACGCTCGTTGTGGTTGGTGACGTGCGGAGGTCTGTGGGCAGCGAGGAACCCGGCGGGAAGGAAAGGGCGGGGATACTTGGTTTACATAGCCGAGCAATATATTATATATAGTATTCTGAACGCAAAAAACGCGTGTTGTCATTGTGAAAAAAGACAATCGACAATAATCGCCACCAGCAAACAAACATCGTCAAAATCAATGATGACGGTGTCAAAAAATCCACACAGAAAACATCCAAAGGCAGTACCCCGCCTGCTCACCCGAAACGCAGGAACGACCTAATCGTGTCTATGGACAACGATCCAGACGAGATATGTACTTCGATGTTGAATGAGAGGTCCCGACACTGCATAGAAGGCATCATCATGATCATTTAGGCTCACGACCAGCCACCAATGCGTTAATTGTGCTCTGGGTCCTGCGAGATGCATGGCCAACTTATTAGATGAAATGAATCCTAGATTTAGGGCTGTAATCGGCCAAAGTGATACCCCGACAAAGATCTAGATTCTGAATATTGATGGAGACAATATAGAACGTCATACTGATGAAAAGTGGCAGCGCAAGTGAGTAACGGTGGAACGAGTCAATAATAAGTACCATTCGCTATGGTATCTCACTATCAAGGGATATCGATAAGTGTACATGTGGCGAAGCCTGAAAAGTGATTCGAAAAAATACGTTAAACGGTGATCCCACGTAGAACCACTGCGGCGTTCTTGAGTGTAGGGATATCTCGCCACGACAAGTTCTAGAACACTCGAGCGGCACGGTTCGAAGTTATCCATGTGAAAGTCCTCATCCAGTGGCATATCCACACCAGCGAGTGTAATAGTTCCAATGCAGAGTGTTGTCAAGTGAGGGCATAGCTCGATGAATTCAACGAGGCCAGGTAGTGTGACCCCTGGCGCGGGATTATGACACCCATATGTATCGTTGAGAGAAAACTCCTCCAGACAAGGCCAGGCTTCGGCCACTTTCTTCAAGTCATTGTTGTCAACCCAAATAGAGGATCTCGTATCGAAATAAACAACTCGAAGGTGATTGAGGTGGAAGAGCGGACGTATGGTGTTGATCGTGATAATTATGGTGGTTGTGAGTGGACACAGAGAGAGTTCGCTGAAGCGTATGGACTGCAGATACTTGAAAGCTTCACGCGTGTGGAACGACTCAAGCACTATCTCCAGAAGGCCTGGATCGAAGTGGACCTTGGATCGAAGTGACAACTCGGTGAGTCTATGAGACCAAATACGTGTAAAAACTTCAACATGTGCCCAGTCGTCAATGTCCCAAACAATACTCCGAAGGTTCCTGAAGGGAAGGGGGGTGCGGGATGACCTGAAGACATCTTCGAAATCACTTCCGGTGGGCAGATGTGTCTCCAGGCTGATCAGACATGAAAGGCAACCCAGGTACGCCAGGGCATCCTTGGTGATGGCCGGTACAGCGACTGTACGCAGCTTCTGCAATTTTTCAATGGAATGCGAAGCTGCCCTAGCAGTGTGCGCATCCCATGTAATTATCCTGCTACACATCAAGTGATCATAGGTGCCAAAACGAAATTTTTCCAGGGAAGGACAGCATGAATACAAAGTCTGTAAGGCCACGTGCAACGCAGTCCTCTCTGAAAAGTTGTCCTTCCCAGATTTGAAGACGCTGTCAATAGTGATATCCTGCAGACGCGGGCCAGGTAGGGGGCGCAGCAGATGCAACATAAATGCACCACTAAGACATCGTAGGTTTGGCATCAGGACCTTCGAGGAGTAGGCGAGAGTTTGTAAAAAGGATTGGACAAGATGCGACTCCCAGTCATACCACATCATATCCAAAAACCGGACGCGATGTGCGTAGCGATCGATAATGGACAACTGGGACTCTGTTGGGACCTACGCAGTAAATATATGATGTGTATTTTTGGAAGCAAAAACAACCAACAATGCGGCAGTCTTCCGAGTCGTTGCAACTAGTCAGTGTGCCTGGTACTACAATCCCAGCACATTGCATGACGGGATAGATGCCCGTAATAGATTCCCAGAGAGCATCCAATGCCTGCTCCGAGAATAGCGACAAGTTAGAGCAAGGGCGAGCAAGGTCATTCGTGACTCGATTTTGTAAAATGTGTTGACGTTGATGTAGCTGATGACCTCAGAGAGAATTTCGGGAACAAAGAGAGCACGAGACATGGCAGGGTGCGTTGTCGGCGGGGCACGACAGCAAGTCCACACGTAGTAGTTACTAGTTGGCCCGGGAACTCTAGAGTCTCGGAACTTGTTCGCTTGCGCAACCATGTTTAAAAAATTACGCCGAAGGGGAGTCGAACCCCTGCCGCTTGCTTGGAAGGCAAGCATGATAACCGCTTCACCATCGGCGTGTGATCTTACGGTCCGCTTATTGTAACATATCGCAACCGGGGTCGGCGACTTCCGCAGTTATCACGTCCTTCAAAGCTTCAATTCCGTTCACAGCATCCCACCGACTACGATCCGTTCCGCGCTCACTTCTCTATTCAACTAAAGCAAAGCCCGACAATCTGTAGAACTTCTATTCTGCAAATCACAGTACGGTGTCATGTCGTTCCAGCACTTTGGCAAGGGTGCCCTCCGTGTCGCCAAAAATTACACCAAGGGTTACTCAGACACGCAGGCGAAAGTCCGGGATGCAACATCTAATGATCCATGGGGACCATCAGGAACTCAGATGAATGAGATCGCTCAGCTATCATATAATCAGTGCGTGATCGTTAAGCAGTTTACCTGGTGGTCGTGGTTAGCCAGCAGTGCTGATGTGCTGTTGTTCACAGGAATGATTTCGTTGAAATCATGGAAATGCTTGATAAAAGGTTGAATGATAAAGGCAAGAATTGGCGCCATGTATTCAAGGTTAGCTGCCTTGCTTCCGATGGAGGACCCGATTCAAACTCCCTCTCAGTCACTCACCGTGCTGGACTACCTCCTACACGCTGGTTCCGAAAATGTCGTCCTATATTTCCGTGATAATTTATACATCATAAAAACGCTCAAGGAATTCCAATATGTAGATGAAGATGCGAAAGATTGTGGTGCCAATGTCCGGCAGAAGGCCAAAGATATCTCCAACCTTCTCAGTGATCCAGCACGTCTACAGGAGGAGCGCCGGACTCGGGCAAGCATGCGCGACCGAATGATCAGAGGGCAAAGTAATGGTTACGGAGAAGACGACGAAGATGGTGGGAGGAGGAGCTATGCACCTCCTCCTGGAACGCCCCCACGGAAGGCCAACCGTGGCGCCGATCGCGATGAAGACGAGCTCCGTAAGGCGATCGAAGCATCAAAAAAGACTCTTGCGGAGGAACAGGGTCGGAAAGCTGAGGAGCAAGACCTTGCCACAGCAATACGATTAAGTGAGGAAGAGGAGGCGAAAAGACATAAGGCCGTTGAAGACTCAAATGCTCATGCATTATTCGATGACCAAGCGCAAATGTACGTTAGTTCATACGTATGCTTGATTTCAACTGATGGCATTGTCCATTCCAGATCCTCACCAAACGGTTCCAATAGCAACAATCCATTTCCCTTCATCGACCCTACTCCATATGCAACAGGCTTGCAACCTCAGCCCCAGATGCAACCGCAGTATACTGTTCAGCCTCAATACACGATGCAGCCACAGTTTACATCATTTAACCCATATCAACAGCAAGCACAACAGGAAGCAATGCAGGTACGGTAACAACTAGTCTTGTTATGGATTGATTCAACGTTCCATTAATAGGCAGAGTATCTGAGGCAACAACAAGAATGGCTTCGTCAACAGCAAGAAGCCCAAGCTCAAGCTCAAGCACAACAACTAGCCCAACAAGCAGCGCAAGAGGAGTGGCTCCGACAACAACAACTCCAAGCTCAACAGCAGCAAGCCTTATTTGCGCAACCGACTGGATTCGGGTATGTCATTGCTTTATATGGATCATTCGTCGTGGTAATCTCAAATTTTTACTCTTTCAGTTCTAATAATCCCTTCGCTCCTGCTACTTCGCCTATCCCAGTAACATCTGGGACACCAGTCAATGGCACCTCTGGGCCGTCGTTTAATCTTCAAGGAACCTACTCCAACTCGAATGCACCTTCTTACAACTCTTCACCTGTGCCCTCACAAGTATCGTCACCTTCCCCAAGCGTCAGCACATCTACAGGTACAGGTGCAGGTCATGGTGGTCCCAGTCGGGCAGACCAGGAGCACTCGCATCTTGCCAGTCTATTTGCCAACCGTGATGATGGTCAAGATACATTTGGAAATGTCGGCGCACTGCGCTACGGACACACGCAAGCGGGTCTGCTGGCAGCACAGAAGACAGGATTTGGGACCAAAAATAACCCCTTCCATTTGCAGCAGCAGCAACAAGGTCAGAATGCAGAGCAGCCGTTTTTCTCCATCTGAGGAGAGAGGCAGATGGGTAGACGGTGTAGTGTTGATTTATCGCTGGATGATGACTTGGATTGTGATTTTCCATTTGTCCCTACGTGTCTCGGATTTCTGTTGTTGTAATTATTACCTCTTTTCTTTACTTCCTGTGAAATCTTCCGATACCAAATTTTACACTTCTGACATCGATCGTGCTCATACTTTCGCTCGCGAAATTGAGGGAGGCATGAAACCAGCTGCTTGTCAACTGGGCCTAGAGCGGACCGTCTTATTACATAATGACTAATGACATCACTTCTGGTCCGCCCAATTCGCATAGCTCCTCAAGGCCACAAATTCCAAGCACACCGTCCCACACATCCATACCTCACCCAGATTGCGACACCATGGAATCCAACGGCAGTGCTGACTGCGTACTTATTTTGGTACGCTGCTCTTGCGCAAGCAAGTCTACTTGACATGCTCACACAATGAATGAACAGGTCGCCATCATCTTCCCCCCTGCCGCAGCAGCTTTCATCTCAGGCTGCGGCTGTGATCTCTTCGTGAACATCTTGTTGACTTTGTAAGTACTTCTCACCAGCGCTGCAAACTCTGCATTTCCCTCATGCACTGTTACTGCCAGGCTCGGATACTTTCCTGGACTCATCGTGCGGAATTGTGCTCGTCTATGCAATTGTTGTAACTGACTCCTCTTGAACGTATTTGTAGCACGCGCTCTGGCTCATATTCAAGCGTGTAAATGTTCAGCCGCGACATGCTCGGGGTAGCTATCGATGTGAGCACCTGAGAATCTTGCGTATGTCATGTGTGTAACTTGCCCATCCAGACACTGGCGCGGGAACACCTGCCCCGGCGCCCCAGCAAAGTGCTTCACAGCCGCCTGGATATAGTGCCACGAACCAGCCAAGTGCCTCGCAGCCGGCTACAGATGCAGCCACGAGCCAGCCCGCTGATGCTCCTCCAGTCGGCAAGAATTGAGGAATAGCATGGTTAAATACACGCACGTGGTGGAACGAAGTACATTCCGAGGCCACCTGGACTGTAATCCGAGTCATACGAGTAACGTTGATAAATTTCTGTCGAGTTTCGTGCTTTATCACTTGTTTGAATCAATTACTTGCTGGATCTGGATATATGTGTGGTGTGACGAAACTATGTGGCACGCATCATATGAAGTCTTACAAGTGACCAGAGGTGCTGTAGCACTTACCTGGAACCAAATAGACTCTATTGATTTGCTAGATCAGAATTGAGTGAGGAAAATCGCCAGCATCTCCCCTGGTCATCCTCCAACCATGTACTGTAGCACGAACTTTCTCTTCGCCTGGATCTTCCGGGAACATGGGCTGTGCAATATCGAGCCATCAGAAAAGAGTCCATCAATGTGTGGATCAACAAACCGGATATTTGTGCGTTACTATCTCCTCGCAAACCCAGCCTGCACCCTGAGCTTTGCGGAAAAATTCAAGATCCCTGTCTGCCAAATGCGGTCGATGATGGGAGTAGAAAACCAGCACGCATGGTACGATTGAAGCGTCATCGCTTGCGGAGCGAGAAGTCAAGCACATGTCGCAAGATTTCAATAATGCATCATGCTACGTGCGTTAAGACATCGATGATTAAATGGTACACAACGATCTTACCTGTGAGTGATTAAAGATTAGGTCTGATAATATGATTAAGTGATATCCTGTCGAGGCATCCTTTGGGAGTGCTCGCATTATGTTGTCTACGGGATGGCCCCAGATATATCCCTGAAAAAATGAGCAACCAGGTAAGCCACGGGTGCTCCCTCAAAATACCTGAGTCTCAACATGATCCTGCTCATCAGGAGACAGATTTTGACTGGCGTTGAACTCTAAGTTATCAATGAGTACCGCTTCCGGGTAATCTGTCAGTACAACCTGTTCGATGAGTGAGGCAAGGCGATGAAACTGGTGTGGATGTTCAAACTTTTTTAGCACCGTTCTGTGCTGCAACGAGTCCTGGGAGACCTCCACCAGCTCCGAGTTCGAGTACGCAGCGATTGCGTGCTATCTCTGGATTTGAATCTATATATGATGCAAATGCTAATGCTGCATTCCATCTGGATTGAATGGAAAGAATTAGTAGCGTTTTGTGGGTGCAGGGTCAGAATAGCAGTACAGATGATGAGCCCATAGCGGATGCGATCCTACCAGGCGGATTTTAAGATCGGGAAAGGCGTTTCGAGTACATGTTGCAAAGGTTGGCGGGGGTGTTGGTGGACGCGGAGGTTCCTATAGTTGAACGAATAAAATAATCTTTTGAGTGGTAGCATCTATTAGCACAAACCGTGAAAACATCGCCGAGAGAAAGATCCTCCAAGTCTTCACCGTCTTGCATTACTTATGAGGAATAAACCTGTAAGAACGATCAAATCTTGATCTAGTGTTTCAGTGATCCGAATTGAGTATATGTTTCTCAGGATAATATATTTGTTGTCGATGAACATTTCTTTCAAGTCTCGACGTTTTGTTGACAGTAAGGCACGCGCATGATATGGATGGCCAGCATTTGGACGGCCAACACCATCCATCTCTCAGTCATTCAACCCAAAGTTCTTCTTCTTCCGCTATCGACTTAACTGTTACTATCACAGGCCTTGCCACTTCAGCTCCTCCGAGTCCGAGTCCAAGTCCGTCTCCGACACTTCATCCTTCAGTGAATGGTGGTCGTTCTGTTGCTCGCAGACGAACGAGCTGGGCAAGTTTAGACATAGGGCAGGATCCCTTGCGCCCGAATCTTTCAATAACTGCGGAGGCGGGTCCGTCAAGAACATCGTCTCGGTCATTTACTCCGGATGAGAACCCAGTTTATTCTCCTGACAATGGATTCTTTGCAAATACATTAGCGTACAATATGAATTCGATTTACAACGACTCGCCTTATACTACTGCACAAGCTGGTCCATCCTCCGCTTCGCTAATGTCAACTCCAGAGTCTGACCTTGACTCATCCAAGGAAGGAGACGATATCCATCTCACTGGCACCAGCTCTCGATGGAAATTTGCAAATGGGAGATGGGATAGTACTAATGATTTGACCATCGACTCCGAGCGCACGGGAAGTGCAGGCTCCACCAGGCGGAGGACGCTGCGGTACAATCCCTCACCTTCCCCTCTCAAGCAAACGGGCTCAGCGTTCAGGGTGATGTCAAAGCGTCTTCGACGCGCGTCTCTTCGCGTCGTTAACCTTACTGGACACGTCTTGGACAATTCCATCCGCATACCGGACGAAGACTTCGACGATGGCGAGTACTCTCCCACGCAGGATAACAAGGGACCCTTCGAAGAGCAATGGAACGAAGAACAAGTTTCCTTCACCAGAAAGCTGTCTCCCTTACGTGGGCGCACTCTCTGTTTCTTAGAGTCCTCAAGCACATTTCGTCTTCGCCTTTATCGCTTCCTTTCTCACCCGTAGGCCTCTTCTAGGCTTCTCCCACCTAACAATATTAATCATTCCCGCAGATGGACCGAACCTCTGATACTTTGTTTGATAATTCTTAATGCTTGTGTATTGATATCTCAAGCGTCTCACTCGGTCCTTCTTCCCTCGGGACAGTCCATGCCGACCCCACAGAGGGGTTTCTTTTTTGCTTGGGAGGATTATGTTCTTTTTGGGTTGTTCATCCTATTCACGTAGGTCTCATGCTGGTCGCCATCCCCTCAGCCTGATCCCTCCTGTTAGGTTTGAAGCAGTTGCGCGAATATGCGTTTCTGGATTTCTGCTAGATCCCGAAGTTCCAATATCAGCTTTCTTTGCATCTTCGATATCACCAATAACCTCCACGTCGACTTCGAGGGTCGGTTCTTCCGCGTCCAGTTTCTTGTCACGTGGCCTCTCCTTAAGGTTCTTCTATGATCGTATATCGCGGCCTTTCAAACTCTCCGAGGCTACCCCTTCACGCTCGATGCCTGACGTAGTAGCTGGTCCAAACAATTTGCCTCACGACGTTTCGCGTCAAGAAAAACAGGCTATTGTAGATGAGCCTTCTTCACGCGCTCATCTCCGAAATCCATCACAGCCAACTTTCTTCTCCTGTGCCCTTCGGTCAGACCAAACGCCCCCGGACGCGATCTCGTTGCCATTCCGACTAAACATCGATAACGCACGCGACAAGGTGAATCGTAACATCCCATACTTGCGCCAAAGCTGGGGAAGAATAGACTTTATCGCCATTCTCAGCTTCTGGTTGAGCTTTGCACTCGATATGGCAGGCGTGGAGCGCGGGTCCCATCATGTCGCTGCGTTCAGAGCGATGACTGTACTGCGAATCGCAAGACTTCTCGCTATTACTTCTGGAACCACTGTGAGTTTTCGCACGGCATTTTATGTATGGGCCCTTACACTATTCTACAGACAATCATGCATTCACTGAAGATCGCTCGGCCACTGCTTACTAACGTGGCATACTTTGTTGTCTTCGCTGCGACGCTATTCTCGTGAGTCTATCCGGTCTCTCCCAGAATGCTTATCGAACATAAGTCATCCTCTAAGGATAATTGGAATCCAATCTTTCAAGGGCTCTTTTCGACGGAATTGTTATCTTCAGCCCACCCTGGGAGAAAATCAAACACAAATATCCCACTTCTGCGGTGGTTACATCGACCCGAGTACCTTGAACGTCTTTCCTTATATACAATTGGACGGTACGCCAGGCCCCGCGGCCAAAGGTTTTATCTGCCCTCTGGGCCAGATTTGTCAGGTTCGTCGCTCGGAGTTTTTTCGACAGACGACGATCTCATAAATTCGAGTCAGGAGGGAGACAATCCATACAATGGCATCCAGAGCTTTGACAATATTTATTACGCTGCACTTCAAGTTGTCGTTGTGGCCTCAGCCAATGGTGTACGTGTTCTTTATCCGTATTTCTGTCGCGCTAATTTCCTCTCAGTGGTCCCCTATCATGTATTCGATCATCGACGCCGAGTTTTTCGTCTCCTGTTTCTTTTTCATCGTCTGCATCCTCGTATTGAACATCTGGCTTATCAATCTATTCGTCGCCGTGATCACGAACACGTTCTATGCCATACGTGCGGATACGCAGAAGAGTGCCTTCGGTGCCGCACCGTACGTTTCTTGACTTTTACATATGCTAATGTTAATGTCGTTCCAATTTCACAGACTAGGACCTGTCGTCGAAGAGCGAGAAGAGGGTTGGCTGAACGGGAAACACGTTTCCCAGAACAACTCGCTCAAGGAATTCTATACCAATACGCGCTGGTGCTGGGTATTTCTGGCTCTCGCGTCGCTCGTCGTACAAGCTACCGCCAGTGCTGACATGAGTGACCTGCATCAACAGATACTTGATAAGTCAGAGCTAGCGCTTACAGTGGCTTTCGACATCGAGATCATCATACGCATCATAGTAGAGCTCCCAGCTTGGCGAAGGTTCTTCCAGCATGGGAATAACTGGCTGGATCTTGTGTTGGCTGTAGGGTCGAGCATCATTCAGATTCCGGCCATTCATAACTCGGAGCTATACCCCTGGTTGACGATATTCCAACTGGGGAGGTTCTACAGGGTGATTCTAGAGTTCCCGAGAATGAGGCCGCTCATGGTGAGGCTAGTCGCCATCCGAACATCTGACAGACAACTAAATCACCTCAGCTCACAGTTTTTGGGAACTTGTACGGCCTAGTGAATATGACACTTTTCTTGCTGCTCGTCAACCTCCTTGCCGCGTTGGTCTGCGTGCAGCTCATTCGCGGTGATATGCCTGACTCGATTGCGTTGAATTTCGGACAGTTGTGGACTTCGTTCCTTGCCATGTACCAGCTCTTTTCCTCCGAGAATTGGACGAACGTCTTGTACTCGGCGGCAGCTGCGGAGATTCCCCTGGGGCAGGCGGTGATCGTGGTTGTTTTCTTATGCTCTTGGCTTATATTCGCAAATTGTAAGTCACCCAAAGTGTTCATGCGTATCAGTGCCTTCCTTCGTTGACGCTCATTGACGCTCATTGTTTTCTCCAGTCATCGTGATGCAGATGTTTATCGCTGTCATTAACGAGAACTTCAGCGTCGCAGAGGAAACGAAGAAGAGTAAACAGGCATCTGACTACTGGGCTCAACAACACCCGCAAAGGGTTATGCACAACAGTTGGACTCGCAAGTTGAATCCGTATCGATGGATCAAGGCAGATCCCGTTCGCATCAAGGTCGAAAACCTTCCTTCAAATCTGGTCTTGCCGATACAGAAGACGCTTGTGCAAGATTACGGGGTTATTGGAAAGGACAGCCGAAACGGGCCTGTATGGGTTTTTGAGTGTCTGAGATGACAGGCTACTGACATTTGAATGCGACAGAACCCCGTTCAGTTGAAGGGTGCAAGGCATCTCCCTTCGAAATCGTTGACAATGCTTCAACAGCTATTTTCTGGGACTACGAGTTCTAATGACGTGCCGTTGGTGGCCCTGCGACAGAGCCGTCGTGAGTCGACAGCTGTCCAAGACGAAGAGACAGAGCGTTATCTGTGAGCATTCTGGCACCTGTAAGTGGCAGCTTTGCTCATATGAGCTTGTAGCGATATTCTCGCCAATGGCGCCGACGCAACTGAGGACGACCATGATGAGCGCTCCGAGCGGAAGGCGCAGAAGGCGGACTTCATTATTGACCACCCGACGTATGACAAGACCTTTTGGCTTTTCTCGCAGGAAGATCGTCTGCGGAATATGTGCCAAAAGGTTGTCAAGCCTGCTGGCGGAGAGCGCCTATTCGGAACCCCACCCTCCGACGTTGCCCATACGCTGTTCCAGCTCCTGATCTTGTTGACTGTGCTTGGTGGTATCATCACGGAGGGCGTAGCTACCCCTTTGTACCGGCGCAATTACTACATGGAGCACGGTATGGTGCGTGGTACTTGGTTCAACATCGCCGAAGTTGCGTTCGGCGTTCCTTTCCTAGTCGAATTCATTATCAAGATAATTGCTGATGGTTTCTTGTTCACTCCAAACGCCTACGTCAAGAGCATATGGAACATTTTGGACTTCATTATACTCATCGGTATCCTAGTGAACTTGTCATTCACCCTCATTTTCGTCAGCGGATTGACCCGTTCCATCCACGCACTCAAGGCTCTTCGAGCTCTTCGCCTCGTGACTTTGATCGAGAACATGCGAAACACATTCGAATCCCTCATTATTTCCGGGGCAACTCGTATCTTGGATGCCGCTATCTTGGCGATCCTGTATCTGATTCCCTTTAGCGTTTGGGGCGTCAACATCTTTGCAGGATTGATGAATGAGTGCAACGATACCAATGTCCAAGGCGGCATCAATGATTGCACCAACGAGTTTGTCAACACAATATACGGCACCTCTTTTGGATATTTGGCCCCTCATGCCTGGGACAATCCCTCACCTTCCACGACGTTCTCCTTCGACAACTTCCGATCCTCGATGCTCATTCTTTTTGAGATTGTATCATTGGAAGGGTGGATCGATGTTATGACGGTCGCGATGAGTATTACTGGGAAGGATCAACAACCGCAGGTCGACGTTTCGCAGATCAATGCCATTTTCTTCGTGATCTACAATTTGCTTGGAGGCGTCGTGATTCTGACTCTTTTCGTCAGGTGAGACTTGTCCTTTGTGGATCACCAATCTGTTGGCTTACGGCTTACTTAGTATCATTATCGGCAACTTCTCATCTAAGACCGGCTCTGCATTCCTGACTCAACCTCAGCGAGAATGGATTGACCTGCAGAAACTGATCAAACGCCAGAAACCATCGAAGCATCCTCAGACTCGACCTACTCAGCCATTTCGAGGATGGTGCTATGATCGTGCAATTCACAAGCATGGCTGGTGGACACGAATGATGACGTGCTTCTTTGTCGTACAAATTATTGTTCTCATGTTTGTGTCTCTTGCTTTACTGGTTAGTTATCTAGACTCATGTTTTTCAGGACGCAAACATTTACAGTCCAAGTAGCTGTTGCAAAATTTCAAGGTTAGTCATCGGTTTGATTGCATTTCCTTTCGGCGCCTCTCAATGTAACTCTTTTCAGATGACTTCTCGCTCATCATCACAATGATGTATGTCGTTGATATCGCAGTCAGGTTCTACGGTGTTGGGTGGAGGAGTTTCCGAGCCAACGGGTGGAATTTGTTCGATGTTGTGGTGGCTGGTGGCAGTTTCATCACGACGTTAGTTGTCCGGTTTGGGTATATGGGTTTCGTCGTCGAGCAGCTACAGAAGTTGTTCCTCGTCAGCATCGCGTTCAAGCTCGTGCAGAGGACCAACAGCCTTAATCAACTCTTCAAGACTGTGATGTAAGTGGGGCGATCAGGTTTTGATTAACTGCTGACTTTTTACAGGGCGAGCTTGCCCGTCATTTTGAACCTCCTGGGCCTGTGGTTCATCCTTTTTATCTTCTTTGCCATCATGTACATGGAGGTTTTTGGCCTGACAAAATGGTACTCTGCAGAAACTCACACTCAGAACTACCAAACCATGGGTTCGGCACTCGTGATGCTCGCATTCATGAGTACGGGGTAGGTATTTTCAACGCTTTCTCATGATGTTTTCTAAAATATCTACTCGTAGCGAGGGCTGGAACCAATACATGCATGACTAGTACGTAATCAAAGAGTCCCTTTTCTGATGAAATTGACGCCGGTTTAGCACTCTGGCGTATCCGCGGTGCACTATCAAAGCTGATGGACTGGTCGAAACAGATTGTGGAAGTACTTCTTGGGCGTTCTCCCTCTTCATCGCTTGGAACCTGCTGAGCATGGTGTGTGAACCTTGGTCATTTCGCGTGTGCTTCCTGATGCTATCCCGAACAGTATATATTCCTGAACATGTTTACTGGAGTCATGGTGCAGAGTTTCTCTTACGTTTTCCAGTCCACTGGCGGAGCAAAGGCCATCACTCGTGAAGAAATCCGTTCGTTCAAGAAAACGTGGGCGGAGTATTCCAATCCAAAAACTGGGCTGCTCGAACGAAGTCAATTGGTTCCCTTCCTAGGCGTGAGTTCCGTGCGACGTAATGTTCACGAGACTTATTGAGTTATATTTCAGAAATTGAATGGGATTTTCGAGGTTCGCATATACCCGACCGAGTACTCCGTTTCGTCCATTGTCTCGACGTGTAAAGACATCCAGAAGATTGTGACGAAAAAAGGGACGGAAGAGACGACATTGAATCCACGGAAAGTAAACAAGGTGCTGAGGAAGATCGACTTCGACGTTATAAGACAGCGAAGAGCAGTTTATTGCCGACTATTTCATGAAGCCAGTGTTATTGAAAGCCATGGCGAAGGCATCTCGTTCACTGACATGCTTTTCCTTTTGGCTCACCATAAACTGATTGTGGACCGCGACGCACTAGAGTGGGTTTATTAATTTGCTTGTGATGCTATTACAGTTCTGACTACAAGGCAGGCTGAAGGATCTTATCGTGAGGCAAGGGACGAACAAACTTGTCTCAGATTTAGTGAACCTCGACCGTGTTCATTCTTTGCTAAAAATGATATCACTGCGACGAAGATATTTGGCCGAGCGAGAAATAACACTTAACGCGCAGAGGGGTAAGCTGCTCTTCGGCGTCATCAATATCGTAGATGATGATCTAATGGGTATTGTAGACATTCCCGCTATTCAAGTGGACCCTGCACCGTCCACTCCGCCCCCATTAACTCGCGATATCACTTCACCGCATAGTGACCGCGGCCGTTCAGACAACAGCCCTTCTAGCCCAACTCCTTCTCCCCGAACTCTTGGCCCTTCCCCGGAGTTCAATGCCTGGGATCATTCCTTCCGAACTAGTCTTCAGCGCTCCCGCAGAATAAGCGATGTCAGCATGCTTTCTGCCGACATGGGTCACGGTTACTGGTTCGTACTAATCGTCGTTCTTACTAAATACTCTATTGATAGGTTTGACGCAGGAGGGATAATTCATTAGACATCGGTGATCAAGCAGACATTGTGTCATCCATGCAGCGTTCTATATGGGGCGGTATGCTATTGGTCTTTAAACCTCGTCGATTGCCTGACTTCCGCCCCCAGAGATCATGCAGCAAGCTGCAGAAGAGGATGCTTAACTCGATCTTATTATTTTAACTAAATGATGGACATCGTGGGACATTTTGCGGACACTGACTACATTGCATGTGTACTCCCAACAATCAACACACTCACTTGTATGGTATTGGATAGAAATAGATGCATATGATGGTAAAACAACATGGTGCGATATACAAGCATACAGTATCTATGCCTGGCCCTGGACTCTCCGGGATTTCCACACCTTCTTCTCCTGAACAGTCTCGAATCCATCATCATTCTTCCTGGGTTCAGGCAGTGGGGCGTTACGAGATGTGAGAGGGGTAGGAGGGACAGGAGATGCAGTCCGAGCGGGTGCGGCAGCCGGAGCTTTCGCTTGGCGATCTCTCCAGCCTCCGGCGGCACCACTAAATGCACCAGGTCGGTATGCGCCTGTGGTAGAAGGAGCAGGGGCAGAGGGCAGAGGGCTTTCAACCCGTGGTGGTGTGGATACAGCAGCGGTAACACGTGTGGGTGCAGAAGGCGCTCCTCCACGCCGCCAAGTCCCTTGGGGCTGCGCTGGTTGCGCTGCTACTTGGCTACGCTGCTCTGCGCGGCGTTGAGCAGCATGTGCTTCAGCCTCAGCCTCGCGTTCGGCACGTTTCCTTGCCTCCTCTTGAGTTTTGGCACGCTCCTCTTCCCGTTTCCTGCGTACTTCGGCGGCTTTCTCTTTCTCTTCCCGTTCCTTGGCCTCGGCCTCTTCCTCGGCTGCGCGCCGCTCTGAGAAAATATGAGAAAACGACGACTATATGCGATCAAGTACACTCACCAGCTTCTAATCGAGCCTCTTCTTCCTCCCGTTCTCTGCGAATTCTCTCAGCGTCAAGACGCTCTTGCTCTTCCTTGTCTTTCATCTTCTGATGTGCAGCCCGCATCTTCTCCTTCTCCTCCTCAATTCTCCTGCGTGACTCCGCGAGCTTGCCTGTGTGCTCTTCACTCCGCTGTGCAATGATGAACTCCTTCCTTTGTTGATAATCCTGCGTCATACGGCTCAAGCGTTTCTTGGAAGTCATGTCCTCCTGGAATGCCTGGCGAGCGCCCTCAATACGTGAGCGCTGAAGCGTTTCGAAGATTGTGCGGTCGGTGGTTTGCTGTTCCGCGTAGTCCTCTGCAAGGAGCGGTCGCTCTTCCTTGCGGTACGCACGCTCGATGTGGTCGATTCGCTTGGCAGCGGTGCGCAAACGCTGATTGAGCTCTTTCTTCTCGCGTTCGAGCTGCTCGACTTGCATGCGCATGAGTGAATCTGTCGATAGATCTTCCATTTCCTGTGGACAGTCATGTCAGTAACCCTCAAGTAGATGGTTTGAAAAAGGGATACACACGTCCACCGACACTTTCAGGTTGCCCTTCTTGATCAGCGTCTGTGCGAGCTTCTTGGCTTCCTCTGCACGAATAGAATCCACCTCTTTCTGTGCGCGTTCCCGCTCCTTCTTTGCCATCTCGAGCTTGGCGCGTCGCACTTCTTCATCCTTCTCGCGCCGCGTCGTTTCTGCACGACGGCTGGCCTCCTCCTTCTCCTTGCGAGCAGAGAGCTCAGAGAGGAGCTCGCGGCGACGCGCAACGAGTGCACGACGGAGCGACAGCGCATGCCGCTCGGCGTTCGCAGCCGCAACAAGCTCCGCAAACTTGGCATGTTGCGCAGCTTCTTCTTCCTCAGGAGAAAGTTGGGGCGGAGGGTACAGAACTGCAAGGGAATTGTGCAGTGTCACCGCAAGCGTGCTCAGCCGTGTGCGCACAAGCTCTGCGGTGCCGGGCTGGACACTTGCCTCTGTGTTGGTGCTCGTAGACGGGATGGGGTCCTCTGAGCTGACTACGAAACCCTCGTCGATGAAGGTGATTGTGCCAGTGGCGTGGTCGACATATACGTTGCGCTCACCACGGCGTGCACAGCCCATGAGGAACGCCTCAACCTGCTCTGGACCGAGCCCCTCGAGGGGTGTGACGAGTTCGAGGAGCGAGGCGATGCTGAGGGTGGAATAAACTTGAGAAAGTTGTGCAAGCAGGCGGGAGAGCAGTGCACGTTCCAGGAGGGAGCGGTAGCCGAAGTATGGTGTATCTGGAGCACACAGTTCTGCGAGAAGCGGGGCGGTGGAGGAGCAAAGCGTCAGGGGATCGAATGAAGCTTCGAGGAGCATGTACAGAGACTTGATGGGTGCTGGGGAAAGATGGAGGACGTCACGGGAAAGCTGTGAATGGTTAAACATACATTCAGTTCAAAGACGACAAATATACGTACGGCATCTTTGATCAGCCCGGCGCGAGTGGGTGCTCTGGTGAGACCAAGAAGAGCAGTGAGGCGCGACGTTTTACTCTTGCCATCCTCATCTTCAACCTGTAGACCAACAGGGACGGCCAAGGCACTGACTAGTACCTGGCCGGCGAGTTTTGTCATCTCTTCTTCGCTCTTTCCCCCAATGCTAGTAACAATTGCGTGATACCGACCCCATGCAGCAGCATGATAGAGAGCATTTCCGCTCATCAAGAAAATCTTAGTCAACTTTTCATAATAGTTTGCCATCATCGCCGGACGGGGAGCCTTTTTTGCCATTGTGAGTAGATTGTGTACATCTTCGACACTGCGGAATGCCTCCTGCCAAAGCTCGAGTTCGACGGAAGTATTGAGCTGAGCGAACCGGGTGTCGAGATGATGTTGCAGTGTCTCCGCATCCGATAGGTTGATAGCATGTGTTTGATGCGCATATTTTGCGACATTAGAAAGGTGCAGTCGGAGAGTTTCACAAAGTCTCCGGAACTCGACTTTCCGTTGGTGTTTTAGGCAGAAACGGAAAGCTTGCTGTGCAACTTGCTGGAGAATTCATGTTAGAGAATATGGAATCAGGGTCGTCCCGCATTATGCCTGAGGCGATCATGATGAAGACCACGAGGCGCTAATACCTGCCTAAACCAGTAGCCTTCCCTTCAGGAAGCATATGAAGGACCGAAATATACAGAAGGAATGGAACTGCTCTCCAAAGGCGTATGCGGGTAGCCAAGAGAAAAATGAGCTCACCTGATAGATAACCTCCAGCCGAGCATTATTCTTGAGAGTCTCGAGTGATGTACGATAGCTCTCCCACAGGAATTTGAGCCAGGGTGTGACGAGTGCACGATCCGTGCGGTCCTTGCTCTGATCACCGCTAACCGCGCCGAGGAGAATGCTTTCAGGCGTTTCGCTTGCCTCAAGATCGTCGACATCAACAGGTCCGGTGACTTTGTCTGCTTTCTCCTGCGCCTCATGGACTTTTGCATCTGAGAGCTGAATAAAACGGTTAATGACAACTTCGATGCTTCCAACGCTCGAATTTTGGGCGATGTTCTTGTATTGCATGAGGCCCTCTTTGGCAGTACGGCCTTTACGCATATCGACGCAAAGCTCGACGAAGCGGATCACGATTGGCTCGAGCGTAGCGAGTGGTGTCGAGCGGAAGCGTTTTGAAGAGAACATCTCTACGAGCGACTGAAGAGCCGCATGAGACTGACCAACAGAGACGAGGCCCTCTGCTTGCTTGAGCACGGCCTCGGGTTTTGTGAACGGCGCCATGATTGGGCTGTGGGTTGTTAGTTGTGTTTGTCCAAGACCAACGGGCAGTACGTCGTACGCACTGTTCAAGTGAGTTTCGAGTGTGACTTTTCCCACTCGAGTGTCTTGTACAGCTCTTTGAGTTCGCTGTGAGTCGGGGTAATAGGCCTACTTGATATCGGTACCGTTAATGACAAGGAAAAAAACTAAGTTCAGTGGCACCGTGGGAAATATTATCCAATTTGGACTGCAACTCGAAATTGTGGACGTCGTAATTTTACAAGGCTACTGCAATGAATACATCTATCTCATCTTCAACTAGCTACTTTTCACTTCAAACCCACCGTTGAACAACGACACTGTTAGCTAGTCCAGCACCTTCGATTGTTTGAGTGTCATCTTCCAAGGTACGATTAGGGAATGTCGTTCCAATCGTATACGGGCGTGACAAATTCTCGGGACGGGAACTATGAAGAAATATTGAGTGTCCCGGGCAAGTCTCCAAGGGCTAAACACAACGTACGCATTGATGAACGAGCGAAGATCACCAACGGTATGCGTGAGGTTCATCCTGCACGGCATACGCGTGCCATCTGCCAGACGGATCTGCACGCTCGTAGTAGGCTGTGTTTGGTCGACCTCGAAGCGGGTGTTAATATTGTGCCTCTCGGCGCCGGCACTGGAACTAGCGGCACTGCTGCTGCCAGACGGGAATGATCCTGGCATCAAAGGTGCTGCACCGGAGGTAGTAACAGCAGGAGTTGGTGCACCAAGCCTCTGTCCAGATCCTGAAAAGTTTCCCCTCTTGGGGGGCACATATTCCTCGCTAAGCCGGGTTGCCACGTTGAGGTTGACACGTTGCCCAGGTGTGACGTTCATGAATGATATGGGCGCGGTACTGTAAAGAATGAGGACGGAAATATTATGATGACAGAATTTAACATACCCTTGCTGGATGGACCTCAAAAGCTCCTGATTACCGGGTTCGTCATATCGCATCAGTGGTCCATCCTCGAGGCTGAACCCGTCTCTCCAAAGATGCAGGTGCCGAACAACGATGTCATCTTCATCTTTATATAGAGTACCACCAGGTCAGCCATAGGTAACAACCACTAGAACAGCAAGCGGTAGTAAAACCCACCATCTTCTGCAGTCGGATCTGGCACGTATGAGCTCTCCACTTCGTCACTTCCGAGTGTATGCCCGCCGCCACTGAAAGGTCCAGCTGCTCTCCGGGCACCAGGTAGAGGTGCCATCCCACCCCTTCAAAACACGGAAACCTTAGTCAAGATTAAAATTTTGATGCAGGCGCTGAACGACGTACTCTGCAGCCTGCCTCAAGATATCTCTCACGAGGCGCCCACCAGGACGAGCACTGGTAGAGTTAGGGTTCTGCACTGAAATACCACTACCCAGCTGGTGAGCTCAAATTCTATTAAGCAAGGATCAAACTTCTACACACCTCCGTTCGCCACCTGCAAACCAGTTCTCACCCTCTTTGTTCTCGTCGTCATTGTCGTCGTTGTCCTGTGGTCCTCCTGGCATCCTGACACTATCAGATGTAGGGAGATTCGAAAGATTTCCAAATCCACCCCTACCGACATTTAATGTTCAGATAATTGTCAAAGATAACGATGCTGGAAGCGCACCGAGATGAGGATGAGGAGTTCCTGCTAGAGTTGTTGGTCCCACTCCAGTCTCCAACCCGACCCACACGAGGTGCAGATGGCCTGCCCCATCCAGCGGGTAGACGCTCACTGTTCTGGTTTCCTCCAAGAGATTGTCCTCCGCCTGACATCGTTCAAGTTAATGATGTCGATCTATATGATCACGATGAGTCTAAACTTAATATTTACTACGCGTCCCACTGGTGCGTATTACATAAGAAAATAAATTCGGTGACTTCCTGGAAAGACGTGGCCACTAGGGAGATGCAAAGACCCGGGTCACCAGCAACATTGCGTATAACATTGTCGACGGCTGTCCCACGTCATCGAAACAGGACCCTCCACCTGTTACATTGCCCTTGGGCGCCCGAGTTATCCGTGATCACTACAATATTGACTTGAGGGCAGGAAACTGGGATCATCACGCCCCAGTAAGGAATTGTGTCTGGACTCTGCGTCATGTCATGTTGACCGTATAACTTGCAACCGCCTGGCTGGCTGGTTCTGTACCACCATTCTTCCCAATCCTTAATCCCATCCCTAAAACCCTTAGGTTACATCGTACTCGTGTCAAGGGCATCAACCACTTCGAAACGTAGCCGAAGAGTATCAAAAGGGGGTAGCATAGACAGCCCCCATGATCAGAACGCCCACCTCGATGGGCAGTGGATTTCATATGGTCAGCTGAGTAAGTTACAACTTCCTGGAATCCCGGTGTCCCATTTGACGACGATAAAGTGGGGAGGAATGTCGAACATGTGCACATCGTCTCAGTGAGGCGCAAAAGGTCATAGTTCATGAGGACAAACCAAGGACAAGTGAAATGTGAGCGGTCAAATCAATCAAGGGATCACAGCTAACGATATTCCCCAGAGTGAGCCGCGTTATGAAGCAAGCACTGGATGTTCTCCAGAACTCAACAATTGCCTTCAAGGTAGCAAGGACAACCGCTGTTGTTTCTGGGCGATATACAAAAGAGTCGCCGAGGAACACGACGACGAGTTCCTTGAGCGATACACAATCGACATGGACATTATGTTAGTTTTTACAAGTTTCGCATGATCACATTTACCTCGTGTCGGGATCGATTTTCGATCAGCCTGGTCTTTTCTCCGTTGTCAGCACCTCTTTTATTGTGGCCATGGAAACCAATCTTAGTCCAGACTCCAACGACACCACGCATACCCTTCTCGCGCAACTCGTCTAAATCGGACTTGGCAACTTCACTGCAGCTGAGTCTACTCCCGCAGCACCAGCATCTACATAGGCGCCGTCCACGGCGGATATAACGATCCAAACGATCGCCTATGCATGCTTGTCCATGAGTTTGTTCACTGCTTTCGATGCCGTGCTAGGCAAGCAGTGGCTTGGTACTATAAATCACATGGCCACGGCCGTGGCTCGCAGGAGGAACGAGGGAAGCGCAGACAAGATAAGTTCGACAGCATCATCACGTGGCACTTCGATACTGTTGTGCAATCATTTCCAGTCTTACTTCATATCTTTCTTCTTTTGTTTGGGATCGCTCTCAGCGCCAATATGTGGTACACGCAATACAGCATCGCCTGGGTCATCATTACAACAACGATTTTCGGATTTTTATTCTATTCGCTGACGGTGATGGTAGCTTTGGTATCTCCCGCCTATTCATTTCAGATACCGATATGGGCGATATCATGCGCGTTGCGTATTGACAGTACACCGCGCTAGCTGCTGCGAAAGATAAAATATTCCGATGGTCTTCAGAGTTGGGGGCTTGTCCCGATTCCGTCTCCGAGTAGCTTTCTCGTGTTCTTTCATAGTATTTTGTTACAAGGAGGGTGGATGAAATAGATCAACATTTGCCGTAACAGTGATATCAAGACTACTATCGCTATCCCCTCCGTCGCCTCGGATCGTGGCCGGCTGTACTCTTCTTGCGTGCGTCGTAGTCGGCGTTCGGTTTGATAAAGACATTGTTCGGACTGATAAAAGGTGCTGTTGATCCACCGATGCTTCTTCTGCTATGTTTATTGGACAGATCGTGTAGCGCTGCTGTGCATCAACTCGCTGAGTCTCTTTGGGCGCAGTTCCAGACAGTTCTCTGGGCATACCATAAAAGCGATCTTGACAAAGACAGGACAGCAGTTCGACGCCGAGTATGGGATCTCACCGACGTCATTTGTCGCATGTTCCATCTCGGTCTATCTCATCCACCTTCACCTCGTATAATGTGGAACCTGGAGACGTGCAGGAAGATTCATTCAAGGGCGAGGTCATCGGAACGAAATGATCGGCATCCATCGGCAGCGCTGCTAAAAGTACAGCGCTTCAGGTTCGCCGTCGATGCCGATCAATCCTGATAGGGCTCTGCAGACCCTGCCTGGTTGTGGCAGCATCAAATTTTCGTGACGAAGCCATTTCCACTCATCAGAAGACCTTGACTGGCTAGTGGGCTACCTCAACAACGTTTATTCCAACGACTACGAGACAGCATGCGACATCCTTTTTCTCCTCGGTAGCATGAGAGTGAGCTGCAGCTCCGCTAAACAGCATCTATTCATCGAGAGCCTCATCACATGCATGGCTAGCAGCATGCCTCTTCGTTTACGTCACGTTGTCCTTCGCGCTGCTCACAGTTCCCGGGAAATTTGGCCACCATCGATGCCGTTGGTGATGCGCACATAGTTCTGACCAAGTTCTTACCCGCTATCCTGACCGCAGTTTATCCACGATCAGGTGCAACTCCCGTCAATGATGGTCCTGACTGCTTCTTCAATTATCACCGTAACTTGTGCTATCTCGGGCTGATTTTTACCCTTGCGAGCAATTCCAATTGGCATCTCCATTTGTTTGTAGATCACCATATAAATCGATGCATTGGCATGGTTCCAGAGTGCTGCAGATCGCCCGGGCCACATGCCTTTTGCGCGTCTAGTATCCTCCGAACCGCACCTAAAATATCGTCGCTCGACGCTATCACAGAGCAGCGGTGGTGGGGCGCGATACGCATGGTGTGGATGAATACTTCCTCCGTATTTCAAGATAACACACTGTTTTGAGTTCCTTCCTATCCTTACAGACGGCACAAAGACGTACATACAGATTACTTGGAGATTTGATCTCAAGACGCTTGTCGGAGGTGTGGATTATGTTCTCGAAAGACTGGAATGGCGAGATCCAGAGCAGGGAGAGAGGGTAGTTGTTTCTGTGAAGGAATCGAGAGGTGTAGCTAGCGACATGCTTCAGAGGTTCAATCCGGTGTAATCAGGGCTTACCATATGATCGCGAACTGCTTCGTGATTGGACGTGTTGGATTGTTATGACTTGAACACTGTTCACTACATATGTCATGCGTCGCGATTTCACCTACCTTGCCTTATACTTTACCCTCGAAATCTGACACCCGTCCATATTTTCTCATCTGAATACTTTGAGTGTTTCACCTTCATGGGTAGCATCTTGGTCCTTTGGGACATCCGCTTCAGGTCTTCGACATCATGATGTGGCATACGAATGCAACCATATGCTGCTGTACTCGTTATCGATTTCAACACTGCCGCACCTTTTTATTACGTGTCGGTCACTTTCGCATCGTATATTTTTCCATCGCGTTCCACAATAGTCCGTAAAACCGCCCAAGCATCGTAAATCAACCCTAGTAAAGGAGGAACATAACGGGCATGGTATCAGCGAATCAGAGGGTACAAGTTACGCTGAATCATCACGCCTGCCCACTGTGCTCTCGTTCAACAAACGCCACAAAGTTACCATGAGCCTTGGCTTCAACTCGTACTTGCGGCTCTGCCACACGCTGAAGCTAAGGGAACCACATGAGGACTCGATGATGCCGTCACAGAGCCAAGGAGCGCGTAAAGAGCATTAGAATGGGATTGACGCTCTACTAGTGGGTGAAGTCAGGATGCGAACGATATGCTTGTGATAAAAATTTCGACGAAATCCAAATGGTATGTAAATCAACTTAAGAATACTAGTTGAGAAGTTGCAAACTACCTCGCGTTCGAGCCATGATCACGTGTTTCCAAAATCAAAGCTTTTAAACTACTCTAAATTGGACAACGCCGCGGTCAGGTTTGCCCTTTGACCGACACTACATCGAGCCTGTGTGCCGCTCGAGAGCCTCAATAGCATTAATGCGTGCGCCAACCCCACAATTGTCTCTCACATCTTCCGTACCTTCGAGCAGGAAACATGCGTTCAAGAAAAGAAAACTCAGTCATATTCAATTGTCCACGCGCCACGACACAGGCTCGTGTCCCTCGAAGACAGAACAATCTACAGCACCGAACGCACATAAAGCCTCGACTTTGTCATGCTCTTCATGCCACCGTGTGTTATCTGCATCGATGAGGTCTGGTGCAGGTGCAGGTGCAGGCGTAGCTTGTGCAAGGTAGGTGGACACCTTTTCCCTAATTATTCGTTTCTTAAACTTGATAAAATTTCAGGTGTGGATCAGCTGTATGTGCGGTTTGTTCTCGCACATGCTCTTCGATGCTACGACAATCCTCGTTCCCGCCGACGCCGGCATTGACACGGTGTCCCTCTCTGTCGGGGTCGCCATCACCGTCACCTTCCGGATCTCCCAAACGAGCCGCATTAAGCCTAAACATTTCTACCATGAACTGTAATATACTCCTCTCTCCATCTTCTGGCAAACGGAAGAAGCCTTCAGACAAGGATGACGTCGATGTAGACCATCCTTCGAAATCTCGAGGCACGCTTTTCGGCCTAGACGATGGAGCTCTCCTTGTTCCTGGATGTGGTCGACCTATCTGTAGAACGTGCTGCGTGGAGAGTGTTCAGAAGTAAGCTTTTGATGACTAATGCTACGTTGAGCGACGATTGAGACCTTTCCTAATCGCAGCGATGGGACTCTTTGTGTAGACTGTTATGCCGTTGTTGGAAACGTGCTCTAGAACGAGGAACAATCTAATCATGAGGAGCCTCTCATGCTCTCCAGAGGACCCTTCAAGCGTACCGACATAATTTGTATTGTCAATGCTTTGCTTGCTTTCTTTGTTACTCGTATTATTACAAGCCACGGTGATTCGTCATATTGTATACTATGCATTCATTACCCTATGTTCGCAAGCATTTACACTAGATGGAGCACGGAGACATTTGGCGAAGCTGTGTGATGTTGCACTGTTGAATTGTGAGTTTAACTGGTCTTACTTCATTATTCTGGAAACAGGCACGGTAGATTGGAGATGGCGCATGAATGGAATGTTGGTATGCGGGGGAACAGAGTATGCATCCGGATGACATATTGTCCTAACTGGAAGGGGTGGACAGCTTGGCGCCACAGATGCGTTATGTTATCATTGGTAACGTTGATTACCGTGACGAACGAGATCACACAGATGGAAATGTAGCCCGGGTTCAGGACGCTAACAGTTCCCGATGCCAAGTATCACGCACGATAACGGGGTCGTCGTCAGGATTCGGACGATTCATGTTGGAGTATGCCCTCAGCCAAGGGATATCGTGCTAGCAACTCTCCGCAAATCAGAAGTCCTATCCGATCTAGCAGTTCGGTATCCCGTTCTATGTATGCGGCAAACACGGCAGGCCACTTGATACATATAAAATTTCATGAGTGACTCGACACGCTATACAGCATGGAGGACTTCTCAGATTACCTTGCAAGAGAGCTGCTACCTTTGTAGAGCTTTCCAATTGCATGGCATGCACTCAGATCCTCAGGAGAGACTGTATCATAGCCGGGCTATGAGCGGCATTACCTGGAACAAGGGAATCCAGAATCAGACCATAGATGGATGAGGATAGTCGTCATGGAAATCCTTCTTTACAATAGAACTTGTCATATGCAATATTTTTCAGACGTATATGATATAAGACATCCTGGTGCAAACAAAAGACAAAGATGATGAGTGTTGATTAGATGTCATAGTTGACAGTGGATGACGATGCTCTGTGAAGACAGTCATGCAGTTGCAGCCTTCGCAAGAGGCCGGTGATCAGCCAAATACACCGCTTCAACTTGCTCTTCGCTGATAGGTTTTAGTGCGCCAGTTGCTCGCCATGTCCTCCGAGAATGCTTCAGCAGGTAGATCGCAGAAGTCGGAGTCATGCCTTCCATGCGTTTTGCGGCACCCTAACGCGTGATCAATCAAGCATCGCACTACATCGTCGAAACAAGGAGCTCACCAAAGTCGTGGGCCTGATCCTCTGTAAGCGCTCCCTCACCTCGTCGCTCAATCCTTGCACTTTGGAGTAGTCCATATCAGGATCCAGTTGCAGGGACTCATCGGCATGGAATAACGCAAGGTCTGCCAGTTGTCGTGGGAGGTGAGGAGCGTAGGATGCTATTTCAAAGTTCATTCGCATGTTGAAATAAAGAACAGCAAGGAGTGTTCACCTTCGATGTCGATCCGTGCTCTAATATGGGGTTCCACAAAATCAAGACCTGGAACAGCTCCGGAACGTACGAGATCGGCGGCGGCCATACCTGGAATCTTCAGCATGTCGTACGCACTATTGCGGAATTCCAGTGGAAGTTACATCATAGAGACGCAACCACAAACCTCCTCATAATGCCATCATGTCGAATATCAAATCCGTATCTCCCCCAACCCTGAGCCAAGATAAATAAAATAATTCAGACAATGTCGAGACGGGCCTCACCTGCGGGCTGAGCACAACGTTTGTGAGAAGTTCAGTGCCTCGCTGTATAGCGTCTCGGTCACTCAAAAAGGCTAACCATCTCTCAGGAGAGACAATTCCAGCAGAGTGCCCTATATCAACAATCCATTAAATCGTAAAAAAAATCAGGATGGGATCTGCGTGGTGTACCAATCTCGGTTAGCCGTATGTCAGCGTTGTCACTCCTCAGCGTCATCCGGTATTCCGAACGAGAGGTGAACATCCGGTCTCCATAAATGACCAAAATTAGCCTCGCACCAAAAGTGGATAAATCAGAGGTCACTCGTACATGGTTCCTCCGCTCCCTTTCCTATTAGATCGTCTACCATCACTCCCAGGAACCCATCCGCTCGGGTGAGCAACATTGGGGGACGGCCTCGAGCTGAAAGACCTGCATTGATTCCTGCAAGGCAACCTTGCGCAGCGGCTTCTTCGTAACCCGTTGTGCCGTTTATCTGGCCAGCGAGGTAAAGACCCTACAAGTTTCCTATTAGGAGACAATACAAGGTGCAGGCACGAGAGTTACCTTGATGCGTTTTGTTTCCAATGTCACTTGGGAGATCATGAGTTGGGCATGAGGTCACATTCGTGTCCAACTTACAAGTCAGCTCGCGGGGATCGACATGATCATATTCAACACCATATGCCGGCCGCAGCATCTTGACTTGTTCAAGACCTGGTATTGTTCTCATCATTGGTTCTTGAAGCTCCTCGGGCATTGAACACGACAACCCGTTGGGATATATCAGGTCTACACAGAAGATTAGGATGTGCAGTTTACATTCGACGCTAGAGCACACCTGAATCATATCCTTCTGGCTCAAGCCAGATGGTATGACTACCCTTGTGTCCAAAGCGGGTAATTTTGGCTTCTAGTGAGGGGCAGTATCGCGGACCTGTGATACCAGGGTAGCAGGATAGTAGAGAACAGCTAAGAACTAGAAACCTTTCTTGGTCTCCTGGATATGTACACTGAGATGCATGCTTTCCTTGATGAACTGATGCGTTTCCAGTGTGGTGTGAGTTTGAAAACACGGAATTTGGTTGTTCTACAGCAAACTCGTTCATCACATCTAGTTCATGAACATCGAAAACTTACAGCATGGTCTACTTCCCGATGAACAAATGAAAACGGCCGAGGTTTTTCATCTCCATCTTGCCGTTCCATCCGGCTGAAGTCAATGCTATGTTTATCTAGCCTTGCAGGCGTGCCAGTTTGCAGGCGTCCAAGTTTAAACCCTGCTGCGTTGAGGGATGCAGAAAGACCTGTGGATGGTGCCTCTCCGATACGTCCTGCAGGTATGCGACGCATCCCTACCATAGAATCAATCGTGGATGTATAAAGAGTGAAAGACAATTCAACGTACCAATGTGGATTTCACCGCTGAGAAAGGTCCCAGTGCAGACAACGACCTTGGAACACCTGATGACATCTCCTGTCTCTGGAAAAATAGACCTAGTGAGGACTTTTATTATGTGCAGGCATAGCGCGCGCACCTAGGCGGACGCCCGTAACGGTCCCCCACGTTGACGAGGATGTGGATGAGCAGGGACTGTTGTCAAATACAAGGTCAAACACACTCGCAGCACGTACATCCAGGTTTGTATAGCTAAAAATGATGTCCTTGCATATGGCGCTTGTAGATTTTACGGTCTACCTGCGCTCTAGGTCCCTGTTTCTCAATTGCAGTCAGACAAGACGAGCATCATCCACCACTACTCACCCAAACAGCTGCACCCTTCGAAGCATTGAGCATGCGAAACTGTATCCCAGCTTTATCTGTATGTCAAGTCTCAGATATTTACAGTTTCACCCATTCGCAAGTAACGTACCTGCGATCCTGCCCATGAGGCCATCCAGAGCATCGACTTCCCTCACTAGTGTACCCTTTCCAACACCGCCAATGGAAGGATTGCATGAGAGCTCGCCCACAGTATCAATCCGCTGGGTTAGTAGTACTGTTCGTGCGCCTGTACGGGCAGCACCTGTCGCCGCTTCACAGCCCGCATGTCCTCCACCGATAATACATACTGCAGAGAAGGTAAGCTGAAACATACAACCTGATAGCACACTACAGACCATCATAGGTATCTGGAATTGTGTTTGAGTTTGAAGTTGCCGTGTGTAGGGCGCGAATACGCGCTTTTCGAGAAGGACTCGAGGGTAGCAGTCTTGTAGATGTGTCAGGTATACTGGCATGCAGCGATGTCGATGAACTTCCTGTACCAAGAAGCCGCCGTTGCCGCAGTAGAGTAGCCCAGCTTCTTCTCGATAGCATTATGCACCTGATTGACGGTTTGCTGGGCAAGTGAAAATTTCGAGGATACAGAAAACAATCTATACGTAGATGGTATCCAACATCAGTCTTTGGAGGGGTAGCTTGCTGTCATGTACAAGGGCTCGAGACCGAGTTTGAGAGAACCGTGACGCAAGTTGCTGAAGCTCTAAATTCCGCGCCAAATATTTGGGTCACATGTCTCACGGGGGACTCCGACAACATATCCAAAAAAAGGATCTCTCTGAAAGTTTCATGTACAGTACAGCGAGATGCAACTTGCGATGTGGGAACTTTAACTATCATAGACTGTCACCTTCTCGTATAGACAGTGATTGATTGTCTAGGTCTCATGATCATGGAACTTCAAGTATAGTCTGTAAGATGAGTAGAGTGTGCGTTACGCTGAATCTATTAGGTGTATGTAGAGGCCGTATGAGGCTATGCATCCGGCCGTCGCTGGGTGGACTGTGATTGGCACAATACATGGCAGTCTGACGAGTTGCGGAGATCAATGTCAGTGAGCTCAAGGCTCCGCCGGGAATTACCGTGAGTTCATAGTAATTTACTAACTCAACATCATGGACCATATGCATGCGACTGCCAACTGGCCTCACCCCTGGCCAAGGAGCCTGAACTTAGCCAACATTAACAAGCCTCCTATGATACACATAGTCTCAAATTCTACGCCTCGGATAACTAACTGTGAAGAGGCTCAACACTGGCTGAGGGCTCCCCGACAGGTACCGGTGACGGTCTTGCCGGCCGAAAGGTCGAAGCGAGATAAATTTCGCCATGATGATGATATGCAAAAAGTTGTTCCCAGGTACATTCATCATGCCCTATCATGCCTGCCAATGTCGCCAACGCTGTTGGCGAGCAAGATACTACGAGAAAACCAATCAATCAATTCAAACTACTATTCAGAGATTCAGGGGTACCTTGTCAGGGAGCAGAAGCGAGTGTACGTGATGTTCTCGAGTCTCGCCAGCCTACATGCCACAAGGCCTCCGAATTCGTGTTCAAGATCTCCAACTTCAGTGAGCTCATAACGAAGTTTGAGGACGAAATTCGGGATGAATTGCTGAAACTCATAAGCTACACGGTGCATACACACTGCGCCTTTTCTGAATTACCAGCCTCCAACCTAGCTAGATAGTCCCTTGGCCTTTGACCCCCCCGTAGTAGTGACTGGGCCAGTACGAAGGTGGAACAGTCAAGCTACCGCAGTCTTTATTCCTGGTCCGTGAAATTGCTGATATTACAAAAATCTCGTACCATCTCGAGCAAGGCTTGTCTCTACTTGCACTCATAATGGTCTAGCGTGTATAGACCGGGTCAAGTCGGGACAGAAGGATACCACTGAGAAATAATGCCCACTGATGTTTCACATCATGAGGCTGTATAACTCGAAGAACAAGTAATTTGACTTCACATGGTCATGCGGTCGTACAGGCGCGTCCAATCCGTTGCTTTCTCATTTGAAGCCAGGGACCACAATCACACACTTACTGAACTGGGGACAGAATACCAATTAGGATGTATCACCTGGTTATAGATCGATGCATCAACTTCTTGATGCAACTGGAGTACATGCTGTATCGGTTTTAATCAGTGGCGCACCACCCTTTCCGTATATTGTTGTATTCTTATCGCATGATAGCCCTGGTACCAGCGGAGAGCGGGACGTGATTCCGCAGACCAGGTAGGAGAGGTGAGTTGGCTGGTTACTGAGTTTCGACCTATTCTATAACTCGTTTCTCAATTCCCCCGGACAGAATGTGACTTGTTAACAAACCTTTGATGAATTACATTCGCGCCTGGACCAACAAGACGGAGAGACTGCAGTCGCTCATTGAGATGGCAGGCTTTGCGATCTTCACACCGCCTGTATTAGATGGTCGACTACATTATTTCTCTGCTTTATTTCACATGAGGATACTTAATTCGGTAAAGCGCAGCAGGAACAGACGCCCACCCCCATAACGCCTACTCCAATGAAAAGAGCGCTGGGCCGGATGGTGGTGTATCCAGATTCCAGCACGAGCACGATCATTGTGCTTCACAAAGTTCTGTGCTCTCCCTTTATCTCAAACGATCCCAGTCTGTCGCCGCTGAATAATTTGCATCGTCTTATCAGTTATTTCATGGGTTGGCAGAAAACCAGTTAGATGACGAGTCGGTGATGTGGTGATTTAATCTTCACCGGGTTTCGATCGCAGTTTCCTCTGTTGCACTTGTTTACAATCTTGGGAAGCACTGGCGATTGTATAGTACTAAAGAACCATTCAGTAACAGATGTAGTGAGTATCCTGCCTTTGATACCTGTCCCAATGGCTCAAATCCTATCTGCAAGGGCGAGTACGATTCCCGATAAGCCTGTAATGACTGCAACAGTTGTGAGTCTGTTTAGAGTTCATCTGAGGCTCAGCGCTCATTAATCATTACCAAAGGTTTTTCCAGGCAACATTTTGAACGCACTAAATTGGATAACTGTGAACGTAACTGCCATGCTGGATAGTGAGCTACCCAGGTGCAGTGGTATTCGCTTGACTGAAACATAATGCAAGTGGCTACGAGCGATCCAGAAAGAATGGGTCATGGTATCATTCATGTCCTAGTGAAGTCTAAACTCAATCACTCCTGCAGAGCGGCTGGTGACCATATATCCACAGTGATCCCCTTTCTCAACTGCAGAAATGACCTACTCGCATGTTATGGTAAGCGAGATCTTTGAAACACATCTTTCTCACATCAATGTGATCATCTCAAAGATATTATTTGCGAGCCACATTTCCCTCCACGTTGAAGAAGGCGAACGTTCTACTGATTGTCGCGGGCATCGGGTGGTCCCTTTGCTTCCTGTGAATTACCTGACCAGCAATGCGTGGCATCACTGACGATATCGGAAAGAAAACTTTTGGGCCTAGGTAGTTTTACTTTGTCAGCTGTCAAAGCTTCACCGCCCAGTCTTTTCGCGGGTCAGTGAGTTCCTGCTCTGCACATCCTACAGCCGCGATTGCGACGATGGTTTATCGCCGATGCGGCTTTAATATATAATGGTTACACGCTTTTTCAAGGGACATCTAGGGACAACCACGAGGTGAACGGGATGATGGATTCGGGTATGATGGTGTAATTTATCATTGTGAGGCCGACGCGCAACTTTATGATAATGCAACCAGTCCATGTAAACCAGGACACACATACACATGTTGTCCCCTATTACTAGGTGGCTATCTGAGTTGTGATGGACCTATATGGTGTAAGCGGGTGCTCTAATCTTTGTATGGCAGTGACATAAGTGGAATCCTTCTGTCATCGGACACCTTATACCGTTCGAACGCTGTAACGTCATGGTGCGGGTGATGCCTTGATCCTCATCTTTATACACGTGCCCTCATATGCTCTGATGGAAATCATACACGTACTTTTAGACACGAAGTGACGTAGACTGAGGCGAGGCTTATCGTTCATTCTTAATGGGAAAGGGAAATTTACATCCTGAAACAGTCCTGAAACATGATGGGAACAAGGGGAGGCGCCGCCGCTGCCAGATGTCTAGATTGTCTATGGTCCATATACCAGTACAAATGATCCGGTGGGTATGAGATATGCAATAATGACAATATAAATGAATTTCTCCTCAAAAGAGCCCTGTAAGTGTATTTGCCAGCAAATAGTGATCACATCAGTGTGAGTGCGCGTTCTTCATTCTTATCCATAAGCCACCCTGTGAAAGACAAGATGATGCAGCTGAAACACCAAAGCGAAGATAAGATAACGTACCTTGATGAAAAGCGTCATTGTAGCTTCGGGATAAATCGTCTCCACCCTTTGTCTGCCGCGACCCAACTTCCACTCCGCAGGTGGCGAGGAGGAAGGAGGTTGTGCATCCGTCGCGAGTGTAAAAGTGTCAAATCGCTGAAGCAGTCGCACAAGGAAGAATGATGCCTCATTGTATGCATAATTCTGACCGATGCACTAAAAGAATCCAAGAGCCGAGGTGTCAGTTTTTCTGTCAAATTGTAATCACGAAAGGAAATCCTACAATGCGTGGCCCTGCGCTAAATGGAGTGAACATCATCGGATTCGACGTGAACCGGGCCAATCTCTGAGGATCAATCCATCGCTCAGGATCAAACTCGTCTGCATCAGGTCCCCAAAGTTCTTTGTTGCGCTGCGTCAACAGCGACGAGTACCAGATTGCCGTCGACCTCGGTAAATATAACGGTTGCTGAGATTCGGTGGGATAAGTACGATCTGGCGGAGGGAGCGTGCAAGGCTGAGATCTTGTCTGTCGTGAATTCAACGGGACGGGCGGGTACAGGCGGAGAGTTTCGTCAAGAACGGCTTTAACTGACGAAACAAGGTCATTAAGTAAAATCACACCACATGAAATAAAACTCGCCATATTTGAGTTTACGAATTTCTTCGTGGGTAGGGACATTGTTGCCACACACGTCGAGTACCTCTTGCCGCATCTTGGCCGCGATGCCCGGATACAACGCCATGAAATATGTCACGTAGGTCAAAAGGCACGCAGTCTGTCAAGCGGAATTGTCTCATCAGAAATTGAGCGCTGAAGTGAGAAGAGGCACACACGGTGTCTCTAGCAGCCAATAGGACATTGAGCAGCTGATCACGAATCATTCCAGCGTCTATGAATTATCAACGAATGAGGCGCAGAATTCGGGCAAGGAACGAGAAAGAACACAGACCTTCGGTACTATCGGCTAGGTGTTCCAAGAAAGTCTTTTCTTCCATGGTATTCCGTGTACCAGCTTTGTGGGCTAGCGCCTTACGATCCAACGTTCGTTTTACTAATGGATCCAGCCATCGTTTGATGATATCCACGTGCGGGGCAGTTTTGTCATCGAAAAGCTCAAATACGGGCCAAATGAAGCCAGTGCGACCTCTCATGGTGATTATGCGTTGGACTGCTTCAAAAGCTTGAGCAAATGTTCCCCATGAGTCATCTGTAGTAGACCCTCTATCACTCTGGAAGCCTGAACTAGGGACAGGAAGCTTCTTGGACAAGGTGTCCAAGTTTTCCCCAAAAAGAAAGTCCGAGGCGGCGTCGATGGTGAACCTAGCAAAAAGGTCTTGGACATTACAGGGCTCATCGCGCGAGGCAAGATTTGATAATAAGGTTATCGTGTGGCCCGCGTATTTTTCAAATAATTCGAAATCAGATGTGCGATTGCGGGTGAAAAAAGGTCGTGCGAGTGAACGGTGCTATAACGAGACCTATCAACCATCAACAATAGTGTCAGGTGGTTGGCTTGTCGTACATATTTCCATTTCTGCGTAGTTGTGAGCAAATTGTGACCCAGGTAACAGAGCAGGTCTTGCTTCTCACCTCGTCATCCCGATTGAATATTCCATCGCCTAGAAAGTTTTCTCTAACATAGTGTTAGGAAAGTTTTTTCGGGTAGAGAGTTGCTTACAATCGCTCTCGTTGGGCAGTGCCTCTCCAAAATTGGCCGAATCCTGTTGCTAGTACGCATTTAGAGTGCTCTTGATCCATGGTAATGATCTTTGACACGGTGAACGCACTCGTCAGCTTACTTGCCACTAAAGATTATGTCTAGACAAGACCACCTACATTGTCAACCCAAAGAAAGCGAGTGTTGAGGGTTGTGCACTGATACTCCTCGAACAAATCAAGGAACGGCTCGTAAATGTACTGAGAGGCGAGCCCTTTCTTAAGTTTGAGCATCACATCAATGTTCCCTGGCCATTTCCCAACAACTCTGGGAATTGGTCTAGCACCAAGTTGCCGTGCTTCCCGTGCTTGAACGAAGTCAGAATACTGCACTCTGATCAATACCACCAGCGGAATGGCCAGGAGATAGGCAGGTATCGACCACCATCCAAACTGAAGGTTTAACGTCCTACAGCACAATGAAACAAGCACGGGGGGTGCAACTAGTGCTTGAAAGATGTCCTTCAAGATACGGAAGCGATAGTTGGCGTGGTCAGCGAAAGCCATGTATAGTGCTCAGGCTAGGCTACTAGGGACAATTGAGGGGGTGAGGGTACAGTTGATGATTCTAACTTGAGCCCTTTATGTGCATCTGGGAAACCGACAATTATGCTTCTTGCCAATGCCAGCACTTGAACAAATGAAGAGAAGATTAATATTGTCGAATAATCGACCTGAAGCGATATGATTAACTCCACGCTGATGCACATGTGAAACTTCTCGATCCGCGCGATGGAATATTCCTAGGACCGTATGTCGTGTAATAATAGGCTAAATGTCGGTAGACTTGTGAAGGCGAAATCCGACCGACGGCTAGAGGACCCCCGAGTACCCCACGCTCACATATCTTCTCACGGTCCGACCTCCGAGTGGCTAATTGAAATGAGCCAATACTGTTTCACAGCGCTTATTCAATGGCCGACGCCGGAAGTTTTCAGGTCGTGTGCACATGGAGCTTAGACTACGGAACTTTAGATACGAAAACCCATTGTGTCCTTCAGTGGGCTTTGTAGGGACATGCTTTGATGGCAAGAAATGTATAATGTGAAATACGGAAACAGTAAGGAGGCATAATCTATTACGACTTGAAGTTCCTTCGCGTTCAGTAGGGAGGAAATGCGGCTCTCAGATCTGAGGTTGTTCGCATCACAACATGACCAGTTCGTGAGATCCCAGGGGTCGGTGCAGCACAACGCACCCACAACTATGAAACGAGAGCGGGACCCGAATAACGTCAATCCCTGTATCAGACTCGGATAAGTAGGAGGCTGCACACCATAGATTCAGATTCAAGCAGGCACAGTAAACTGATGACATCTTGCAGCTTACTTCCGATCCTAGTGTAAACTGGGAAACGACGTCGTAGTATAAATTAGGACACTTTGATGACCTTGCTGCGAAAGTACTAGAATAAGAAGGCTGAGCACTGTTTCAAAAGCCTACCAACTGTATTTACTCGAGGCGTCGAGTAACACACTGCTGTAACACAATGCCTTGCAAGTATCTGACCATCTAGTCAGACTTTTGTGAGATTTGTGAGGTTAATAATACACTAGTACTAGTAGCAATCAAGACTGTAAGGGCATACCTGCGATGCCGCGGACTCGGAGACGTCGGCCTTCCTTGTCAGTGAGAACACAAGCAAATGTCACGTTTAGTTGAACTACCAACGAGTGATTCCTTCTATCTCATGGTAGCTTGGGTGGGCGCTCCCTGCTATGGCACATATCAAGTCAGTCCAAGAAGCAACGAGTATTGTGCTCTTTAAGAGTCACAGATGAATTTGGTCACGCAGTAGCCCTGAGGTTAACGTTGAACGTAGAACGATCTATTCAGGTGTGTATGGCGGTCGAAACAGAAGTCGGAACTTGCCATACAAGGTAAGTGCATGGCACCCGGGCCGAAGGCGTCAATCTGTCACTAACACTCGCTGCCGTGCTAATAGTAGTACTAGAGATTGTCCATCATCATGTCGGAATCTCGCTGGATCCCGCTCGAAAGCAACCCAGATGTAAGTTCTCCATGTCTCTAATATTCTCATTCTTACGCGACAACGAGCAGGTCTTCAACAGTGTAAGACAAAACCTCTTAGTGGCACAAAATGACTTACGTGGTATGATGTCGTACAGTGGGCTGCAACTGCCGGACTATCATCCAAGGCGCACTTCGAGGACATATATGGCCTTGATCCAGAAGTTCGCCTTCTCGATCCACTCATGCTCATAGGTTCACGACAATACAGCTTCTAGGAATGGTACCGGAAGGTGTAAAAGCGGTTACACTACTCTTCCCCTGTTCAGGGACCATTGCGACGAAGCGCAAAGAGGAAGATGAAAGGATTGCAGCTCAAGGGCAGCATTCGATCGATCCTACTATTTTCTGGATGAAGCAGACGGTACGTTCTATCGACCGAATGTCCTTCGTACTCGCACTACTAACGAGGCCTACTAGATCGTAAACGCTTGCGGAACTATGGGTCTTCTGCATGCTTTAATAAACGTAACACGCAGCCTTTCCCTTTTATCTTTCTCTCACACTGGTATTGCTCCAGTCAAACGTCACTTTCGCTCCTGAAAGTCCATTGGCTAGATTTATTGACGAATGCAAAGGTGAAAATTCTGTTCCTATCAGGGCATCCGAGATGGATTGATTGCAGAAATAGACAAAACACCATTGGAGCGTGCAAAAATTCTCGAGGAGACCTCCTTATTCGAACGCATCCACACCTCCGCAGCCACCTCAGGACAAACCACGGTACCAGGAGATCTGGACACATATTTCCATTTTACTTGCTTCGTGAGGGCGCCCGATGTTACTGCGAGGGGAACGGAAACCCAAGCCCGTGGGTGGCGCGTCATAGAGTTGGACGGAGCTCGCAATGGTCCGATCGATAGGGGCGAATGCACTAGCTTGCTTCAGGTAAGGGGCCTTGATCCTTTTTATGTCACTAAGTTGATCTCAGTTCCGGATCTGCAGGACGTGGCCAAAATCGTCAAAGAACACTATATCAAAGAAAGCAAGAGCGTCAACTTCAGCATGATGGCGTTATGTTCTGGACAAGATTAGATTAAGAATCACGAACGAAACTAGTGTGTACAACAGCAGAGCGACTACGTATTCAGTAATTTCAACTGGCGTCTATACATCAGAACTTAAGTAAGGAAACACATGGTAATTGAGGCAGTGTCAACCCGAGACCGAAGTTCATGACAGTCACAAGAAAAGTGCTTCCGATATGGCAGCAGGAATTTCCTTCTGCATTTTGGCGATGAATCTGGCAACGTGGAACGCATTGTCGAAGTCAGTGATATCTTGACCATTTCCAATCTCAGCAATCTGCGCTGCAGACGCTACAAACTGTGTGATTGATATCAGGTCGTGTATCAACGTGAATGAATAACCATGCGTACTCGTAGCATCGGGCTTTCAGGAAATCTGTCTCCCTTGGCTGTCTTCTTCTCCCCTCGTAGGATGTCTCTGACTAGAAGTGGTTCTGCGGTTAGCGGCCTTGCCAATCCTATAACTGCGTTATGCCAACCGCTGAGTAAAAATGTACATCCGATGAAAAGACACTTACTGTCCGCGGCCCCTTGCGAGACAGCATTGGCCATGCCCTGCGATGTCCGAAATCCGCCCGTGGCGACTACTTTCGAGAGGTTTAGATGGGATCTGAGGAGCTCTGCATATTCGACAAAATACCCTTCTCGGGTTTCAACAGTATACGGCTTATAATCGCTCGGTATCAACTCTGGACTGCCTGTGAAATATAAAAGTGTTACCTTGTCCCGAGAGCTGCGGGTGGTTTGTTCATAAGCCCCCCCACTGACTTCAATGAAGTCCACTCCTGCAATTTCGAGCAGTTTGGCGACCATTATGGATTCCTCGATGCAGAATCCCTCAGGGATAGAATCTTGTGAGTTGAGTTTGACCGAGATGATGAAAGATGGGTTTTGAACCGCTCGTCTGATTGCAGCGATTATCTCGAGAAGAATGTGAGCTCTATTTACGAGCGATCCGCCATATTCATCAGTTCGCATATTGGTCCTCTTGGCTAAAAATTGTGACAGAAGGTAGCCGTGAGCGGCGTGGAGCTGAGTCTGATTAACCAATGAACTGGCCCGATGTTAGTAAAATAACATTACCTGGACGCCATCGAATCCAGCCCTGTGCAGGACGGAGGCTGCATATGTAAAGCGATCTACAATGTCCTTGATGCCATCTTTTGTTAGAGGTGTGGGTCGCCCGAAGAGAACGTCTCCAGTCGAGGGTTGCTCGACGTCAGACGGTGCCTCTGGATATGGCTGTATGTTAATGGAAACCTGACGCCCTGGATGGTTAAGTTGCCCGATGACCAAGCTCCCTTGTGACTTGGCAGCCCGCGCCACCTCTGTCCACTCCTGGAGATAAACCGAGGGGAGATCTCTGTCGATGATAGTATTCCCTACACGAACATCAACCTCGCAATTGTTTTCGTAGAAAATTATGACTACCTGTAGCTTCGAGATGATCTTTCTTTATTTGTATGTTACCAGTGACAATGATCCCTTTAAGAAATTTATAAGAGCGTCATCAAGGATGGGATGAAATTCACCGATATCTCCCTTTGCCCAGGTTTCGTACAGTCGTACAAGTTCCTCCGTTGGTTGTCCCCGACCACTGGGATCAAAAGTCGAGAAAGTGGCCAAGCGTTCTGACATCGCGCTCTTCAAGAACCTATTTTTTGCCGTTCGTCCGCTAAATGGGAAAGTAACAGGCTGCTTGAGTGGTTCAACGGGGTCAAACATTGAAACCATGTGTGGGGATGCCGCTGTTTGCATTGGCTGTTGGACAAATGGATATTGAACATATGGATAAAACGATTGCATAGTTGAATTCAATATATTGCAATCCTGGTAACCAAACTTCACAGTATGTCTTTCACGATGGTGATTTTGGGCTGAAGAATCAGTCAGCCAAGCATATCACGCAGGGCTAGATACGATCTCGGGTAAGCTAACGTATGTATGATGAACATGTTTCCGATGTGAGAGAAGGTGAAGCCTACTAGATATTCCGAAGACTCGGGAATTAACAGACGGCCAGAATAATCGACCGATGATATTAGCAAGCCTTGACGTGTCCAAGTAAGGTTTATCTAGTGAGACTGCGTCTCGTTGGCAAGTCAGCACACCTATTAGTGACTTTACTGGTGGCAGCAGTTTGTGTGGACTTTGTAAATAACTCACTTATTCAAATATGGCTCCTAGGGGTAGCCACTGCATTAAACTTGAAGAGTGTGCACGAGTTTTCCTGCAGCAGGTCAGAGGAACATATGGTGCCGTGCTAACAATGTTAACGCAAATGACAATTTCGAGTGCGCAATCTCTGACAATCCAGTTTGTAGTCGTCGTTATCGAGTTGCAAGTGGCAACAGCGGCATGTATTACTGTTTTAGGGGTGCTCGCCCAGCCATCAACCACACCAAATGAGCCTGTGTAGGACGGGGATTGTCATCCTCCGATGTATATATATATAAATATTCCACAAAACTCACCTTCTGGGGCCACCTTGCACCATAATAGGTTACCCTGGTTGCGGAATCAGGGCTCAGAGCGATTGAACTTATTGGGAGTCGTGTAAAAGTCGGAGGATGATTAGGCCCGACCGAATTCCTGACATAATTGGTTCGAATTAATGATCAGTTGACGAGTTGGGGTCAAGTTCCGTCGTTAGCCGACTTATATATCAGAACATTAGTAAGGGCGCCTGTACAGCTGCTCTTTGTAGGATTTCTGCAGCACGGTTGTTAGGGTGGAGCCTGTACGAAGCTCGACGATTATTATTTCCAATCCTAGTATTGATGAATAGTCTTGCACTTAACATCCGAAACCTTCTTCTGCAATCGTTACGATGAAGTTATTGCCAGCGAGTGTCTGCTCACGAAGTTTAGATCATCTGAGACTCGGAGCATGCGGTGAAAAGAATGATATGGATTTTGGCAGTGCATAGTTCCGGGATTCCAGGACCTCGCACTAAGACTTCAGAGAGCAAATATTATGTCAAAGTTGTTCAGAATCATGTGCTGGCTGAAATCAGACTGACGTCCTCGGAGAAGCAATCGGGAATTGCCAGATTATGTTGGGTTGAATCTTATCGATTACTATCTCTGAGAGTCAAACCCTAATCATGCTTTCCTCATCGTCTTCCAAACCACCGACGCAGCAACTATTACAGTCTGCGGATCTCATCTCCCAGGGCGCTGAAGCTGCAAGTCCTCTCAATCAATTTCTACTTCGCCCCATGCTCACTTGAACCCCCGATCACCCTTTCTAATGCTCCGCGCAGAAAGTCTACAAAGCATATCTACGTCAATTTTCGACATCAGGCCATGGCATTGGTCACGGTGCAGCTCTTGAGGCGTTGGAACCGGTTCTCTTGAAGTACCGGTTCCGCAAGCACTACCGCCACCTGTCACTCGATACATCACTCACCCGGCAACGTATAGCCGGTGAAGCTCGCGCGTTGATGAGATGTATGCGGTACGTCAAATTTGTGCCGTCTTCAGTGGAGATGAGCCGACGTGGACCTTGGCAGGTCCGGCGTCATTGTACCCGGAATCAGGATGGTGGATGTGAACGAAGGTGTACTGGGTATCGAGTGGATAGATGGCAAGAGTGTGCGTCAAATCCTACCCGGTGGGGCTGAACTCGAGGACATCAGCGAGCTTGGAGAGGTGGATGAAATCCATGAAAATGGCGCTGCAGACTCAATTGCTGATTATGGAGTCTCTCGAGGTAGGACTGTTCGCATGCTGATTGGATCCTACTCAACTTCCGTAGATGCCCTGATGGATATGATCGGTGTTGAGATTGCAAAGATGCACTTGGCCGACATAATTCATGGTGATCTGACGACCTCGAACATGATGTTGAGGAAACAAACAAGTGATTTGGTATATGATAGTACTAGAGGATGCGGTTGTCTTTTTAATGTCATTTTCAGGTTCTTATAGACTTTGGACTCGCCTATCATTCTACTCTCGTAGAAGATAAGGCTGTGGACCTTTATGTCCTGGAACGCGCCTTTGCCTCAACTCATCCTGACTCGGAGCCACTGTTTGCGGGAGTGCTGAGCGCGTATGAGAAGCGCATGTGCAAACATTGGCTGCCAATTAAAAAGAGATTAGATGATGGTTAGCTGAGCTCAGTGCATGACCAGATCCGTGTACTCACTCTTTGTCTAGTGCGACTAAGAGGGAGGAAACGAAGCATGGTTGGTTAGCATACATGCTAGACTGTTTCAAAAATGTGGAAGTGAGTTCAAATGAAGGCTAATTACCCTTTGATGTGCTAGATCAGACCCAGATGATATTATTCACCAGTCCTGTCAGGCTTGATTCATGTTTGACACGAGCACGTCTTTGGGGCTAGATACCGCCTCACGACATTTGGACCCTTCTCTGATCTCTATGTTCACAGCAGATATGGCAGGTTACATTTCAATAATTGGACGTAAGTACATTGTCCAGTCTCTTCTCGTCACATCCCCCCTGGTACGTGTTAACATAAGATAGTCAAATTGTTGTTGGTTGGTCTCATTCCTCAACACTCCGATCTTTTCCCCGCCACCCTCCGACGCAAATTGAGAATACTCTCTTCCTCATTCTCAACCTCAACATAGGACTTTTTTGCAACCGCGCCATGGCTTCTACCTCGAGAGCCTCGTCTTGGGCGAGGATTGAGTCAATGTATGTGAGGTCGGATGGGTGCATTGACAAGTCGATACTGCCTTGGGGGCTTGTAGGGGATGATTGATCACGTCCACAGTGACTCTCCTCTGAATAGGACGACAGACAGCTTTGAAGAGGCTCATCTGTGGTCATCTTCAACCTTACGAGGGCCGCCAGCCTCTGCGCATCCGATTGAGGGGTCAGAGGCGCCGTGTCTCCATCCACTACGAGCTCCTCGCTGTGTTGCATTGATGGCTCGTCAGTGGTGGCATAGTCCAGCTCACTGGACACGGCAGAGCTGGAGTCGTCCATTGCTGACGGTGTTATAGCCACTAGACTATCAGAACGCTGGTGAGAGCGTTTCCTGAGTACGAGGGTTACGAGAGTGTCGACATGAGGAGTGTCTTGGTGGTCTGCGGAGCTTTCGAGAAGAGTGTTGTCTAGTGCACATTGCATGATGTAATCGATGGGAATATGGGGAGTGGAGGACTGGATATTTCGTCTCTACGCGGTCAGCTATTTCTTTTACTTTACTTGGGCTTTACCTTGATCTTTATATACGGTATCAATTATGCGGTGGGTACACGGTAGTGGATGTGCGTTTGTCCACTGTCCACACCCTATTTTGGTGTGAATTGTTTGGTGTTGAACCTATTGTCAGACAAAGCAGAACTACTTTAGTGGCAAGTCTATCACAAGCACATGTGATGATTCTGATACCGTGACACTGCGTGCTGTTCACTTCCGTTGAGTATCACAGAGGTATGTACCACTGGCCGGCCGTCATATATTAGTGTTGCTCAGTGTGATTCGAGACTTCGATCAGTTGGGTGGCAATTGGTGGCCTGGGCCGCCGCTAGTGTTGTGGGCAGAACTACTTGAGGTTAGTTTTGCCGGCAGAACTGGCAGAATAATCGGTTCTGTCGAGTGGCATAACTCTGGTGGTGAAACTTTTCTATCTACAACATCAATGACAATCCTACCGAAGACATCAACGACGCCTCGTCCCATCCATCATCCTCACCATCATGATTCATGACATCAACCTTATCTATAGCAGCTTGGGGTATTATCCCTTAGTCAACACGCTCCAATTCGGCAAAATCAAATACCTTTCCTCCAAGGACCTCCACATTGTCAATACTCACAAATTCTTCCTGATTCTCCTGTGCTTCGAGAGCAACAAATGCTTCGGCAATTTCATCAACTGATATGGTCTCGGGACCTGCAATGAGGTCGTCTACATCTTGTGGTTCTGCCGCAAGTGGAAGCATGGCGAAGTTCGGGAGTAGCATCCTTGCAGTAGCGGATGATATGGCTAGGCAGGTTATTGTTGCGACCTTGGATTTTGGCACCGGGGAATTGTCGAGGTGACCACAGTGCTTGCATTTCCAGAGGTAGCGGCCAGAACTGTTGGCAACTTTGTTGAGATGGTCGGAGTTATTGTTGATTAGGGATGGCACTGGGCGGCCACCAGCATGGACCATATTCTAGGACGGAGGATCAGCCGAGAGTATCTGCAACTCTGTTTTCACATTTGTTAAGTTATGGACTAGTTCTCTGCCAACCCTGGGTTCTGCCATCTGCCAGGCACAACCAGTTCTGCCCACAACACTACCGCCGCCGCCGACTTGTGACCTAGTCCTTTAACATTAGAACGGTCACTGGTCACCAGCCGTGTTCGCAGTAACCAAAAGTTCTCAAATCAGACATTGCCTGATTTGGGTTGCTGCTTGCCCTTCTCTAACTCGACTCGGAGCCTGAGGATGCTCTCATACACCTGATCAGCAAGCGCTCAGCATGCCTGTGGATGGTCTTCTATGCATAAGTAGAGTCAGGCAGACCAAACCTCAGAAGTAGTTTGTTTCTGATTATGTGGCATGCCAAGTCGCTAACACATAGTCCTTGCGTCACAGGATCATTTGGCTCCGCCGTCTATTACAACTTGAATGAACTGCTCGAAATTACGTTCAATGTCTAATGTTCAATTGTGAGTCTGATGTCATGCTTTTGAGTTGGCGCTTAGTATGACACAGACTAGGACCAAGTTGTCTACTAGTAAGTATTTTCATGCCAGATAATTAATTAGCGTCGGGATTTAGCCATTAGAAACAGTATGATACGGGACAACCTGGAACAACTGGAGTCTCGGGTTTTGTTCCATAAAACATCGTGCTTTCAATCCAGCCAGGTATGGATCATACTAAAGTCTTGCCAAACCGAAAAACCTTCTTAGTCCTCTTTCCAGCCTCTCTCCATTCTTATCGTCGCAGGTACCAAAGTCGCTCCTTTTGAATTCCCACTCCTTAAGATGCAATATTCCTCCTGACTTACCGTCTTTTTGGTGACGTTTGGTGGGCTCGCACTCACCCTCGCAGCTCTATTAAAAAGTAAGCAGGGGTTTGGTTCTGTGTCGGCCAACGCGTTATTGTGGTGACGAATTTTTACTTCGTATGAGCAGATGACCATCATGCCAATTCTGCGTTCGGTACGTTGTATCAATTGTCTTGCTAATATTATTACCGTTCACGAGTCTGTTGCTCTGAAATGATAGCTCATGGCCTCAAAGGTAGAGTATTTTGTACTTGTCAATTTATTCTTGACTGCATAGCGATTACAGCGAACCATATGGCAAAGAGAAATGAGTCCGATCACGGGTGCGCTGGCGGCACTCTGGTGAATATCAGTGCTGGTGGGTGCTATTCGCCTCTGGAAGTTATATATCAGGCTCGTTTCTCAGTCATAGAAAACCCTTCCAACAATGTCACCATTAATATTCTCAGCCAGGGTGCCAACAAGAAAATAGTTAAATCTTTCCATAGGTAAGGTATACACAACATATATCAGTAACATGTTCATGGCATTGTGTTTAGAGATTCTATGCTTGTCCACTGTTCCTGCTGTACGGCGCGACTACCTTTGAGTTTCTTGCCCGGTCTTCTACCAGCTGTTTGCATGGCCCTTTACTTGTAGTCTTTTCGTAAGATCCTTGATTAGTATGTAAATATACTATTGGGGTCATCCATTTAGTCGCACAACGAACGCGCTAGCGTTCGATAGCAACGCCACATCACCAAAAGAAATCAAATGAGACAACAGTGTCAAATTGGGCACCTTCGCACAGAACATTCCCGTGACAATAACATTACATCCAACCCTTCACACAAGAGTCATACGGAACTATCACACATTCTGAGTCCACTGTTATTGTACAACCTCATTCCAACCTTTCCATTTCAGGAGGAAATTTTTCACTCGCGCACTACATACATAAGTTGGTCGTAGGGCGGAACGTACCGCTCGTGACGACAACTAATGATACGAATGCATAATGCATGACCATTGCAAGAGTGATTACTGGCTAACTAGTAACAGATGCTGGAAGACACCGAAAGACGTTTACTTTTGATAGGTATACTACGAAGCAGATGCAAATGTCTGGGACCAGAGGACGAAATAATGTGCAGAGATTTACTTGGTAAGAACATTGATATCAGCATCGTTAAGCACATTCTCAACATCTGTGGGCTCGAGTTAAAGATAGCCAAAAAAAATCATGTGAATAGTACTTGCAGGCATCAACGTCAACCAGAGTGTCGCGCTTGGTGAGAACATTGATATCGGCATCGTTAAGCACATTCTCGACATCTGTGTGGACTTGAGTTAAAGACAGTCAAAGATCATGTTAATGGTACTTGCAGGCGTCAACGTCGACCAAACTGCCCCGCTTGGTGAGAACATTGATATCAGCATCGTTAAGCACATTCTCGACATCTGTTTGGGTTTGAGTTAAAGACAGCAAAAAACCACGTGAATAGTACTCGCAGGCATCGACGTCGACCAAACTGCCCCGTTTGGTGAGAACATTGATATCAAGATCGTTGAGATCATCCTCAACATCTGTGTGGGTTTGGGTGAGAAACAGTCAAAAATCGCGTGGAAGGTACCTACAGGCATCGACGTCGACCAAACCGCCCCGCTTGGTAAGAACATTGACATCAAGATTGTTGAGAACATCCTCAACATCTGTGGGCTTGGGTCAAAGATAGTCAAAAATCGTGTGGAAGGTACCTACAGGCATCGACGTCGACCAAACCGCCCCGTCTAGTAAGAACATTGACATCAAGATTGTTGAGAACATCCTCAACATCTGTGGGCTTGGGTCAAAGACAGTCAAAAATCGTGTGGAAGGTACCTACAGGCATCAACGTCGACCAAGCTGCCTCGCTTGGTCAGAACATTAACCTTAAGGTTATTCAAATCGTTCTGGACGTCTGCAAAATACTCAGTGACGAACTGTAAGCTGAAGGAAGTGCCATACCAGCGACGACTTTAACCTTAGCATTATCCCGGTTGAGGACGTTGACAGTTGGGTTGCTCAAGTCGTTCTCCACATCTATGCATGTGGGTTAGTCCATATTTCTATATCACAAAGTTAGACACGCACAGGCAAGGACTTCAGCCGGTTTGGTGCGGGCCGCAAGAGGGGCAGCGAAAGCAGTGCTGCAGAGAACAGCGAGGGATGCCAAAAGAGTGAGTTGCATAGTGGATAGGGAGAAGGTAGATAGTTGGAGTTGAGGGTAAAGAACGAATGAGCTATAGAAATCAATGTGACTCTTTTTATACCTAGCCCATCAAGAATGTGTAAATTGTTATCTGCGGTCCGAATAGAACATGGTTCATGGCGACCACGGTTCATAGTTTGTGACGTTTTGTCACCCGAAAATAATCGAAAGAACCTGTTTTTTGAACTAGAAGCGCCTATCAACGGTGCTAACGGTTATGTACATACCACAAGGTAACAATTCGCGTAATTTTCGCTGTGATTGCCATTGATTGTAGTCCTCATGTGGTTCCCTTAGCCTCAGCGTGTGGCAGAGCCGCAAGTACGAGTCCGAGCCAAGGTTTTTTGTAACTTTGTGGCATTTGTTGAACGAGGGCATTCAGCGTAACTTGCGCCCTCCGATTTGCTGATACCATGCCCATTAATCACTGTGGAAACGATACTTTAGTTCCACCTTGATCCGAGGGTATTTAGGTGTATCATCCGATGTGGTACAGACGTAAGACGTAGTATTCCAGAGTCCAGACCCAAGGCCAAGCTCGATGTGGAAGCGTCGGAGTTGCGGAAACCACGTAAACGGATGCAAATCAAACCTCTGTTTTTGGTCATGTCCTAACTCGACCCAATGCAGACTGGAGTTTTCACCTTTCTCTCCGCGTCAGCACTCATAACCCAATGATATCTACCCTCTGGAAAGACAACATCTTCACAACCTGACTTATATGGGGTGAGTTCCATTTTTCCGCCAAGTCCCTTTGGCCAGAACCATCATGTAACCTCGTAACAGCTCATCACGTCACTTACCCGTCCCAGCTTTAGCTAACTGGTCACACATTTCTTAGCGGCCGTGAGCTCTCTGGCATAAGTTACGGTCCCAACTTCTTCGATGGGTTCTTTGGCCTTGATGACCAACCGAGCTGCATGCCAGTGCGCTGTTGACGAGTGGCACCTGTTCGAGAGAAAGGCACTTTGAAGCCTGAAGCTATCAAGGCTGCAATTTAGATCGTCGTTTTATTCATGGGTATGTAGAACTAACTAGTAGCGCTGCTCTTTTGATCGAAATCGGTCATTTATAGCGCATATAGTCACACTACCGGGTCGAACTGCTGTCGAGTGCGAGTACGTATTTTCCATTATCTGTGTTTCTCCCTTCTGTTGAGCCTAAAAGTAGTCTCTGGACGACAAGGTTAAATCTGATGTCTGCTTGGCAGGTGGGCTGAGCTTACTGTAATTCGATCTGATATGCCGACAGGTGTATACTGGCACAGAATTTATCATTCCTTGTTAACCACGCTGGCAGATCGACAAATAGTGGCAACAAGCGAGGCGCTGGTTTTAGCAGGGCACGGTAAGGTTCATTTGACTATCTTGACATATTCCTCCCGCACTTTCAGCTGTATTCGCTACTGCACCGCTGGGGCGGTATTGAAAACCTCGACGAGCTGCGAACCTTGGCGCTGGAAGGAGGAAAGGGAGGAAAGTAATTAAGATGGGCCATGCCATGAGGAGCGCGAATCCCTAGAAGCACCATGGAATACGCGTTGTCTATCTCTAGCTTTATCAGACTCCCGTTTGCCTGATAATCGGATGCAAATCAGAACTAGCTCACTCTAGTATTCAGATCAAAAGCAGATCCCCATAACTAGTATCCAGATGTGATTCCGATATTGGGTTAGGTGGTGGGGCAGCCATCCCACCCTAGTACATGCCGCTTAACCCACCTGGGGATCATCGAGGGTCGAACGGTCACCTTGCTCTACTCTAGGCACTGAGGATTCCCACATTCGCAATTATCTGGTTAATGGTGCATTTATCGTCAGTATTTCTACTTCAGCCCTATGGGGATAAAAACTCGTTTCCACAGTGAATACAATTAGTAACGGTGTGAAGGTACTGGTGCCACTTGAATGTTCCTTTTGTGTAGAGCCGAAGAATAAGTCCCAACTGGACCTAACGAGACGAAGTTTGAAGTGAGTTTGCTTCCGCACGCGAGTGTATACTATACCGGAGTTTTGCGATCTGTATGAACACCGTAATCTGATGAAGTTCTTAGATAAAGAAGTTGCACAGGGCCGCAGGACAAGAATCAGTTTTCCGAATATAATTGATCACTGAGAAGAAACATCTAAAGCGAAGGTGAATCAGTGAAGTGGGGTAACCTCAGTGGGCAACTGGATCTCGCAAATATTGTTCGACAGTGCGATGGTAGTACGGCACCATTGTGCCACATGTTGAAGACCTAAAAGCGGATACTCCAAATGGCCAAGATGCATGATATCGAGTGCGGGGCCTGTCACGTACAGCTGTTGGATCATCCCTTTGTCGACCCTAGTACGTATAAGCACCATCAGGGGGCTAATGACACGTTTCCTACCCGATTAAAAACCACCCCTGAAGGTGAAATCGAAGAGTTCCGATGAGAAAACATGGATGTGTCAGATTTCGAGGGTAAAGCTAATGCAAGGTAGGTGTAATTGCGACGGAGTAGTGAACAGCGTTCAAGTCATAATAATCCGACATGTCCAATCACGAAGCAGTTCGCGATCATATGATAAGCCCTGCTTACACCGGACTGGACCTCTTAAGCGTGTCGCTAGCTACACCTCTCGATTCTTTCACAGAAACTACTACTCTCTCTCCCTGCTCTGGACCTTGCCACTCCAGTCTTTCGAGGACGTGGTCCGCGCCTCCGGCGACCATCTTGAGATCAAATTTTGAACCAATCTACATGTACTTTTTTGTGCTGTCTGTAAGGATAGGAAGAACTCTAAACAGGGTGTTGTCTTGAAAGCTGGAGAGTATCCATCCATGCCATGCGCATCAGGGTCCCACCACTGCTGCTGTGATAGAATCGAGCGATGCGAGGGACAATATTTTAGCTGCGGTTCGGAGGATACTAAAGGCAAAAGACATGCGGCGCGGACGATCTGGACTGAATTGTTAAGCTCTTTGCACGGGTAACATGATTATTGTAATACGCCACATGCACAATGGCCAGTTAGAAGAGACCTTGCACTCCTATGAACATGTTGGTTTCAGGACGTATATTGCACACTTGCGCTTCCCCTAGCACAATGAATGAATAGTAGTTGACTAGTGACATGAAGCCGTAAGGTTGACGGTAGACAACACCGAAAGTTTACTTCGTGAGGGGTATACTATAAAGCAGACGGACATAACCAGGACCAGAGGACGAAATAATGTGGTGCACAGGAAGTTTACTTAGTAAGTACGTTGACATCAAGATTGTTGAGAACATCCTCGACGTCTGTGGAGTTGTGTTAAAGATAGCCAAAAATCAGATGAGTGGTACTTGCAGGCTGTAACGTCGACCAGGCCATCGTCCCTCCTGGTAAGAACGTTGACGTCAAGGTTGTTGAGAACATCCTCGACATCTGTGGTATTGTATTAAAGATAGCCAAAAATCAAGTGAACGGTACTTGCAGGCTGTAACATCGATTGTTGAGAACGTCCTCAACAACTGTGGGATTGTTAAAGACAGCCAAGAAATCAGGCGAATGGTACTTGCCCGCTGTAACGTCGACAAGGCCACCCCGCTTGGTAAGAACATTGACTGTAAGATCATCCAAATCGTCTTGGACATCTGAAGAAGAAAAAATCAGCGCCAGACCACGAGCTGACCGAAATGCCATACCAGCGATCACATTGACCAAGGAACCATCTCGCTTTGTGAGAACATTGACATCTGCGTCTTCCAAGACGTCCTCCACGTCTATACAGGCGAGTTAGGTCATATTTCTACAAGGAAGTTATGCACATACAGGCAGTGACATCAACAAGACTGCCCCGCGTGAGGACGTTGACAGTTGCATCATTCAAGACATCCTGCACATCTATACAGGGGAGTCAGGTTATATTTCTACATCACAAGGTTGAATACGCACCGACAATGACGTCAGCTATATCTCCACGGGCCTGGAGAGGGGCAGCGAAAGCAGCGCTGCAGAGAACAGCGAGGGATGCCAAGAGAGTCAACTGCATAGTAGATAGGAGGAAGGTAGGTAGGTAGGTAGTTGGAGTTGAGGGTAAAGAGCGAATAAGAAGTAGGGGACAATGTGACTGTTTTTATACCTAGGCATCAAGAATGTGTTGATTATTATCTGCGGACCGAATAAAATATCATGGCGACCGCGGTTTATGATTTGGGAATTTTTGCGACCCGGAAATAATCGAAAGAAACTGTTTTTCGAACTAGAAGCATCAAGGGTAGTACGTTATGTACATTCCGCAAGGTACGATTCGCGTAATTTTACCGTGATCGCCATTGTTCACCGTGTCGTACGTATGCAAGGAGTCAGATGACGGTCTGGACCTTGCACTTACGATGTACGCCATAGACTTTTGCTAGAGACTGAACGCATCCTACGGTCTGTTTCTGCACTTGTTTCAATCAGCGTTGACACGCACCTGTAAACATCGTGGATCATCCATCCTGGGATTGGAGTGCCGCCATCAATCAAACATATCAGCTCCCCGAGGCATTCGCCGATTCAGTCGCAATATGCCGTCATTCAGATCTGCAGATCACATGTGGACAAGAATGTTATGCACACCTCTTGCTTTGGCTCGATGTGACAGCCCATCAGTACTGGCTAAATACGGCATACCGCCTAAAGCCGCATATGACATATGTCACTTCGATAATTGTCCAAGCTGGAACAGCCGGAGCTCGGTCTAATACTCGGTCGAGCGTCCATCTCCATTCTACTGATAAACAGACGCCAAAAGTGTCAAGCCTGACGCCCCCCTGGAGTCCAGCCTTCGGCTAGATTTACTGCCAGTGGTAGACCCTTCAAAATGCCGTATCATCGCATTCATATCAGCAATCCCTGGATGCACCAGATGACCGTAAATTTCGGATTCAATGACGCGTACGGTCTGGTACGGGTGTGGGAATGACTTTAATAGATCATGGAGCGGGTCATGAGGAGTAATGCAATGCACGACAGAAACGTTGGTCATGAAACCTTATGGATAGCGACGGAACACCATACGGCACGCACCGAACGACGGACACTTACGTCTGAGTCGTCAAGACAGAAGCCCGCGGCAGACAAAGACGCTACTAGTAGCGTCGTCAAGTAGCGTGACCTCTGCACTCACTGCACGGGTAGATTAAGTTAGACAAGTTTAACATGCGAGCCCGTCAGTGATCTTCATTGCCGCAATTGGAAATTCACATACAGGAGCCTCAGGGAATTGAGGCCGTGGAAGATGGAAATGTATCTTTAGCCAGCAAAATCCGGTGATATACAAAATGTTGCATTTTTCTTGATGAAGATGCTTGGCATATCATTTTCTAAGCGAAGATAGAGCGGGTTAGTACACGATCGCTGTCAGATCTCCACCTACCGAACAGCCCACCATGGTCCAGGCCGCCGGATTTATCGAAGGATTTATTCTAAATGGACGGATGGAAGCCCATCATGTCGCTGATTGCGGGGACTCGTCTACCTACATCTATCGCCGACTCCCATGGTAGGGGAGAATATACAGGGTGACCGGGTTCGCAACACTTCACAACACACACGCGTCTCCAATATTCAATCCACTCGAAGAACCCGCATCGTTGGGTCGTGTGGAAGTACTTTGAAGCGAGATCGGCCGTTTATTATGTACCACTGCACCTGAAAATAGCCACATCTGGACAGTTGCAATGGCGAAAAGAAGCACTGCTGTGCCACTATAGGAAACCTGCGCACGAAATGATAAGCCAATCAGTGATAGGCTGGGAAAACGCTCAACGTACCTTAGGTATTGCACCGCACTGAGATCCGTCGGCCTAGCCTTCACAGATACCGGAAACGGGGGGCGTAGCATACTCTGTAGAAGTGGAATGGACTATTTATATGACTTTGTGAGCTAGACCGAACAAAATGTCGAGTTCTTTGTTAACAAAAGGTTCAGAACATGTTTATCAGGCAACATTCATACGAATATGTCAGACGAATCAATGATACAGTTTTCGGCAGTGCTGATGCACTGACGGGCATCAGAACTCTTTATTGGAAGGAATAAATGTCTTCCTTCTGCTCAACTAGGGGAGACACATCAGAACTAGCGCAGACAAAATCAAATGACACGCACCTTATCGGTGAATTGTGAGTTACAGCCGAACAAATTGTTAATCAGAACATGAACCAACGGACGGGCCGAACACACCGATATTATTTCACAGCTTGAGGTGCAAAAACATTTAGTCAAAGGTAAAAAGATGGTAGCCAAGATCTCGGAGCGGAGCACAAAAATTACCATCCAAGCATGAGGCATTGAAATAAGCGTTGTAATATACTCTCCAAATACTGTAGCTGCGAATAAACTTCAGGCTGCCTGGCTTACTATCTAGGGAATAAGCATATATGTTAGTTGATCATTTAGGAACGGTCCAGCTGCTGACTCACCTCCGCACATTGTTTTGAACGTCTCCCCATCTCAAGTCCTGAACGCCTTCACCCTCACATCCGACACGCCGTGGTCCCATGATGACACTGTCGTCGAGACGCTCCAGTCGTAAAATTTCACGGCGGATGTAAGAGACGAGTGTGACCATCAGCTCTGGATACCCGATATATCTGGAGTAAGTAACAATTAGCAAGGAATAATATGAACGAGATAATGGATGCTTTATAGCGCAAGTGCCACGGGTGGGCACACTAGAGACAGCATTGTCGCACGCGCGTTGAGGAAAGGCCAGAAGGGAATAATACACATACCGGTCATTTTCCGAAGGTGCAAAGTCATGCACACCACTGTTGTCGTCCTTCAACTCTTCCTTATCTACGTCCACCTTTCTCACATCCTCGACAAGTCCACCAACTAGGTTAACCGCTCTCCGATAACCGCTGCCGGTACCCTCTTGGCTCAGCCCAATCCCACTTGCACCCCGTGCACCTAATAAATTCCTCCAAACTGCCGCAGCCATCTCAGCATCTCCCCTTACGAGGCCAAGGTCCAAACTCATTCCCATCCCAGCCCATTGCTCTTTTAGAATTTTCATCTGCCTAATGATCAACTTTTCTGGTGCACGAGAGCGATTCTGAAGTTTTACGGCCTCTTGGTAGGCTTTGGTTGAAGGAAAGGTACTTTTGGGCGCAAGGGGAGTAGGCGTGGTATAAAAGGAGCTATGCGGATAGTGTGAACCATCCTCAGCAGTACTAGATAAATGTGGCGATGAAGGACGAGGAGGTAAGACACCTGGTTGGAGAACAGCGCGCAAGCGTTCCTCGACGTCTTGAAAGAAGTGGTCAATGAGCCCTTGCACATGTTGTGTCCCGTGTGGTGCAGGGAGAGCACGGAGTCGGACAGTAAGCAGCCAGACATGCAGGTTCGTGATTGTAAACCAGGACTGGAAAGTTGGCGGAAGAGAGCATTCTTACGTAGAAATTAATTAAGAGCTACATGAAGTCGCTGTGCATACCTTCTCTCCAAAATACAGGCGTTTCGTCAGCACGCGTGGCACATAGGGTGTTGTACAAGACCAGCGCACGTCGATTAGCGAACTGTTGCGGCGAGCCATAGCCAAGAACGCGTGCTACAGAGAGGAATATTGAGAAAAGGAGTGGAGATGCCTTGACTCTCGTGGTCAACCATGATTGCTCCCGCTGTGGTGCAGGCTCAAAAGATGGAGGGGGAGGCGTTGATGTCGGTGTCGGTTTCAGTTTCGGAGCAGCTGCTGCCGAGCGCGTCACTGAAGATGAAATTACGCGCACATTTCTATGCACTTTTAAAGGAAAATCTCCCCTGACTTTGCCATACGCCCTGGTTTGGTGGGCTGAACGAACAACTTGACGCACGAGAAGTTGTTGTGAAGACATGGAGACCTTCCGAGCAAACTCGAGCTCCATGACAAAATGTTGGCTTATGTAAGCGACGGTCCTTTCACCATGCGTCTCCCCGACTTCCCCGACCAACGGTAGTGGAATCACAGCAACAAAGGGAAGTCAAACATGTCGTTCAGCCCCCAAAAAACAAGTGATAGGTCCGTCCACTAGAATGGTGACGCCGTGGTTTACCCTTTGTATAGGACTATAACACTCATCGGCCTTGTCATGGGTCTAGATCATGATCGCCGAACAAGATTCTTCTGACGTCCCACGTAAACCTTCTTGTGCCGGTACATCGTTGTCTGATGGTAATGATGTTCACATGCATGCGACAGTGAGTGGGCGGGAGCCGATTCTGAAGATGACAATAACATCACTTTTAATCAGATCAATTTAAAAGAAGGAAGATCACATTACAGCAAGCCTTATCAATAAACAACATAAATTCGCCCACAACACCACGATGAGTCGCATCACATTCAATTCCCCCGCGAGCCCAAAATACATAACACACTCGTACACGGGTAATGCCCATCAACCCTTGTTCCTTGTTCATACAAAGGCCGTGCGGCGGCATGAGGTTGGACCGATCACCGACGGATCTCTCAAACCAACTCGGGAAAGACTTCGACGCGTCTGGCTGCCTGCCCTGCAAACATCCTTCACATGATCTTGTTCAAATACAACCCTGTAAACTTATTATCATCCATCACGACGCATTCGACCACGACTGATGGAGCTCCACTGTTAACTAATGACACGCTGACGTGTTGATTCTGATTATTCTGATGGAACGAGTGATTCGTAACTTCGATTACGTCTGATCATCGTACACGGGATCAAGTACCATCGCATCAAGATGGCGCGTGCTCTGCGGAAAAACATACAAGCAAGCACACGAGTTAACGGACTGATTTGCTAGGGCGAGTTTGTTGAAAAATTTGTACTGGAGAACGTTTCATCACACCACGGAGATTGCGAGAATTCATTACGCGGCTATGGAATACGTGATCTAACGAGTGACAGTAGTTAACGAAGGGCGAGAGATGTCCGCGACGTCGGGTATGAGGGTTGAGTCATTCAGGCGACAGACCTTCGGATTGAAATCATTGGCGACAACTGAATTTGACTTATGAGGTGTTCAATTTACGGCCGTGACATTACTTACCGGCAGCGATAGTAGCTTAATCAGCGCGCTTAGCAGCTTTCTGAGCATTTAGCTCGTCAAGAACCAGTTCAGTAAGATCGCTGACGCCAGGGGTTTCGCCTGAGCGCTTCGACGCCCGGCTATTGAGAGCGTTTAGAAGGGCTACGATGTAAAGTCAAAATCTGGCGGTAACAGAGATAGGCACGTATCATACCGTTGGCAACTTGAGACACGGTATAATCACCACGCTTGGTCAGGACATTAACATCGAGGTTGTTGAGAACGTCATCTACTACCGCGGTGACATCGACAAGTCCACGTTTGTCAGCCGCTGAGCGAGACGTCTTGGATTTCGATTGCGCTGCGCTAGTGACGACTGCAACGCAACTATTAGGTCGGGAATACAAAGCGTACACAAAAACAACGTACGCGATTCAAGTTGAGCAAGTGTGAAATCACTGCGCTTGGACTTTCCAGGGCTGAGAACGTTGACGTCAAGGTTGTTCAACACATCAGTGACCTCTGAAAATTATTTAACATTTAAAGCGATAACCGAGAAGGAAATTCCTACCAATAGTAAGTCCGAGAATATCACAGCCGCCGCGCTTAGATGGAGACAAGACATTAATCGTGGCATTGTTAAGCACATTGGAAATAACTGTTCAGTTCCGGTCAGGATGCAGAGCTCGACTTGAGGCGAATGACTTACTAATGTCGACGTCAGCAAGGCTGCATCCGCTGTCTCGTCCGGAGAGTTCAAGTCTTCTGGCGACCTCCTCGAAGGCTAAAAAGACATTCTGGTCAACATCAGTAGATCATCAAAATATTTTATACATACCAGCGGGACCACGAGTCAGTACATTGACTTTAGCATCGTCGCCAACGTTTTCAACAACTACAATAACAACATAATTAAGAGGCAAAACGCATCATTGAGACGGGACTTACCAGCAACAACGTTAGCGAGTTGCTCAGGAAGGGGGGCAGCAAACGCGGGAACGATAGCAGCAAAGGCAGCAAAAAGTGCGAGGGATTTGGACAGCATAGTAGCAGTGGGGGGCGATTGAAGGAAGTGAGGAGAACGTGCGCGAAGGAGATGGAGAACAAAAAGCTAAGAGTGCTTAGCGGGATAGTCTTCCATTGTTAGAGCGCCTGCATTTTATAGTGCAAGACGGACCCGCCAAGATTTGCTCTCAGGAATAAGGTCCCGAGTTATTAATATGCCTGAGTTTGTACATGCTGTGAACAAGAAGCAAGGGAAAAACTAAAAGGAGTTCTAGCATCGAGTATAGTCATGCCGTGTCCCTCCACCAATCAGATTCCTTGTTCAAACGTAATTTCTACGTAAACCCAAGGGTCAGAATTTGCTTGATCGGCTTTTTCAACAAAAATCTAGACTTAGCATATACAAATTCCATAACATGTGAGACCGCTTGTGATGTTTTTCTCTCGAGGACTTTGTGCTCTTCGTGAGGTGATCCTTGTTTCAATCAAGGACATAGACCATGTTCCGCCATCGTGTCGGGACTTTAAGGCCTAGGCCTGAATGACGGGCAACGACTTGACTTGAGATTTTCCATGATCGCCGGGTCAAGCAGAGTAATCTCCGGACCCCTCGGTTGCATAACGTATCCGCCCTAAGCGCGGCGAGCACTGCGCACGGTACCTGTGAGCTAAGGTTATGCATGAGTATGCTGCAAAGCGCGACTGGACATTCATAAAGGGATGGCGCCTTCATGATGGATGACTTGGAGACAACTAGCGTCTTAGTAATGCTAGCGACTCGGATTGGTCAAATTGAGTGCGAGTACTGCACTGGATCTCGAGGTGCCTGCCGCAGTACGCGTACGTAGTTATCCCCGTTTCCTTGACGCCTAAATGATAATGAACTGTCGCAGATTTAACGCGGCTTTATTGACACCAACTTGACCTAAAACTTTCGACGTTCAAATCAGTGATATGTCAACATGCACCAATGTGCCTACGCGTGCACATATAATCTACCTGCTCCTGAATTAATTCAAGCTGTGTTGTGTCGATATATCACAGCGGAGTCAATTTTCTCCTTGTAAGCTGATCTATTACTCAGTCGCTCAGTTACTTTTAGTAAATATGTCCAGAGTAAATGACAAAACGTACGTGCCAACTAAGCTGAATGCAGTGTGAGATGATCATCAGTTAATTGAAATAAGATTCATGTGACCGCACCTGAGCATCGCAACAGTTTACCCTTAGTCGTTCCTTCGGCATCAGGGGTGTGGCAATAACGATGGTGCCACGGGGTTCACGAGATTTCGGCAATAGAGCATAAAAGTAATTCCCATTGTCAATATCAGATCACAAAACCTCCGGCCTCAGCGCTTAGCTCACACTGCACGGCGCCATACATACCAAGAATATTTGTACACCCTATGTACAGCGCAAACAACGTCTACTTCAAATTCATCATCGCTCGAAGATACCCTTCTCTGGCTGAATTCACGGTTTCGAACGAGTACTGGAAAGGCTCCGGGCGACTTCGGACTGAAAGTTAGTTGTATCTCACGCGTACGTCGAGGCCACTTACATCACCATGCCGGTGGAGATTTCCGGCTTTACCTCGATCTTGTCTCCGTTGGAGTCTCTGGCATGATCGATGCGTAAGACGGCAAGTACGGCAGCCGCTGCAGTCCACAGACTGTTCTCTACAAACCAACGACCTGCCAAGGGCATAAGCATGCCGTCCCCAACATTGATGAATCATCAGTTATCCTACCAGGACAAACGCGCCTGCACAAGTCGATGAACAACTGAAAATGATACTAATTGTGAGGTATTCACCTGCCATGACCAAAGGCAAAATGGTGGACGAAGTTGTCCTTCAGCTTCCCATCAGCTGTGAGATGACGAGTGGGATCGAAGCGCGATGCATCAGGAAATATGTCCTCGTCCCGAGACAGTGCCCTGAATCATGCTAAGCTCAAGCATTTAGATGCACTGCATCGTACATACCATTGATTAACCATTACCACCGTACCTAATTGAACTATAGATAAGGCGATGCAACCCCAACTCATATGACGAACCTTTGGGTATGAAGTACCCGCCGTAAATATCATCATTTGTTGTTGCATGCGCCATTCCTGTGCAAAGAGTTAGCTATGCAATTGCGTAAACACCAAGGCACATCACTGAACCGACCTAGGGGTATGGGAGGATACCATCTGAGAACCTCACGGAGAACGGCATCGAGGTAGGGCAACGATGGTCTATCATCAATGGATGGCATTTTATCGTGCATCACGACTTGATTGATTTCTGCACGAGCCCTGGCTTGGACGTCTGGATAGAGCATCATAGCCATCAAGAATACATGCAATGTAGATGTAGACTGCGGGACATTAAGGTAAGGGAAGAAATGATAAGGATTTCTTAAATTAATGGCTCACCGTGTCTATGCCCCCTAAACGCCATATCCGTGTCAAATAATGAATCCTGTGTTTTTATAAAACAATTACCTATGTATCCCATCAACGCAACAGCTTTCATCGTGTCTTCGTCAGCACCGTCGTCGGCTTGACTGAGGAAGTCAGCGACTAATGATTGTGAAGCGGTACCATTTGCCTACAGGCAAGCAGATCATGTAAATCGTCCATCGACAGTGCGCAAACGTACCATCTGTGCCTTCACCTCGTTAAAGGGCTCGTTTAAAAGCTGTTGACATAATTCTCTACTGCGTCCCATCAGGGCATAGGCTCCACGAAAGCACCAAACTGGTAGCTTTTTGACTGCAACCGACATGCCAAATGTTCAAATCGACGTCGTCGATAGCATTGGCGTACTCACGGAAAGGAAAGGCTGTGAACATGGCAGCCCTTTCGGGAGAAAGAAGATGTCTGGCAATATCCAAAAGTTCTTGCGTACGGGCAAGGAATGGGTCTTGAGTTCCGCGAGCAGAGTGTCCATATGTCACGGCCATGATTAGCGATGCCGTGTATCTGGAACAATTGTGTGATTGTCAGTTGGATCAGATGTTACAATGTTACTGAATTAGGGACGTACGCTTGAATGGGTTTCTGCAAGTCACCGGTGGCCTTCAAGAGATCGAACACTAGTTCATTCGCGTGGCGAGAGTACATCCCGTGGTATGATAAAGAGGCTTCGGCCCTGAGAACTTGATGGAAGATCTTGCGATGTTGTCGCAAAGTCTCACCATACGGAAGGAGTACAGTATTGAAACCCAGTCCAGCTCTGTCTCGTCAGCTAATTCAGAATAGGCTGAATGAGAGCAGACATACATTTCATTGGTGGGAATGACGGGGCGATCCGAGTAAATTCCAGAACGTTTGTCCAACAACTCCCGCGCGATCGACTCAGAGTTTATGATGATCATATCAATCCCAAGGATGCGAGAGTGGATAATTTTGCCTATGAAAAAGGATGGAATTAAATCTAAGTGCTTGAAGAGACCTTGATCCACCTACCATATATCTTCCCCCACGCAGTATATGTGAGCCAGGGTCGTTTGGTGTCTAATTGCAGTGCGTTACCCAGAAATGGTAAACGACGAGGGCCAGGCGGCAGAGGCAAAGGGTAGACGCGTCCGCGACTCAAGCGCAAAGCGGCAACCAGCAAAATAATACACGACGTCGCTCCAGCGAGAATATGAGCGGAGAGCATGGGGAGTGAATTATTGTTGAAACTGAAACGTTCGTCCGCCTTATAGAGGGGTCTTTGGTGTCCAAAAATGGTAACTCGAAGATCCACTTACACGAATAGGGAGATCAATTCTGAAACTCGCACTAGACGGTATTTGTCGAGTACTGATGTGCTTATCCATTCAACACCCATTACTGGAAACCGATAAGCGCTTATGCGCTCAAAATTGTGGCGACAGGCTTTGAGTTACTCACCTGTGAGACCACACTAGTACGAGTGGGTTACCAATCACAAAATTTGCCTCGTTGTTTCAGTCATGAACCATTGGGCTTGTCGCCTCTCTAATACGTCGAGAAATGAATCTCCTTGCTAAGCCATAATTTTATAATTAGCAATCATAATCGAAGTTGAACCTTGAACATGCAATGCCACCACATCGAATACCTTCAAATTAGGGCATCGATCTGAGACATCTGCGACGCCACAGTAACGAACGATTGGATTGTCGTAAAGTCTTTGAGGATACCAGTTTGTCTGAACCCTCTGACGCCGTTATCAAATAATCGTACATAACGAAATACGGCACTGATCAAAGCTCCCCAGAATAAGTTTCGTCGTTGTCCAAAGATCTCGAACGGTGTCGGTGCATGGTAGGGTATGTCCGGTCACTGAAGGTATACCCACCAAAAGGGTAGTGTCACAAGGGGTATAGTTGAGTTAGCGAGGAACATTCAAGAAGTTGGATCATATGCGCCGGTGAGCAGAGATTGGCCTGCTAGAGCGACGCAGCAATAGAAGCGAATCAGGTCCTACAATCATGTAAATATCTCAACATCTGCCAGACGAGACCGACGTGGGTGATCGCATGGGTCCATGCGGTTCTGTTGCAGGGGACCTGCATAGATGATCAGACTCACTACTATCGTGAGCAGATGATCAGTATCATATTCTCACATTCACCCGTATTGCTTACCAATCGTATCAGCTACGAAGGATTCAACCCTTTTCGCACAACCTATCGCCATTCAAGACAACACGCGTCTCATGCCACTAAAGACCAATGAGAGACCACAGTGCTGTGGACCACCTGTCAAAACCGGCAATTAAAGCGAGATGAACAAAGACACATGCCACTAGGTTCGCATACCGACCCATTATAGGCACTGTGGATGGTCAAATGCACCAAAGCCGTCCACAGTGCTCGGGATATAAGATGCGCCTCGCAATGTCTATGGCGGTCACCACAAATCGTTCACTCCGCTTTGCGAGTTTCTTCCTTGACTCCAGTCTTGCAATATTATGGAAAACACGTCCATCCAAACAGTCATGACGCGCTCCGGTAGCGCTGCATCGATGAACATCGCCGACGCTCTGGCACCCTCCGCCACAAACAGACTCAACCCCGCCGAGCGAAAGGCTTTTGGTAAATCAGATCACAAGGCTGCCAAGATCCTTGGTATTACACTCACACGCAATCACGTGGACCAGGATGGGAGACTCGCTCGAGTCCCACCTGCAGACCAAGAGGATCCCCAAGTTGGATATACCCTGGCAGAGATGATGGCTCTCATAGGTGCAAAGCGTGCACGTAGCCGCAATTCAAGTGCTGTGACCGTCTTTAGGCCACGTAAGGGCCTGGGGCTTGCTTTAGGTATGGGGATGGACTTGGTAGAGAAGCACAGGAAGCGCAGAGTGATTGGGGGGTATACGCAACGCGTGGTCTTGGGCTTGTGCTCAAACGAGCCACCCGTCAAGGAATTCGAAGAACTGTCGACTACCGTCAACGACGACGGTGCATGCTCGTTCTTGGAGCCCGGTGAGATTGAAGAGACCGAAACACCTCTTGCAGACAGATATATAGCGGGAAATCATGAAGAAGAGGAGGAAGATCGACTTCACGGTTCGAGAGGCTTTGTTTGGGATGTTGAAGATCCGTTTGCCACACCTCCCAATGCTGTCCTTCAGCAATATGCCGAAGCAATGCGGCTTGGTGAAACGATTGGACCCTTGGATGTTCCGCCGGTGGCGTCCCTCTGCCACACAACTAATTTTGAGTCGTTACCCGAAGGAGAAATTCGGGCACTTCGACTCTATGCCGACGACTCGTTCGACGACTTGTTTCGTCCGGCGGAACGAGCTTACCTGGATTTTTTGATTGCACGAGACGAAGCTGAGGAGCAGCCAATGGAAAGGAGAAGGCAAAGAAGGGCGGCAGTGCGGTCGAGGAGCAAAATGCTGGATATATTGGGAGTGGAGGCACGACAAGCTGTTGATGGGCAATGTTAGCCTTGTATAATATGCCTATAATATTCAATCATTGCCTGGAGCTTAGAAGAAGACGATGCTCAGTAGGCTTGTCGCTTAGTTAAGACCAGTCGGGAGTCGGAACTTGGACACCTCGCCCGGCCGTTCGTCCGTCCATCCACTGGCAGCCCAGTCAGTGAGAGCCATAAGTCATGAATATGTTGATAGTATCAAATATCATCTCGTCGGCCAGCGTTATTAGTACAGCGGTCAAGCTTGCACACGCGCTTTCAACATTCATAAATGTACTTTCACCATAGACGAAAAAATATAATAACAAGTTGTCACTCGACAAGCTGCATACATACATATTCTGCAGCTCAGATACAGTTGTGACAACAACTTGAGCTAACTCGGGTACTGCGGACCAGAGGGGCACAGTTAGGATGGGAAACGACTCGAACCAAACATCTCCGGGTCCGGCATCGCAGTGGGCCCATACATTGACGAAATTTCCATGCCCCAGTTGGTTAAAGTTCGCCACACAAATGGTAGCTTGTGTAAGTAATATGGATCTGGGGAAAGTTTTTGTGACAAGAAACGCGCTAGGACCTGCGAGAATTCTAGTTTCTTTGGAAGCTTCCGACCTACTACTCGGCAGGGAGTCACGTGACTTAATAATATTATGTTTCGCTTCGACAATCTCCAGCAGTGACATGTTCTATCGTACCCAACTCGGACGCCAAACGAACCTGGTAAGTTGACTTGCGCACCAACACATCCAACTTATACTCATTATCATATCAACACCGCCCATAGAGCACCGCGTCTTAACAGTTTCTTTTCTTTGTAACAGTATGTGAATACAGAAGTTCTCTCTCTCAGAGTCTCTCCAGGCAGCGAACGTCCCCACACCGTAAGTAAGTGACATACTTACTTGTAATCTAGGTGTAAAATATTGGACTCTCCATTTTGCTACATTTTGTTACTGATCAGAACATCGTCCCAGACTTCGATGTCGGCAGCCATCAGTAAGTACCGCTCATGTCCGAATGGAAGCTATCTTTCTTTGGGACCCGGGCAACTATAGCGTCATTTACGAAATAAAAATTAGCATATAAGTGACCTACTCCGCACTTGCGATTTTAACGTTCCCTCACCCCTCAGATCTCCTGCAGAATTATCGTCTAAGAGCAGAATGCGCACTTCAGCTCTCCTTACACTCTTTTTCAGTTTCTTCTTCATTATTGAGATGGCGTTTTGCATCCCTTTATCAATACCAGCTTGGAGTTATGCTCCTGATACCCGTGGTGAGTTTTTTTTTTTTTTTCAAAACATATCTTGATTTATGACTGACACGTTCATTTTTTCACTTACGATCCCGAAGAGATTCTCGGTTCACATAACGAGCGCATTATAGACCCTGTGACTGGCCCTATCGGAATGTTCCTCAGGAAGTTAGGCAGGCCAGCCTTGCGTGAAATGCAATTGGAAATCGACGACTATTGTTCCAAATTTCCGTGTCCCGTGCCAAGTGAGTGTAAAAAGTCTTGCGACTTGTACATGGCTCATAAGCAATACCCAGGAGAGACATCCGAAATTTAATATTTATACCAGACAGTAAGAGTTAACCTTGCGGCTCTGCAAGACTTCCAATTGTATACCCTTCGGATTGTTGTACCTCTGGCAGGCATACCATGTCGCAGTCCATTGTCGTCTTTATATTTCAAATTATTTGCAAGTATATAACTTATCATGTATGTAACTCTGTAGAAGTTTACTTCACTTACCTTGCATACATCGAAGTCACTCGTGGTATAGCACAGCAGACCGTTACAGTTTCTTGCGCAGAAATTCTTTACTGTACGGCTTATATTATATTATACTTATCTGATGATACCGGCCATTGGACGGCCTTACATTTACCTTGATGGAAACGAGTATTTGATTGTCTTCTTACTACCTACCAGCTTGAGTCCTGCACCGTGCTATGAAAAATGCGGTGGTAAGAGCTGTTGTACGCATACAAACTGATCAAACATGCAATGCATTGTAAAAAACGACAGCTAATACTGCATGCAACTATATTTACTTAACAAACCCATGATAGCAGCCGACAAGCTACTAGGCTAAGCACACCAGTGGAAATCTGGCATTTTACCACTCGTCGGATGAAACGAGCGCCTTTTACCGACTCAATACACTTACGTTAGCGTTGTTAAGAAGGTTATCGACGTCTGAATGAGATACTATTGAATACTGGCCACCAACTTGAATAAATACGGTACTGACCAATGTCAATGCTAACCAAGCCGTCATCATCGCGCTTTTGGCTGAGGAGATTGACAGTATCTCCTATGAAAGGCTTAGCCATGAGGGACGTCAAAATAAGTAAATGCTTACAAGCGTCAACGTCGACTCTAACAATCAAGTTATCACGTTGATCCAAAGCATTCACGGTAGCGTTCCTAAGGTATTGTCGATTACTGGACCACATCATCAGTTGGAGAATGGGGAGTTCGACACTCGGTGAACTCACATACACTCGCATCACGCTTTGTGGGTGAGGCAGTAGCATGAGTAAAAATGCTGAGGGCACAAGCGAGTATAGTGATGGAATGGAACATCATGGCAATAGTGGCAGCCGCAAACAACACACTAGGTCAAACCCGAAAATTAATGAATGCTCGATCCTCATACACGAGCTATCTTTTATACCTAGAAGCAGGCATTGGCGAGTGAGAGGCAACCGAAGATCAGAAGAGATGCATGGACAGTCACTAGTGCTCGAACGATCACCGACGTGATTCACATGAAGAATCTCCGAAGTCAAACAATGTAAAAAGTTGCCTATGATAGAACTCTCGGATAGACGTACACTCGCCGAAGTGCCCAAAGTGCCCTGGAGCTGAAAACAGGGCTCCAGCAAGAAGACATGATATTGCAGCGAGTACAAGCATCCCATGCAGTGATAAAACTGTCAGGTCAATGTCAAAAAGCATCCCACCGCGTCAACGGACTCACCCAAATGCATCGATTTTTGCTTGATGTCAGATTGTTTTTAATCAAATACGAATAACCCTAACATCGATGCAGTTATACTCGGTGGTCGATAACTTCCTCCGATGTGGCATTCACATGTAAGCCGCAAAATTCTGGGGAAATGACGGCGCCAAGTTTACTTTTGGTAGAACCTAACCACCAAACCCATGAATGAATCTGACGATGAAATGTCCTGGACTGGCTCTTCATGGCAGTAGTGTATTGCGCTCTTAAGTGTTGCGTGTCTTCTGAGAATATGTGAGCATAAGGCGAGGTACGAGCAACGTTGCACAAGCAGATGAAATTTTAGGTGGCGTTCTCGCACACAATAAGAGTCCAGAGATCCAAAGACGCAAGGAGGAGTACTGGTAGTAAGAAATCAGCAATGGCAGCTGTTCGACCATCCTCGATCAAACAGTTAGGTGGGAGTCAAATTGTGCCATATAGCTGCTAATGCCGCGACTCACTGCAACGTTCCCCTGCTCAAATAAGGGTGTTTTAATCCATTTGATATCATCGTGTTTCAGGTCAACGCCTTGGAGAGCTGCAGCAGTTTTATCCTGATGTTGGATCCAGACGCAACCCCTGAATCTAGAAGAAAGGCCAGTAGACGCTAGAAAATCCATGAAATCTTAGGGGCTACTTCACTGACTCAGAGTATACCTGTACTTCTTTATCTGCAGGGCAAGCATCGGAACCGCTATTAGTCTAGAACGGGTGTGGAATGCGACGGTCGACTCGTATTCAGTCTCGAGGCCTTGATCTAATGGACTTCAGAACGAGAATTGCGTAGTGTGTGGGACGTTCGCTGGTTGCCCGCTGAGGCTTTCTCTCCATGCACGTGTGGTTCCCGTCCTGCAGGTGGTAATGCAGTCGATAACTTGAATCGTGCCAAGCCTTTAGTGCATAAAGAGAATAAAGAGACATAGGGCAACCCCTGCCAATTTCTTCCGGGCACTTATGTAAACGAACCTCTTTTCCCAAAATTTCGTGAACAGCAAGTTTTTGTGCAATGCATTATGGTCGGGTGGTTTGAGCTCTGAACTTCAGGGCATGGTAATGCCAATGAGATGTGACTGTCCTCATCCCTCTTCTATAAAATTCTTCATAGCTCGATAGAAGTTCATGACTATCATCGCGGATATACATAGAAAACATCAAGGGTGAAGCCCCTTGGACCTGAACCAAGTGGCACTCCGACTAGGACCCCGGAACCCACGCGCCCAACGCGCGTCAATAAAGCGTCCAACACACCGCAAAACCCTTTTTACTACTATACATACATATAATAATGGCACCGGCACCCGCCCCAGCGGGCAATAGAGGAAACGGATCGCGAAACCTAAGAGATATGATGGCACCAAGCACCACCAATAACACCTCCGAGACCTCCCGACCTCCAACCCCAGCACCAGCAACAGCGATACCAACACAAAGCAGACGCACGCCACCCAAATTGACAACTCCGGAGATCATAGCTCTGAACAACGAAGTTATCAATGCGACGACAGGCAAAGCTTACTTGGAACGTATCGCCCTCGCTATCAGTGGGAAACCATACACAATAGATGCTATATCCGAAATACTCCTACACACAACTCAGCTAACCGGCATATCCCTCCCAGCACAAACAGCAATTCGTGCAGTGGCTTTCGTTCTGAAGGAAGTCGTAACAGATGAAACCACTGAAATCATAGCAAGACATGTCACAGCCGCGATATCTCCCCACATAGCTAAGCTACAAGATACTGAAGAAAAACTAACGAAATTATCCACAGATATAAACGCAACATCGGCCTCCCAAACCTGCAACTAGAGAAAATCCAAACGACAGTAGACACCCTCTCAAAGCAAGCAACTGAATCCGCAAACTCCAAACCATCATATGCAGCTGCAGTCATGACAAGCCAAGGCCAACAACCGGAAACAGAGACTCAAGCCCATTAACTGCAACTCATTGCGCGTGAAGCAATCAAGGAAAGGCAAATCATGATAGGTTTCACATCTAACAGCCCACTTGCAGCAGGCAACTCATCCCACGCACAACTCGTTGAACACGTCAAAACAGCCCTCAAGAACCTAGCCACAAACGACGAATCACCGAAACTGGACATGCGAGCGGTCACACAATTCAAGCAAGGTAGTATGATAATTGAAATGACAACTAAAGAAGCAGCAACTTTCATCCACAGCAACCCTGGAACCAAAGACGAACTAGTGCGCAACCTCGACCCAGATGCGACATTCAAAGAACGCTCCTACCCACTGATTGTCCCATTCACACCAGTCAGCTACAACCCAACTGATGTTGAAAGCACACGGCAGCTGGAGAGCGAAAATGGATGGAACAACGGAACGATCCTATCAACACGCTGGGTTAAACCGGCAGAGAAACGGTCAAGTTCTCAAAAAGTCGCGCACCTAATGATCACTTTCACAGAACCTCAAACTGCAAACCTAGCAATACGCGATGGCATCACAATAGATCACCTTCTCCTGTGGCCAAAGAAGAACAGACACGAGCCACTTCGCTGCGCGAAATGCCAACACTTTGGTCATATAGCTAGGGAATGCATAGCCCACGGAGACACCTGCGCAAATTGTGGAAACAACCATCGAACATCAGACTGCCTGACCAAAGACAAGTTTTTCTGCACAGCCTGCAACACAGACGACCACGCTAGTTGGAGCTGCGACTGCCCTTCCTTTATTCAAAAATGCGAAGATACTGACAAAAGATACCCAGATAACACGCTACCATACTTTCCTACAGATGAAGAATGGACCCATGCGACAACTCCGTCCAAGCCACCACCATACAAGAAAATGCCGCCAACAACCTTCCCGAATAATGAACTACACCAACAACGACTCGACGACTATTCAACAAGGAACGAAGGCAATCGAGATAACAGTGACAGAGCGCCAACCAGAAGAGCAGCACCAACCAGAGGCACCAGACTACCATCAAGAGGATTCGCACCCAGCTGAACGACCACACGCCAAAGATCCGAATCCCCCACATCCCAACTCAATCCGTCAGACGTAATACAGTTCAGTCAACGAGACTACGACGCATGGAAATGATGAACACACCGAACAACTTGACGACTCGACTACGAATCTGGCAGCAAAACCTCAACACCTCCTCAGATGCTCAACACTGCATCCTCAGCGGACCAAGCACAGCTCGCGACTGGGATATCATAGCCATCCAAGAACCCACCATAGACACGAAAGGTAATACAAGAGCCACCCCCGACTGGCACGTTGTATACCCAACGCACCGCTACACACAAGCAAAGCGCTCGCGTACTGTAACACTAGTACATAAACGTATTAACACCAACAGCTGGAGACAACTTCCTTTTCCCTCAGCTGACGTAGTAATAATTCAATTCACAGGATCCTTCGGCAAACTAACTATCTTTAATATCTACAACGACGGCGACAAGCAAGATACTCCCCCAACCCTCCATCGGTACCTCAATAGTAACATCCGCATGATACGGCCCATGCACGATGATCATGTTCTATGGCTAGGAGATTTCAACTGTCACCATGCGCTATGGGAAGAAGAACGGAACCGACACCTCTGCGAGCCTCGACAAGCACAAGCAAATGCACAGGCCTGGATTGAACTCATGGCGGACTACGGAATGTGCCAAGCCCTTGTCAAGGACAAACCGACACTGCAATCAACTCGCACAGGCAACTGGACCCGACCGGACAACGTCTTCTGCACCGAACACACCCTTGAAGCCTTCACAATATGCGACACAGCCCCAAGACTACGCCCCCCCAAAACGGACCACATCCCCATCCTCAGTACACTCGACCTGGATATCCCTCAAGTTACGATGACAACCAACTACAACTATCGAGACGTGGACTGGGAGAAATTCAACTCGCGACTCAAGGAACAACTGACAACAATACCAGAGCCAAGACCGCTAGTTGACCTTGAAGAATTCCAACTCGCAGCAAAACGCCTCGCAAAAGTCCTTCAAGACGTAGTTGACGAAACCGTACCGAAATCCAAACCGAATCCTCACGCAAAGCGGTGGTGGTCCAAGGAACTGTCCCAAATGCTAGACCGCAAACACGAGCTAAGTGACCTATCCTATAAATTCAGAGCGCTACCAAATCACCCATCACATGAGGAACACCGCAAATTCAGAAACCAAGTCTCAGAAGCTATCTACAAGGCCAAGAAAGAACACTGGACTCAATTTCTCGAAGAAACCACTCAACGCGAACTCTGGATAGCAAACAAATACGTCACCACCCCCAGCACCGACGGCGGAAAAACTCGAATACCAGTCCTACAATCCAAGAACGCAGACGGCACAACCATGGAGGCCATATCTAACGATGAGAAGAGCACGCTCCTAGCCAAGACATTCTTCCCCCCACCTCCGGTGGACAACTTCATTCCAGAGGAATTCGAGTACCCAGAACCCATCACTCCATTCGAACGCATCACGGAAGAACACGTTGAACGAGCAATCAAGAACACAAGCCCATTCAAAGCCCCAGGACCAGACGGGATCTGCAACATAGTCTTCAAACGAAATGCCAACACACTCGTACCATACTTAATGCGAATCTTCGACGCAGTTTTCACGCTCCAAACGTACTATGAACCATGGCGCGACTTCACAACCATAGTACTACGAAAACCAGGCAAAGCCGACTATAGCGTACCCAAAGCATACCGTCCCATAGCATTGATCAACACCATGTGTAAGCTACTGACAGCCATAGTTACCCAACAAGTCACCAACATCCTCGAAAAGCACCAACTTTTGCCAGCAAACCATTTCGGAGGACGACCAGGATGTTCAACTACCGACTCAGTACACCTACTCGAGGCAACAATCAAGGATGCATGGCGAATGAAACGAGTAGCATCAGTACTATTCCTAGATATCGAAGGAGCATTCCCGAATGCAGTCACCAGCCGCCTTATTCACAACATGCGACGTCGACGACTACCAATGGAACTCATCTCATTCACAGAACGAATGCTCACAGGACGACGGACCCAATTACGATTTGACGACTTCACATCAGAATGGTTTCCAGTAACAAACGGGATAGGCCAGGGCGACCCGCTATCGATGATATGCTACTTAATATACAACTCCGACCTAGTTGAAGTAGCACGAGGACGAATAGGTAACCGAAGGGAAGAAATTGCACTAGCCTTTGTGGACGACACAGCTTACATCGCCACAGCCGAAACATTCGAGGAGACGCATGAAATCCTGCGAGACATGCTTGAATGAGAAAACGGAGGCTATCAGTGGTCAAGAGAACATAACTCCAAGTTCGAAACAACGAAGTTTGCACTCATGGACTTCACGCGCAGCAAAACGAAGGAACGAAGTCCCATCATCCTCAACGGAGTTACGATCCAACCAGCGCACCATACCCGCTTCCTAGGAATCATTGTGGATCAAGAACTCACCTGGAAAGAACATGCAGCGTATGCGATAGCGAAAGGAACTGAATATGTCCTACAGATCCGACGACTCTCGAGAACCACCATGGGAATCCCAACCAAACTAATGCGTCAACTCTACCTAACAGTGGCAGTCCCAAAATTCGCATACGGCGCAGACATATGGTTCAAACCGATATTCAGACGAGGATCCAATGTGAATGTCACCCAAAGAGGCTCCAAAGGAATAGCGAAAAGACTCACATCCATACAACGCATAGCAGCGCTAAGTATAACCGGCGCCATGAGAACCTCGCCAACAGACGCGCTCGAAGCCCACGCGAATCTCCTACCAATACCACTACTCCTACAGAAGATTTGTCACCGAGCCACCGTCCGCCTAGCCACCCTCCCCCAATCCCATCCGCTATACAGCAAACTCCAATGGATAGCAGGACACAACGTTCAGACTCACCGTTCATCATTGCACAACCTACTCCACACCTTCCGCATCTTCCCAAACGACGTCGAAACGATCAACTCGTCAAACCAAACGAGAGCGTCAGAAGAACCAGCATACAAGACACAGATAGCGAAGGACAAGAAGGCCGCAAAACAAGAGCATGAACAACTCAAGGACATCATCCGCATATACTCGGACGGATCAGGATACAAGGAAGGGATTGGAGCCGCAGCAATACTGATACGAGAAGGACAGGAACCGCGAATCCTACGCTACCACCTAGGATCAGATGCAGAACATACAGTATACGAAGCCGAAACACTGGGCCTAACGCTAGCAGCTCACCTCTTAGCCACAGAACGAAATGTGACATACCCAGCATCAATCCTAATCGACAACCAAGCAGCCATAGTATGCGGAACCAAAGCAAACAAGGACAGCAGCAACTTCATTCCGGAACAGTTCAGCAACATGATCAAATCGATTTCGAAACGACGGGACGAACAAGGAGACTTCGATCTCACCATCCGTTGGGTACCCGGACACGAGAACATACCAGGCAATGAGCTAGCAGACCGCGAAGCCAAGAAAGCTGCAGAAGATCCCGAAAACAGCAGCCCAAAACGTCAGCTACCCAAATATCTACGAGATAAGCCACTCCTATGCAATGCACCTGCGCTACGAGCCGCCCAGAAGATAAAGGTAAAAGAACTCTGGAAAACCCTATGGACAAAGTCACCACGCTACACTCGAACTCGTGATATCGACCCATCAATGCCCTCCACCAAATATCTCAAACTCATCAACGGCTTACCCAAACGACACGCCAGCATGTACATCCAGCTCCGTACTCGACACATCCCCCTGAATCATCACCTCCATCGAATCAACAAATCCGACACCCCGCACTGCCCAATATGCCCCAACACGAACGAAACGGTTCACCACTATATCTTCGAATGCCCCCAATACCGAAAGGAACGCCATATCTTCGCAAACGCCGCACGTCGAGACGCACTGTCAATAGCCCACATCTTAACATCCGACAAAATCACCCCACACCTCATCCGATACATCAACAGCACTGGAAGATTCAAGCCAATATTCGGTGAGAATTAACATATGTAAAAGAACATAACACACCACAGTAAAAATGTCACAGGGAAACATACCCAAACCGCACATACCAACCCGAACCATACACTCTCCCATGAAAGGATCGACACTCCAACAAAGCTGTCACTGACGGGAACCACAGAAGACACGATTACAGAGGAACCACATAGCAAAATCGAAGAACGAACCAGACAAGACAACGAAGCTACGACCCTATAACCAACCTCCCCTACTAACACGTCTTCCTCCCGCAGCTTTCCTTTCGTGCCTGCTCACCTCGGTGACAGAGTACATGTCTGCACCATAAATGAAAAGCATCCAAACCCCCCAAAGATGAAAGATAGCTAATGACGAGACAATGTCCAACATAGGGTCTACGACCCCAAAGGACTAAATCTGAAGCAAAAAAAAAAAAAAAAAAAACATCAAGGGTATCGTACATCCTGGCGGTATTAAGTATGTTGCTTTATGACTGCAGCGCTGGAGTTGGAAGGGCAGTATCGAATGCGGTGTAGTGCAAACGAATCTAGTGTCTGCTAGTGTGTTGTCAAACGTCTCAGAATCGAGGCGCGACTCAAACAACAACAATAAAGACCTAGATACTGAAGGAATCGACCGTCTAGTGAGTATTAATACATGTCCGTTAAAGAATACCTGAAAGAACGAACCAGCACGACGTTAGAGCATTAAAAGGAGGATGTACGACTTTCCAAAGCAAAATACCAAATGAACGAGGACAAACATCGTATCCCATGACCGAAACGCGAAAAAATAATGACATGTGTGCAATGTGAATCTATTTGATTCTAGTTTTGCGGGTGTATGTAATCAAGCGGTGTGTGGTATTCATGAATTGCAATTTATTTGCCACGAGCTAGCTTCTGCTTAAGAGAAGTAAACACGCTGACAGTGCGAATGCGCATGAAATACGTGAACCAGAAAATCGCAATGGTCTGCACAAGGTATATCAGGACCAGATCTGAGCAACATCCGGCAGTAACTCACGTTAAACGCAACGAATCCGAAGATAATGCCCAGATTGCGCCAATGATCACTGTATTTGATGTTGAACCTCGAGTACATATACTGGTCAGTGAACTTGTAGGGACAGTACCGGCAGCCCTCCGCAGCTCCAGGGTTTGTGAGGTAACCACCAGCAAATTTAATGAACGGATCCATGTACTCGCTGCAGGTCAGACCCTTCGGCGGGTTGACGGAGACCAGTTCCGTGGAAGAGCAGATAATAGCTTGACTGCCAATAGCTACGAGAGGACTAACATGAGTACGATTATTCAGCAAGAAATCATTCACAAACCTTGACCAAGGAGGCTCTCGATGATGTATGTGAAAGGAGAGGCCCTATACATCCATCTCCACCAATTCAGCTCGAAGAACGGCTGGATGACGCCATCACT